CCCCATCAACGTCAACATCGAGCCCAACCCCGAGACTGGCCGCGCCGTTGTGGAGATCCGGTATGGAACCCTGGAATTTACGGCTTTTACCGAGATAATTTCGAAATTATACTGTGGAAGTCGATTACGATGGAACTAAAGCTAATTTTTTGTTATTAGCAACTTCCTCGGTGAGAAGTACGTCCGCCGCATCACTGCCCAGCCCGATGTCGACATCGCTCCCTCCGCCAACGTTAAGGATGAGCTCATCCTCACCGGTAACTCCCTCGAGGGTGTGTCCCAGTCCGCCGCCGACATCCAGCAGATCTGCCGTGTCCGAAACAAGGATATCCGTAAGGTGAGTTACACGAACACACGCACCTTCACTGGGAGGACCGAAGTCTCTAAATCTATACTAACCATGCCCAGTTCTTGGACGGTCTGTACGTGTCGGAGAAGGGCAACATTGTTGAAGAGTAAATGTGCCGCTTGGGAATGTATGGGGTGTCCGGGAGAGGTTTCTTTAATTTCGCCTACTTGCATATAGGGAAGCAAAGCGAAATGTCAAAAACAAAACGACCCTTTTGAAATTCACTGATTCCCTTACGCGAAAAACGTCTTTGTATGTGGCATGTAGAAATGTGCGCCCGAGGCAATTCTATTACTTCATTTAATACTCTAAGAATTGAGTAGAGGGATATAACTACATGTTATATTCCGGGTGTAGTTGAAAAAATGGGAAGATCCGGATCGATCTGGTAGTTCCGACTCTCCAGCTCTCCAACCTCCAACTTTCATCCTACTTCCACAATTCCTCCCCATGACCAAATCGAGACCAATCCATCTCTATAATACAGCTATACTCGAATACATATCATACTTAATCACTCAGTCTACTATCGGTCCAGTACCACTACCTCAATCTCAATCTCCAATCCCCTAGCGCAACGTGCGTGACGTTATAGCATGTGAAAGCGAATACCGGGCCCGCATGTGCACCTCTCCCTCCACCAGCCACAACGCAGACACATTTCTCGCAGATAAAAATGGGGTCCTGGTGGCTCGGTTTGTGGAATATTGTTGGTGCGGTCTGGAATATGGTGCTTGATGTTGCTCAATTTTGGAGAGACGTGAGTGTTGCACTCCAATCCTACCCTAGATATCTTGTATGCGGGGGAGATATCTGAGCTTGAGATGGCAAAGACGAAGACCCACAAGACATAACATCGGAGGTAGTTTTCGGTCTGATCTTGAGCTAATAAGTGTCCTCCAGAAACTACTATCATGGTGGCATTCCAAATCCCCTCGGGATCGACTCTTTCATACGCTAGCCAACGCGCAGAGCTATGAGGAGTGGGAAGAGGCGGCATTCGAGCTCGACGAGCTACAAAGTAATGATATATGGTATGGAATCAAACCATACTAACCGAACCCAGCGCAAAACCCAGTGTACCAAACTACCATCTAACCAACTACGCAGGCGCCAAAACCCCGTCAGCCGACACTATGACTACCGACTAATCCTCGGCCGACTCGAAGCACTGATGAGCGCGCGCGAGTCAGAAGACATCCTAACACTAGTAAACCTACTACGATCAGGGCTAGTGCGAAATCTGGGCAACATAACCAGCACGAAGCTATTCACGCACGCGTACGCAGGAACCAAGCTTCTAATCGACGACTACATCACGCAAGTAGCGCTATCAATCCAGTACGTGACGTCGGTGCCAGGAGCACCGATGCACCCAAGCGGGTTTAGCTCGCAAGCGAAGCTAGAGCTGCTGCATGATACGCGACAGGCTTTTGGGCGGACGACGCTGCTGCTGCAGGGCGGGTCTGCGTTCGGGCTGTGTCATCTTGGTGTTGTGAAGGCATTGCATTTGCAGGGTCTATTGCCGCGTATTATTACAGGCACTGCCACTGGGGCGATGATTGCTGCGCTTGTGGGGATTCATTCTGAGGATGAGTTGTTGCCGTTGCTTGATGGGGAGGGCCTTGATCTTTCTGCTTTTGAGAGGCGAAAGATGGTTAATGGTGGTGGTGAGGGGAACTCTGATTCCAGTTGGGTTGGGACGTTTTATCGCAGGATGAGGAGACTGCTGAGGAAGGGGTATTTGTTTGATGTTGGTGTTTTGGAGGAATGTGTTCGGGCCAATGTTGGGGATCTCACGTTTGAGGAGGCGTATGCGAGGTCGAAGCGCATTTTGAATATCACTGTTGCGACGACGGAGAAGAATGGGACGCCGAATCTGTTGAATTACTTGACTGCGCCGAATGTGGTATGTATTTCTCCCCTTCTCCTGGCCAGTACCAATGGTTTCTGACGCATTTTCTAGCTCATCTGGTCTGCAGCGGTAGCATCCAACGCTTCTTCCTCGGGCCTCTATTCACCCGTAACGATCTACTGCAAAGATGAAACAGGCACAATTATTCCATGGCCACACACACAAGACACGGTTTTCCGACCCTGGCGACATGTGCACTACAATGAAGGCGAATCTCCTCTCTCACGAATCTCGGAACTCTTCAACGTGAACCACTTCATCGTCTCCCAAGCCCGACCATACCTAGTCCCATTCCTGCGCTCAGAACTGAACCTCCTAGACCGACGCCAAACAGGCTGGAACAACCTCTCCCGCTCCGCAATGCGACTAATGATTGTCGAACTGCGCCACCGGCTCCGCCAACTCGACTACCTAGGTGTGCTACCTGCTCCACTGAGCAGACTCCTCATTGATGAGACAATCCCCGGACCGAACTTAACTCTCGTCCCGGACTTGTGTTTCTGGGATCTGAGGAAACTGTTCCAGAGTCCGACGAAAGACCGCGTGTCCGAGTGGACGCTTAAGGGCGAGAGGGGGGTTTGGCCGGCGATTAGTGCGCTGAAGGTTCGGGAGGCGGTTGAGATTGAGCTTGATAGGGGGTATCAGCTTGTTAGGCGGCGTCGACCAAGTGATGCTTCGGTTTCGGTGTCTGTGCCGAAGCAGGTTAATGCTATGAATGAGGGGGTTCCTCGGCGTAGGCGGGGCGGGAGTGAGAATGAGGAGGGGATTCTAGCTGATCGGGAGTGATGGGTTATAGAGTTGCTATAACTAATGCAGACTGTTTCTACATCTGCATGTAAACGGTGTACTTTGGATGTTTTGAGAAAGCAATGAAAGACTATCGTGGTATTCTAGCGGGTATTAAGAGTGATACTCGACATCTTCATTCTTTACCTAGGTAGGGTCGGTTCATAAGGATATTAATCCCAGTAACATCATTTTTTATGGTGATAAGCTAGTGATGATTGATTTTTGGCTCTTGTCGGCCTATTGACAGAGTATGGATGGAGCTGGCCGGACTTATGAATGGTATGATGAGAACGTACAGCTGTCTCTACCTGGGAATGACCCCAATGCCTTTGAGGAGATTCGGATTTGGCTTGGGGATGACTCGCGTGCTTTTCAGTTTGAGGTCTAGACTTCTTACTTGTTCCTGAGCCTAGATGAAATTGTCAAGTGATGTATAAGTAACCTCCATATATAAAACAGACTAGTTCGCCATTTCCCCAAAGAGAACCTACTGTTCTATGTCTCCAACACACCTCGTGCCTTTCCCAGTTTCGAAAACATGGCACCTCCTTTGCTCGCCAGAAACTGCAGTAGCAATGAAAGTTAGAACGAGTCTTTCGTCCTGAGGGTTGAAGCAGGATCGGTGGACGGGGTTATTGCTCATGGCGGTAGTATTCCGGACCCTAGTATTGAAGTTAGAATTGAAAGACAAAACATCAGACCAAATTAAGGATAGACTTGCGTTAGTTCAGCCGTTGCAATCGGTCCAAATTTCTAGACACAGTTAGTAGTCTAGGATATGAGGAGAAGGGACAATGTTTTATACCTGTTCAGCCCCCCCCAAAAAACCGCGTGCGAAAAACGTCTTGACAGCAACAACCCAACAACCTTCAAGTTTTTTTATGTTGTGGCCTATAAACTTGACATTTTCTGCTGCCCTTTTGTTGCGCACGTGCACATTCTTGTGCCGTTTGACAACGGTCCAACCGTCGTCATCAAGCAAAGACATAACATAGGAACATAGGAGGGTGACATTCGACGTTCTGTCTAATAAGAAAACTCCCTAAGGGAAGTTGCTCTCATTTTATCGCTGCTCTAGCCGGAGACTTCCCTCTATCGAATATAGTAGAACACAATGACAGTGTATCATCCTGGGACAACACAAAACTTGGATCAAGAAACATAACTGACTTCTAAGGTATAAAAACCATTGTTCACTTATTCTAATGTAGTTTCTCTAATTGTATGGAATGAACTACCCGGCCAATATGAGAACCTTTAGACCCGGTCGTCAATCGACGTCATTTGAGTTTTCTTTGTGACCTGGATAGAGTAGCAACGTGTTACAATGCTATTGTATTTACGCTGTGGCAGAAAAATTTAGACGAATTGACATATCGAAAGGTCTTTCAGATAAAATATAGTCTACCTAGGTAGTGTCAGAATGAAAGGAAAGATGGCGGCAATGATCTTATTGCAGTCTTTAGAACCCCCAATTCAGAGAGTCAGATAGGGGGTGAATGAGCTTTTGCCACAGGCCTCTCAAGTCTCCAGAATTAAAGAAAAAAGAAAGACATCTAGAGTATGTGTTAAACATGCATGCAGCCTATATATAGACACAGGGGAGGGTTGAAAGAACTGGTATAGGGGGTCTGATGAAATGGCATACTAGCAAGCATTATTCTTCCATATCTTTGCTGAAACGAGGTCTCCAGACTTTGCTAGCAAGCCAAGGAATCTTTCATCAAAGCCGATAGTTTTAAATAGTTGACCTCCACCGCTTCGTGTCTCAGATGAGGATGAAAGAACCTCGGGAACGCTGGAGGGCCAGTCAGATCATTGGTCATCAAAGCCCTAATTCCTGGAGGTTCCAAGGTGGGCTTCTCTTTGTTAGGCATTTGGACATAATATGAACTGCTTATACTGTGTCCTCTCTCTAAATCCAAACCTGCTGGAAAATTATAAATCATGACATCTATTTTGGAATGGCTGGAGAGACTCTTCGGCAAGAAGCTCTTCAACTTGGAATGGTTGAGGAGACTCTTCAGAAGGTCTCTCAAGTTTCCTGTCTCTTTCCCAGAAGCCGGCTGGGATGTTATTCCTGCCGATGGGAAAGTCGAGGAGGAACAGATGCCAACCTTTTATGACGAAAACTTCTATTTCCCTGTCACTATCGGTGACATTTTACTCTCCCGGTATCAGGCTGTTGGTAAACTCGGATGGGGAACTACATCTACCGTTTGGTTGGTTCGAGATCTCGAGTAAGCTAATATTTTCTTCTCTCATTTACTATGTATCTATTCTAATACTGAACAAATCAGAATGAATGACTATAAGGCATTGAAGGTTTTTGCTCTCGATGTATTTGGTGAGGAAGAATCTGCATTCTACGACCAGATCAAACGGGGAAATTAACAACATCCTGGATCAAATCGAGTGAGGAAAAAGATAGGCGAGGTAAAGATTCCCCAAAAGGACTGGAAGTACTATGAGCATTTGGCCCTTCTGCAAACGCCTCTGGGGGGAGAGTTTGCAAGATCTCCAAAAACGTTCGGCAGGTGAGCGCTTGGATAAGCTCTCTATCCAATCGACAATATATCAGATGTTGCTAGCACTGGACTATCTGCACACAGAATGCCACATGATTCATGGGGGTATGAAATGGCTCCTGACTCGAACTCTTCTGAAAGACGACTTATCTCTCTGACAGATATCAAGGCAGATAATATCTTCCAAGAGATCGGGACGAAGCTAGGCTCGACAGATATGTCCAGGCTGAGATCGAGAATTCTTCTCCACGAAAGTTTGCGTACAGCTATCCTATCTATCGCTCCAGGCCACTTGAACCAGCATCCCAGTTGGGTGTGATTCAGCTTGGAGATTTCGGCGCCGCCGCGCAAGGAGACGAGCCACGCAACGGTGAAGTTCTCCAGCCTAGTCTTTATCGAGCGCCCGAGGTGGTGCTGAAAAATGAGTGGAATTATCCGGTTGATGTTTGGAACTTGGGGGTCTGGGTAAGTTATACTTGACTGGTTCTAAGGGACTCTACGTTCTAATTCACTTCAAATTAGGCCTGGTGCGCATTTGAGGGCAGTCCACTCTTCATCTGTACCGAAACCTCCGAAACCAAGCGTTCTTACTCCATCTCTCTACATCTTGCGCAATTTACTGGGTTGCTGGGACCACCACCTCCTGATTTCATAGAGCCTGACACTATCAGTGCCGAGTATTTTGATAAAGATGGTAGGTGGAATTTCATCCTTTGAGTGCCTGACATCTATTAACTCTATCTCATAAGGAATTGGATAGCCAAGGATTGTGAATTTAAGATGACCAGTTTTGAAGAGTTGGAGAAACATCTTGAAGGGGAGGACAAAGAGATGTTCTTGGACTTGATGAAGGGGATGATCACATGGCGACCAGAAGATCGAAAGACCCCAAGGGAGTTGATAAAACATTCATGGCTTCAAGGTATGGACACCTGCTTCTCACAAGCCAACTGAATAGACTCTCTCCAGATATCTCGCTAGACAGATTTGCCGATTCTCTTTCGTGCCCGTATTAGTTCTTAGAAATTGAAAGCCCTTTATTCTCTCTCGCTTCGATATATATGATAGATCTTGTTCTGTTTCTTTGTTTTATCAGGAGCCCATGGTTCTTGATCTTTGAGAAGCATAGTCGGCCACCAACTGCATATTTCTCTGACGTCTTTTAATAACCTCTTTTGATGTCTTCTACAGTGTAAACAAGACGCCTCGAAAGTATAAAAGCACGGGATAATAATTTAGCTGAATCAGCTGATAACTTAAAGTTACCCACTCTACATCCGCTGATATCATCTTCCTTCCGACGCTTCAACAGGAAAAAGAGAGAACAAAAAAGAAAGAAAAAAGAAAGAAAACAGAAAAGAGACCAAGGCCAGGATTCGAACCTGGATCGCTGCTGGCGCCCCGAAGGGCACCCCCATACGAGGGCCGGCAACTGAGCAGCTGTGCTGCCATTGCACCACCTTGGTTGCTTTTAGGAGATATGGTAGGACCGATGGTGATAGCATCAAGATGGAACACGACTTGGTAGACTCCAATAAGGGCGTGGTAATTCCTTACCATCTTACCATCACAGAAATCTTGCAAGCAAACCGAGTAGTAGCTGCGTGAGAGTCGCATATTCTGGCTATTCAAAGAATTCACCCCTGCTGTACCTGGATCATCATCACAGGTTCCATCATTTTGGCTACCTCATGATTAGTGTAAACACAAGATAGCGAGTTGGGGCAGATGTGTAAAAGATGATGTCATGGGTAAACGTAGCTCGCGGGGTGTGAAAGTTTCTAGAAATTGGGGGTTCACTTGGATTATATGTTGTATGTTGTATGTTGTATGTCATTTTCGGTTAGGGCTAAAGGCCCAAGGGCAAAATCAGCTTTAAAGAGATTCTGCCAGTTTTCGCCGGCTGCCAAGTCAACCCTAATCATTTCCCTTTCTGTACATGTACTTAATATTCTGAATGAAATGCCAACTCTTTTACTACCGATAGATAACAAAGGCAAGATTTGCACCATTAAGGATACTAGGTTTACCGCAATAACCTCGATTCATCGCTATCTACGGGGTAGTTGTTAAAGTGTGAAGATTGACCAATCAGGACGAGTCTTACTATGGCCGATGGTGTAGATTAACAATAGCCCAGACTGATTCATTCCTTGAGCGACATATTCGTTAGAAAGGGTAAATGGGAATGTAACTTATTATTCAGTCCAGTTACAAACTCCGATGACAATTAGAAACATGTCCCGGATTCGCTTGCCCTTTCGAGCTGGTATTATCAAAGTGGTCTTGGATATAAAAGCCCCATTGACAGAGCTATGGGTCCGGTGGGTGAAAATGCGTTATTTTCTTGCCCCGGCTTGTAGATTATAGGTACTGGTACCTTGATAAGGACGCTCCATGGTGGAGAAACCCCATGGGAAAAATGTCAGAATCGGGAAAGGAAAGTGATTCCGAACGGGATATAGATGCGGCAATATCAACCCTATCTAGTTGGATTACCGAAATTATTGACAAGAATGAGGTGGAATGGAGAACCTGGGGTAAAACGCCTGGAGAATCATTGAATAACCGGTAACTTGGCTAATCTAATTAATCTAAATATTCACCGAGAAGGATGGACTAGTTTATCAACCTACGTATGTAGACATGTAGTCTCAAATATGATATCCTATCCTAGTAGAGACCACTATCAGCGTAATGTGTAGTGGTTTGTACAAGTATCAATTTATAGTCCCTAATCAGCATATACTTTGAGGCGAATGTCGCCAATGTGAACAAATTATGATTGTATATCCCTGTCTATGCTTATATCCACAGTTACGGGTTACAGACAGAGATAGACACAGGTATATCTGTCTGTAAATGGAAGGAGAAGTCCTTCCCCGCAAATCCCCGGAGTTCAGGGGGAGGAATGCCTTTCCCTATGCTTAGTAGTATCATTGATATATCCATTCTACTTAATATGCACACTCTTCATATTCCTTTTCATTATAACACCCTTCAATATGAGATCCGAAATCATTGATATACCTAGTCCCGTCGAGAATGACCCGATCCAAGACGCAGAAGGCCAACATGGAGAAAATAGAAAAGCCTGCTCTTCCTGAACGACAGGATGCTTTTGGAGACGAAACAAATGCAGAAATCAAGTACAAGGTCTTGAAATGGTGGTATGTGATACCAACTCTTATTCCTCTCTCTCTCATTTTACTGATATAGTCCCCAGGCAAGGAGGTCTTCTGATGGTTGCCGAAACCATCTCCCTAGGGATTCTCTCCTTACCAGCTGCTATAGCCGGGATAGGCCTGGTTCCAGGATTGATCCTCCTTATTGGACTTGGCCTACTCGCTACTTACACAGGATATGTCATTGGACAGTTCAAATGGAGATATCCTCATATTTCGAGTATGGCTGACGCTGGCGAGCAGCTGATGGGTCGGTTCGGTCGAGAGTTGTTTGGAACTGGACAATTGCTCTTCCTGATCTTTCTTATGGCCAGTCATATCTTGACCTTCACTGTGGCTCTCAATTCTATTACTGGTCATGCCACTTGCTCCATTGTTTTCGGCGTCGTTGGACTGATCTTATCTTTGATCCTTTCTCTTCCTCGAACTCTGGAGAAAATGTCCTGGCTTTCACTTGTCTGTGAGTATACAGATTATCCTGATCTGGATCTAAATTCTGACTATGAGCAGCCTTCATCAGTATTTTTGTCGCCGTGATGGTTACGATGATAGCCCTCGGAGTACAAAACAATGGGGCCACTGTTAAGCCAGTTGTCGAAGCCAATCTGGTGACTGGCATTATGTCGGCCTGTAACATCGCATTCTCATATGGTGAGCCCTGAAAAATGAAGAACGAAACCAAAAAAAAAAGAAAACACAGCCTGACCATTCGTCTATAGTCAGCCACAATACCTTCTTCACATTCATGGCAGAGCTCAAAGACCCAAAAGAGTTCCCGAAGGCTCTTGCACTTTTACAGTCCATTGATATGACCCTTTACATCGTCGCCGCCGTTGTAATATATCGCTATACTGGAGCAGATGTTGCCTCCCCTGCCCTAGGCTCAGCTGGTCTGTTGATTTCCAGGATAGCCTACGGGATTGCCCTTCCTACAGTCGGTACACCCTCGTCCTGTATTTGAACACCCAAAAAGCTGACCATTGAAGATTGTGATTGCTGGAGTCATCAACGGCCATGTCGCAGCAAAATCCCTTTACGTCCGCATCTTTGCTGGCACTGACCGGATGCACAAAAGAGACTGGGTGGCCATGGGTTCCTGGGTTGGCATTGCATTCAGCCTTTGGGTCATCGCCTGGGTTATCGCTGAAGCGATTCCGGTATTCAACAACCTTCTCAGCTTGATTGTAAGTGTTTTTGAATCATCTACTTTGGAATCAATCTTTGACACTATGCTTTGAATCAATAGACTGCACTCTTTGGTAGCTGGTTTACCTTTGGATTTACCGGCATGTTCTGGCTACACATGAACAAGGGGCTGTGGTTTTCTTCTCCCAAGAAAATCATGCTGACTTTACTCAACTCGTTGGCGATTTGTGTTGGTGTCATTCTAGTGGGTATCTCCCTTGGATATCGCCATGAAAGGAAGTCAACTAATCTTTTCTTAGTGTGTTCTCGGTCTCTATGCGTCCGGATCGGCCATCCATAACAACCCTAGCAGCGCTAGCTTTTCGTGTGCTAGAACTGAGTGAAAAGCCTAAACTTTATATTCCATAGACACATAAATATGCACTTATACGTACCGGACTTTCCCTGGCGCGTGGGGCGAATTATAGTAGCTATATCCTTAATTAAAGGGCTTCTCTTTGATTCAAAACCTTCTCTTTATCGAAGATCTATAGATATAGTGTCTCTATAATTTTAATATAGTATACCCCCTAAATATAAGCCTAGTATAACTAATTATAAGATAAGCTCCACGGAGGTGTCTCTCAGTCGCGAGTGGTACGTCTGCAGGGAGGATTACGATGCAAGACAAGCGGCCGGTGATCCAGATGATCTTGCAAACAACCCGCATTGGGTCGTGTCCATGAACTGCCGCCGTTTGGGTATGGAGATTGTATCGATATATCTAAAAATGTCGCGGGGTGTGATTTCAATGAATCGTGTCAATGAACAAAAAGACAAACTTGGCCAGTTGATGGGACGAGCAAAGAGCACTGTGAAGCATCATGTGAACGGGGGAAATATCATGGATACTGACATGCCAAGTGGCCTGTGTCAAGATATATCGCTGGAGGTCAGTTATACATGGATTGATCTTTTTTTTGGGAGAGATTACTTTCAAGTACTTGATGATGCTCTCCACGAAGCAACTGCTACAACTAGAGTTACAAGAACTAGCATATCAGCAATATCAGTTGCTTGAAGCTTTGGACCGGTGCTTAATTAATGAGGAAAGGCATTGCATTGCCGCCGAAGATAGTATTGGTATTGTTACGATATTTTTTTCCCAGTAACAACAAGCACCAAGCTTGGTCTCGGTAAAAGCTGGCCACAATCGCGAAAAACGGGTAGGGTTGCGTATAAATTCTTCATGTGCACTCCTATCATGCTGAGTAGCATAGACTAAATGATGTTTTTGCTGTGATAGGTGTGTTATTGCGTCCGATTCCGTGGCGTTATGGTTGCCATTTGGCAACTTCCCGAACCCGAGCACCGGTGGCTTCCAACCGAAGTAGGATACTCCGAGGTTGTTTCGTGCTTTGCGCACGCGCCCGTCGGCTATGCGCAGTGAGGCAGTAATGTTACGCAAAGTGATCCAGTCTCCCAAACGCACTTCGACACGTTGTATATAGTTTCCGGCCTTGTTCCTATAATCTCTTTCTCGTACAAATTTTCGAATCTCTAGGTAGGCCGCTTTCTGTCTTAGATTCTACTTGCCTGTATAAAACCAGCTTGCATGGATGTCTTCTGGATCACCAGCGATGGGTCTCCTGTAAAAAGCACACCACGCTTCTACTTGTAGTCCACTCAGGAGAACGAACCTCTGAGTCTTGCTGGCGCGGGTTTGGAGAGACCTTCCGTACTTTTCTGTGTTGCCAAAAAAGAGATCATCCGTAGATCAAGAGCTTTGGCGGGTAAAACTAGCGAAAGATGATGAACGGGGTCGTCACCAGGAAGGCGAACTCTGCTCTCCTATATATAACAACATTGAGGGGTTTTTTATATTTAGTGGGCTCTCTTCAATGCGACGTTCCAAGCCAAAGTCGGGTTATGACAAGCGATCATCATTCTATATGGTTGCGACCGGCATCCAAAGTCAATCCGGCAAGGTCATTCGAATTAAATGGTGGACGAGTTGGCGCGTGGCCACCTTTGGCTCCGACGAGGAGTATCGAGAGGAAGTACGGAAGGAATATCTTCAGCTTGCGAGATTTGGAAAGTTCAGCCGACGCACTCAAAAAAGCCCCTTTCAGCAAGCCTCTTGTCCTATACTGTGAGGCTATCCTTTCACGGTATTTGAATGGTGATAGAGAGAGGGTACACGCTCGTTGGGATTGGGTCTTGTATCATATAGATACATCAGCGGATAATCTTATGCACAGAGTCAACTAAGAGAGAAGGGCCGAGGTAGACGATGTAAACCTTACATTGATTCATCATCGATGCCACCAATAGCCAAGTGGAAGTGATAGACAGCATACGATCACATTGCTATAGGAAGCTCGAGCAGTCATTACTTTTGCTCGCTTTCCATTAGATTCGAGTGATAGGAGCACGAGGGGACTTCCTGTTGTACGATCCGAGTGTGCAAGGCTTGAACAAATTAGCCGAGATATTTTAGCTTACCTGTTGTAGAGTTCGAAAAGCGTACACTTGAGAGGAGACGATCCATTAGCTTCGGGATCATACCAGCTTACAAACTAAGTCACTTACAATTGTCTTCAGCAATGAGGTCACCATCCATGCCGTGTTGTATTCAGCTTCGTCGCCCTCTCTGGCTATCGCTTCAAGAAGGCCGCGCTGGGTGCACCGGGCAACTTGTCAGATGCCAAAGGCGCGTGACAAGTAGCTTGTACAGTCGTAATGGGATAAGGCCTCGTGATGCGCACGGCCAGAGAGGTTTATACACTCCGCCGTTTATGGTTGGAGGCGGCGAGGTCGAGGGCAGAAGACGCGATGGAGCACGCGTCGTAGTGCAACCTTCGTCTTATCGCCAATCCGGCAATAGAAGTTCGCCCACCGGGCGGCGTCGCTCCAGCCGGACCCCGGGACAGAGACGCCAGCCCTGGTGGCCCGTCCAGAGCCTTAGTCGCTGAAAATTGGTCCTTCAAACGCAGCTAGACAGCTCGAGTATGTAAGCACAGCTCACAGTGCGGCTAAAATCCTATGCGAGTACCCTAGGAGTATTTGAAGAAGTCTGGACTTGCACAACAGTCATTACTGCCGTGGGGAAAAAGTAAGGTAATCGAACGTGTCAATTCCCTAATTATCGCAACCGAGAGGAAACATCCGCAACTGTGTCAGCAAATCAGACTGCCAAAATGAGAGATGTAGCATGTAACTATTTTGTAACGTTAGTCAGCCATACGTGTGCAATATTATCATCAGTTACCTTTGGACGACAGGAGCAAGAAAGTGGACATAGGGAGTGCTTTTTGCTTTCCAGCTTCTGTCCTCGGATCATTCTATGAATATTAATGGTTGGAACGTTGTCGAGCGCTCCTCGTAAAGATTCACACAATGTCAAACGATGCCTGGCTTCGTTTAACCCTGCGCCCCTTCTAACCAACACCCGGGATTGATCGGCGTTGTGAAAGCATGCGCCGAAGAAGTTGGTGTCACTTTACCAAGGTGAACAAAAATGAGTCTCTTTATGGATTTGAGCGGTTCGAACATTGTAAACAAGTAAGTGGTACCCCAACAAACTTAACCTTCATCCTTCATCCACATTCCAACATCCAAGGATATATTCCAGATTGGAAGCTGGAATGTGCGCTTTCACGAGCCGAAGCCTTGGCTGATCGCAAGCCCCAACGTTTTCTGAATCTTTGTCAAGTCCAAGGGAATACGTCCGTTGAGGCTACGCTCCTATGTATGCCGCGACGCAGGGCAGCAAGGAGGTGTACATACAGTATATCCATTTGACAACCAGAGGGAATGTTGGCCGTTCATTAAATTAAATTGTTAGCGAATAAATAAGACTCGTCTGTCCGTATGCAGCCTGCTCATTTCTAGTTTTCATGAGGATCAAAACATATTACCTCTTTTCCGGATACGTCACATTCTACTGCGAATACGAATTATTCTCGGATCCCATTTCCTATTATCCACAAATAATGATATCCTTCCATAGGTTCGCCTGGGAGTATTTGTCACTTTTAGTAGCAGGTGAATTAGCGTACAGAGCGTTCCATGGTAACAAAGAGCCGCTAATGCGGAGCGATTTGGAGGCCAGAAAAAGAATACTACAAAATGATTCGACACATCCTCGTGCTGAGTGGGGCGACGGCGCACTGGTCGTCATATATGCTTTTATCATAAATATGCGGCTTACAAGGGCGCTTGATTTTTGACCGATTACATATAGTATAGACCAGTAAAAAAGACGCGATCGACACTAGAACCTAGAAATAGATCTGTACTTGTAACCACTTGTTTATCTTCTCATTTGTTCGTAATTTTGTATTGTCTATCTTCCACTTCTTGTGCCCAAAGATTTTACACCCCATCAAAGTCCAGATCAGCCGACACCCGCCAAGTCCTCTACTCCGTAATACCTAGATACAAATCCTCGCTGTTCGAGTTCTTGACGTATTCCCATTTTGTATCCTCTCCTACATTCTATGCCTCTGCGCATCCTTCAGGCCGTCTTGCTCTTATCGCATTTCTCAATTCCCAAGCCCATATTAATTGCCCCACAGCACGGTACTAATGTCAAGCTTCGCCCCCGTCCGGCGTCTCCGTACCGACCGCTCTCAGATTAAGTTCACTACCCCACCGTTCTAATTATTTACCCAATCGCCCTACGCGATCAGACCTTTACTATCGTCCGCTACTGCCGCCGCTTATGACCACTCTATATTTGACTGTATTAGTGTCGCTATATCTGCGCACTGTATTACGACCCCCTGTTATAGACACTCTTAAAAAGCGCTCTGGCTCCGGTCCTCGTCGCCCCCCTTCAGCTCTCTCTCACGACCCTCTTCTACTACCCAAGTTATTCACGCTATTATTAGTTATGCCGTCCCGCTCTCAAGGATACCGGACTCAAGAGTCCTGTCCCTCAAGTAGGCATATGGAGGCACGCCTATCCCCCCTCGATCCATCGGTGAATCCCCGTGGAGACTCTCACTCCTCACTAGAGCTTCCGCTAGGCCATAGTGAATGGGGTCTCGCCACCTACTCTCACGATCGTGGCGGTGACCTTGAAACGCGCTCCTTTTCCTTTAGGGATGATCAAGTTCGCTCCATCGGGTTCAACGGAGATCATCGACCGGATCATGACCAAGGTTCCTTTGTCCGCTCACCTAGTCATGTTATCTTATACTGATCATATCCTGCTATCCCTAGATCGCCAAAGTAATTGCACGTCTTTCGACGGTCTCAACAATGTCCAGTCTCCAGACCATATCAGGCACTGTTATGCAAATACAAACATAGATCGCTCTGCTCAGGTCTTCAACGGCGACGTCGCCCGCGCTTATGATTCGTCTTCTACCAGGGAGCATCATTTACACGGTGGGTCCGTCAAAAACAAAAGTAAGCTTGTCAATGGGGACCTTGATAGAGATACGTTCCTGGCTTTTTTCTGCAATTCCAATGAAGAAGCCCGCCAGGAGGAAGGGCAGCGGGAGGAACTTCGCCCTCGCCGGCGTGGACCCCGCAGGGGAGGTCGGGCCCTCCCACAAGGGCGAGTTTAGTCTCGAATCGACCTCACTGCTAGAGTTTACCTTGGCACATCTTTGCGTGCAAGTTGGTATATTCTCGGGCTAATGGTGTTTCTTTTTGCAATAAGCTGTTATTTGTTAGTTATGACTCACTGTCTATGCCTCACGCATTTTAGTGTCCTTAACTTGTTTATTTCTATTGAATAAGTGGACTTAACCTGCCTTAAAGCTGCCCATCTACAGTAATATCCATTGGATTTAGTGTAACACTACACTTAGAAGACTTGAAGGGTAAAGAGCTTGTATCAAGACCTTACTAGGTATACACGAGTCATACTCCCAGATTCCGTCGATATCAAACATAGTGAGCTGGTGAAGATGTCGTCATAAACCTGTCAAATAGACCATGCACTGTAGCGCCGTCGAATCCTCTAGGGCCAGCCACGCCAAGAGTAGTGCAAGAAGATCAGCTCGCAAGTCTACCTGGCACCGTTGAGGATTTATTCGGCTGTCTGATCAATTATCGCGATTGCTTTCATCGCAGTGCCCCATTCTTTAGTTTGTCACTTAGGAGACGACCAGAGTTCGGGCCCTCAAAGATAGGTTCAAAGACCTAGATATTTTTGAGAATCACCTAGCAGATCCTGCAGAAATCGTTTTATAAAGTTCCTTTGACATCGCCTGACTTCAGCCATTTGTAATCATTTGTAATCTTCTCTTGCAGTGATTCACGATACAGGAAGGATGTGGTCAAATCCAATTAATCGCCACCGACCATGAAGCGAAGTTGAAGCACAATGCAGAGCGACTCGTCGGCTGCGCCATGTTCACGAATACCATTTAATATTTCATAAAAGCTCGAATATTCGTGTCTGAGAGATGGGCTTACCCGTATTCTCGTTGTTCCTCGTGCCTGCCTCGCACGCTTTATTGCCTTTCTATGATCTTCACAGCGAAGTGAACTCAGAAGAAATACTCATTACCAACTATAGAACCCTGTATTATGAAGAATTTTTGCCCCTTTTTTAATGGTGTTTCGCTCACCCATCCGTGAACAATAATAGAGAAACCGAGTGTGGCCAAAACTTCACAAATAAGAAGCTCTGATAAAAGGCGCTGAAAGAAGTACAGCAAAAAAATGTCACCCAATGGCATAAACCTTGATTTTCCGAACCTAGTCTAGTTCATACTATAAACTACCATCACCGTCTCCGCTACCGTCCCCCACTTGAGGGCTATCGGGTGCCTAAAGTATCCTTCACGCGTACCAATACATTGCCCACAACTAGGAACGCACTATACAGGAACGACGTCAAATTGGCTATACGACTAATCTAGCAAAGAGAAAAGAAGAGAAATGGAAGTACACGTCGCTTCAGGTCCAACAACAACTTCCACAATTCCTTGAGGCTTTCACAACACGACTGCGAGAACCGCTCTGCACCTGGGAAATGTTTTCCTCCATAGATTGACGCCTGCTAGATGAACGAGCAGAAGGTACTCGAACAGTTCTAGTGGTTTGACACGTGCAGCTGCTATATTGGCTGAGCCCAGACATGAGGCGGAACGGATTGCGGCGCTAATTATACAGGGGGGGTTGTGGCATAAGCTAATTGGCTCACTCAATAGCTCTCGGGTACGGATAGATTGCGACCCGTCGAACCTCGCTCTCTAAGGGAATAGAGGTGCGAGCACACTTGGATCCAGTTGCAGAGAAGGTGTATAGCTAGATTTGCCTATAGATAGACCGCGTAGGCGACTCTATTTAGGCAGCAAATCGATTTCATTTTTCCGCCCAAACTTCCACAGAACTTCACATACCTTTTAAACGAAAGAATCTTAACTAAGATATTCTTAATATATTCCTCTATTGCTAGGATATCAACTATTTCTAATGATAAAGTAGTCACTCGACTCTAAGAAGTTTTTCTACTCACGATCCGTTCGTTAGTGAAAAGGGGGAAGAAGGGAAAGAATGGAAGTATCAGAATACTTAGGAGATACCTCGCAAATCCGTACCTTAAAGCGAATTTTGAAATAGACGGCCTCTCACCTATAATATTAGCAATGGTAAAATAGGAGGTGCTTAAAAGGCTCTTACAGCTTAAGAGTCTTAATCTAAACTTCCGCACGCTAGATGGTCGGACGGGTATTTTTTTCTACTATCGCGTCACCTAAAACCGATTCTTTAAAGCTTCTACTTCAAAAAGGAGCCGTAGTTAATGTGGTTGATAATAAAGGGCGTACGCCGATTTCAGTAGCTACCGAACTTAGTTATATTAATTATATAGACTAACTCGTTCAATTCAACGTAAACGTGAATATAAATAACGTGAATAGGTGGACCCTACTTTCATATACCGTTTTAAAAGGTAGATAATTTTTCGACGGAGTACCTATTATTATAAAAAGTCATTTAGCTTAGTAACCACGACACTAATAGACGAACCTTAGCGGTTATCGCTATATAGAGCGAAAACTTCGAAGTCCTAAGGCTTCTACTCGATAGATATATTCCTATCGTTCCGACAGATAGAATTAAGTTTAGTCCTTTACTATAGGCTATTCTTTAATAAAATAATATCATAGCTAGCCTAGTACTTAGGTATAATCCTAACCTTATCGATCATAAGGTAGTATATATATAATAAGTATATACTATATATAGTAATATACTATAAAAGTATATACTTTTATAATACTATATACTTATGATAGTATATAATAATATATAATATTTATGTTGAACGCTAATACCGAGGAAAGATGATACGAATTGATATAAACTAACACTACAACTCTAGTAAGTAGTAGATTGAATAGTGAAACGAGTGTGTATTCGGGAGAGTAGCTAGATACTCGACTATTTAATATACTAGGAGCTTATAAAGTAATACTAAGCCTTAGTAAGTGACTTCCTAAGGCTAATAAGTGATACCTAAGGTAGCTACTATCTATATAATGTAATATAGAAATAATAGGATAGGAAAGGTATAATTTTAGCTAATATACCCCTCTAGGAGCTATTAGATAGGCGCTCGGACTATAAAGTTTCTTTATATAACTTATAATTAATTAAGTTTTTAATATCGACTAAGCTAAGCGAGTTAATAAATACTTTATAAGCTTATAATAGAAGAAGCTTTATAAGACTATCTATTATTATATTAATAGTAGCGACCTATCGAATCGCGATAGAGCTAGTATTTATTTCCTAGCGGAGCTAGTAGTAGTAAATATTAATATAGTAGAGCTTAGTTTATATCTAAAGCTACTCTTTGGTAAATAAGTCTACTATTTATTTATTATTATAGTTAATTAATAGACCTATCTAATAGTCTAGACTAACTATATTAAAAAGCCTTTTCTATTATATAGCTAACTTATTAGCTTTAGGAATAGTAAATAGCTCTATTTCTATTATTAATATAGTAATAGTCTTTTATTTACTAGCTTTCTAAGCTTTTTCGATTAATATAGTTACCGAATAAAATATTACTAGAGAATTATAGTATCGGAGAAAAGTATATAAGATAATACTCGAGAGCGAGGAATCTTATATTATATAGGTACTATATTAGATAATTTATAGTATTTTAGATTATAAAGAAACTAAGGTATACTAACGTATTCCACAAGCGAGCCGGCCACACAAGCGAGCCGGCCACCCCACCCAAAACGCGTCTATGAATTAGCACTTAGTTAATTCAACCACCCGCCATGCCACCAATTCGCTCTCAATCCTCTAGAAATTCAATAGAGAAGGAGGGTAGGATCTTATTAGCTATCTAGGCTTTTAAAAATCAAAAAATCTCTTCTATTCGTGAACTAGCGCGCTATTATAAGATACCACGCTCAACACTTCAAGACCGACTAAACGGCCACTAAAGCCGCGCGATTTCTCGCGCTAATTCGTATAAACTAATAGAAATTAAAGAGGAATCTCTTAAAAAATGGATCCTCTCTATAGATCGATATAGAGTAGCCCCCGGGCCTTCTATAGTACGAGAAATAGCGAACCTTCTCCTTAAAAAGCGCGGAACAACCCTAGTTATTTTTATTGGCGAAAACTAGGTAACGAACTATATAAAACGACGTCCTCTTCTATCCTCTCGGTTTTCGAAACGGTATAACTATAAGCGTACGAAATACGAAGACCCGAAGGTTATTAGGGAGTAGTTTAATCTTATTTAAAAAAAACTATCCTTTAATTTAGGATCGGCCCTAATAATATTTATAAATTTAATAAGACTAGTTTCGCGATAGGGTTAACAGTAACCGCGAAGGTTACTATTATAAACTACTAGTTTTTATTTCTAGATAAAGTACTAAAAGGCTTTATACCTCGCTAGTAAAATACTATAAATTTATTAAAAATAAAGAATTATAGGGTTAAAAAATATAGATATCTAGATATTCTTTAAAAATGCTAAAGATAAAGTGTTAGAATATTACTAGTATATTAGTAAGGCCGAAAGGTATAACTAAATATTTATAATATCTATATTTAGTTCTAAATACTATTTTCTATTTATAACCTAGCTTAATCTAAATATAATAATATATATTAGTAATATTATACTTTAAAAAGTATTTAGCTCTTTAAATCTAATCCTAAATTATATAAATTAAAGGTAGAGGATATCGATTTTTGATAGTAATCGAATTTAAATATTAGTAATCTATATAAAGCCGAAGACTACTATCTTTTTTTAGTATAAAGATAATCGGATATCTAGCTAGTAATTTTAAGACTTAGATATAATCTTTCTTTAGATTTTTATTAATATATTCTTTAAATATCTCTAACTCCTTTAGCGATAACTAATAAATAGATTTAAAAGTAGGTTTAGTACCTTCTATTATATTAATTTTATAATCGAAGATCCTATATTCTAATAGGGTCCTTTTAGCTAGTACTATAAAAATATCCTAATATTTATAATATTTATCTAGAATCTATAATTTATCGCTAGTTATATATAGCTTTTTTTAATAATTATATATTCCGCTAACTTTTAGTTAGATATATCTTATAACTATTCTATTATATTTAGAGCGATTTAATTTATTAATTATTTAATCCTACTTTTAGATTATAATTAGTTAGTAATACTATTAATATCCCTCTATATAACCCTTTTCTAATAGGATTTATATTATTATACTTTTTTTTATATTTATATTAGTTAAAGGTAATTTATCCTAACTACTAATTAATATTTAGATTATATTTTTTAAACTATAAAATATCTAATATAATATTATAGTCTCTTATTTCTAGAATATTAAACTTTATTAACTTTAGATATCTATAGATAGATATAGATAATAAAATAGTTTCTTTACTAACTCTTTCTAATAGTACCTCGCTATTAAATCTTATAACTAGAACTATAAATAGTAATAGAGTTATTATAACCTATCAATATTCTTTAAATTATAGGTTTATAAAGTTATTAGTAGTATCTAAATCGATAAAGGTTTATATTTATTCTATAAATAGCTCTATATAAAGTTTAATATAAGTTTTTAATAGTATCGCTTTAAATTATATAGTTAGCTAATCTTTATAATTATATAACTACTATCTATTATATATACTCTTTAATATTCTTCTTTCTATTTTAGTTTCTTTATCTACTTTAGTAATTTAGATTTAATATTATAATCTAGCTTATTTTATCTATAAATTATATAAGTCTTATTATAATATCTAATAATAGCTATTCTACTATATCTTAGGTATTATATATATCTTTTATATATATAAATAGAATCTTTATAAAGGTATTTTATTAGGTTATCGCTTTCCTTAATTATATTAATAAGATACTAGTCTAATCTATAAGTCTATATTTTATCTTTAAGATATCCTATAAACTTATTAGCTTCTTTATTATTCTCTAGTTAATAATAGTATTTTAGACTTTTATAAGATATTTTAAAGATTATTTAATCTATTTCTAGAAGTATATTTAAGATTCTTTAACTAATATTAACTTTAGAGAATAAAATTAGCGTTTTTAGGTATTTTATACCCTATTTTTAAGAGTTATTAGACTATCTTAGAGAATAGTTTAGTTCTTAAAGGATATACTATATCTATCTCTAACTTTCTATAGTATTTAAATTAATCTTAAAATATTTATAATTTAGCTTATTAGTTAATCTTTTAATATATAGATTACCTATTAATATCTCTTTTAGACTTAGGTATTCCTATCTTACTAAAAGATCTTTTTAAAATTTATCTTTTAGAGTCGCTATCTAGGCTTATTTCTAGATTATATATATTCTTTTATATATCGCTTATAGATATTACTATTTTTTATATAATCGCTTCTATTTATATTCCTTTATATAGTATCCTAGTTTCTTATATATAAAGTAGAGATTCTTTTTATAATATTTATCTTATTTATCTTAAATAGTATCTAACTCTATTAGCTTTAAGCTATATAGATTATTATCTTATAGTAGCGCTTTATTATAGCGTCTATTACTAAAATAGTTAAAGCTATATAATTTTCTATATTTCTATTAGTCTATTTCTTATTATTTATACTTTTATTTATTAATATATTTATTAATCTTAACCGCGATTTTAATAAATTTATCTAAGATATCTAGTCGGTCGATCCTAGCTAGTTTATCTTTAATATCGGGCTTAAGTCCTATCTTAAAGTATAGAATATATACTCGATTAGATAGATTAAGATATAAAATAATCTATTAGAATTCGGATATATAGACTAATATATTAGTTTATTATCTAATTTTCTATAGCCTATATTTAGCTATTCTAATAGTATCGATATCTCTAAACATTTATTCTAAATATTATTGGAAACTACTATAGCTATTAAATATTTCCGCTATAATACTAGACTAATCTCTAAATACTTTCTTAGGGGATTGATATATTCCCCCCCCCCTTTGGTTATTCCTGCCCCCCCCCCCGCCTGATTCTGCCTGATTTCATGGCAGAATTATTTTCTGCCAGTTAAACTTATACTTTTCGAATATTGATTTACATAGTAAAAAATGTATCTTTATGATCAGAATAAAAAGCTTATTCCTATATAATCAAAGCTTCTATTTGTATATAACCCCCTATTTCGCTTAGCCTATATCAAATCTCCGTAGCAAGTAGCAAGTAGAGTAGCTAGGGTAGCTAAAAAAGCTATAATAGTAACGGGAACGGGGTCAGACTCGGTATTAGACTCGGCAAGCGATAGAGGTTTACCTTAAGTGTGAAGTAAGGCTAGCGATAGTGGTAGTAGTAGTGGCAGTGGTAGTAGTAGTGGCAGTGGTAGTAGTAGCTATAAAGGTGAAGAATAGAGAAGAGATAAAGGAGAGAAGAAGCAGGAATTGATGAAGAGAAAGGTAGGTTTGAAAAGATTGATTAATTGTTATAAAACTTTACTTTTGGGGATTGATAGAGAGAGACCCCCCCCCCCCCCGGCCCCCCGGCCTGAATTTTCAGTCACCGCCTCCTAATCGGATGCGACCCTAGATCCTGCCATGCTTTCTGCTAGTGTAGAGTTTTCTGCCATATAATTCTACCACAACTATAGGAATTCTAGTTTATATAGTAAAAAAACATGCATTTTGATTAAAAAAAGTATATATTTTTATTGATTTAGGCATTTATATACTTATATAGGTTAAATATACTTCTTATATAGGCCCCCGCGCGCGATTTTTACGTCCTCGACCCTGTCCTCGACCACGTCTCTATCCTCTAGTCTCGGTATTACCACTACTTATTCTATACCCGCGTCCCTTTCTTTATCCCCGCGGCTATCCTCCTATAATAAAGGATCTTAGTATATAGAACGATCCTATATAAGAGGATTAGGGGAAGACTATAGTTACTAGGTACTACTAGCCTAGGTATTTAGAAGGTTCCTAGTACTTTAGGGGCGGCTTTATCGATATATATAAAGGGGATCCTATATAAAAAGTAATAGATCGACAGGTAGAGTGTTATTAATACTATATAAATACTAATATTAGTAGTATAGTATTAGTTCGAGGGATTGTTCTTTATCTTTATACTACTTTATTAAATAGATATATAGAAATCTAGCTATTTCTTTTAAATTATAAATATAAATCGGTAGAACCGGGCGTTTATTATCTTCTAGGGGTAGATACTATATATAAAGATCTTTTATAAGCTAAATTACCTATATTAAGATCTATATATAAAGTAGTTTATAAAGTTATAGAATCTAGGTTAATCTTTAGGTCTTCTAGTTCTTAATTTTATATTAGACTTTAGTAAATTAATAGTTAACCGACCGGGTAAAACTAGTAAGGACTATAAGTAAGTTATTATTCGAAACCTAGAAACCTTACTTAAGTAGCTAATAGGCGCTCTTAGTATAAGATAGGGATATTAGGAGATATAGTAATAAAGAAACTTCTCTAGATAGTTATCTATCTATTCCTTTTATATATAATCTAGTAATAGGGTAAAAAGGGGATTAGCGTATCGCTTTTTAAAATTACTCTATTACTAGTCCTTTTCTTTAATTATAGTTATATAAACGACTCGATTCTATTAGCGGAGTATCTTCTTCTACCCCTTCTCGGCTTTTTTATAGTCTTTTTAGGCTTCTATAGAGGTAAGATAGCGAGGATTATCTCTAAAGGCTTTACGATATACTTATATAACTTAATTAGCGAGAAAAAGGCGGGCTTTCTTTAAAATAGTTATATTAATATACTAGATATAAATTATATTCTTTATATTTAGGAAAATAAACTTAATAGTATTTATTAAAGCTCCCTCTTTATTAGTAAGGATTATCTATAGGGGTATAAAGCCGAGAGATTTATAAGCTTCTATAAAGTAGGTAAGTATTACTTTATATAAATCGTCTTTTTTATTTTATATAAAGATAAAGCTAATATAGAAGATGATTCCGGTAGTAGTAAAACCTATAATATCTTTTTACCTTTTCTAGATAGGCTTTATACTATTTATTTTAGGTGTGGACTTACTACGATACTACGCGCTGACTAGCTAGGATAGTATATTATCCATAGACATGTCTATAGGCATGCCCATAGACAGTGCCCAAGCGCCCATCTAACTTAGAGAATCTAAAAGTAGCGTATCCGTAAACCCGCACGAGTCAATTGTCCTGCCGGGGGATGAGCACTGTTGGACTGCCCCGTTTCGCGCGATATTGGCATGATTTGCAAGCTAGTCCCGCATAGGCATAGCGGCAACTCCCATCCGAGACAGGCACCAGACACCAGGCAGCAATCTCCCACTGGCTACGATTATAAAATGCGCGCTATCCTTTCTTTTGACTCACACCGATATATCATTCGTGCACAGCGATCAAGATGGGTGGCTGGGCGATATTTTGCGCTATCTGCGGAGGTCCATTCTCCAGCCAGGTCGACATGGACTGCGAAGGGACCGACGAAAGGGCCTATCGTTTCGACATTCTCGAGGACTGCAACCTGGAGTGGCTCGACAAACTACGCGCCCTAGGAATGAATCCCGACGCTACCGGAAGTGACAAGTTCGTAGTGACTCGCTATGACCGTCTTGATAAAACTAAGTGCCCTGGTTTTCTAGGTCGTTTCTGACGGGATCTGGTCGCTACTTTGACTATGTAAGCTGATCGAACCCGTTGACAGTGTTCACGCTAGCACTATAATTTGCTGAAGCTGGAGGTCATGCTAGGGTGGAATTGAAGTCGTTGCTGGGAATAGTATGTTGCTCTGATTGCATAGCCCTCCGGGGCACTAGAACTAGCCGTCAATAATAAAAACCGCTTACTAGATATGAACATCCCATACCCGAAGAATGAGATTGTGCCCATGGTCGCGTATGTTTTGCGTCACCCCTTATCTCCTGTTCCAGTTTACCCGCTAACCCTCTCACAGATATCACGACTTCGCGGAAATCGGCACACCACATGTGTTTCCCTTTCACTCCGTTTGCTACGAGGTTCTGAGGAGATGCATCTCCCTGAGGAAGCCAGGTGAAATTCGGGAACATACGCTGTATCAGGTTTTCGAACACGCCAACGGTGGCCGGTATGTCCGGCTGCAACTTGACTATGGCGACCCAGAACCCCCCGCAGAGCAGGTGTGGGAGAATCTCCGAGGACAGGAGGTAAGTAAGAAGCTGAGAGCACAATACGGGTTAAAAATTTAACATGCCCAGATTCTAGTAGTAAATCCAGTCGACATACCGGAGCTCGAATCGGAGATCAGCGATATCAAGTGCTTGTTAGACACGAAAACCTACCTAGGTAATAAGACGAAGCTCCGTGAAGAGGATATTTTTAGTCGTCTTCCGATCGAACTGCGACACGAAATATTCAAGCACCTTCGCCCAGAATCAGTTTTGGCTCTCAAGGCGGCCTCGTGGGTCATGCACGCTACCTTGATTCCACGCTCCATGTGGGAGGCCAAGTTAGTCGATACATATCCATGGCTGTGGGAGGTGCTCGAACTCTCGGTTTTCCAATCACAGGAGATCGAGGAGAAGGCTTTTAGGCTGCTTCTCGCTTGCAGTGAGCACGGCGAGTCCACGAGCAAAAGTTATGGCTATACCCTGGGCCTCGCCAACAGGAGAAGGATCTGGGGAGTATGCGAACAGATTCGGAGTCGATATTTAAAATAGCGGGCCGCTGTTACTAGGCAGGTACTGTGCTGACTGTTATTGTATCCATGTTGGGAGACATTGAAGTAAATTTTCAAACTAATCACATGATACGCTGGTCTTGATATGACTGATTCCGGTTTTGAATAGTAAAGATGAAGCCAGTATGAAACGTATGCTATATGGTCCTGTACTTCTCTTGACAAATAATCTAACGGTAAAGATAAGTCCAGATTATCACGTATGGACAACAATAGCTAATCGAAAAATTGCCGATCGAAATTCCTTCGGAGTTTGAGTATATTCAGATTCAACCCGAGGCAGTTCTTTTTTTTTCATCGGAGTGCGCCGAGCCCGACACTGTAGTATGTAGGTCTTGGGTGCCTTGGCATTTTCTGCCGGGGCTACATCTGGCTCTGAGGAGAGGAAGCCTGGTCTGATCCAACCGGAAGGAGATATATCGCTATTTTAAGGGTTGAAATCACTATGGACTTAAAGATGAAGGAGAGCTTTGACTTTGTCAAACCTATGGCCCGTGTGATCAAGGATAGGGTGCCATAATAACTCGAGATTCCAGGTATGGAATGTATCAATAAGGCTTTGACGACCTGATGGATGATTGGAGCGGCTTCGAGAAAGTCTTGGAATTTATACTGCATCCGCTGTAGGATGTAGATTTGCTTAGGCAGGCGGGTAATCGGAGGCGTTAAAAAAAGAGGCGGATGACTTGTATCGCGGTTAATTAATACTTCAGAATTCGGAACAGAGAGTACATTGATTGTTTTTGGGCTGTGAGATTAATGGTTTACCCAAGTTTATTGTCCAACCTGCGAGTTATCGCACAATCCTGTACCCACCTCTTGATCCAAATACAGAAACTAGAGTTAATAATATCTCAGAAAGTGATTCCCTTTTCATATCATGTCTAGACTGCGACATCGCCCGTCCATGGGCCCCTAGGGGGGGGCCCAAGGCCCATGGGCACGCCCATGATGGGCATTGCCCAAGTGCCTATGCTTGCATAAAGCCACCCAAAATGGACGTATAACCTACTGACATAGCAAAATAAATTACTGTTATTTATATGCGTTTTACCAACTCGATAGAAAATGTAATTATTAGTACACAAAATATTTGAATCGAATCAAAATATTTTGATATTTAATAAATGGCTATCCCAAATATACGAGCAAGACAAAAAAAGCTCTTCTAATACTTGTGATTAGTTGGTATTTTATAAATCTGTTAGATCATCCTATTATAGCTGGAATATATATTTGAGACATATAGTAACTCTACTAGTTAGTTCATATAAAATAGTTTTTATATCTCGCGATTAATACGGAATCTATGATTATAATTCAAATTTCTATCAATATCAGTCGTATTTTATAAACTTATATCGCCTGAATTACTATATATTACTATATTATATTACCCAAAGGTCGAGTTTTAGTTCTGCAATGTCAAAATATTAATCGAAACTCTTTAGAGAGTATATAGCCGGTAATTACTATAAGACTAATATAATTAAAAAATATAAGAAGAAGTAAAACCGCTTTATTATACCGATTTCTTTTATAATTAAAAGGATTATAATAATATTTTATAGAATATTAAATAGTTAAATTTATATTTAATAAAGTATTAGTAAAGATCTAAAATATACTTACTATCAAATTATAAAGCCTTACTATCGAAATTAGAGATATAAAAGAGTTTCTCTAAAAGCTTTAAAAGCGCTTTTTATATAATAATAAGATCTAGTATTAATTTCTTTATATTTCTTAATATAATCTTATATATATACTAATTAAAGATATAGATATTAATATTTAGCTATTAAAGATAGAGAATCTCTATATAAAATATAAGTTAATAGAGATTAATTTTACTATTAAAGAAAATAATACTATTTATAACTTCTTTTAAATCTTTATATTATTTAAAAATTAATTCTATTCTATTATATATAGAAGATTAAGATAGTCTAAATAAATATAAAGATAACTTTTTTAAGTCTAGTATATATATATTATTCTAAATAAACGATAATAGATAAAAAGAAAAGTAAGAATAAAGCTTCTAATAGTATATTTATTATATTTTATAGTAAATAGAAAGCTAAACTAGCTACTTCCTCTACTATTAATAATAAAGCTTTTAATAAAAAGCCTTCTTTTTATATATATAAAGAAAGATACTACTCTTAATTATATCTATATCTAATAAAAAGAATAAGATCTAATAATTAGAAACTATATCTAGAAGTTATTAAAAAGATATTTAAATAAATTAAAAAGTTTATACTAGCTATTTAATAGAAAGTAAAGAATTTATAAGAATAATTTACTAAAGAAAAGATATTATAGTCTTATTTTACTTTAATCAATAATAATAAAGAAAGTTGTTTTCTTACTTTATTATCCTAATAGGCTTTATTAATTTCTCTTTTTACTCTTTTATTTCTATAACTTTAACTAGCTAATTTTTTACTAATTAATACTACTTTTTCTAATAGAAAATAGTCATTATTTATTAATTAAAAATCGCTAGCTAATCGATTTAGATACTAATAAATATATATTAAATAATAAAAGCCTTTTTATTAAATTTAAATAGACTAATAGTATATTTAAAGTTAGCGATACTATAATATATCTTTATAGGAATAATAAAGTTTAAATTAGAGAATCCCTATTTGCACACCCCTAAATCCATATTTGCACACCTATTTAAACTACTTTAGCTATAGCGCTTCTTAGCTACCATTTTTGGCTGACTTTATAAATTACTATGGTATTTCTTTAGTAACCTACAACACGAGTATAGAAGCTATTTATAAATCACCCGATCTGCCAATATAAAGCTATCATAAATTAATTCTACCACCGCTAAAGGTATATATTTTTTAATTTAAAAAAGGTATTTATATTTTAAAAGGTAGAAAGTACGTATTTAATTATCTCCGACTGTAAAAACATACTAGTTATAGGTGAATTGCACGAAAATAGTAAGGGGAATTGAGATAAAAACTCTATCTTAGCGAGCGTATAAACCTATATAACATTTTAATCTCCTATAGTAAATACCCCCTATTCACCTATAACTAGTATAAAGCTATAAGATAGCTAGTTTATTTATAAGCTAGTAAGATTATTAGTATAATTAGCTTTTTAAGATACTATAAAAGCTATCTTTATAATATCTTTAGTATAATAACTATAAAAGGCTTCTATTCTAATATAATAGGAGCGTATAGCGTCGCTATTAATAGAGAGGTAAGTAAAGAAACTTACTCGCTTTATAGAAACGGAATCTTTTAAAGCTTAAAGTTTTATAGTATACTTTTTAATAAAGGAATAGTATTTAGTATAGATAAAGATATTATTAGATATTAAAGTAATAAAAGAAAGTGCTTCTTTTAAATAGCTTTCTAGTTATCTATTTTATTTAAAATAAAGACCTTAATATTATCTAGTCTACTCTAAAAATAAAGTAAGATCTTATTCTAAAAGATCTATAAAGTATCTATTTATTAAATCGCTTTCTCTAATTCTATATTAAGTTTATCTTCTTTAATTATTTTAGTAATATCGACTTATTTAATCTTTAAAGATTTAGATAGATACTTCTTATATATTAGATTTTTATTAAAAGTAATATTTATAGTTATTAGTTCTTAGGAACTAGACTTTCTAGATATTATTTATTTAATATCCTATTAAATAGCCGATTTTTATATAGCGGTATATTCTATTAGATTAAAGGATCTTTTAGATCTTTATATATATATAATATCTATAAACTCTAAGATTTAAGATATTTATAGATATAAAGATACCTATATTTTACTAGTAGAATTCTTACTATAAGATAATCTAGTTTCCTAAGTTTAGCTTTATTAGCAATCTATTAAATATATATATAATAGCTTAAACTATTTTAGACTAGAGGCTTTTTAATAAGCCTAATTTTTAGAGAAATATTTATACTCTAGCGATAATTACCCCTTTAGATCGTTTAGTAAAGCCGTTTTACTCTAAGGTTCTAATAACTACTATCTAGATAATAATATCTAACTTACTAAAGTAGTCTAGAGTATCGTTCCTAATTAAAGATTTATTATCGGAGTAGAATACTCTAATTAGTAAATTAAACTAGATTTAGAGAAATAAGAAAAGAGTATAAATTATTTATTAGTAGTTACTTTTCTTCTTATATATTTCTCCCTAATACTATCGAATTCTATTAAAGTAAAAATAAGAGAGCTATTTATAATTATTATATATAGGCTAAAGTATAATAAGATTAAAATAGATATAGCCGAGTGACCTAAAATTTATCCCTTAAACTTATTAAGAGATTTACTACTACTATCGGCTAAGCTAATAGACTTTATATAGTTTAGGGTTATACTCCTACTCGATAGGAGATAGTAAATTTACATTCCTGAATCCTACGTACTGTAGGCTTTACCAAATCTCGACTACCTAGGTAGTAGCCACTTATCTGACCGTGGGAGAAATTGATCAGCTAAAGTTCCCTAGCCGAGAGAATGGACGCCTTCGAATAAATATTTCTCCTTTCTAAGACTCATTAAAAAAAACGATGCAATGAAAAACAAGGTTGGGAGCCTTTAGATGTTAAAGCTGTAAGACCCCTCTTTCTAAAACACCCTTCCAACGGGATAGAGGGTTGGCCGATTTCTCGCTGATGTACGTCCCGTAGCAGCCTCCTTATTCGGTGGCTCTTCACGTACCTCTCCCCTTTCGTGCTACTTCTCTCTCCTAGTCCAATTAGTTTAGGTCTCGAGTAGTTTTGAGATTTGAGATAGTCCAAAGGCGATAAGGGAATGCGCATGGTGGTTCAAGCAGACAGTCAACGCTGTCCTAGAGAGTTAATTTCATTGACTTATCAGCTTGCTGATGTAGTGGGTCACTGCAGTGGCTTAAGGGACCTCAGTTCGTATCATTTGTCTCCAGTATCCACGTCCAACATTATATAATAGCCCCGTTCAAGACAGGGTACTCAGAGACGTGCTTAGTTTTAGTGACCAAAAGGCGGCAAGAGGTGAGCACTATAGCGGAAAGAGAAAGGTCTCGGGTGCCAGACATAATCCGGTACATATGCACATAGATTAGATTGAATCAACAGATACTCCAAATTACAGCTTATATACTAAGATTGAGACCAGCCTATCCGTTTCAGATAAGACTACAGAACTGGGCTGTCCCATAGACCCAAAGCAACCGTTCTTGCGTGGTTTATAGATGAAGTATCTTATTACCGAGTGTCTCAGGGTCTGTCTCTCCGTTTGCTATATCTGCAGCAATGACCGATTTACCCCGTGAACACCAGATTCAGGTCACCATTAAAAGAACGAATTAGAGCCTCAATAATTGGTGAGAATAAACTGCAACTGCATTGTATACGCATATCGGCTATGTGAGCATAGCCGAGTTATAAAGCACAACCTCTCCAAGCCCATCAATCAAGAGCATCCGACTCAGGAGGACCCTTATAATCTGGCAAATGTCAGCATAAAAGATCCGAGATTACCCAATCCAAGCCAAAAGAACTTACATTTTCTCGCATAAACCCCATACCAAACCGCCGAAATAGCCATAAACCCGACGAAAACAACCGAAGCATAATTCATCGACACCGCCGTAACCGGCAAAGCCATCGGCATACTAAACAGCACCAACTCAAACGCAATCCACGCCAACGCAACAACATTCACAAACCACCCAACACCCCCACAATTCCACGGCGCCTTAGCAACCTCCCGACGACCATACCACAGACTCAAAAAGATAGGAATAGCATAAGCGGTAGCAAGCGCAATAACCCCCACGGAAACAAACGCAGTAAACGCACTCGAACTCCCGAGATTAATCAACCCCAACAGCATCTGAATACCGGTTAACAAAACCAACGCCCAGACCGGCACGCCCCAGCGCTGGTCGACACGCGCCCACAGTCTCGCCAACGGAATGGCGTCATCACGGGCAACAGCCCAGGTTGCGCGCGACGCGGCAACTGTTATGCTAATTGAGCAGAAGACCGTTATGACCAGGACGAGGGAGACGAGGCCCAGACCGCCGGCGGGGGAACCCATTACGCGAGCTAGGATATAAGGGAGGGCTTGGCCGGCTGGGGCGTCTATGATATCCTGTAGAGGGGGTAGGGTTGCGCAGATCGGGATGATGAAGAATAGGCCTGCTGTTCCGCCGACGGGGATGGAGAGGGCTATAGCGCGGGGGACTTTTATTGCAGGGTTTGTGCATTCTTCTGCCATTGAGGAGATCATGCCTATTGCGGAGAAGGTGTATGCGGCTGGGAGGAGGCCGATGAAGAAGGTGAAGTTTCCCCAGCCGGCGAAGGATTTGTCGTAGTGGGATAGGGTATATGATACTGAGTGGCGGCCTGTGTCTGCTTTGATGGAGAGGGCGATTAGGATGATTATGATTGTGAGGAGGGTCCAGGTTGCGCAGAGGGTGTCGACTAGGGGGAGGTGGTTATTTGCGAAGATGCAGATTGCTAGGGAGGTGAGGCAGACTGCGTAGAAGATTAGGAGGAGTTGCCAGCTGGATGCTGACCATGTTGGGTGGTAGATTGAGATTGTTGCCGAGAGCATGGAGGCGAAGCCGAAGTTTACAGAGAGGGTTATGGTCCAGTTGCCGATTAGCCAGATCCAGGCGTTGATGAAGGAGAGGGTTGTCTTCTTGCGGGAGATTTGGAAGGTCCAGTAGTAGGGGCCTGCGGAGGTTGGGTAGCGGGAGGAGAGTTCTGCGAGGGATAGGGCAATGCATTGGTCGAGGAGGCAGACGACTATCCAGCCTATGAAGATTGAAAGCGGACCGCCGCCGTAGATAGCGGAGAGGAGAGGTGAGCCTTCGCCGTAGGGAATTGCTGCCATGGCAAGGGTTTGGAAGAGGAGGGTTAGGACAGAGCGGTTGCGACGTAGTTCTTGCTTATAGCCTAGACGGTCTAGTTGGAGGTTCTCGATTGTACCCTTTTCATGATCTTGGGGGGGAGGGAGGAGAAGGACTGATTTCCTTTTCGAGAGCCATGATGGTAGCAGGTCGATGACGAGGACACAATATACCGTTCTTAAAAAATGTATTCAGCAGGAGTTATCTGTAGCTAGATAGTAGTGAGGGAAATGAGTAGTCCCTGCAAGTTATTAGGACGATAGAAAGGAAGGATACACGCAGGTTATATGAAGTGCAGAGTCATATGCGGAGGTGTAGCGAATAGCATGGATCCCACGTCGTATAACACGCCACCGAAGTACAAATATAAACAATGCGCTTCGAAAGGGAGTCTCGCATGCTGCAATAACTGATAGGTAAAGATATACGAGGATTTGTAGCTGAAGCTTCGAGGGTATAAACGGTAAAACCTAGGGCTCGAGGCAACGAGAAGCAATGAGCACATCACTTACCCCATTCGGTCCCTTTTCATATAACACAAGAAAGATAATCGAAAAGACAGAAGATAAAAGGAGACAAGATAAGAGAAACCTTGACTCCAGGCCTAACCCTAATAAGCAACTAAATCCATGCGAGGGGAAGTACTCCGCATTTGATCTGCCTTGGCTTGCTGATAGGTATACTTGGACAATAGAAAAAAAAGGAAAAAAGAAAAGAAAAAAGAAAAGCATTTTGATTTTAGAGAACAAGAAAAAGAGGTATCAAATAAAGAGTCAGGAAAAGAAGAAAACAAACCCCTAAAGTCTCGAGAAACATCAAACATTACGAACGGTAGCATATGGTATATACAGAAAACCCCCTACATGGAATCTTGGAAAGAAAAGGCAATTACATCGCCGTTGACGGCCGGCCCTGGGACCTGCGCGAGTGCAGACTAAGCCGGTTACCGGTGGATGGGGGACCCTGGGTAGCCAACAGGGGCGGGATACTAAACCCATATCCCTCGGTAGTAGCACTACGATCATGGGGATCGATCTCGACACGGACGGAAACATCAAGTCCGCCATACATGCCGCTCGCACAGGTGAACCCGTCAGCAGCGCTGTGCGTCGTTCCAGCATCAACTTCGCCCTTATGCAGTGGTGCGTGACCGTCCTTAGGAAGACGATCCAGTTTCACGGAATTGGCGTCGAGGATACCGGTGTTACCAGAACCTGGGGCGACGACCTCCGTGAGGATGGCAAAGTTGCGGGATGGCATGGTGACCTTATTCCAGTCAGCACCTTTCTCCCGGCCGCCGGGCTGCTTGTCGAAGAAAGGCATGAGGGTCTCGTCGCATTCGCGGTCGAGGTGGTGGATTTTGTTTCTGCGGGCAAGGAGGTTCGCGACGGCCTGAGGCGGCGGCTTATTCGTGATAGCGCTGCTGACGACGTTGACGATGAAGCGGTGGTCGTTTTCGCCTGCGAGGTTGAGTTTTGGGTTCGAGTAGAAGCGGCCGATGGCGGCGAGGTGGACGTCGCCGCTGAGAATGGTTACGCGCACGCTGTGGCTGCGGGCGAACTCTTGTAGGCGGTGAACTAGCATTTTGCGCTCGCGCTTGTGCTGGCGCGCGGTGTAGTGGTCGTCCAGGTCGTCGAGGAGATCGACCTGGCCGTCGAACTCGTTGAAGAGGCCGCCTGCCACGCCGAAGCGCTTGTTCAGCAGCCGGACCGGCGCGATCAGGGGAGACGTGAGGATGTTCTCGAGCCATGCGAGACGTGGGTATGCGATTGGCACACCTAGCAATACCACCAAGTGCTTGATGTCGCCGTTGGAGTCGACGATCTCGCGCTGCAATCGGTCAAAGATCAGATCGTAGGTGTCTTGGTAATTGACCTGGTGGCGGGTGCGTTCTGTGCGCGCATCCAGACCCATAAAGGCAATGCGCTTGCCGAAGCGCATGTAAATGTTTCGGCTGCGCTCTTCCACGTAAGGACCGGGCCGTTTGCCGATGATCCAGCTGTCATCCTCGACCTGGTTCTCCAGAACGTACGTGTTCTCCACTTGACGTGGGTCAACACCGGAAGTTCCATTGACGGCGTGCATAGTCTGCGGGGAATCGGTAGTGAAAGTCGACTTGGGAGGAGCAATGTGGTGCTGGAAGAGACAGTAATACTTGAAAGCGACACCGCCGATACCGCGGAAGACAGCACACTTCATGAAGTGGTCCGTGTACGAGCCGAACCCATCAATGATATCATGATCATCCCAGATATTGACCTGGGGGATGCGGCCATTGGCAGTGCGGAATGGCTCAGTGTTGTACCAGCGGACATAGTTGGCATAGTAGTAGTCATCGCTCTCAGCACGCATCTGATTATTGAAGTCATGGTGTCGCCTTTTGTGGGGATTCGAAATCATAGTCCAAGGCTTGAGCGGGCCATCCACACGAATACCGTCGTTGTAGATCTGGTCACCGCCGCCAACCATAACGTGGAATGGCTTCTCGCCATGCACGCGCATCACATCGTTCCACAGATTCGGCCCCACCCAGGCATCCATATCCGTGCCGACGGAAAAGCCATTGCACGAGTGGAACATGATGCGCATGGACTGCTCTTCGGCAGGAACGACAAATTCCCACGGTGTCTGGACCTGGGCCCCGGACTCGTACAGACCGGGGATGTCGTACGCCCAGCGCGCTTCGAATGCGGCCACTGGCACGGTGAGCGAAAATCGCCAGAATGCCTTCTGAGGATCTTCGTAGAGCTTGAGACCTTCGATTGTTTGGCTCGTCGGGGCCCTGCCCTCGCCATTCTGGGCTCCGCTGTCCACGGCGCCTACCTGGCGCAGGCGCAGCTGGGGCTGGTCCTGGGTTGGCTTTGTGACAATCAAGACACTGCCGTGCCAGGTGGTCGTGGCTTCGTAGTGCATGTTCTTAAGGTTGAGCAGGGGACCGGAGATGAGCTCAAAGCGATCATTCGAGCCGCGCGCAATGTACTGTCCCGTCTCTCCATTTTGAGGTATCCCTGCAATTGCAACCAATGCTTTGGTCAGTTTGGGCGACTTTCAGAATCCAGGGCTGGGTTTCCCATACCGTTAACGGGCTGTGCATTGTACTCGGCCATAATGAGGGCAATTGACGTGAATTCAGGGATATTACCGGGTGGCGGAGAAAAGAAAAGAACCGTGGACCCGAGTCGCACGTATTAAAACACAATTGAGCCGAATGGGAGTTGGGGGAGGCAGGGATGAAAGGAGAGGACTAGGCAGACTCCAATGCGATAGGGCTACAGGGCTGAAAGAGAAAATCAGACACGAAGCGAAATTGGGGGCTGCGGATCTGTACCTTTGGGGCCGCCTGCCTTGGCAAGAAAGGAGCTCGAACAGCTCTGACGCTGCCAAGACATTCTGTTAATGGACTGGCCAATAGGAGAGAAGATGATGCCAGCCACGCTCCAGTTGAGCCACGTAACGCCACATAAGTGGTTTTTGGCTATTCCTGATTGGGCCAGAGAGGCGGTGCATTTTCTTTTTTAGTTTTCGATCGGATCAAGTGGATTTCTCGGATTTTTGGATTTTCGTGGATTTTCATGGATTTTATAAGAGATTTATATAGAGACTGCCTTGTTTTGGGCACTTATACCGACCACAGCCCTATCAAGTCATATATATAATGTAAGTATGTAGGTACTTACCGAATAATGCACAGGTACCTGCGCTGTTACTTTGATATATCAGATTCCTCCAACCCCGCTCAACGGGCGGCCTATCACAACCTTGCTATTGACTGATCGACATCTGGAAACCTACTTTCTATACTACGGAATAACCATCCTGAGAAAATTTATTCATTTGGAAATAGAAATAATATCGAACTCGCTGAATCAAAACATTCCCATGCAGATAACCCGCTCGCGATCGAAAAGAGAACAGAAGCAAAGAATCAACATCGCACTCACCAAAACCCGGACTCGCAGCTTGGACCATGACCACCGACGATGACCTGGCACAATCTTAACGGGACGAGACTTATCCTTTCCAGTAATCTCCTCAGACCCATCTCGCAACACGAGCATATTCTGCCCCTGGAACAAACCAGAAGCAACGACCTTCTTCAACTGCTTCTGGCGATACTGATCAATACTCAGTCCATCGCGAACAGCAAACCAAGCGTCTCGGGATCCAGTCGCAAGCAATTCCCGGAGCTCATCCTGGAAAGGCGTATAAGTCTCACGAAGCTCATCAGGCTCCTCAGACAAGAGCTCAGCAAAGTCATCCACAAACTGCAAGAACTGCACCGTAACAACCATGTCCAGGCCAGCCTGGAATTCACGGGTAGTCAGACCGTAGTGGTGCAGGATGCCAATCTCCAGGATCTCAATCTGATGCTGCATAGTATGGCGAATAATTGCCAGGAAACGGTCGACGGGGACGTCAATAACGAGCTGGCCCTCACCCTGGTTCCAGACCTTCCAGAGGTCCTCATAGTTCTCGACCGGGGATTCAGGCTCGAAGAAGTACCCCTGCAATCGGTCGGACTGCAGGTCGAATCCGAGCACCAACCGGGCGTTGCTAAATTCGTTCTGCATGTCGGGGACGGGGAGGCTGACGAAGACAACTGTTGGGTTTTTGTAGGCGGGGATGTTGTTGAGGACTGGCTCGTCGTGTAGGGTAACCTGTGCCAAGCCGGTGGTTTCTATTAGGTGACACTCTTTCTCGCGACGGAGCTTGTCGCGGCCGCTTTCGACGTGTGTGAGGTAGATGTAGTAGTCGATCACGCCCCAGGGATGGCGCATGTAGCGGTTCGGATGCGATGCGAAGGATAGTTCCTTGGCTACTGGTTGGGCATCCTTGGGAGGGTTAGGGTTAGTAGACTCAGTAGGCTTGATCCACTTAAGGGAATTAACGGGGGTCATATCGTCGGCAGACGGAGAGAGACGGGGACTCTGCATGGCTGTTAGAAAGTCAGGTCTTAATCGTGTCTGGTTGTAAAGGTAGTGACTCTTCTGCGGTCGTAGAAGTCGACGAAGGAGTTGATTCGCGACTCACGATGCTTGGGACAATCTAAAATGATGGTTGTGTTTGGTGCGAGAAACTTTTCACAGAGGACAGAGGCGATCTCCCTAATAGAATGATGGATAGTAAAGAGTAAGCACAAGAGTAGGATAAAACTTTTCAGCTCGAGGCGCGCGGAGAGAATATGGGTGAAGAGCTCGGCGAAGAACTGTGTGCTTTCTTCCTCGTAGATGAAGCAGTAAAGGATGTCAAATAGGTAGAAAGTTGCAGCTGCTTGAACTACCTGCACGATGCAGTGCACAATCACGTAGGTGATAGAACCAAAGCACAGGACGAACCCGAAGCACGCGACAAACAAGATCCAGTCGATATGTGTGGAAAGCTCCTGAAGGAATAAGTTAGTATATGCCATAAGGAGTGCTTGCAATGGGTGGGACAGCTTACAGTATTGAATGCTTATTTGCAGTTGAAGAATGAAGCTGTGCGTGTGGCTAAATCGTCAATTGAACTGTGTTAGTTTGCTATGTTGAGATGGTCGTATGAAATTCTATCTCAAGTCGTGGAGAGGAGGTCCCCTTTTGTACTTTGGATGAAAAGGCTCTGGGCAAGTAACCATGGCCACTCGAGAGAAAGAAAGTAATAGTACAAAGGCATTCAAAGGCATTCCAAAGATGTCCGTCTGAAGTCCTCGAAGAGAATCTCCTTCGAGATTTGATAATAAAAGATACAAAGAGCACAAAGGCCATTCGCCGACAAAGTTCTTGTCTGGAGAGTTCCTTTCGTTAGAAGGACCTTATATTATTGGACTCGGTATTCACCCATAATGCCCTTGTCAGTTCTTTATGGCCGAGTATTAAAGGGAAGTAAAGGACCCCGGGCTCAACACAAAGAATCGATTCAACATCATAGGATAGATTGAGGAACAAAGGGTCTCCCAATCAACTAGATCGATGTTTCATCGGTTGTATCAGAACAAAGAGCACTGGATGGCTTTGGCTCTATTGTCGAGAAATTAAGAGTTTCAGGTAGAAATAGACTCGGTTTGGGGCTCTGTAGACTCGATCAAAGACAGGACAAGGCCATTCTGGTAATAAAGAGTCTTTGTTCCCACTCAAGACTGGATTCCATTGTGTCTGGATGTTCACAATATAAGAGACCTTGTCCCTGAGTATTGTGCCAGGCTTGTTGGAAAAATCTGTCTCTCAAAGGCAGCCTCATAAAAGGTCAAGCCCCCAAGTCTCATCCATCTCAAAATGGGACAGGACAGTGTATTCATCGTACGCGCTGAGTATTTTGAGGGGTTTGACGGTGACGCCTGGGTCAGCGTAGGCTCTCAGGATTTCGACGATCCGGACAACGAGGAAGCTGACTGGGTGACCGTAGTTCTTCCTGAAGAAATGGGCCATACCCATAGTGATGAAGATATTATGATGTATGTACTTCATAACATTCAAATCAGGCGAGCCGTGGTGAGCGAAGTGGCACTGCATAACATGGGGACAGTTTGTATTTCGATCCCGATTCCGGTTGGTAATGCTGACACGACTTCAATCTTGGTTCGCGCCGAGACCGACGTGAATAAGTGGCTCGAACATATTCGCAATGGGATGGTTGCTCTTGACCGGGAGGTGATCTTTGGTCGGTAACCTGTAGGTTGTCTGGCTGTAGCACTCTAGAAAGGGGTTGATTAGCTATATTTCCAATACAAGGGGCTTGTCAGTGACTGAGAATTGTGTCAATGGAGGAATATCAAATCTTTTGCAATCAGAGTTAAAGTGATGATTCTATCAAAGTGTCTAGTACCTATTTAGTCATGTAGCTCATGGCCAGTTCTCAAGTATCAAGTACATGAACATATATGTCATACGGCCATATGTCCATCCTAGTGCCTAATACTCAATTAGCCATATACAATTCCCAAGTACCAAGTACCAAGTAAGACACTACCCTTGATGATATTACCTGTCTATTCATCTTCTCTCCATGTCTGTTGTCTAGTGAAGAGTGTTCTGGTGGGACTTCATTCAAGATTCCTTCCGGGAATGGCTCTCACTGGAGATGTAGGTGTTCATTCAACAAAGTAGTACGACGAATAGTGATCATCTGAATCTGGACCTTATATGGTTAATCTATCAATTGCTTTTGAGTTCTGACCCTGTGGCTTTGGAAATATACAGTCTAATTAGTTACGAAGAAGTCCATAAGCCGTGGAATATTCATTTCAAAGTCTTTGGTTAGAATTAGATAGAATTCAATGGTGTTCGGAACTATACATAGTACAAAGACTACATATGTAAAGCCATTGGAAGAATGAAGAAAGCCATTGTAGTAATGAAAGGTCTTTGTTATCCATGCAATATTCCAGATCGCATCTCAACTCTTTATAAACCCTCGACATCCTTAAGGATGTCTCGAGTCCATCTCGCCGGTATCACCCAGAAAAGTAATCTTCTATCTCTTCTATTATCAACATGAATAAAGGAAAAATGCCCGTTTACCAAGGGCACAGTTCTTCACTAAGCAGTGAGCCCCACCAGCCCTGTTCAAACCCGCTAACCAATCTGTCAAGCCAATTCCAGCCAAGCGTGTACAAGTTCACGAACGGACAATATTTTCGCCGAGCCCGCCGGCCATCGAAGCGACTACTACTGGGTCACCGTGTATTTCCCGGAAGACATCGACCACCGTGGCATTCCAGATTCCGAAATTATGCGGTATGTAAAGGACATGATTGTTAAGGGACGCTTCACTATAGACGACCAGTCAATGCATGGTTTAGGGAAAAAGTGTCTCTCGATCCCCATCAAGCGCGACCCGGATACCCCTCTACCTAAGTCATATACACCTGATCCTACACATCCTGATCTTCTCCTTGCTGAAAATCTGGTGGGGTATTGGAAGGATCAGATTGCGTTCAAGAAGGTTACTCTAGATCAACGGATGATTTTCGTGGAGACTCGTCGTAAGACGGTGAGCATAGAAGATATGTTGGATGTAGGAGTTACTCTGATGGATCCCTGGGGTATTTAGTTTATTCTTTATTCTATTTTGTCGGGGTCAAATCGACCTCGAGTGTTTTAGTCCTGTTAGAGCAATCAATGCCACTGATTTTCCTCTGCTTTGTCTAAATATTACATTTCGGAAGTGTCTTCGTAGAAGTAAATGGCAATATTGGATCGCATTTGACTGCATCGGACATGATTCTTGCTAGTATTCTTCAGGATCTTCAGGATCCTTTTCTAAATTTCGGAAGCCATTGATGCTAATCTTGGAAAGCTCATTCCTATAAAGGGTAAGACTATCTTTGGAAGTAAATTCAACTTGAAGAGGAACAACAAAGGGATCTAAACATACTAATATAGAATATCGGGCTAAACAAAGAATATAGAGGGAATAGTATACTTTCTCAAAAGAACAGAGAAAGGTATTATAGCCATAAAAGGGCTTTATTCTATCGTTATTCCTAGAATAAGCGGCATATCCCTCAGAATATAAACCCTTGGCGTCCTCGTCTCGTCTCGAGTCTATCTCCATCATTATCATCACCCAGGATTCACTCCAACCGCCGCAATGCCTTCTTACCAAGCGAGTGTGTTCCAGTCGAGCCAGCTCGAGCATGGCCGACGATTCCATTTCAAGGACCCCCACAACAGCCAACCAGGTTGGGTCTGGGGTACTGTGGCTTTCCCAGAAACCATGAGTGTTGCAACAGATGAGAAGGAGATTATATTCTATATATGTGAGGCCGTCATAGCGGGCCTGGTCGGTTGGGGAGATAGAGCGATGCACGGATTGGGAGATCATTGTCTCTCATTCCCAATCAAGGTGGAAACACCCGAGCAAAACTTAGAGAGGTTGATGGACCAGGTTGTAGACGCTGCAATGTGGTGGGTGCGTCTCATCCGCGCGGAGACTGTTTCTATTGACAAGCACATGCTTTTCCAGGCTCGTCAGCCACCCCCGGATCGGGAGGATCAGTTGTTGGATGTGTCTTTGCATTGGAAAAGGCCTAAATACACGGTTCCAAATCCGTGGTCTGCCGTTACTGTGCTACGGTAGATCATGGGGATTAGAGGGACGTGGGATATATGAACATGGTTGAAGTATTTGCTTTGACCTATCCTCCCTAGGAAGTTTTGGCAGGTTGATATATCAGATCTTCTGAATAAAACAATGAGTGAGAAAACATATGGTAACCAACGTAAATGAGTAGTATGGAAGGCTATAATTTGCCGCAGTAACGCCAGTATTATACAATTGGAAATCGGAAATGGCTTACAAGGTTTATATTGATGGGAGTTTAGAACCACCTTGACTGTCTCGCCTTTCTCTCACGCTCTTTCCTTTTCTGCATGAGGGTATATCCACATCCGGCACCAGTCGCATACCCACCTAGATGGGCAGCGTGGTCCATCTTGGTCAACCGGGAGAGGGGCCAAGCGCGGAATAAGAAAGCGGGAGCTATCAAGCTGAAGACTTCGGTGCCGACCAGGCAGGTAAGGAAGACCCAGCCGTAGGTCCAGATCTGGTCCTGGAGTCCCTGGGGAAGAATCCACATGGTGAGTTTGTCACTAGGGAGGGTCAGTAAAGGTATCACACAGAATAACAGCCGGAGACATGGTGGGAGACAAACTTGAAATGAGACATGCACCATGCAGCGACGATACCGCTGGTTGCGGCACTGGCTCCAAGGGAGGTCATGCCCAGGCGGCCGAGGACGACACTGCGTGTCAATGAGAAGACAGATCCCATAACACCGGAAGCGAAGTAGATAGCCAAAAAGTTTCCGCGGCCGATTTCGTCGTGGACTGTAAAGCAGGAAAAAAAATTAGAACCCATATTTTCTGGTGCTGGTTCTAGCCACAATGCATACCTCTGGTTCCCATAAGTCCCAGGACCATCATATTAGTTCCAAGATGTCTCCATGTCTGGTGACTGAATGTGCTTCCAATCATACCCAGTGAGCTGGGATAGAAGGGAACGATCACGAAGTAGCGGTTGAGCAATTTCCATGCGGGAGGTATGTATTTCCATAGCAGTGTGACTGCGACATTAGCTGCCACAATGGCGCCCACAGTAGCCACGGCAGGAGGCACATCGGGCATTATGCGGTCCTTTCGTGCTGGGAACTCATATTTCTGGGCGAACGTATAGCAAAGGGCGAGAACCACAATCGAGAACAGAAGCGGAGCGAGCAGACGCTGAGACTAGCAGTTCAAATACGGTCAACAACCAAGCAATTTCACAGAGTGAACCATCCTTACATTGGTAATATTCATCGACTCAGGACTATCGTTAGTAGCGGCAATATGATGCTTCTGGACCCAAGCAAGATACGGTCTTTCGATAGGATCCGCACGGGACGAGCTAAAAATGTCATGTCAACACCAATACCAATTACCCAAACTGGAGTCCTAGTATACATACCCTCAGTGAGCGCAGCCTCCTCGTACTGCTGCAAGGAAGTGTTCTTCCCAAACTCGCGCTTCAACCGTTCTTGCTCTTCTTTCTCGCCATCGAGCCATTCCTGCCTTTTCCGTTCCTGTTCAGCCAACAAGCGTTTCTCATTCCTCTCGCGAGCCTCTTTCAAAACACTCTTGCCGTAAGGAGAGCCCTCCTCGCCAAGCTCGGCGTCATAAGAACCGCTCTGTGGCTTATACAAGCCTAGCTTCTCAGCACGGCGCACGAGCTTCTCTTCCGCCGCGCGATCCTCACGTTCAATGCGGGCGAAGATAGCAGCATCCTCATCGACAGGGTACTCACCACGGAGCCATTCCAAAGCAGTATCAACCTGCTGCTTGGTGACAGCGCGGGCAATGTCAACTGGCAAGTCCGCATCGAGCGTGCCGGTCAGACGGTGGCCGTGCAGGACGGCCAGGATACGGTTTCCCAGCTTTGCGTTGAACTTGGCAGGGCCAAAGATGGCTTTGATCTCGGCATCGGAGAAGGGCTTTTGGCGAGGGTGCACCTCCGAGGGATCCGATTTAGGCTTCGGTTTTTGGGATGCGGCGGAAGTACGTTTGAAGCGGCGGGGGGTAGAGACAGGGTTGAATCGTTGTGGGGATATCGGGGTTGGAGTTGGTCGAGACGGCCGAGGTAATAGTTGGGATAGAAGGTTCGGGATTGGCAACATTGATTGGCGCGATGTGCTGTACATGCGCCATGGGGTAATGCGGAGATCGCGACTGGCAGCCCGGAATGGTACTGGCAGCACAGAGGTGCGGAGCCCTGGGCATGGGGCCCGCCATACGGCCCAGACCGCATTGCTCATATCCTGTGACTGGAGAGTGAGGGCTCGGAGAAGACCACAAAATAGAGGGTGGGTGATTGTTCGGGGATCTTTTGGCGGCATCAATGCCGCACGGTTGCAGAGTTGTTCCGAGGCCGCGATCAGGTACAAGGCAAGTAAGAAGACAGAGAAATGATACAGGAATTATTTGATTACGCTATATTCTTTACATATATATCTTTAGCCTGAACTATAGAATCATAATTTCTATCCATCCATAATTTACATTAATACTCATCAGTCTCCCGAGGTCAACTCCTCCGGCCACATCCAAGGTGATCTATAAGCTGCACGTGATGATAACATGATAAGGACAACCCAAACAGATCAGCCCGCATTGATCCCGGGCAATTCTATCTTCCACCTCTCACAAAATAAACATCAAAATGTCAACTCAATATCTCCCAATAACCCCAGGAGCCTTTGCTGAAGCAATCAAAGAGCTGCCCATCGCAGTCCTCTACAGCAAAGTCTCCGAGCTCACAAACTCCATCGCACACCTGCACCGCTCGAATGCCGAGCTCCGCGCATTCTTAGCAGAAAGTAACAACTCGGAAGAAGACAAGAAGGAGCTGGAGGGGTATATCACTGAGAACGAGGGTGTGGCACTGTCCATGAATGAGCGGATCTTGTTGCTGAAGACCGAGGTCGAGAATCGTGGACAGCCTTGGATTGAGCTTGATGAGCTTAAGATCAACAATGACCAGGAAGCTTCGCCGGTGACGAATGGAAATGAGACTGAGCCTGGGGCCGGTGCTACGCCTGGGTCTGGGACTGAGGCCGGTGCAGGACAGGAGTCCAATGATCGGGAGGACGGGGATGGGGTCTATCTGTGACCAATTCGGTGGGTCATCTACGCGCAACCAGCTCTAGGCTGGCTTGGGCTGCTCAAATCCACAAAAGCATTGTCGCCAGTGCGTCAGTGGCACTCGGACACTGTTACTTGCGGGCGCTTTACTGCATTTGCGTGTGGGTCGAATGCCGACCTATGTCAATTGGCTATGTTTCACAACATCCATATTTCACAGTACGACGTACACGCCTGAATCATAGCGGTCATCCCAACAAATGTCTCCCAAGCCTTAGGGACTGCTCACGTTTTCTGTAACGCTAGGCACACTCGAGTCACCAGGTCCGGACAAAATGGAATGTATCTAGCGGATCATTTACAACCCCAAGTCTCGTTATGGAATTATGATCAGATGAATTTATTGCAATGAGTAGATAGAAACATGCAATGACCAGCTGATGCTGGATGGGGATATGCAAGATCATCAAGTGGGAGTAATTCACAGCGCATGCTAAATGCTCAATCAAAGCCCTGGCTTTGTGTCATATCATCGCAGATTCGACCATTTTTGGAAATGGCAGGAGAAAGCAGAGTACTAACAAAGTAAGACAGCGCGATCCAACGCCAGGTTAGCGGATATGTCATAGTCGTCAATGTAAAAACAAAAAAGGTGCAACTCCAGACCCGTGGAGCTTAAGTGGCGGCCTGCTGGGCCCAGTGACCACCGTTGAGCGCCTCTGGGGGAACCCGCTGTTGCTTGATGAACAGCTCAATTAAGGGCTGCATGGGCTCCATCTCCTTATCAGACACAAGCCCGTAGTACTTGGAGACGGTCACGAAGTGAACGAAGCACATGTTCAGGACATCGTGCTTGTTAATGTGCCAAAAGGGGTTGAGCCAATGAGCGTGGTACAGATGGGCGTAGCAGCGGAACATCTGCTTCATGATACCCTGGCAGTCCTTGTAAAAGGTTGGCGGGAAGCCACTGGACTTGCCGATCCACTCATCTGGGTTGGCGGGGTCGGAAGGAGTTGTTGATGCGCCATTGGCCTCTTTGATGGCAGATGTCTCGGGAGTGCCGTTTACTTTTTCGGTAGGGAACATAACAGGGTCGTGGATCTTGCTGACGATCCATTTCTCGACGCGGTTGATGAACTTTGGGGCGGAGATTTTAGCGGCGCGGCCGTCAACAAGCCAGGTATAGGTCAGCCTTTGGATTCGTTAGCTCGGTTCATAATTTACCCCGCTATACTCCACATACCGTCCAGCGGACATTGTTGGACAAGTGTTTTCATTGCAAATGGGTAGACCCGTCACAGCGTTCACCTCTTGGATAACCTGGAGCATTCCGTGGAGTAGACGATATTGTTCCACAACTAAAGCAGAAACACATTAGCCTCCCCGCTCTCAAGATAAGCTTCCATAATGCTTACTCTGGTGAGCCAGCCACTCGCCCAGCTCCACATTCTTCGGGCAAGCACAGAGCGTCAAGAAGTTGCCCCTCACATTCAGTGGGGCATACTTCTCCTGGAAGAAGTATTTGGGCCCCTCAGGATCGTTCGCTTGGTTCTCCACTGACAGACTGCTGGAAATAGAGGGCGAATTCGACATGGTAGCTTGATGCTGGGGAGTAGAGGTCTGTGCTGGGCTCTTGGGGGGATTGTTGCTTTTGTTGTTTCCTCCCCGGCCAAATCCTTGGCGACTGTATTCAAAGATAGAGTTAGCGGGCGATCGTGGCGAGGTATAGCTGTTTTAGAATGAAGTGGGGATATATAAGAGAAGTAGGAGTAGATGTGAAGGACAAGAGGAGACCCCAAGGGAGATGTTAGACTTTGGGGGATAGAATGCTCCTTTGTATTTGTGGCGCCGGGGGATTCTTCATGCAGTATGAGGGGGTAAAGGTAAAAGAGAGATTGAACAGCTGATGGCAACGAGTCCACAATGGCGCAACATAACTTACACGCTCTGGAAGAAGGTCGCCATCTTGAAAATGATCAGCAATGCTTCAAATCAAGAAAATAACGGGGGATGAGGGACGAGACGGTGAGATGCCACACGTTGAGGATCCCCTTTTGGTCTGGGCCATCGAGACACTAGTCCTGTTTTGATCCGGAGTCGGATAATCTATATTCCCGCACGTCAATTGAATTATGGGAGCTCCGTCGTGAATGGCCGATAGAACAATTGTCAGTAAACTATTGACGGTACACACTATATTTGATCGCTTACTCATATACTGGAACATTTAAGGACACATTCAGTCTCTTCTTTATCGTCACTCACACTTCCCCACATATACGACCTTGCAGCAACAATAAATTCCATACACCATGTCCTCCGATGAGGAGGGCGTCCGGCGCCCCAGCAATGGCAATGAGAGTCCTGCGCACAGCAATGCCCACGATTCTGGCGCGGATCAAATGGATGAAGGTGATGATCTCTTTGGGTCGGACGGAGAAGCGGGACTTGATGACATTGAGTATGCAAACCACACCAAAGCGACAAGAGCTAGATACTAATACATCACCAGACCCCACCGCACCCTGGACGATGAACAACTCGACTCGGGTGATGATGAGAACCGATATGATCGGCGCGAAGACAGAATGGAAGATGTAGCCGAGGAGCAGCAGGAAGTCAATGTTGCTGACCAGGACCTTGCTCGGGCGCCAGTGCCATTGACCAACGATGGAGAGGTAGGATGAGCTTCTACCTTGAAGCCTTCAGTATGGATCTAACTTCTAGTAACAGGTCTACACAATGCGTGTGCCGGATTTCCTCTCAATCGAAGGAGAGGAATTCAACCCCGAGACTTACGTCCCACCGCCTTACCAGACCGCCGCTACCTCCCTTTGCTGGCGCAAAGATCCCGCGGATGAGTCTCTTTTGCAATCTAATGCCCGCATTATCAAATGGGAGGATGGCTCTATTACTCTTCAACTCGCCTCCGCCCCCCTTGAGCAATACCGCATCGCATCTAAACCCCTCGCACCTCTCACCAAGTCCGGCGACTATGACCACAAGCTGGACTCCCACGTTTATCTCGCAGCTGGACTGGAAACAGCCCAAGTTTTCCGATTAACCTCACATATCACCCAAGGTCTAACTGTTCTGCCGACTACCTTGGAGACGGACGATGCCGTCCAGCGACTGCAGGAACAATTGGCTGCTGCTGCTCGTGGTAGCAAGCAGACCGCCGCTGGCACTGCGCCGCGCTATGAACTAACAGAGGATCCCGAGTTGGCTGGTAAACGTGCTGAAATGATGGAAAAGGAAGCTATCAAGGCCGAACGTCGTCGCCAGCAGCTTGCTGATCGCGAGGCCGACCGTGGTCGCCGCCACGGCGCCACTCGTGCTGGTCCTAGCGGTCTTAGCGTCGGTGGGCTTGAAGATGCCGGTTTGCTCACGACTCGTCCACGTGCCAAGCCTCGCCGCCAAAACCGTCGCGGCGAGATCTACACCGACGACGAAGAAGAGGATTACTCTCGTGGTGCGCGTAACAGAGAAGATGAGTACGATGAGGACGATGGGTTCTTGGTTGGCAGTGACGAGGAGGTTGAGGAAGAAGCGGAAGATGAAGAGGAGGAGCTCGAAGATGAAGATATGGACGCTGAAGGTGAGGATGATGTGGAGGCTGCGCCTGCGAAAGCTGCCCGTAGCAAGCCAGAGCCTCAAGCCAGGGATGGTACACCTCCTGCCCGAAAGAAGAACCGCTACGTGGTGGACGATGAGGACGACGAGTGAGCTTGTAGCTTTCCACTTCTCTTGCAGGTTCTTTTTCTTTTCGCGCTTTCGATGCAGTTTTCTTGTTACATATCCACATGGTCCGGCGTCATCTACATGGACAGGCATTCGAGGGACAATGGGGCTCATTTCACTGACTTGATGCTTGTACAACAAAATTAATGAAATGGTCAATGACATATCAACCTAGCTTCGTACCAGCGAAACAGTGTATACTTGTATAGTAGAGGCCAAATGGTATATAACAATAACTCCACATAGTCTCGGACATGTTCAAACTGCAAAAACCAGACCGCCGAACCCAAGCTGTAACCAACCAACCTGTTTTTTCTCATGCGTGTTATGCTCCAGTATCCGCAGTGACAGGCGAAACGCCCTCGGGATATTCTGAAGGATCAAAGTTGAATCTGGCGATCACATCTCTGGCACTTCCAACCACACGAAGGCATAAAAACTTCTTTTCGCCATGATCATCCTCATCCTGTGACTGGGCCGAGTCCGACATAGACGTTGGCTCTCCAAGTGGATGTTTTCCAGGTTCATGGAAGCGGCGTTGCCGATTCTCGATTTCAATAATCATGGACAGCAGATCTGGCTGCTCGGAGCAAGCAATCATAGCACTTGGCTCAACGGGACCACCAATGACAGCGCGACGAACAACTTGGTGGAGCCATGATTTCCAGTATTGTGCTGGGTCAGGGCTTTGGAGTGCCTCAGACACGTATTGTGGAAGCGCAGACTGCGTCCCCAGTTCAACAGCGTCGGCTCGCAAGACGCGCAGCCACGCGTCCGCGGTGACTGTTAATAGAGTCCCTATGAACATGATATTTTGAAGGCCTGTTGAAAAGACCTTGGGACAAACTTGGCAGCGGATCACATCCCGTGCTGTTCGTGCAGCAATATATAGCGAGCATAGAGTGTGAGAGTTGACGGGGAAGGAGGAGATTGATGTCATATGGCTGAGGGATAGGTAAAGGTACGATAAACACGGACACCCAGACGTTGTGGAATCGGAGGATATAGAGGTGGCAGGAGACAGCGGGAGGGAGTGCATGGAAGGGAAAGCTGGAGGGTTGGGGAATGGCATTGGCATGGCTGTGGCTTCGGAGATGGCCGAGAAATCAGGCCAAGGGGAAGATGATGCAGGAACAGGAAGGTTTGGCTGTTTCAGGCGGTCTGGCCTCCAGGCATGGTTGTGGTCTTCATAACCTGACAATAGATCTGCGGGCTGGGAGAGATCTGAAGGCTGGGACTGTGGCAAATTCATGTTCGTGCCAGGCCGCCAGAATATCTGCGGACAAAGATGATCGGCGTCTGTCAAGGTGACTGTGTCCATGCTTAACGAAGATTGTTGCAAATCTTCTGGACTGGGCCAGATTTCAGCTCCAGATAGCGCTGGGAAGTCGATCCCCTCATCATCTGTCCGCGTCCTTTTCTTGGGTGGCCGACCCATCTGCTTTTGTATAGAATAGTTGCAAGAGAGTGACTGTTTGGTACATCGTAAACAGCCTGTCAGTTCCCCGGAGCATTTGAGCTTCCGCTTTCCTGTCGAGTATTAGACTGGTCAGTGAGAGTTGCGTTACATCGGCCTGTGAAACTTACTACACTCGTCGCATGCTGCATGTCTTTTTGGCTCCGACAAACCATTCGTAATAGGCAAAGGGAGCCCCTCTTCATACTCATGCAGGAGTGACATTGCTTGACAATGATTCAGAAAATCGAGTGGATCTCGATCAGAAGAGCCCTTCAATAGTTAGAAAACACTTAAAACATTCCATAGTCAAGTCGTAGATAGGCCCGATAAGATGGGGGCGGTCATGTGGGCGGTGAGCGGTGAGCGCCGCGAGAAATTATCCCAAAAAAAAATCCATGGATCTACAGCAATAAGACAACATCCGCTAAACGGCATCATGAACCCCAAGGCAGCTTCTAAGAAGCGCAAGGCTGTTACTCGCGATGTTGAGGAGGAAGCTGGTGTCTTTTCCGGTGACGAATTGAGCAAAGGCAACCTCGATGGAGCCTTGTCGGACAATTCCAAGGATCTTTCGGACAGCGAGGACGATGAGAGCGACTCGGAAGTCGAGCTAGTCGACGACTTTAGCGACTCGGAAGATGGAGAGGAGGAATTGGACAGCGACGAGATCCCCTCCGATACAGAGGAAGTTAAGCCAACTGCCGGTGAACCCAACTTCCGCGTTGTGAAGGACGCCAACGGAAATGATCGCTACCTCTGGGATGAAATTCACCCGGACGACAACTCTGAACTCTCCGAGGTGGATGAAAATGCCAACACCATTGGCGACATCCCGCTGAAGTTCTACGACGAATATCCCCATATTGGTTACGACATCAACGGAAAGAAGATTATGCGTCCTGCCAAGGGCGAGGCTCTGGATGCATTGTTGGATAGCATTGAAATTCCCAAGGGCTGGACCGGTCTGACTGACCCCAAGACTGGCAAGCCTCTGAATCTCAGCCAGGAGGAATTGGAGTTGCTCCGCAAGGTGCAGATGAACGAGGTTCCCTCAGAGGGCTACGACCCATATGAGCCTTTGGTGGAATGGTTTAGCAGCGAAAAGGAGATCATGCCATTGAGCGCCGCTCCCGAGCCCAAGCGCCGTTTCGTGCCATCCAAGCACGAGCAGAAGCGTGTAATGAAGCTTGTGAAGGCCATTCGCGAGGGCCGCATTCTTCCTTACAAGGCGCCAGAGGAAAGGGAAGACAAGGAGGAGGAACTCATCAACTACGACCTGTGGGCTGACGAAGTTGAGCGACCTGACCACGTCATGCACATCCCGGCGCCCAAGCTTCCACCCCCTGGTTATGAGGAGAGTTACCACCCACCTCCCGAGTACCTTCCCGATAGCAAGGAACGTAAGGCATGGGAACAGACAGATCCCGAGGATCGTGAGAAGGGTTTCCTACCCAACGACTTCGGCTCCCTACGCAAAGTTCCTGGATACGATAACTTCGTCCAGGAGAAGTTCGAACGTTGCTTGGATCTCTACCTTGCTCCGCGTGTTCGCCGTAGCAAGCTGAACATCGACCCCGAGAGTCTCTTGCCCAAGCTTCCCAGCCCTGAGGAGCTCAAGCCTTTCCCCACTGCTTGTGCCACAGTCTTCCGCGGACACAAGGGCCGTGTGCGCTCCGTTAATGTGGACCCAACTGGAATCTGGCTAGCCACTGGTGGCGACGACGGTACCGTTCGTGTCTGGGAACTCCTCACGGGCCGCCAGTTGTGGAGCGCAAAACTCAGCGATGACGAAGCGGTCAACACTGTCCGCTGGCGTCCGGGCAAGGACGCCGTCGTCCTCGCTGCCACCGCAGGAGACGACATCTTCCTGGCCGTGCCTCCCATCGTCGACCCCGAAATCGAGAAGGCCAGTCTGGATCTCCTCGACGCAGGCTGGGGTTTCGCCGCCTCTCGGCCTGCCCCCAGTGCCTCAGAGGATGGCAAGAAGAACGCGCCCCCGACCTGGATCCGTCCCGAGGCCGCTCTTGTGGACGCTGGTGTGTGCGTCGTTATTCCCCTCCGCTACGTGCCCAAGACGATCTCCTGGCACCGCCGCGGCGACTACTTTGTGACAGTGTGCTCGGGCGCGTCGACACCCGCCTCCGTCGCAATCTCCATCCACACAGTCAGCAAGCACCTGACGCAATTCCCCTTCCGACGCCGCCTTAAGGGCGGTGGTCCCCCCCAGACCGCCCACTTCCACCCCTCGAAACCCATCCTGTTCGTCGCCAATCAGCGCTCAATCCGCGCCTACGATCTCTCGCGCCAGCTCCTCGTCAAGATCTTGCAGCCCGGTGCACGCTGGATCTCGTCCTTCGACATCCACCCAACTTCTTCGAGCGCGTCCGGCGGCGACAACATCATCGTCGGTTCGTACGATCGTCGTCTGCTGTGGCACGATCTCGACCTCTCCCAGCGGCCCTACAAGACCCTCCGCTACCACCGCAAGGCTATCCGCGCCGTCAAGTTCCACCCCAGCGGCCGCTACCCGCTCTTCGCGGATGCCTCCGACGATGGATCACTGCAGATCTTCCACGGCAGCGTTACTGGAGATATGCTCAGCAATGCTACCATTGTGCCGCTCAAGGTTCTCAAGGGCCACAAGATTACTGGCGAGCTGGGTGTCTTGGATATCGACTGGCACCCACGCGAAGCGTGGGCTGTCAGTGCTGGTGCCGATGGAACTTGTCGCTTGTGGATGTAATCTTGAGATGCCGTTGCATGATGTCTGACACACTTTTGGGCGTTTTTCTCTATTTATTTTCTTTTTGTGCATAATCTTCCCTTTGTATAGTTATTCTATAAAAAGTTGTTTCTTAACACAAGGTTTTCTACTTCGTATCATATCAGAGTAGATCTTGCGTAGTAGTCGAGGGCATGTAGGAATGATTCGATGTTCGATCAAATAGCCGAATGTTCAAGGTATCTATATGTCCACGATCCCAAGCAAGAAAAAATGGGAGAAAAAAAGAAAACCCTACATCTAAAATGTATAGACGGATATCCGAAGAGAAGTACATATACAAACCAACCCCAAACTCAGACCACACCACCACTCCAATCCCTCCTGAGCTTCTCGTACTTCCTCAAGTCCGTAACGCTAGGCCGAATAAAGGACTTAGCAGCAACAAAGTCAACGAGCTTGATACTATCGCGACGCTTGATAGCAGAGTAACCAGCACGACGCAACAGACTGCCCAAATCAGCACCACTGAAGCCCTCACACTCCTCAGCGAGTTTGCGCAGATCTTCACTAAACTCAATAGCCAGTTTACGGACAAGAGTCTGCAAGATCTCGACACGCTCGAGCGGCGTGGGGAGGTTCACAAAGAGAAGGGTCTCGAGACGACCAGGACGCAGCATAGCTGGATCAATAATATCAGGCCGATTAGTCGCAGCGATAACATAGATACCCTGGCGACTACTGCCGAGGCCATCAAGCTCTGTGAGGAGTGTGTTGACAACACGGGCGGAGGCCTCGGAGAGTGTATCGTCACGGCGGGGCACGAGAGCGTCAAGCTCATCGAAGAAGATAACACAGGGCACGGAGGAGCGGGCGCGGACAAAGACCTGGCGAACAGCGCGCTCAGACTCACCGACGAATTTGTTCAGCAATTCGGGGCCCTTCACGCTGATGAAGTTTGCGCGGGATTCGTTGGCAACCGCCTTTGCGAGGAGGGTTTTACCGCAACCGGGCGGGCCCCAGAGGAGGACGCCAGTCGGCGCGGTGATGCCGACGTTGGCATAGATATCGGGGTTCTTGATAGGCTCAACGATGGCGGTGACGAGCTCGTCGCGGATGCCACCGAGGGCACCGATGTCGGCCCAGGTTGTGTCGGGGATTGTGGCGAAGCCTTCGCGCTTAGAGGAGGGTTGGATCTTGGGGAGGGCTGTGAAGAAGTCTGCGTTGGAGACGAGGACGACTTCTGCTTCATCGCCGATAGGAGTTTCCTTGGCGTGGTTGATGAGACGGCGGAGTTCGCGGACTCGCGGGCTGATATCGTCTTCGCCTTCGATTTCCATCTCCATTTCTTCGCCGCTGTTCGACTTCAGGATCGCGAGGTACCGCTTGATAGCGGCTGATCCGGCGGTCGATACGAGGTCGTTAAGATCGGCGCCCACGAAGCCGGGGGTTCGTTTGGCGAGCGTCTTGAGGTCAATATCGTCTGCCAGGCGCATTTTGCGGGTGAGTGCGCGTAGGATCTGTTCTCTAACTGGCTCTGAGGGCACGGTCATGTTGATTTCTTTGTCAAAACGGCCACCGCGGCGCAGAGCAGCATCGAGGCTGTCTGGGCGGTTGGTTGCTGCCAGCACGATAACGGGTTTGCCATCTGTCTTTTCAAGGGCAATCTCATCCATGCAGGTCAGGAGCTGGGCGACAATCCGCTTCTCCATTTCCCTCTGAGCGCTCTCGCGCTTCGGCGTAATCGCATCGATCTCGTCGATGAAGATGAGACAGGGAGCAAGACGTTTCGCCTCTTCGAAGTACTCGCGCAGGGCTTTCTCAGACTCACCCGACATTCCTGACACGACCGACGGTGCAGAGATTGAGATGAAGGGCACACCCAGCTCCGCTGCAAAGGCGTTTGCAATCAACGTCTTACCGCAACCAGGCGGACCATGCAGCAATACTCCGCGCGGCGGCTGCACGTTTGAGGATAGATAGACCTGCGGCCGGGTCATGGGTAGAATAACCAAGTCCCCAAGTTCCTGAACAACATCATCCAGTCCACCCAAATCGGCGAGACTGACATGTGTTGGTGGTGAACGATCGGCGGGCTCAGCTTTGCGTCGTTTAGACGCAGATTCTCCGCCATGCGTTCTTCTCTTGGAAGAGGTGGGTGCTGGGGTGCTAGCAGTGGATTCGGTCTTTTTGGCCTTCGTTGTTGCCCACGAGCCGACGACGCTCTGGTTCATTCCATTGGGTTCCTGATATGGCAATTTAAATTAGAATTTCCGTCCCATTCGGGCAAAATAGGCGCAGCGCATAACATACCGTCGCAGCAGGCTCCTCGAGTCCCTCAAAGTCCCCCTCCATGGAATCCTCATCCTCTTCACCCATATCAGCTTTGACAACCTCCAACACCCGCTCAAGACTGTCTTCAATGAGTCTCTTCGGTTTCCGGTTCAAGCTCGAGTTGGATTTCTTAATTGTGTCATAAATCGCAGGGACCGATAGTCGGATGCGCCCATTCTCGGGCTGGTCGTCAATGATCTTGCGCACGATCTGGTAGACCTGTTGGGAGTTAGTCATAGTCAACAAGACTCAATTTGGAAAACACACCTCACGGTCCAGACCCTGACTGAGGGTCGGCCTGCCTCCCTTCCTGGCAGGCATAATTTGATATGGTTCTGCAAAGAAAAAGAAAAGGCCGAAATTAAATTTCGGAGATTGGAACTTTTGAAAGATCGGCTGAAAATTACACCGTAATTACAGGTCCGTTACATAACGTCATTCATGTCTAGGCCATCTATGGAAGTTCGTTCTTCACTTCGACAACATGGGAAATTCGAGTAGCTCGCAGAAGATCTCTGCCCAGGATCGGTGAGTACAGACTGCTGTATATTGTATACATACAATATCCACAACCCATCCTCAATCCCGTCTGTCAGAGCATACTACTGTTCTCCTCACGAGACCCCCCTCATCCCCACCCAGGATGCCCATTCAACGAACAACAATAGTATGATTCCAGCTAATAAACGACCGGTGATATCTTCAGGGCAATCCTTGACCTCAAAAACCAACGCGACAGACTACACCAATATCAGCGACGAATAACCGTCCTCACAGACCGCGAAACGGAAATCGCCAAGGAATGTCTCGCGCGCGATGATCGCCGGCGAGCACTGCTCGCCCTCCGACGCAAGAAATACCAGGAATCACTCCTTGCAAAGACAGATGGGCAGCTTGCGCAGCTAGAGCAGTTAACTGGGCAGGTGGAGTTCGCGCTTGTGCAGAAGGACGTGCTGTTTGGGTTGCAGCAGGGGACGAAGGTGCTGCAGACTATTAATAAGGAGATGGGTGGCATTGAGGGTGTTGAGAGATTGATGGGGGAGACCGAGGATGCGAGAGCTTATCAGGAGGTATGTCCCTCGTTTTTTGTCTCATGCTCTTGTACAGGATGTTGGGACTTGGGTTATGATTGGGGCTCGGTTTTGCTGACGGTCGTTATAGGAGGTGAGTCAGATGCTGGCGGGACATTTGACGAACCAAGATGAGGATGAGGTCGAGGATGAGCTGGAGGCTCTGCAGCGGGAACTTGCTGGGCCTGAAATCCTGCCTGATGATGTCGTACTGCCGAGTCCGCCTACTGCTGATCTGCCTGTTGAAGAGCCGGTGCCGGAGTCAACCCAAAGGACCAAGGCAAAGGCAGAGACTCGGACGGTTTTACCTGCTTCCTAGGGGGAGACATGTTGCGTCCTCATTGCACAGCACCAAGCATTGCATTATATTGATCCAGGCATTTTGTGGCGTTGAGGCTTGTTTGTTTTTGTTGGCTACATTGCTAGATTTCATGTACCTATGGCGTTGCGATTGATTCTATTGCTTGTAAAATTCATGGTCTATAGATTATAACATCCTCAGTCCGAGGTTTTACAAATGATCCTCAAGATAAGAGCTTCCTTGACTAGAATGGAGACCACACAACAAATCAATAAAATAATGTAGAAATACATAGCAGTAGAATGGTATTCGTTAATTCATCACGACTGACCTGTCAACCCCAAAATACATCCCTTAGAAAGAAACCTCGCAACGAACCCCATCTATTGCCCAGGCATAATCCTGCCACCAATATCGTTAACACCAGGAATAGAAACATGATCCTGGGGGTTCGCCGCAGCCTCATAGAGGAAATTAACCGGCTCCCGGGTTAACTTCATAAACTGCCCCTTGAAGCCTACATACCCAACCTTGGTAACATCCTCCTCGCCGTCACTCCAATTGTCCTCGAAGAACAGTGTGACAGAGGTAGTCGCATTCCAATGGGCACGATTCAACGGCAGTTCAAAGACATCGGCGCCGGGTACAGGCTGCGGGACCTCGATAGTTTGAGCTGGGTGCAGCTCCGATGCAGTTGAGAAATCCAAATCGTCGCGGTTCTTGAACAGCTTTACTGTCCTTGGGGCGGAGTTTGTAGGGGCTGTGTACAGGAGGAGGGAGTGGACGTTGACTTGGCCGTTGAAGCTGTGTTTTTCGAAGCTGTTAGTTTTGGGGGCGATAACGGTGAGGGGTAATATTGGCGGGGTTATTTGGGATTTTTTATGACGCGTTGCCAGGGGGTGAGCAACCACTAGAACTTGTGGGATACATATGTAATGGTGTAGAATGAGTAAGACTCACGGTATGGTCATGAGCAGCTGTTCGTCTGCATCGCTCTCGAGCTCGGGCTTGTCGTTTAGTCGCTCGGCCCAGGTTTTCCGGACGACGGATGCGCCAGAGTTTGGGGTTGTCTCTGTCGAAAATCAGAATTTGTCGCCAATACTTGCTTAATGATAACAGGTCTCGTACCATTCAGAGTTGTGATCAGGTCGAAGTTGATCTGAGAGTAAAGGAGGGATTGGATGGCCGGAGTGATATCGTTGGTATGGTCGTGATCTTCGCCGTGGCAGTGGCCATGATCATGATGATGTCCTGACATTGTAAAAGATATGTAAATTTGATACAAGATGTGGATAAGACAAAAGATTTGGAGATTTGAAGTTGAAAGGTGGGAAGCTCTCCACTCCCGTGACGTCTTAGTTCGGAGATTTGAGATATTGTGGTAGTCAGGAGTAGCAAGAGATTGTAATGTTAGGAGTTATTCTCTTGTATTTCTAACTTTCCAATTCAGATACTATATCTGAATATATCTAAATATATCACTGCACGATGACCTAAATTGTCTCTGTCGCTTTTACCTAGGGGTTTCCCTCGATCTATAAAATGCAATCAACATACTACATACAACTGTTCTAGATATGTATATCCCGATTCCACAGCCTCAAACGCCTGGGTATTATTGTACATAGTCCTCCTCTCTCGAATTTCAGATGTTATTACTGCCTCACTCGGTAATAATCCGGAGCATACTCCAGCAGATAGCTCTTCTCGATCTTAGTGACATCGCGGATATAAGTCTTTTCACCCGCTTGCATGATTTCATGGAATATGACCCAATCGGCTTTTCTGTTCTATATTTAAGTCAGTAAACCAAACATGTACTTCTGTCACACATCCATGAACACTTACAAACATCAACGAAGTAGGGTGAGCATGAAGAGTCAGACCACCGCTGACAGTCTTAAAAGTTCCATCCGGCTGCATCTTTGCCGCGTGAGCAAAATAGCCTGTTGTAAGACATCGCCGAATCTGCTCCGGCTGCTTGCTCAAATCGGCTGCGCCATGACGGGATGAAAGTGTCTCGTCGACTTGAATGCCAAAGCGTTCTAGGTACCGTTTTAACTGGCCTCGGATGCTCACTGCGCGAAGCAAGGCTCGATAATTCAAGAGGTTATCGCGACACCATTTTGAGTCTTTTTTCCCTTTGGTGACAAAGGCCTGGTACACGTTCAAGTACGTCAAATGATCGCCCTCTTCAACGGCGAACTTTCGTCGGTGGCTCTCGGCAGATCTTCTGTCTCCAGCGTGCTGAACCCACACCGTCCCTGGAGGTTGACCATGGCCGCAATTGTGAGGATTTCACTTAGACAGTTGAAAGATGGCGCGACGAGAAGGACTTTGGCCATCATAGGATCCAGAGCGATTTCTGCCATCCGCATTCCAAGCGGTTTCGTCAGTTTGGCATAGTCGTCAACCGCACCGAGAGACGACAAGAGCTCCAGTGCACGAATGATGAGTTCTGCCGGCGGAGGTGTCAAGAAGTCGAACCGGACAATGTTGTCGATTCCCAGTGCTTTAAGCTGCATAATGACCGGTGCGAGATTTGACCGCTGGATTTCAGGTACCGTTGCTTCGGGCATCTGCTCGAATGCTTGTTGCGTGTACAGACGGAAACATTTCCCTGGCTTCGTTCTTCCAGCGCGGCCAGCTCGCTGGGTGGCGGATGCTTTTGATATTGGCACTGCAGTCAATGTATCAATCCCAGTATTGGGATTGTATGCCCTGAGCTTGGCGAAGCCGGAATCGATCACATATACAATCCCGTCGATTGTGACCGAGGCCTCGGCAATGTTGGTCGAGACGATGACCTTTCGGGTGTTTTCTGGGGTCGGCTCGAAGACGTACATTTGCTGTTCCGTGGTGAGTCCAGCATACAGTGGTAGCGGAAGCAGAGAGGGCGCCTTTGGATGGAGAGTTGCCGCTCTTTCAGATATCAACTGGATCGCTGTGTCGATCTCTTCCCGGCCAGTCAAAAAGAGAAGTACGTCGCCTTCTGGTTCTTGGGTATGGATATCAAAGACGGTCTTGACTGCTCGCTCTATGTAATCTTCTGCCGGAGAATCAAGGAACAACATGTCGACTGGATACATTCGTCCTTCCAGGCTGATGATCCGACCAACACTTCCACCCAAATCCTCCGGCTCTGCCTCAGGCTGGTACTCCTCGCCGGCAAAGAAACGAAGGAAATCCTCTGCCTGGAGGGTTGCGCTACTAACAATTATCCGAAGTTCAGGGCGCTTCTTGCGGATCTTCTTTAGAGTCCCAAGGAGCACATCGGTACTGAGAGATCTCTCATGTGCCTCATCAACCATGATCACTGAATACCGCGAAAGTAGAGGATCAACCAGGGCTTCTCTGAGCAGCATGCCATCTGTCAAGAATTTGATCCTTGTGGCAGGAGATGTCAAATCTTCAAATCGAATAGAGTAGCCCACCTCTTCGCCGACTTTGCATCGCATCTCTTCGGCTACTCGCGTTGCAACCGTTGTAGCAGCCACCCGCCGGGGCTGAAACAAAATTAGTCACTACTGAATTCAAATATATTTCAAGTATGATGGGATCAATGCTCACCTGTGTAACAGCAATGATCTTCCCATCCTCGCACCATCCTGCTTGGTCTAGGTACTGCGGAAGCTGGGTTGTTTTCCCACTACCTGTTTGGCCCACCACGATAGTGACGGGGTACTTTTCAACCAGATAGAGCAGGTTCTTCTTGTGACGTGCGATAGGCAGTAAAGCAGCTGGTTTATACAGAGCTGGAATGAAAGAGGTCGAGAGCTCCTGTTCTGAAGCCATTTTAGACCAAATTTTTAGCTGAGAACGAAGTCTGCAGTATTTGACTCCAGTTGTTAGAAGAAACTCAATTGGGTCTGGGCCATTCTGAAAACCCAAACACTTCGCAGATTGGCAACTTGGTGATCGTCGGAGTTCTCGCAGAAACATCCAGGGCGATCTGTATAAAGCTCGCCATCACGTGCGCCCCCACGTCACTTGGAGCTTCCCCGATATGTTCTACCCTCAGATATTCTCAGGCAACACTGTTTTTGTGAATTCCCCTTCAGTCACTTTCTATACTTTGTTAGGTCCTAAAGATACCTCAACATGTCAGAGGAGGACAAGATGGTATGTTTGCTTTCCGACGGGATCACTTGTTATCGCATGAGGCTCATGTTCATACACAGAACACTCCCAGCAGGCCCTTGGGTGCCCTTAATTCTCCTACCAGCCCGCGAGCCGAGTCACCGACTACCGCGCGCCCGATGGACTTTGACGACGAGCCCCAGGAGACCGGAGTTATTACCTCCTCCCCTGTCGCTCCTCAGCCAGCTGCCGCCGAGCCAGCCCCGCCAAAGCCGCCCCGGCCCCTGAGCCCGAGAGAACAGTCCGAGAACACCCTTAGGGAGGCATTTCCAAGCATCGAGCCTGGCGTCGTCAAAGCGGTCTTGACCGCAAGCAATTGGCATGTCGAGCGGGCGTTCAATGCCCTCCTTGGTTCGTAGAGAATCTACTATATAAAATGAATATGAGCTGACCCCGACCTCGGCTTGCAGGTATGACCGACCCCAAGGCTCAAGAGGAAATGACACCACCGCCAAAACCGCCGCGCCCAACCCAACAGAGCACTGCTGCACAGCGACAACTGGAAGCCGATGAGATGTATGCACGTCAACTATCCGAGCACTACAATGCGACAGGACGTCGTGCGCCGCCTCCGGGCTGGGAGAGCGACCCCCGATACCAGCGACCTAGAGGAAGCGAAGAGTCGGAAGAGAGGGAATACAGCTTCTTTGATGGTATGGGCTATAGTGGCTTGTCGAATGAGCTCGTGCTAATTGGGTGTTCTACAGATGATCTACCTGTGATCCGCGAGAACCTCCGCAAGGGCTTCCTGGAGACACAGAATAAGGTTAATTCATGGGTAACAAACCTGAAGAAGAGAATTGACGGAGACGATTTGGACGAGGAACCTAGCCAGAATCAAAGAGAGACCGCCCATGCCCGGCCCCGACGTAGTGGTGATATGGGCCGTCGCAGTGGAGATCGTGAGCGCTATGACGCAGACCCCCAAGTTCTCAGCGATGATTTCTCTGCTCTGGAGTTGAGGGATGGTGAAGGTAAATAACGACCTTAAAGTCTGGCATCATTGAATTTTGCTAACTGCGTACAGCTCCCCCGCCTCGCCCCCCTCGCCCCGGTCACTCCAGCCTTAAACCCTCCGTGTCTCCTTCGCCAGACAGGCGCAGGGTCTCTTTCCAGGAGGGACCACCCACCGAGATTGACAACTCTTGCGATGCCTCCACGCCATCCAAGCGTCTCAGCTCAACAGGCAGCAAGTCGAGCAAGTGGCAACCATTGTCCACAGTTGAGCCTTCTCCCGTTGCGGAGAACGACCCATTCAGCCTGGGCGATAGCGACGATGAGAAGGAGATTAAGACTAAGGAGCAAACCACTAGCTCGGAAGGCGATCAGCTCAAGCACGCTACTGTTGAGTCAGTGTCCGATGAAGTTGGTTCCTCCAAGGGCCCGGACACCAAGGGCGCGAGCAAGCCCGAGTCGAAATAATTGCGATTGGAATTTGAATATCCCCAGTGTCGTCCGTCATCTGCGCGCGAATCATTTCTTGCCTTTCTCCCTTTCCTCTCTTTCCTCCCAGCCCATATATCTATTTCCTCTCTCGTTCTACTGTGCCTTGTTATGCGCTACCCACCTCCCCGAATTTACGATACCTAGTAGAAGTAGCCCAATATGTCCTGCAACCTTTCCAATATCTCCATAAGCCCAAGCCAAATTGAATCTGTATTTGTATCGGAAAGCAACAAAACATAAAGGGTATATCTTCGACCGGCCCCGTACAGTAACAATTATACGGCCTCAACGCCAAAACCAGAACAAATCAACAGACACTCGTCTAGTGTGCCGATCTGGCAACATGTAACTGAGGTCTCCTTTAAACCCACGTCGACTCCCAAGGCGATTACTCCACGTGAGCATTACCTACGCGCTTCGAACCAGTCTCCTTGCGCAGATCCTTGATGACAGTCTGTAGAGCAGAGTCAGTTACTAGGCACTTTGAACACCGGATTACACGCGTAGAGCGCTATATTGAGATCCGATCTCAATCTCGCGGGGAAACGCGTACCGCCAAAGCATCGGGGTTGACCCCGTTTTCAATGAGAGACACACAAAGCGACAGCTCTGTCCGGTCCAGGTTTGTGTTCTGTTCGACATGTCAGTTTTTTTTTTTTTGGGTAGTAACTTTGTTTTGTTTGTAAAGAATAGAGAAACGATGACATGGACTAGAGAGTCTCTAGTCCTGGATTCTGAATCCTGAATCATGTCCAGGTATTGGGGTGAGCACGCACCAGCAGGTCGGAGATCTCCTGAAGGATATCGATGACTTCTCTGGCGGCTTGACGCTTGTCATCAGCCTCTTGGGTTTTTGGGGGCATTTTTTATTCTGATATATGTTGTTGGAGTGTCAAAGTGGTTTGGTTATGTGTTGGAGTTGGGTGTGGGACTTTTGCGGATCAAATCATCTGCAGATGCATTTAACGGTATATCATACGGAGTACTCCATACATCAACGTTGTATTTTGATATTTTGATATGTATTTATTAGAGGGGAATTTCTCTATGGGTGTCACTTTGCTTATAAAAGATTTTGCTTCAATTGCTCTTATTACTGGTGGATATTCACCTACAATATATATACTTATATGTAATCTGTCAAAGAGGAAACAAAAGAGCAGTACATAAATAACTATTTGGGAAAGGTAAAGCAAAAGTAAATACAGATATCATCGAGTGGTTTATAATCTGATATATGTACAAATATGGATGGGGATATATGTAAGTGACAATTCATACTAAAAGGTTGAGTATGCGTTCAGAGAAAAGATCTGGTTAACAAAGGTAACAAGTCAAGCGTGAAGACCGTACTTCAACTGTTCTCTCACTCTCATTTCTTACAAGCATCATTATCCACAGCTGTCGAGGCCTACCGTCATGTCTTTCGAAATAACTACATACAGCAGCGATGCGAAATTCATCCTCGTACCACCGAAGAAGCCATCGGCCTGGCAACAATTCCGTGATCAACCTTGTCTCTTCCTCGCCCGCAAGATCTCTGCCTGGCGACCAACCAACCTCCCCAAATTACCTAAGAGCCCTGTCACTGTTGTCTGCATCTCAAACACCTACCACCAGCGACCAGAGATACCCCCAGGCGACATCCTGATCCATGCCGGCGATCTGACATCAGATGGATCGCTTGCCGAGCTACAAATCACGTTAAACTGGCTACAAGCCCAGCCTCATCCCATTAAGATTGCTGTGGCGGGTAGAGCTGACCGGTATCTCGATAAAATGAAGAAGGGAGGTCGTCGCTGGAGACATGGACATCGCGAGAGGGCATACTGGGGCGACATCATCTATCTGGAACACCAGCATGTCACCGTGACTGCTCGGAACGGACGCCAACTCCGGATCTATGGAAGTCCATATTCACCGATGACTGTCCCTTCCTTGGCTTTTCAGTACTCTGACTCTGACAATATTTGGGACCGAGTCCCTGACAACATGGACATTCTCATCACCCACACACCACCATACACGCATCGCGACACTCTCAGAGGCTGCCCGTATTTGTTGAATCACATCTGGATGGATCGTCCTCGACTGCACGTTTTCGGGTGCTCTCGTGAGCATCACGGATGTGAATTTCTGTACTATGATGCTCTTCAGGCGGCTGTCGAGCGCATTGAGGCTGCGGGTGGAGGCTTCTCCAACCTTCTCATGGTAGCCAAAGGGCTTGTACAGTCCTTCTTCCGACCTGATATCAAGGCCAAGTCTGTGCTTGTAAATGCATGCACTAACGGGGGGTTGTGGGATCCTGAACGCCAACCGATCTCTGTTGTCATCTGATTTGGGCTGGTCAACTATGTACCCACGTTACTTTGGCTGAATGAGACGTGACTCGACATGTGATGTACCGATTTACCAATGAATGAAACATTTGCTTCTCGTACGTGCACGCGTACATGAAATTGAGATATTGTCGACTCCTAGTTTATAGATTAAGATGGCTCTCATTGGACGAAACTAGTGGGACCTCCGTATACCTACCTTTTAAATATAGTACCACAAGAATACAACCCTTATGCGTAGTCTTCTTAATGGTCTTCTCAGGTAGTCTTATCCGGTGGTCTTTTCATATGTTAACCGTTAGTGCTGAATCATTAGGAGTTTTAGACTGGCAGACCCGGCAGAATTTGGAGGGCGGTATACCTGGGTACAAAGGTTTAGCCCAATATTTCGGAGGTAGTTGCGGAGTGCATTTGAACCAACTTAGTACTTTTACACAGCATAGACTGACACAGTTACAGTGTCAAATATCTGGAAAAGGCGCGTGTTAAATCTAGTCAGCCGTAATCCGGAATGGCACCTCAATACGAAATGGGAGCAATGGGAGGAATGCCCGGCCTCACCATCTCGGACATTCATTCCTTGAAGAGGAACGAGGCACTGGAGATTCTTGCCCAGATTTCACGCGTCGAGAAAAAGACCTTTCCCACTAATGAGGCATTCCCGTTCGGCGAGGACTTGTGGCGAAAAAAGCCTAACACGCGAGTTCTGTACGCGATTCGAGCCAAGGGATCGCAATCTGATCTGATTGCCTATGCGGTCTATGTCCGACAGAAGGGCATTGCGCTTTTGCACAAGGTCTGTGTAACAGAGCCTAACCGCCGTCAAGGTGTTGGCCAGGAGGTGCTGTCCTACATTCAGCAGCGCCTGCGAAAGGAGGGCTGCCAGTATATTCAACTCTGGGTAGACCAGGCCAGGGAGCCTGCACGCGCCTTGTATCTCCGCATTGGATTCGAGGAACGTGAAGTCATCCCTGATTACTACGCCCCTGGGCGAACAGGAATCAAAATGGTCCTAGATTTACAAGCTTGATGGTTGAGCCACTGCCGTCAATGCTGCACCCTTCGGGCCTTTTTCCTTCCCACTAAAACAGTTCCTTGCCTTATCGGTCCCTTTTGAATAAGTCCGAGGGGTAATAAGTCATGGTGGTAGGGCGCGTCTATGCTCCTTGGCCGCCGCAGGAGCCACCTATGGCTATCCCTTGCATGGACACGGGCATCTTCGAAACGTGAGATTATAGCGATCGGACCTGCGTCCATTCTCCGCTGTCATTCTGCTACATACTTCCGCGATATCCAACATATCCAGGTATGGCTTTTTTGAAAGGGCATGCCCTGAATGTCTCCCTGGTCCCTTGGGTTCGAGAGGGACCGCGATCCTTTTCTGGAAGATCATGCGTGATACTCTTTCATCTTCGTCCCGAATCTCTTTCTTTCCATCTTGACTACTTTCACTATCTTCCGCCGTGAGATTGGAAACACCGTTGGTGATCGGTGAGCTAGCTGTGTCTTTTCCAGCTATATACAGTTCCACCGTGCTCGCGTTTTCTTAATCGACCATGGCGTTCTTACTCACCATCGTACTGGTTTTCCTATCAGTCGCCAGTGCAGCATCCTTGTCTGCCAATTATCCCATAAACGCGCAATTGCCACCTGTTGCACGAGTTTCACAGCCTTTCCGATTTGAATTCGCCCAAAGTACTTTCGCCAACACTGACGCGGACACTAAATACTCGCTATTAAATGCACCATCATGGCTCGAAGTGGACAGCAGCAGTCTCGCCCTGTACGGAACGCCAGACTCAAGTGACAGTGGCGCCAACGAATTTAAGCTTGTGGCATCAAATGGATCAGAAAAGGACAGCATGGACGTTACTTTAATTGTGACAGCAGACCAGGGACCGACGGTGAACAAACCACTTGTGCCTCAACTGCAGAAATTGGGACCAGTCTCATACCCTGCCACGTTGTTCATCCACCCGGGTCGTCAATTCTCGATTGAGTTTGATCAGGATACCTTCGACAACACGCATCCGTCCACGATATACTACGGAACTTCGCCGAACAACGCCCCGCTTCCATCCTGGATCACCTTCGACCCGGCAGCCCTAAAATTTGCTGGGAATAGCCCTGCTTTCCCAGGCGCCGGGCCCCAAACATTTACTTTCCAGCTGATCGCATCAGATGTAGCTGGATACAGTGCGGCCAACGTGACTTTTCAACTCTCGATCGGTCCCCATATCCTGACATTCAATGAGACTGTCCAAAACTTCAACCTCACGAGAGGAGAAGAGTTCAACAGCCCCAAATTCACTAGCCTTCTGTCTATGGACGGTTCGCCAGTTTCTATCAACGAGCTGGCAAACGTCGATGCTGAATTGCCGAACTGGCTGAAGCTGGATAAGGAGAATATATCGCTGAGCGGGACTCCACCCAAGGATGCTGTGAATCAGAACATCACTATTTCCGTTACAGACACTTTCCAGGATCAAGCGCACTTGATGGTTCGCTTAGAGTTCTTGAAGCTATTCCTCGACACCGTTAATGGCTGTGAGGCAGCCATTGGCCAAGACTTCAAATTTGTGTTCAACCAGTCCATCCTCACCGATGACTCTGTACAACTGGAGGTCGATTTGGACAATGACCTCGCGTGGCTTACCTATTTCTCGGACAACAAGACTCTTTATGGACACGTTCCAGACGACATGGATCCCAAAAAGTTCACCATACCTCTTACTGCATATCAAGGGTCGACCGAAGACACAATGGACTTCGTTCTCGATGTGCTCAAAGCCTCGGACACACATTCGAACCCCACAGATCCGTTCACTGATACTGGCAGCCCCGATCATAAGAAGGCTGGCATCATCGCCATCTCAGTCGTGGTCCCATTAGTGGTGATTCTGAGTCTGTTGATTCTCTTCTGCTGCTGGCGTAGCCGCAAGAACTCACCCACAATTGAAGAGGGTTCATCCGACAGAAAAGCTCCACCACGACCTGTTAGGCCAGATGTCCCTAATTGCCAGCCATCCATGACGGAAAGACCCTCGCGCGATGACAATTCCGAAGATTGGATGAGTCCTATATCACCGTCGTCGATCCCCAAGCTCGAACTTGGGCCAGCGTGGAATGTGGCATCATTTGATAAACGGGAGAACCCAGTTAACTTTGTTATCCCTGAGCCCATTATTCCCCCTCGCTCTCCTGCTCGCAACTCTCCCACTCGTGGGGGCTTTGTTCCACGGCGGGACACCGTCACCCAAGAGGACAAACCCGTTGAAGCCGTCTCGCCTTCCAAGAAGCAAAACAATCGCCTCTCATACACGAGCAGTCCCGTGCGTCGTAGGGCCACCAACCGGTCTCGACGAGAGCCGTTGAAGCCGATCCAACCGCGGGCCATGAAGCGAGAATCTCTCCAATCTTCCAAGTCCAAGAGATACTCAAAGCGCTCCAGCGGTATCTCCTCCATTGCCTCTGGACTGCCTGTACGATTCAGCGGAGCCGGCCATGGCGCCGGCGGCTTCGGACCTCCCGGTCACGGCGTGGTGCACACATCATGGCAAAACGCCCGAGCCTCAATGATAAGCGATGAGACCAGCCTAACAAACATGGCGCCGATGTTTTCGCGTCCGCCAGCAGCAGGACGCATGCGCCACAGCATGGCATCTAGCATCCCCGAAAACTACAGGCGCATGACCCTACGCACTGTTGAGCCCGACGACTCTATTATCTCCGAAGCCGACTCCCTGGAAGCCTTTGTCCACAGCCGGGCCAAGCACCGCAACTCCTCCAACCCTCTTTTCTCCGCGCAGATCAGCCGGCGCACTTCCTCCGGCATGCGCGCGCTCGACCGAAACCGCAGCACGCGCAGCCGCGCGGACACTGTCTCCGTATCAACCTTCAGCGATGAATACCGCCAATCTATGCAAGACCGGCCCTTGTCGACTGCGATCTCGGCATCGGAATACGGTGACGACAACACCACCACCAACCGCTTCTCCCAGTATCAGAGCCAGACCGGTCTGTTTCCCCTTGCTGAGGGCAGTGCATATGGCCAGAGCCAGCTGAGTATTGCACAAGACTACCGCGGTGCTATCTCCCCACTTCCGCAGTGCTGGAGCGAAAATAGTATGGGCAGTGGTCGGCAGTTGGAAGGCCAGGGCAACTCTCAACCTCAGAAAGTGAATGATGAAAATGCCATGCCGCCCAGCTCGTCTATGATCTCGGATCTGGATGAGCATCTGTCGCGCAAGGCCAACCCTAACAAAGGCGCCAATCACGAGTGGTGGTTGTCGTCACCCGTTGAGCCCCCGCGGCCGCTGAAGAATTCCGATAATCGGAGTCTTCCTGTAGCTAGTAGTGGGGAGCTGGCATTTGTTTGATCTTTGGCTTCTCGGTCTCTTTTTTTCACGTCTTATATCTCTATATCTTTCTCGTTTTGGTCTTGTTCTTTGTTTCTGGCGTTCTCAGGCATTGCGAACATGATATCCATTGGCTTTTCTATGGTTGATTGGTTGGTATTTCAAGTCTTTTATACTAGTTGATCTGGTTTTGGTGCGAATAATAATATCTCTGCATCTGGATTGTTTCGGTGTATCAGGGTGCATATACACCGGACTTTAGGCGCGACATAGCTTTCCCTTTCCGCTTTAGTACTCACCCCTTGCCCCTTTTTGCTCACTGAGTAAATCTTCTTTTAGTATTCGTCTCTGAATGGTATTCCAAACACTGCGCTATTTAACATAGAAGCTAGGTTCAATAAGGGTCTTGAGGCCAATGTGATTGCAGACGGACCTTGGACCTATGATACTACCCAAGCGGAAGGCTCGGAGGATGCAAAGTATTCCACTGAATGGGACATATATTAGTACGGCACGAACTATTGATATGCCAGTGTTGAGATAGTACGAGACTTGTATACCTAGGTAGTGGCCACTGTTAGGATTCACTGGATGTCGCCTTCTTCGCAGTAATTTCCAACACTCTCGTGAGCGTAGTATGAGAGGCAAAGAGGAGTAAGTTATTCCCTATAGATAGAATAGTGTAGTCTTTTTTTTCCAATATGAAAGTCAGCCATCTTCCATCTTGAATATGGCGTGACTGTACGGTTGACTACTCTTGACTAGTACATAGCCCCTATTTACTTCCCCTTCAGCGTCAACGAGATACAAGACTCAATATACTAGATACTAACTACAGACAACAGACTTCTTTTCCCAAAAATATGCTCTCAAATCTCAAACTCCTTCAAAATCTCCCAGTAAACCAGTTCGACTCCTCCTCACGTGACCCTATAGAGCACGGCGTAACAAAAGCGGTAAACGCAATACCAGGAAATCTCTGCGAGAATCTCAGGACTCGGACTTTCTCCTCTTAAGCTTCCTTGAAATTGTCCTTTCAATATTATCTGCGAAATCCCTACCTCTCTTCTAAAACATCCAAGTACAGAGAGGCAAGAAATCCATCCTCCGTCGTTCCCCACTTATCGCGGGACCCAGACGCGCTGAAAGCCCTGCGCCCTCATCTGACCCTTTCCCTACAGCACCTCCAGCACCTCCAGCATTTTCCACACTTCGATCCGGAAACCTCGATTCCACCTCCCCCCGAATTATTCAATCTTTGCCAATATGGGTCAGACCCTATCGGAGCCGGTGGTCGAAAAGGTCAGTCGATATTTCGCTTTTTTGATTCACACCCCACACTGGCCCATTGTGACCCTCCAATGTCTTTCTATGGCTTCTAAACACACCCCCCTTTTCTTGGCTCTTGTCATACCCCAGAATCAGGGGGGTTATGGACCGAGTATCTCTCAGGTCTTCCAGTTGAACAAATCGTCCGTGCTGTCGCTCGGAGGAATCTTCCTCGGGTTGCCATGCGGGGTCTTGGGTAGTCCAGCTGTAGTGGGGGTGGTTCGACCACGAACTGGCATCGCGATCCTACCAGGCAGCCTTGCATATGTTGTGTGGAAAAGCATCGAGTGTAACTAACGTGTTATTTTTTGCTTGGTACAGACATCGTCCGAAGGCGGGGATGACTGCTGTGTGTATGGTGTGTCGGCCATGCAGGGCTGGCGAATCAGCATGGAGGACGCCCACGCTACAGTCCTTGACCTCCAGGCGAAGTATACCGGCACCGACGACAAACCGACGGATCCGGAACACCGTCTCGCCTTCTTTGGTGTGTACGATGGCCACGGTGGAGACAAAGTGGCATTATTCACCGGCGAGAACCTGCACAAGATCGTCTCTCGACAGGATGCTTTCGCCAAGGGCGATATTGAACAGGCCATGAAGGATGGTTTCCTCGCGACCGATCAGGGCTATTTTGGAAGGTTTGTGCTGTGTTGTTTCCGAGGTACCGCATGCTGGATCGCTGACTTGGGCCCAGACCCCCGTTATGAGGAGGAGGTGTCTGGCTGTACTGCTTCCACGGCCATTATCTCACAGAAGAAGATCTGGGTGGTATGTTATGGTCTTGGGGAAAAAAATCTAATATTGGATTGAAGAAATTCAAACTGACGGGTCATAGGCTAACGCTGGTGATTCACGATCTGTCTTGGGTGTCAAAGGACGCGCAAAGCCCCTCTCATTCGACCACAAGCCTCAGAACGAGGGTAAGTACATAGAATCATACAGGTCGCTACATGGAACACGATGGGGATCTGACAAAGAATTACTACAGGCGAGAAGGCCCGTATCACCGCTGCTGGTGGCTTCGTCGATTTCGGCCGTGTCAATGGCAACCTTGCCCTGTCCCGTGCTATCGGTGACTTCGAATTCAAGAAGAGCCCTGAGCTCTCTCCCGAACAGCAAATCGTCACCGCATACCCCGATGTGACCGTTCACGAGCTGACGAATGATGATGAGTTCCTAGTGGTTGCCTGTGATGGTATGCTTTCTATCATTACTCTCCCTCGCCAGTCTAAATGCTGACCCATATACAGGTATCTGGGATTGCCAATCCTCCCAGGCTGTGGTTGAGTTTGTCCGTAGAGGCATTGCTGCGAAGCAGCCCCTCGCCCAGATCTGTGAGAACATGATGGACAACTGCCTTGCCTCGAACAGTGAAACCGGCGGTGTTGGATGCGACAACATGACCATGACTGTCATTGGACTCCTACAAGGCAAGACCAAGGAGGAGTGGTATAACCAGATTGCAGAGCGGGTTGCGAACGGGGATGGACCTTGTGCTCCGCCCGAGTACGGCAAGTCTCCCGAGGAACCCGAAAGCGTCCCCACTTCTTCGTGCTGACGGCCAGTTCGTGCAGCCGAGTTCCGCGGCCCCGGAATCCGGAACCAGTTTGAGGATACCCCGGATGAATATGATCTGGAGATGGAGCGTTCCCGTGGATTCAGTGTCCGTTCGGGCCGCATTATTCTCCTGGGTGATGGCACTGAGGTCATCACGGACCAGAACGACGAGGAGCTTTTTGACCAGACCGAGGAGGACCAGGACCTTACCAACCAGGTGCAGCACGAATCAGGTACTCGGAACGACCGCCAGGCCACTCCGGGTCCTCAGGAGAAACAGGAGAATGGCAGCGGGACATCTGCTCAGATATCCGAATCCCCGGCTTCCACTGACGCCGAGAAAGAGAAGCCCGCATCGTAGACTATGAACTTGTGAACAGTCTATCGATTGGTCCTCCCTGTTTTGGTTTCAATCTGGTTTTGTTTCCCTTTACCTACTGTCAACGACCCTTCCCCTTGATTCCACGATCTATGCCCTGTTTTCCTCCCCCTTTCTTTGTTTTGCGATTAGTTATCGTCGGGCTCTGGTCCCGAGCCTGTTTACACTTTTTTTTAAAGCTCCTTCGACTTGAAATGGATATTGTCAGAGACGAGAAATGCGGCAAAGAGACCCAGACGGAATTGAATGAGATGAAAGACAAGAACTTTGAGATTTCCATGGGAGGGTCGATGTTGAAAGAGAGCCCTTCGCCGGGAGCCAAATGGGCCTCATGAAACACGTTTCTTATTTTATGCCATCACCACAACGAGATACCGCAGAAAATGCCCGCTATTGACGAGCCATTTACCTACACTTCCCTATCCGCTTTTCCTATTTTTTTTCGGGCTTTTCCCCCTTTCTAATCCCCCGGTCAATTCCCTATTCATTGATCTGTTGTCTGGTCTATATGAGAGTGAGTACTTGCTAGGGGCGCAAGCTGGTAGAGCTGGGTATTGATTGAGACATCGTCAGGGTGAGCAATGGGCAATGGCAATGGTCATTTACATACCCTTTGGCGTATATCTGATGCATTGAGCGTTTTCTTTGTACGTTGGTAGATGTCGTTTCACGGTTCTATTTTAAGCAATGGAGTTGTGAGAGAGAAAGTCTATGTTTGCTGACGTAGGTCCAGGGGAACAATGGGAAAATTTCTACAATTGAAATGCCAATCTCCTATTTTAGGGTGATATATGATAGTAATGGAGCACATAGAAGGATATTCACGATGTCTTACCCCCTGTATGTCTAGGGCTACCTAACCCACACGTGGTCAAGTGTAGTCAGATGTGCCAAGACTTAATTTGCAACATCATGCCCATATTTTCAATTCTCTGTATTGTAAGATTCAGCCCCGTACACTCTAAACCCCTGGAACCGTGGCTTATAACGGCGGAGTTGCGCCCCCACTCTGTTCCCAAACAGAAAAATACCAGTCTCTCCTAAAACCGGGTTGCCGTCATTAAGGGTTCAACATTCATTCTCTCCCTAATTCTCCCCATCCCCAACCTTTCATTCATTTCCCTCGGAAGAGAACCCTCATTTTATTCTCCAGGGCCAAAATTATAATGTCGCCATCTACCTCACCCGCCGGCAAGCGCAAGCGCAGCGCCTCCCACCTTCCCGCGCCCGTCCCCAAGAACGTCACAGCCGACCTCCAGCCGTCTTCACGCGACGCGTCCGGCGAAGAAGGCGGCGAGGACTCAACGGGGCCTGCCAATGCCAACTCCAACAGCTCCAATGGCACCCGCCATCCTTCTAAACGGGCCCGCAAGGCCGCTGCCGCCGATGCCGCAAGCCACACCGAGGTAAACGGGGTCGAGCCGGTCAACAAGGAAGACCCCGGCGAGCCATCTGAGACAACTGTCGCCAGCAGCGATATTGAGGGTGGCCCTCGGTCGCGCCCCGGTTTACATATCGACCTGCCCGAAGATGATGAGCCTGTTACAGAGGAGCAGATGGCACCCCCGGTTTTTGGACGCTTGCAGGATCCCGTGGGTTACCACACCAACCCACCCCCAACGGGTCGCCCAGTACGCGTGTATGCGGACGGTGTTTTTGATTTATTCCACCTTGGGTAGGTGATCACACGAGCGGACCGAGTTTTAGTTTTAGCCCCCAATTTTTCTCGGGCTGTGGACTTGCTTAATTGGGTAATAGTTACTGACTATCAATTTATAGCCACATGAGACAGCTTGAGCAAGCTAAGAAGGCCTTCCCCGATACTTATCTGATTGTTGGTGTTACTGGCGATGAGGAGACACACCTGCGCAAGGGTCTGACAGTGCTCAGCGGCGCCGAGCGCGCCGAGACCATCCGTCACTGCAAGTGGGTCGACGAGGTTATCCCCTGCTGTCCGTGGATTGTGACTCCGGAGTTCCTGTCTGAGCACAAGATCGACTATGTTGCCCACGACGATCTGCCCTACGAGGCTGCTGAGGGTGATGACATCTACGGGCCTATCAAGGAACAGGGCAAGTTCCTGGTGACGCAGCGTACAGAGGGTGTCAGTACCACTGGTATCATCACACGGTATGCGCCACCTCCCACATCAAATCTAATAGACCAAAGCTGACATACGCAGGGTCGTCCGCGACTACGACCAATATATCTCCCGTCAATTCAAGCGCGGCGCCTCACGCCAAGAACTCAACGTTTCCTGGCTGAAGAAGAACGAGCTCGAGATCAAGCGTCACGTTGCCGAGCTGCGTGACAACATCCGCAACAACTGGACCATGACCGGCCAGGAGCTCGGCCGTGAACTCCGCCAGATCTGGCAGAACAGCCGCCCTAACAGCCCCGCGCCCAGCGCCCGCAACAGCATGGACTGGGGAATGCGTGGGCCCCTCACCAGCCCGACAGGGGGCAGCAAGTCGCACCTGTCGCGTGTAGGTGCGGAGCACAACCGGGCGGATAGCCCCATGGGCTCGCGCCGCAATGAGGATTTTGCTACTGGGTACAGTCTTGGACTGATCGGAGGTGTGCGTGCTTGGGTAAGTCACCTCCCACAAAATCTATGGATATGCAGCGCCGCTTTATTCAGTGTTAACTCGTGCTAATGTGCTTCATACAGATGGCCCGCAGTCGCCAATCCCTTCAGGACCCCCCAGCGGCATGCACAGTCCCACCGACGAAGAACTCGAGCCCGAGCACAACAACGGCTACGAGGAAGAGGTGCGTGGTCGTGCCGGTCACGTCTCTGCGAAGTAGATGACTTGGTTGCCTTTGAAGCCATATTGTCCCGCCAAAGCTACGAATTGGTGTCCAGTTCCTGTAGTGTCAATTTACCCCCTTCCCCAATACACCTTTCCTCCTATTCCTTTGCATATGTATCCATCTTTTCATCTTGCATTCGGTTCGTGTCTTATACTTTACAAATTGTGCCGTAACTGGCGGCTTTTTCCTATGTCGGGCGCGTGGTGTCTTTTCTTTTTTTCCTCTTCTTTGAGTGGGCTGTATGCCGGACTTGGCTGGTTCGGCTTCGATACAGGCCTTTTGTCATTTGATATGTTCCTTTTTGTGATCTTTGCTTTGGTTGTGGTTCGGCGGTTTCAACGCTCCTCCCCTTAATACTCCAATGAACTTGTTCCCTGTTTGATGTGTATATGGCCTTTGATGAATGATGTTAGTTGGTCTGACTCATTTCATCTGATCATGATGATTGATCTTGGTCCAAGGCTATACTTTGCTGTCTGTTTTTGTTTATAAAAGTTGGATGGACAGCTGATCGAGGTACACGGCCTTGATCGTGTCCGGATATGGATTGCACATAGATAGAGATGGCTTTTGTTTTAGTTTCCGATTGCGTCAATTCAATTGAAACTTGGCAGATTACTGGATTTGATTGATGCGCCTTGTGTTTTGTATAGCATATGTTGTATGTCCTGTACAACTATATCTGTGGGCGTTTACCCTAAGACATACCTGGATCGGAGATCCAAATTCGGACCCGGGAGGGTCATAGACCTACCCTCCGCATAGCCTGGATATTGCCATGGAACATCCCGGCTCAGTGTGGTCTATACAAGTTATGCTCGCACTGTTCCAGCAATGACCATTTGAGCCCAGAAATAAAGCGCATAACCCACAAAGATCCGGAGCCAGCCCCGGCCCTTCGGCGCAGAAGATCTGCCAAAGGCATTCTTCGCGACAAAGAGATCGCTTACAACAAACATAGCGGCGCCCAGGGCTCGCGAGTGCCACCATTCCGTCGGAACGATCAAGGGAGAGGTGGAAGTAGCAGCGGCAAACATCGTACCGATGATAACGGCATAAACCGAAACCAACGGCTTCATATCTGGAGCAACAGCGAGGTCCAGTACATTGTTCCGGAGAGAGAAACGTGGCGGGGGATATATGACCCCCAACCATCTTGCAGCGCCCAGAGTCCCTACGAACATGACGGCAAACGTCGTCCAGGAGGTGTCGCTGGAATCCTGCAGGAAGGCCATAGTGTAGGCTATATGAGCCGCTGCGAAGGCGAGGATACCGAGCTGGAAAGATATGGATACATTTCCTTCTGATTTTGCTTCGGATTTGGCAGATGGGGTTTTGTTCAAGCCATGGAATTCATGGTGCGAAGGGATAAGGAAGAAGTCGCCCAGTAAGGAAAAGCCCAGACCGATGGTGATGAGACGACGGTAGTCTGTCCACTTTGTGGATAGGAGCAATGGACTGCTAAGGAAAGCCAGTGAGGAGAGCATTTTGAAGACGGCGGTGCCTGTGTGTGATGTGGATTTCCATTCTGAGAGGACTAATAAGGGCAGGGAGCCTAGTAGAAGGCAGGCTGAAGGTGAAATTGGGATATCCATAGAGATTTGAGGAGATGAGAGTGTTCAGATGGAGGAATTGAAGTCCTCTAATTAATAGCCTAAGCAGTTTTCTTGGCGATGAGTTGACCTGGGACATTTGCTTGTGATTAAACAAGTTAACAGTTTATATAAGTATGTTGTATAAGAATATGATATGAGCAAGTACGTATCTAAACAATAGGGTATCAATAAATCAATAAATCAAACAGTAATCGCCAATCTCATCCTCCTCCTCTCCTCCACCTTCTTCTTCCTCTCCCTCGGCCTACACAATATCCCCCTCAACGCCTCCCTCAAAAGCCCAACATCCCTAACCAACTCCCCCTCAACAACCCCCTTAGCCAGAAGATCACATCTGGCCGTAACCGCCAAATCAAACCCTTCCAACCCCCTAACCCTAAGAATGGGCTTCACCCACTCCTCCATAATCCCAAACGGAATCCTCTGGCCCGAAACCACCGCCTCACCCGTATTCCCAACAACACTCGTAAACCTCCCCAAATCCAAACTCAACCCCAAATCCCTCAACCCCTCGAGCGAAGCAACAATCTCCCAAAACCGCACCCACAACTCATCACTATGCGTATGCGCATATATCGACCCCTTATGATCCAACCCAGCCATGGGCACCCAGATCGGCATCCACTGGACAGTCAATCGGGCGATGGCATTCCGGGCGGCAGGGGAGAGCGACGTCGCGAACGCGATGAAGGTGTATAGATCGTCGACGTCGAAATGCGAGGCTTTGTACAGGATTGTCTCTGCTTCGTAGTAGATGGAGCGACAGACGCGCAAGAGGGCGCTGTTGCTATTGCTTAGGGTTGAGGGGAGGTGGGAGTGGGTGTGTGGGTAGAGGAGTCTGTCGCTGTGGCCGGGGACGCGGCCGTCGTAGATGCGCCAGCGGGCTGGGGTTGTAGGGCAGCAGTGGCGGTTTTGGGTTAGGGAGGGATTTGGGTGGTTTTGGTTTAGTTGAGATGATTGGGAGTCATTCTGATTTTGATTTTGATGGTGGTGGTGAGGCTCTGGACAACGGACGTGGCGGATTTTGCCTTTGAGTTGGACTAAATGGATGGTTTGGGGGCTTTGGGTGTTTGGGGTGGATGAGTTGGTGAGGACGTAAGACCAGATGATTTGGCGGAGTTCTGGGGGAGACGGAGGAGGGGGGATTGTTGAGGTTGGAATTGAAATTGGAATTGGGTTGACGTTGGTGACGTTGGTGATGATGATGATGTTGATGCATTCCAGTCTATATGGAGGTTGTTTGGGGAACAGATTGCACGCGATTGGATTAAATCACGGACGGTGTCGCGCCAGCGATGGCCAGTTGGATAGTAATGCCAGATGGAATAGGGATCACGAAGGACCCAGGTGTCGAAGTGGCGCATTATGTTGTAGATCAAAGTGTCAAAAGAAAGAATATGGGGAATATGGGGTTTATGGGGAAATTATGGGGGGGTTTTATGGAGTCGACTAGTTATATATACTAAGATAACTAATATAACTAGTAACTACCTAGGTAGTAACTAACTCACTCCCAATGCATCAAAATCGGGATTTGTCGGATTGTAACCCAATGACGTCGAGTTTGGAATGGAGATATTTCCATTTACTTCATGTACGGAGGTGGTAGGTAGTATGAAGGAGAAAGACACTCGGAGCACTCTGCTCCAGTGGCCAATCCAATTGGCACAACTCTCCAAGAATATATACAAAGCCTTCATGCAAGCCCAAAACTCAATTCCCCCTCTCCTCCCCTCTCTCCTCGTCAGTGGCGTCCTTGTATCCTCCAACATCACGATACTCCACTCCACTGCCACTCCCTTGTTGAACAGGACTCTCCTGCGCAAACGCCACATACACCGCACAGGCCAAGATAATCCCCGACCCAACCCAGCTAATCGGACTCAGCGTACTCCCCCAAACCACCTTGTCATAAAACACCGCAAAGAACATCTGCATATAAACCATCGATGTGGCACGTGCCCCCTGCGCCATGGGCTTCCCATCCGACACAGACGCAGGCGGGACATACGACAAACCCGCCGTCAACAAAAACTGCAACAGGAACCCGCAGACACCCAGCCCCGTCAACAGCGTCCACTCCACAACGGTATTAGGCACCCGGAACGGCACAGAAGGCACGGTCAACATCGCAACGAACGAAATAACCGTCGTCACGGACGAGAAGTACGTAACCGAAACGAGGGGGTGCGCACGACGGCCGATCATACGGATGGAAGTGTAAGCACCCGAAGCACCGAGCACGCCGAGGAAAGCGACGATCGTCGCCATGACATGGTGGTAGGAGTCTGTTTCGGAAGGGGGTCTATCGACCGTTGAAGTGGACAGGCCTAATGCCCAGGCTGCGGTGGCGGTTGGGGTTGCGATGGTCATGCTGGGGTCGCGCTTGCTGAAGGGGCGGGCGATGAGCACGACGCCGCCGAGGGAGATGAGGCCGGCGAGGAGCTGTTTTCGGGAAAAGGTCTCGCCGGGGATGAGGAGCGAGCAGGCGTAGCAGGAGATTATCGGGGAGAGGAAGGTGATCACGGTTGCTTCGGAGAGGGGGAGGTATTGTACGGAGTAGTAGAGGCCGTAGACGCCGGTGAAGCCGAAGAGGGCGCGGAGGAGGAGGAGACCGCGGACGGGGCGTGTGCCGAGTGGGGAGGGTGTAGAGGCGATGTACATGTATAGATAGCTTGCGACTGCTGTTATGGACATGCGGGCGAAGAGGATCTGGGGGGTGTTAGTGGTGTGTAAGGATGCGGAAATAGTATCTTTTTCTATCTCTTACCTGGAAAGGATGCATAGAACTATGAATCTCCAAGACCTGCGTCATGACATTCATCGAGGCAGCGAAAGCCTGCGCCAACAGGACAAGCCCCATACCCTTATTGCGCAACCACCATACCTGCCATGCATGGCGGGGTCGCGAAGCCGCGGCAATAGCGATGGCTTCCTCGTCGTCCTCGATAGGAATGGGATCTGACTGAGCCAGTGCTTGGGATTCGGCTTCGTCGCTTTCGCAGTAGCGTTCATCGTCGCGGTGAGTTTGCGTTGAAGACGATCTCTGCTCCGATCTCGAGTTCGATGCCGACTGCTCCACCCGGATCGGCAGGGGCGCGTCTGGATGATCCTGGTATTGACCAGTACCTGAGGCCGAATCAAGATTTGGAGTGGCCATGCTGGGATCTGTGATCCTGAGGTTGGAGGCGGTGCGGGGATTTTGTGGGGGAAGGATCTAGGCGATGACTTTTCTCTCTCTTCTGGAGTATCTCATAAATTCCGAATGTACAGTGTACTTGAGAAGAATATATGCAGATAAACAGTATAACCAAAGGGAAAGATACTACCTAGGTCGTCATATCTGCATTGCAGTTTGGTTAAAAAGAGATTTCTGCATGAAGTGGAGAGTGGAGCCCGTTGATTAACCGCTTTTCTTGCTTTTTGCTTTTCTGCTTTTTCGACTTTCGACATTTTCATGATTTTCATCTTCGAATTTATTTGATTCGAAATATTCTGGACATCTTGCCTACCTGGTTGCCTACCTGGTTGTGGACAACCGCTGTGTTAGACTACCTTATGTACGACTCCATAAACACCAAAAACGGATATCCGTTTCCCTTTACCTCCTGACATGACTGTATTGTCTAAAGGTACATATACACACAGGAATATCCGATTTTGATGCGTCTCTACCAGTTATATTACCTATTCAACCTTTTCTCTCGACATAATTCAAGATAGGCTCATACGGTTTCCAATGCACTTGCTTCATCGAGCTTGGCTGGGCCGTTGTTCGGACTAGCACAGTGGATTCCTTCATCCCCACAAATGGAGACTCATCCCACTCCCGAGGTATGCCAATTTACTGACTTGTCTGGCAAGGGATCAGATTCAGACTCGACCTGTTTCTCGATCCTTGTGATCAGATTCATAACCTCTCTGATTGAGATTGCGTGAAACTCCAGTTTAGATTGGATCTCAGTCAAGTCTGAAGCGAGAAGACTTGCTCCAAGTCTCCTGAGAGGAGACTTCTATTCTGCGTGTAAATAATCTGAGGTCAGAGGGGGCTAGTTCGACAAGTGAGGCTGAGGCATAACACTCTCATGCCCAATCATGCCATGAAGTCCGAATTTGACAGGGCGGACTATGTAGATCCCTGTGTCTTCTATACTGGTATTTTTTGGGGTTTGGTGATTATTCCCTAGTTAGCTACTCCGTACAAAACAGATTATGTACGCACCATTCTTTTTAAAACAGGCTCTCTGCGTTCGCAACATGGAAGGTTCTAATGTATATAGATGCCGGTTCACAATTGATTCGTGTCATAGTATGCAATTCATCCATGGGTTTCACCTGTATCACCTCTTATTCGACAAACAGCCTAGGACATGTAGTCGGCCCAGCAAGGTATTAGCTTTGAGATCGGAAGCACCTAGATACGGGTATAGTATTCTGAATATCTTATTCTTATAGAGCAGCTACAGGGCAGCTGTTATCATTAGGGATATTCCGACAACTAGAGACACCATGCATGAGAACAACTTCATAGTCACTAAGCTTCGGGCCTGGACTGAAAATCTGTCTTCTACACTCCGTGAAATCCTTTGCCGAGTTTATAGTCCATCACAATGACTGTGGCTTCGCCGTTGAGAGTGTGCAACTTGAATAGAGAAACAATCTGATCTTAGTATACATTGCCCCGAATCCACAATATTATTGCCGACCTAGAAACGCAGGGTTACTTCTTCTTTGTGTGAAATATCGAACAATTATCATAGAGAAAATGTACAGCGTCGTATTCAATATCACTTGAGCTTGGTAGTACCGGTATTCGGGTGGAGCATCCATGGATAAATAAACCAGGGAGCCAATGAGAGAAAATAAGAAAATCGTCCAATAGTTGGCTCGAACCCACGACCCACAGTCTAACCTAAGATGGCAGACAGCAGACCCACTTAACGCCGCACCTCAAGTCGTCGGTATCGAATCTGTAAGGGAAAAAAAAAAGCGCTTCTCTTTGATTATGTACGTTTTGCTAGTGCACGGGTTCGTACTAATCTTCTCTGTATATTTTCATATGACCATATGCCCCGAAGGGCAAAATATCTATCCCTCGAACTGTTTATAACCTCACTTCTCTGATTGTATAGAGGAAAGAATACTCGACCGTGATTCGCTGTTAATTCAGGACCCGTTCGCGCAAAGCGGGTCTCGAGCCCACGACGTTATTGGACAGAGTCACGTGACTCGCCGAAATGGCAGAACCAACCATATACTGCGAAAAGACCCCACACCCTAGATCCTCAATACTGGACCTGGAAGGAATAAAAAAAAATTGTAGCTTCTCTTTGATTATGCGTGTCATCCTTAGTGCAGGGGCCATGCTAATCTTCTCTGTATATTTTCAGTTGACCATATGCCCCGAAGGGCGAAAGGTCTATCCCTGAAGTTCCTTTTAACCTCACTTTTTGGCAGAATTACACCGCCTTCCTATTTGGGAGTGGGTGGTGAGGCAGGCACGTGAATGTGCATTACATAAGACTGCCTATAGTCCCAATTTGGAACGTTCCAAGGTCGGATCTTAGGTAGTGACCAGTTGGTTATGGACATGTAGGCACATGTAGGTTTATCGAGCTTTCCCAGGTAATGTAGAGTATGTTGATCCTGGCTTATTATGCATTTTCTATATATGATTTTCCCTATTGCACCAGCTTTCCTCAAACAGATGATGCAATCACATACTATCAAAGAACAGCAATTGGATGGTACACATCAACATGTGGAGGAAAGATATATCTACATGATAAATATATATGGCCTTCTTAATTGTCTCAAACTTGGAATGGTGATGGGTTTTAGCCATCTGATATCCTAGGTAATATATATAGGCAAACCCGTGCGTGAACATACTATATCGATAGTTCTGTGCATAAATGTATGTAGAGTCTAGCCACATCTCTCATCTCATATTCCAATGTCCCTCACTTCGGAATCAAAGCTAATAAGATAGATGGTACAACTCGGACTTGATATAGCCCTTTGGGGAGAAAATAGCTCAGAAACTGACTGGCGCAATACAAACAACAAAACAGATGAAGTGGTATAGAGGGATAGTCCATGACCAAAATAATATCTACCTGGAAAAGCATACTCAAGCTCTATTCATACAAAAGTAAACGTGTCACCCCCCTTCTCCCGCAACATATTTCCAGTCCTAGACGTACCAACAACACGCTCCAACTTCAGCGCATCCCACTTCGAGAACAGCGCACGAACACCGCCCTCAGCAGCCTCAATCAACGCCGCAGGATCAAGACCCAAGAATCCAACGATCTCGCCGTAGAACAGCGCGTTATCCGGGAGCCCGTACATGACCACACGCTTAACACCACGGACCTGGTAACGGCGGAAGTGGTGCGCGCGCTCGGTATATAGGAGCACAGAGTGACGGCCAGACATGAAATGACTGCGGGCACGGTTAGCCTCCTTCGACTCGGTGTACTCGGAGATAGCGCCAAAGGCGACGTTGGTTGTCTGCGTAGAGGTAGCAAAGTGGTTGCGCACGCGGACGAAGTCGAGGTAGGAGGGGATGAAGATGAGGGTGCCGGCCCCGCCCTTTCCGCGGCCGTGCGTGATATTCTTCACCAGCGTGGACAGGATAGTTGTTGTGAAGTGCTTGAAGCGCGCGTCGGGGTCTTTAATGGGCGATGTGCTGTCGATGCGGGTGAAGGTTTGCTTGACGGGGACTGCGAGTGGGAGCTCGGTGATGGCGCCGGCGTAGGTGGGGGTTGCTTTGAGACGGCCCGAGGCGTTTTGCATGTGGGACGAGAAGAGGGCATTGATCTCGGGGGTGATGTAGGATGAGACTACTACAGTTTGTCTGACGTGGCGGGCTTGATTATCCAAGTACCAGTTGCGGACGCGGCCGAAGTCGCAGCCGTGCGCTTGCTTCGGTTGCAGGTTCAGGTGCTGGAAGATGTAGTCGACGTGGTCCCAGTTTTGCATGAGCAGGGCGTCGGCGTGGTCGACAACTACCAGCTCGATGGAGGAGAGGAAGTCGTGGTCGCGTTTCTTGGCGTCGGACTGGTCCATGATCGTACGCAGACCCAGTGGACTGGCTAGGATGATGTCGGAGCTGTAGAATTGCGCGAAATATTTGACTGTCTTGCGCGTGAACTTGAGACCCAGTCGGAACATGTCGTCGTCATTGCCGCCGAAAAGCTCCCGGAAATCTTCAGTTTTGTGCTCCCAAGAATCATCATTTGGCGCTGAGAACGAGTCGGTGAAGCGCTTTTTGTTTTCTTGCTGTTCGGGCTGATAGATCCGGGTGATGGCATCGAGAACCTTAACACATGCCTGTCGGGTAGGCAGAATGTAAAGCACCTTAGGCCGGGTAAATCCTTGGTCACGGCACTCAATATCGGTGTCGGGGTCCTTGGCCAGACGGGCGTTGTTTTTGAGGACCTGGTCTCGGGTCTTCAGCAGGTGATTGACAGAGTGTAAAGCCATAATATCGCGCATCTCATTTGCATTGGAAGTAGTGCGGGCACCGTAGAGAACGTCTTGGTAGTTGAACACATATGGCGCGATGATCTGGGCTTGACCGGTGATTTTAGGCAGGATCTCGGCCGCGCGAGACTTCAATTTTTGCTTAAGCTGCGCATTTGCATGTTAGCATTGGGGCCAATATAAAACCCATGTCTGCTCTTCGTACCTTGATATTGGTTGTACTCTTCAATGGCGGAAGGATTGATGCGCTGCTTGCTCCTGTGTCGGGAACAGTATGTACTAGTCGTAGCCCATCCACCTCTTTCTTGACGGATGCCCATTTGTTCGATTGGATAGGCTCAATCTGCTTGGTCAGATCTGCACTCTCGCGGAGATCAAAGTGCTTCTCAAAAGGAGCAGATGGGTCCTCATCCTCGTCTGCTTCCTCCTCTTCATCGTCGGACGGCGCTTGGGCTTCCAAATCATCATCGCCCTGCTCTGGTTCCTCTGTGGGTTGCGCTATTTGAACCTCAGCGTTTGGGTCGGTGGTGATCTTGCGCTTCTTTCGAGCTGGTCCGCTTGACTCATTGGGTTGAAGTAGCTGAAGGAGTTCGTTGTAAGGGCGTTCAGTATTCTCGTCTTCTTCGTCGCTGCTGGAGCCCTCATCCATAAGGGTGTCATCACCCAATTCCTCTTGAGATTGCTCGCTAGCATCATCTTCTCCGCCAGAAGAGTCGTCTGATCTAGTACTAATTAGATACAGCCGTTAAAGACCTTCAGACTGTAAGAACTTACTCGGACTCGTTCAGTCGTGAAGTGGCAAAGGAGTTGCGACCTTGACCACCACGACCGCGACCTCGGCCACGTCCACGGCCACCACGGCCTCGAGCCCCTCTAAAAGAACCACCACGAGGAGCAGGCATATTTGGTATAATTAAACAGGTTGGAGCAAGTTCCCAAAGCTGTTCTGGCCGAAATGAGAATTTTGGGGGGCTTATCTTATCTTAGCGCGAAATTTCCCACACACAACAGATTCGGAACAATCAGAGCGGCTCACTCCACTTCCAAGGAAAAATTGAACCTCCGAGAAACGAAGGAAGTTTGGATCTTGAAACTTGCAAGATATTCCATCCATCTCCAAATCAATCATGGCCGAAGATTCTTTCCTTCATCTCGCTCGCCCCCTCGGCCCCGTTAGCGTGGGGACCGCTCCTACCACTGCCCCTCTGAACGTGGTCATTCAACCCCAGGTATGTTTGCGATATGTGTGTATGATCTGAGGGGTAAAGCTCATTCCTCAGGCCATCTTCTCAGTTCTCGACCACTCTCTTCGCCGCAATGCCGACCAGGAGCGAGTCATCGGTACACTCCTCGGAACACGATCTGAGGATGGAAGCGAGGTCGAGGTCCGATCCGCCTTCGCCGTCGGCCACTCCGAGGCTGAGGACCAGGTCGAAGTCGATATGGAATACCACAAGCAGATGCTGGCTTTGCACCTGAAGGCCAACCCCCGCGAAGTCTTGGTTGGCTGGTATGCCACTGCCTCTGAGCTCAACACTTTCTCCGCTTTGATCCAGAACTTCTACAGCGGCCAGGGTGATGGTACCTGGCCTCACCCCGCTGTCCACCTGACTGTCTCTACTGAGGCTGGAAAGGATCTCGAGACCCGCGCCTATATTTCCGCCCCCGTTGGTGTCACCGCTGAGCGTGCTGCCGACAGCGCTGCTTTCATTCCCGTTCCCTACGAGCTCCGATACGGCGAGGCCGACAAGAGTGGTCTTGAGTCTATCGCCAACGCCAAGGATGCTGAGGACCGTTCCACTTCCGTCACTTCCGACATTGAGTCTCTTGAGCGCGCCATTGAGGAGGTCCTGTCCATGGTTGACCGCGTCTCACGCTACGTCGAGTCCGTGATCGACGAGGAGACCCCCGCTTCGACTGCCATGGGCCAGTTCCTGCTTAACGCTCTCGCTCTCGCCCCCAAGGTCGAGCCTGCCGACATTGAGCGTGACTTGTAAGTTGAATCTGCATTACTTTCCCTGGTGCTCCTTAATGCTAACTCTCCACAGCAACAACCACATCCAGGACGTCCTGGTCGTTTCTTACCTCGCCAACACCGTGCGCACACAGATGGAGCTTTCTACTCGGCTAGCAACCGCCCAGCTTACCCTCGGCGGTGGCGGCGAAGGCCCCGCTACCGAAGGCCAGCGCAACCAGCGTGGCAAGGGCCAAGGCCGCCCACGCCAGGACCGCGCCGAGGAAGCCCGCGCATGAGAGGTTTCCCCCAGCAAAAAATGCTGATGCATAATGTGACCAATTGCGAGAGGACTACTCCCCTTAAAGTGAACGTCGATATCTCTCACGTTCTCTTCCCTTTCTATCTCACTCCTCCCTGACGTTATTACTTTTGGGTCTTTCGCTTCTTTGTTTACTATCCCTCTACCGCCTTCTTCCCTTTTTTCCTTTTTCCTTTTTTCCGGCTTCCTCTTTTCCTCGCGAGGCTTACATGTTCTCTCCGGAGCTCACGGACTACGGCCTGGTCACGTCCCATCAACGGCTTCCGGACTCGGTCTGTCTTGACGTCCAAACATGGTCTTGTGCGCATGGTGTTGTGGTATTGAGACCGATTTATTATCAATACGATTGGTATAACGTGGTGGTAGTTGATGAGGGTGACGATGTCGTTCCCGTTTGACGATAGAGAATATTCGGGGATGATGAGTCTAGACTGTTGAAGATGAGAGATGGATCTGCTGAGAACCCATCTCTCCGGTTTACGAAGTCGCATCTTTCTAGGCGCGGCGTTTTCAGTTATGATGAAATGGACATAAAAGTTCTAGAGCTTCTTCGTATTGTATATTTCCCATTTACTATTCCGACCATACCATAGGGGCTCTCGTTGTAGTCCTTGATCAATGATGTTTTGTATAGTTTCGATTCTATGGAGATATCATCTATTTCCTGTTGGCTGTAAGCCAAATAGCTCTTGGCTATTGGTTGTTAGCCAAGTTGATCTACATATCATCGTCAACATGTCAACATGTCAGAGTCAAGTTCCCAGTCTACGTATCTCATTCGCTGCCTACCATTGCTTGATAAAAGTCGCACCCTTCCCAGTGCTATTCTGTACTATGTCCCTTCCATTGACATGAGATCCCATTAATGCCTTAGGCCTATGCCGTGCATGGCTATAACTACACCCGAGTCTGCTTCTTGGAGGATCAATCTTTCCCCCTCTTGTCCCAACACTTTCATATAACAAGAGACCTCTATACCCAATTGATATTACATATATCAAGTCTGTCACTTTCGATTTGGACCGCAAGTCGGTTTGTGCTCATATCGACATGATTCCTGATTGATTACAGATAGAAGAAATTGTGGAATCAGGAAGAGCTACCTTTGATTCTCATGTTTCTTTCTCTGGCAGACCCAAATCACATTCCTTTAGTAATGACAGTCCTCTCTCATTCAAGTTAGGATAGTTGCGCAATGCGAAGAAATCCAACCAGAAATTGCGGGCCTCGGTATGATCGGGCAGGTGGCTACGAAGCAGATCTTTCCATTCTTTATCGTCTTGCCCCAGACCAATTCCTGCACAAGTAAATTCCCACCAAACAGGGAAAAAGGCCGAAGATTCCCAATCCAGGATCCCTGCCAGATTACCGTTCTCGACGATAATGTTAACATTGGTAAGATCGCCGTGAGTAAAAGTATAGGGAGCCGCAGTTGGCATCCGTTGACGCAATTTCGAACGAACTTGCTCCGGCACTTGATCATTCAAGGTTAACGACATCTCAGTCCATAGTTCATCGTCAGATGAAAACGGCCCATGCCCAATACCTTATGTATCCGGAAAAAGAAAGGCTGAGTAGATTGGCTGCCCGCCGATACTTACCATTCGGTTCGAGCGAAGCTTATGAAGTTGCATCGTTAAGTATTCAGCGGTCTGCTTTGCGACACGTTCTTTGTCGGCCGATGTCATCGTCGGCCACATTTCACTCAGTGGTTGGCCTCGAATCCGTTTGGTAAGAAGAAAACATGCCCCGTCGTCTTCCTGCCATTCTTCAACGATTTGAGGTATAGGAATTGAGGTCCTTGATGCCAAAAATCTGATATTTGGGGCTTCAAAGTTGGATGGCTCGGTAGATCGTTCTTTTAGGATCAGGTTTGAGCCTAGAGACCACACCCCTCGGTTGCTAACACCGTAGAAAAGGTTGACGTGGCTCTGGTAACGACATGCATCTTGACGTGTTGGTGACCAGCTACACGCTGAGCAGATGTTTTCAGTGGCCATTTGGCAAAGATTCGAATCTTTCCTTCGGAGGTGTTAGAATGTCAGATTTTGGTGGAGTTAGGAGCATATACTGAGGGAAGGAGGCAGCCTTCTGTGATCACTACTAAAGGGGATCTCGGCGGAGAAAGATGGTATGCGATTCCTATAGCATGAAGTGAACGGAGATATAGGGGGCGAGGAAGAGGGGGGGAAGACAGAAACAACCTGCCTATCTATAAGATCTGCCCCAGGCCTAACCCCACATCGGGCGCCTGTACCTTAGTGCGGCAAATACACCTTTATCGCCAAGGAGACCAACCATCGTTGATAATACAAATTGATCTTATGCATTTTGAATGGACGACTCTTGGCTCAGGACAACAGGCTCAAGCGTTGTGAGCAAATGCCGGACCATCTGTTTCCGGCTGAACCCGCCTGCCTGTGATACTCGAGGCTGAAGCAACGGTTGTTGATGAGAAAGCTGGATGGAGGACGCTTGGGCTTTATTCCTGAGATGCTCAGCCTTGATATTTTTGTTGCCTCGTTTATCCACTGAGAAACCTATCTATCTTTTGCTCCCCTGAAGGCTCAAATGGCGGACTGGCGTGGGTGCTGACAAGATGGCCTCGGGAGGGCAATTATCATAATCATCTGGGAGAAAAGTAGAGATTTCGAAGCTATGTTGGTTGGTTGAGTGTCCGCATGTCCAGGAATCCGCATCTGATGCTTCTGAGGACGCGGAATGCACAGTGGAGAATGCCAGTTGACGCACCATGCCACGGCTCTGGCTCCTGTATGCGACGCATGATCTTCTCGGAGACAGCACCCTCTGTTATGTGGACTGTCTGGTTAGTGTAAGTAGTGAATGAGGATGTCAGGGAGGAAAAACCTTGGAAGTGAGAAGCTGATATTCCATTTTCCTAAGTGGGGAAGGAGGCTGGTGGATCCGAACCTTAAATACTTTAATTTGACTATGGGGAACAATGCAATTGGTATAGTACTAGTACCCACGAACTCTAGAACAACATCATGCGATAAACTACTTCCAGTGGTTGTTGTGACACCATATTCGTGGAAATTCGGGATGAAACGGTATACTAGACAATTGGCGGTCCAACATCGAACAAGCCTCAAATTTGCGATGGTGGTGTTGGGCTCACTCTTCAAAGGTTGTACATAGAGATATCGCTTTCACAAATCAAGCCTTTTCCCCCACCATTTTCTAGTGTCTGCCCAATAAACTGAGCAGGGGAGATGATATCTATATAACTAGATATCTAACAAGACTATCTTAACCAAAAAAGACCACTAAAAAGACACGAAAAAGATTATTAGAGAAGACTACCTGAGATCACCAGACTACGACCACATAAGTGGCCGACTATTCTTGTCTATGGTAAATAAAGTGAGCATTGCAATTCAAGTATCCGTTCTCATTGCATTTTCTGGTTATTTCATGGTTAAAAAGTAATTGTACATTGGTTGGTAGAAAGGAAAAACACGTTGGGCATAAAGTCATGTTCGTCGTGACCCACCCACAACAACACCAGGGCAGGAGTAGGCGGGGATTATTAAGGGTACATATTCAGCCGATCGTCTTGCGCTTCTTCGAAACCGACTCCTCAGTAGCATCAGATCCTCGACGGATCGCAGCACCTCTCTTCCCCTTACCCTTGCTCTTCTTGGTAACCGTAGCAGTAGCAGCAGCTTCAGCAGCCACGGGGTCCTCACCAGCAGCAGCAGCCGCGGCCGCAGCGGCAGCACCCTTCTTTCCAGCTTCCTTGGCAACCTGGTCATCATTCTGGTCAAATGCCTTGCGGGCTTCCTTCAGTTCACGTTCCATGCGCAACAGCTCCTGGACACGACCGAGCTTATTCGGGTCGCGACGTAGTGCGAAGCGGAAGTCCTCGACCTTGATCTTCTGACGGCGGGCGTGGTGCGCGACTTGCGCGGCACCGTGGCTGAGTTCCAGCACAAAGTCGGTGACGATTTCGTCCAGCACGCGGACTGTCTCAGGAAGTGGTTCGTTTGGGAAGCTCGGGTGCGGGCTGGGGTCGCCGTAGGCAAGAAGCAGCAGGCGAACTATGAAGATGGTTAGTATTGGGCTTGGCTTGGTAGTCTTCATTGATGGATGCGCGTGAGCTGCAGGAACTTACGCTCATTCTGGAAGTTCATTTGGCCCTTGTGTCGGGCCATCCGCGCGCGTGGTTCGGCCATGGCGGACTTGGTTGCGGGCTCTTTCTTGCCCTTTGCTGTGGAGGTAGATGTTGTGTCGGCTGGTTTGCTAGACCACTGAGGTTCGTATCCAGCACGGATTAGCTCTGTGTCTTGCTCATTGAAATACCAATTTGGTGAGAGCCTGGAGACAAGATTTTTGGAGCTAGGTTGGCGCGACGGATTGCGAGTCGGGCTGGGCAAGCCAGTCCTTGTAGTTAACAAGGAGCTGTTTGGGGTGTGCAAGTGACTACTTGAAGGGGAGAAGGTGTTTGGAGTTGGAGTGTTCGGAATTTGCAGCTGGCAGTTTGGAGTGGGTGACGCGGTGTTTGGGGTTTGGTAGTGCGCGCTCGAGATTGGAGTTGACGTGTCTGGAGTGGGCAATCCAATGTGTGGATTCAAGACACGTTGCGGTGTTGGCGTGGAAGGAGCTGCTGGGCTCTGGTCCGGCAGGGAAAACGATACCCGCTTGGACATTTGGCCTGTGCGTTTGGCGGACATGGCGGGCAGAATATGCTATGGGGTTGGTTAGCAACCTTGGCACATGCAAGCTATCTGGCAACTTACTGTCGCGATTCTGTTTCTTTGCCCAAGTGACGGGCGAAGATTTCATAGCTACACAAAATGGTGAGTTCAAGCACATGTCAGGATTTATGGGACTGCTCAGTGGTGGGGGAGCATATGTGACTCGGCGTTTGCGTCGGAGCCACAATGACAGTATGATCACAATGTGCTAACTGTCACACTCACCTAGTCCGCTCTTTTCAACTTCCAGTCCTTGCTTCTTGTGATTCTCTTGATAATTTGCACGAGTAGCTATGCGCACTCGATAATGCCCGGGATTATGGACCGGAACCAGAATGGGTAGGTGCTCACTTGAGGATGTGGATCCGGAGATGCAGAAAGATGGGAGACTGACGGTTGCCTGGTTGTAGAATCTTTGGGATCTTCTGGAAGTGTGCTCGAGTCGGAGAGCGACTAAGTCCGTACGTCAGCATATGCTGTGTCGTGATGGCAGTAAGTTCGCAAGTCCACAAGTCCAGAGATGTATGAAGAAAGATGCTGATGTCGGATGCAGGTCTCAATCTTCTTCGGTGGTTAACCTTGCTTAAATCTCAATGGGCGTTCGAAGGGGTTTTTTTCATGGGGTATCAATAGGTTGTGGTAGTCCCCGACTTTGTGTCAATCAAACCTCAAGTAATCTTAGGGTGAGGATTATGAGACTACTCTTCCACTCCATGTGACATCTCCAGATGCAATGAGACACTCAGACGACCAAGTTCATGATGATGCAATGTATAGTACATGATATCCAAATTTACAAAAAAAAAGTTCAAAGCCACATCTTCAACACCAATGCGTCCGAAATGCTCCCAGGTTGCTTGGCCCACAAAAGGCGACAATAAAAGACAAATGGGTATCCTATCTTACATCTTAGGCTTCAACTTTGACTCCAACTTCTCTAACCCATTGTCAATGAGCTCGTCTTGCTCCTTCTGATCAGTGTGCACATCAGATGCGGGCTCGAGAGTGAGAAGCTTATGGGTTCCATCAGAATTAAGGCCCTCATCCATCTCCTCGATCGCCACCCAGAGGCGTTTGGGGTCGCGGAGATAACGCAAGCTCTTCATCGTGTAATGGTCAATGGCGAAGCCGTCCTTTTCCATCTTCTTGATTGCATTAGCGGTTTCCGGGATGTCCTGTGCATTCGCGTATCCGTTGATGATGGTGTTCCAAGTCACCTGGTTGTACTCCACGCCGTGCTTGGCCATCATCTCCTTGACTTTCTCAGCTGCATCGGGCTGGCGACTGTAATTGAAGGCACTGAGGAGGATGGTCCAAGTGCGAGGCGTGGGGGAGATGTGCTTGAGAGGCTTGCCGGCAGTAGTCTCTTTCGGCAGGGCAGATGCGTCAAGCATGTCTTCGACGAGACGTATGCTTGACCGTAGTCCACGGCTGCTCTTGCGGAAGGCGATGAGGAATTCATTATAGACGTGGTCAGTTTCGACCAGAGGGGCGATCGATGGGTGGCCCTGCTGCACGAGCTCGCGGAATCTGTCATACATATGATGCACTTGCGATATCCGATTCCTGCAACGGAAGAATGTTGCTATCATGAGGAATAAGGATACCGGAGAAGGTGGGGTTTTGACTTCAAGTCCTTGAGTTGGCGGCGCTGTATAGTGGGGAGGGAGTAGAAGGAGTTCTTTGAGCGGTGTGATGTCGTGGATTTTGTTGTACATGTCCAGCATAGAGTAGAAAACTCCTGAGGGGTCGCTCTCGGGGTCAATATGCTTGGCGGTAAAAGTGAAATGGGCGTGGAAGATTTTGCTGAAAATGTATGGGTTGTTTCGTATATCCTCTTGCATCTCGACTTCCCGCACCAACTCGTCCACACGACCCCGGTCGCCTCGAGACACCGCGTCAGTGAGGAGTGTCAAGTATGTATAAGAATCAAAATCGTGGTGGTGATTCTTCATGAACTGAAGCATGTCCGCGCCCAATTGAGGGTCACCGGTTTTGTAGGCATTGGCGAGCACGACATTCATCATGTCTCGGTCTGGCTGGACACCCATTTTAAGAAGCCGTGGGAGGATCCGGAAATTGCGTCCTCCAGCCTTATCCTCAACAGTGTCAAGGGTCAGGAGCTTGCAACAGTGCCGTAGGACTCCTTCAGAGTCCATGGAAAATTCAGAGTCATTGATTTTGGGAATGAATTCGAGGGCCCTGAGGGCATATTCGACGTCATTCAACTGTGTGAATCGGTACATGTAGCAAAGTGCTGTCTGTGCTTCCATCGTGATGCCTCGCTCGTTCATTAAGCGGAAACTCTCATAGACACCTAAGAAGCCTGCTCGGCGAATATAGAACCGTATACCTTTTTGTGGTGGGGAGATAATTGGCCAGTCCTTCGGATCCAGGCAAGTCGCAACAACCGATTCGAATGTGTGGGCACCCTTCGTCCAATCCCGGAGCTCTTCATAATGAAATTTCTCCAAGTAGGCCAAACAATCGACAACCATAGTAAAATCCGGTTTATCCCGTGGCTCGGTCGTGACGAGTAAAAACTCCAAGGCCATTGCCGGGTTATTTTGCAGCAGCCAAACGGCCAGGCGTTGCCAGGCCCAGGCTCTGGTAGCACGGTTCATTGCCAGCCATGTCTCTCGAAACCTGCCTTGACAGTCATTAAGTAGCAAGGCTAGCAGTTGCTCGCCATCTTCTCTCAGTTTTGGCAATGCAGCTTTGTGCAAGACCTCACGGCCATATGTCTTGGCCTTGTGAATTGCGCCATATGCCTCTTTCCACTGGCGGAGTCCCAGATCACGCGTATAAAGCGAATTCATTCGCATTGCAAGCGACAGGTATAACCCTCGATCGGTCAAATGTCTACCCTTGTTCAAGATTTCGCGGTTGACTCTCTCGGCCGCCATGGCCACAAGCTTGGGATCGGCTTGTCGCACATAGGCGACCTTCTTCATTTTGTCATTTGTTATAATCGGTGTCGGTGACGACTTTCGAGATTGGATTGGAGGCTTCGATTGTCCATGGCCCATGCCATACCGATGGTTTGCGACCTGATCCGATTGTCCACTTGTCGGTGAATGTGAACTGTCCGTCGAATCGCGGTTGTGTTGATATGACATGGGGTCAGGAGCATCATGTGTTACGCCGGGCTCTAAGATCGCTGGGGCATTGTATGTGGAGAGGCGCACTCTATGACCGACATTCGCTGTCCCCGACTCCCGATACCATCGGCCTGCGCTCCGACATTGTGGTGAGAGTAACCCGTTGAGACGGGACCGAACGAGTTGGTGCGGACACGATGACATTCAGAAGCTTGTATTCGCAGACATCGGGGAAGAAGACCAAGACGAAGAAAATAATTCAAGTATGGCGCATGGGGGAGGAGTCAAAGTCCAATGCCAGACAGAAAGTTGAATTCCGCATTCCGCCCGATTTTGCCGTGGCTAGTGTGTGGCGCACCACATCTACTTTTGTCGCTCCATCGTCCTTCAACTTCCAAGCAGCGGAGGAACTTGGGATTTTCTTCCGATTACTTCAGTCACTTTACTTTCCGGTCCTCAAGCCCAGATATACTCTCCGTCATCAGTTCAATTATCACTCAAAAACATGTCGTCAAGCCATGCCAATCTTGATGCGGCATCCATCGACCGCAAAGCCCGGCTCGCCAAGCTCGCAGCTCTGAAGCGCAAGCAACCCGAACAAGACACAAACGAGGCCGTTGCAGAAGACCGGGATCTGCCCGATGCCGACGCCAAGCCAGATGTAACTGCAAAATACCTGTCCGGCCGCAACTACGACCCCGAGACCCGCGGGCCTAAACTGGGCTTCGAGCAAGGCCCGCACGAGGGCCAGGTTACGCTGGAAGCACAGGCGGCTGAAATTGCAAGGGCCACAGCGGAGCAAGCCAAGGAGGACACGGGTGCCGATGAGCCCATTGATCTGTTCAAACTACAACCTAAGAAACCCAACTGGGACTTGAAGCGCGATCTGGACGAAAAGCTCAAGACTCTCAATGTACGGACGGAAAATGCAATTGCCCGAATCGTACGGCAGAGGGTAGAGGATGCGAAGCGTGCTGCGAAGGCACGGGGACCTAAGTCTAACGGAGACGAAGAGGGAGAGGAAGTGGGCATGGAGGGTGAGACGCTTGTTGAGGGCATCCATATGCGCGAGCGAGAAGAGAAGAGCGACGAAGAAACGATTTGAACGTGATACCCTTGGTTGCAGGAATGTGAGCGTCGTCTAGGTCTTCTGCCTCCACCTGTAATTGTCTATATTCTGTCCATTTAACTTATTCCTTTTTGTTGTCTTGGTTGAGGCGTCCAATTGATGCCATGGGCATATTGCGCACAAAAATGAGGCGTTGGGAGGTTTGCCACTTAAGATTCTCAATGGGCATGTATCTCAGTGTTCTCAGTGTCGTCAGAAATCATTATTGGATTTTTCTCTCATTTTTTTTTCGTTCCGCTGTCGAGAGACAGATATTCCAAACTCCGCAATGAAGATGCTAATGATATACTCGGTCATGTACATATCTGACGGAACACGAATTGGCGCCGTGTCCCCCATCAAGATCTTGCGCCGTAAGAAGCCCCAATGTTGCAGAGCAGTTTTTCAATTCAATTTTACCGTCCGTTATTCATGGCTTGAGTCAAAGCAAGGCGCTTACTGAAAGGACTCAAGCTTCGTTCCCGAGGAGGCTGATTCTTCTGCATTATGGGATCAGGCCTAGACCGTCCATGTTGAGACTGGCGTGGTGGGCTTGCTCGATCACGGTATGATCGGTCCTTGGGAACATCCTGAGCCGTAGCACGTGATTCTTCCACTCGATTCTTATCCAAACTCTTGCTTCGGCGGTCTCTTCGCTCGCTATGTCTTCCCGCTCTACGGTGACGACCTCGTTCTTCGGGGCTAGATTCTCGTCTCCGTCGCCGAGTGTTTCGATCATCAGTTCGCTCCCGGGAGGGTGAGCGGTTCTTTGGGCCTGAGTGGACTGACCCAGAAGAACCCTCGGTAGAATCACTGTAGCGTCTCTTTCGGGACTTTGCTGGCGGTGCTGATGAATCATCTCGGCGACCTCTGTCGGCTGCACCGTGTTTGTTGCGGCGGGGAGACGAGGAATAGGATCGATTCGTGGATATCGTTTCCACAGAGAGGGACCTAGCCCGCCCCGGAGACTGAGCGTTGCGATCTGTCATATCGTCAAGGTCTCTCTTCCGGCCACGCTCTTCCTCCCGGGTAGCAAGTAGTTCATCCGCTACACCCTCTCTTCATACAGGTTAGCGTGTATTCTCTTGAAAAAGAAAGTGCGGAAAAGACAAATATATATGTGAACTTACTTCCGTAGCAGCTCATTTGGATTCTCGCTTGAAAGTTTGGGCATCAATTCTGGATTCAGTAGCTGCTGAGTTCTTGAAGGTCGCGGGATGTATGGGCGCTCTTGTGCGGATGCCTTGCAATCAAAGCTATAGTGTCGTGGATCGGAGTTAGTCAAACGTCTGAAAATCAAGTGAAAGAGGGTACATATCTCGTCCGAGGCATTTTTGGCACAGTGTGGTCGCGGTGGCCTTGTTGGAGTTGGAGCCTCCGAGCCTTGGGGCGTTTCGATATCGGTTCATTGGAGCTTGTGACGTTGTAGGTTTGCGTAGAAGCCTGGATTGGCAGGTGCTTTAAGTTTGAAATAGGGGTATTAGCATGCCCACGATGAGAAACACAGGCAAAATCCGATGTAAAGCTGATCGGCGCAAATTAGTGGTTGTTAACCTCTGAACCCCAAGGGAAATTGTAGGCGCGCGCCAAGGGCGGTCGGGCGCGGCATAATACCCACGAATCTTCAGGCAATCAAGAAATCAGAAATCGGATTCCCAACGCTCCTTCTCAATCCCGGAGTTCATTGTCAACGTTCAACTCATCCATCTCGGACGGATGATCTAGGGTTGAACGGCTCTTCAAATACTCGTCGGATCTGGGGAATCCCGTCAAAACTCAGTACGAGATCTTCATCTCCCTGACTATGAGCCAGCTTTGATATCATGTAAGGCCCCGTTGCCTGATTTGGGTATATTTCTTGCTTCATTGAAGTGGATATTTCTTCTCATTAGAATTATGGATCTCTTTTGTGTTCTCACCATGCACGGTGCTAATGCGCACTCTCTACAGCTTTCTCCATGGCGATTGCCCTACCCCAGAGATATGTCTTTCGTTTTGGGCTTGTGTGAAACGAAATTACGCAGCGACATTACTTTCAACCAAACAAGCTTCGACCCTCTTCACACTTGCGAATCCGAAGCGTGCTGAGTCCAGCTGCTGCTTGACTTGATCTCGGATTTTCATTTTTTTCATTTTTGAAATTCAATCATTCTCGGCGACCATCCCGCGGAGTATTGTCATGGCATCAAAAAGTCCCCCAGGTGGAGACAGTCCTCTCTCCTTTGCAAAGGTAAGCCAAGAGTATGCTCCACTGCCTCGTGGCTCATCGCTAATTCTGTGACAAGATTGCCGCTATGCCCGCACCCCTCAAGCCACATTCTTCCTCCGTATCTGATGAAAATGAAATATGCCAGCCAGCAGAACAACCACCTTGCTCAGAAGCAAATGGCTCCGGTGCAGCTCTGCCCAGCCAGCATAATCTCGACAAAACGCCAGAGGCTAGTTCCATTGATCTTGCTGTTGATGATCTAGGGAGAGGTGTGCAAGATATTGGCCTCACCTTGAAGAAACACAGTGATGGCCCAAGCTCTCTCGCTGGTGGCCAAGACAATAGCTTGCTCAAGCGCGAGAATTCTTTTGAAGATGATCGCACTCATCTTTCTACCTCATCCACAAAAATGACCAACTTCGATTCCAAGAGTCTTGCCTCGGTGACGACATTTGCAATGGATGAAAAGGATTCTGTGCGTCCCGATGACAGTGCTAGTGTCCAAGCCATTGATGAAGAGGAGTCGCTTTCTGGACTTGCTTCTGGGGCTCCAAACTCAGTGGCAGGCTCCGAAGCTGGCAGTCGCGCGTTTCGAGATCAGTATCGAGATGGTATTCCTACACGCCCACGCGGGATTTTGCCCGTGCCTCCTCTCTTTGATGGAACGCAGCCGGCAAATGGCACGATTCCTCCGGATTCAGTCGCGAATAACTTTGTGATTCCAGCCAACTCTAATGGCATTGAAGATGGCCAGATCCTACATGGATTTCCCTTGGAGCCGGATGAAAAGCTCCTAGAGGCAATGAAATCACCGAAGGATCGTCTGCTGATCCTGCAACTGGAGGAAAAGATTCGGTACTTTATCAAGGACTGCAATGAACAATCTCTGGAGTTGCCCCCTTCGAACGCGTTTGGCCGACTTCTTGCACACAAGCTGGGGGATTACTATCACTTAACACATTTTGTCGACAATAATGTGACATCGGTCAGGCTTCATCGCACACCATTCTGCCGGCTACCCACTCCTTTATCTGATATACATGCTGCCTGCAATAGCACTCCTCCTCCAGTCGTTCCGGCAATGAAAATCATGCGCCGAAACGATGGAGGGCAATTCGAAGGAAGTATTGGAGGTTCATCGAATCCTTCAAAGGCTAACTCGGAAGATGGCGATAGTGGACCAGATGGAGAACGCCACGGATCTTCATCCGGCGCTACGCCAGCGAAAGATCGAATGGCTTTAACTAGGGAGGAACGGGAGGCTAAATACCATGAAGTACGTGAACGGATCTTCCGTGATTTCCCCGACAGTGCCAAGTCGGATCCGGCCAGCGGTGATTCGAACCCCAACATGTCGCGCTCCAGCTCGGCAAGCGGCCGCAAGAAGAACCAGAGGCAGCGAACTCCCCATGATGACAGCTTTGAGGTTCGCTCGCAGTTCAACGCCTACTACCCGGGGATGCAATATGGAAATGGTACTGCCCAGTACAACGCTCCTGTAAATGATGGCTCATACCCCAACCAAGTACCTTACTTGGTCGGACCTGGTGTGCCGCCACCCTCTGGCGGATACATGCCATCTGGTCAGAATGGTGCCATTTATCCTGGACAACTGAACATGAACATGAATGCTGTCTCCCAGTATCCGGCAATGCCGCCCCAGGTGGCCTCCAATGGCTCATGGCAAGGAGGAAACATGCCGCAGCAATCCCCCTATTCCGGGTATGCTTCGATGAACCAGCCGTCCTCGAACGCGTCCTCGCCGGCAATGAACAACTATGCCGTGCCCAATGTGGCGCCGTATCAACAAACCCCCAATTGGAGCTCGCCTCCTTTCCCCACAAATTTCCAGCAGTCCCCGCACCAGCGAAATGGACCTGTCCACTGGCCCAACTATCCTCAGCAGCCAATGGCTTCCAACATGCCACCCAACATGCCACCCAACGTGGGTCCTAATATGCCGTCCAATATGGGCGCATATCCTTATGCTCAATACCCCGGGCAACATATGAACCCTGCTCTTCAACATTCTGCTGGATCCCATGCAGCAATGCAGGCAGGATATGCCAGGTCACACTTCAACCCCCAGACACGCTCATTCATCCCCGGCGGTGCTCCTCTCGGTCGTCACCCGAACAAGAGCCAACACACAATGCAGCCGTATGGTAACATGCAATCTGGTGTCCAACCACAATGGAACGGGTATCCGGAACCCGTCCCTAACCGGACCATGGACTCCACCCCGGCTATGAATTCCAACCGAGTTCCCACCGGTCCGCGAGACTCGATCGCGAAATGGGGCACTCCAGCTCATCTTCCCCCAAACCCCCGCCATCCGAAGTCCCCTCCGACTTTGACCTGAAGAACCGACCCGTCCCGGCCTCGGTTCCGGCCCCAACATACAGCAGCAATGGACCACTTGTAGTCTCGGGAGGCACCACTGTCTCCAAACCGAACTAAAGAACTATGATTTTGGTCGCATATCTACTATTTGTGTTGTATCTGACTGTGACGTGTTCCTTGGACCTTTCGAAGTGGGGATATGAACTATTGTCCCGTAGCATATGGGATAAAGGTTCATCTGTTCACCGGCTGTGTTCCAAGATTTGCATCTACAGTACAATGCATGGCGATATGGGTTCTTGTGCATGTACCTAGTCGCTCTTAGCTAGTCATGAACCTGTTCAACTTGTGCTTTTTTCTTTTCTTATTTACCTATTTGCCTATTCGTATGCGCCTGGCAACCGTTGCCTGCCTATGTAGACTCCATGAATAATTAAGCAAACCATTAGCCTTATACTCCATATTTCACAACAAACACCACGTCAAACTATGTCTTGCCCTCTCTTTGAATAAAAGGATGGAATCCCCAATTACTATTTGATTTGTACTTTATTATCGAATCGAATACTAGCAATTATGCAACCTTAGTACTTCAAAGTCCCTTGTTGAGAACCCTTGCTACCTGTTAAGATCAAAAGACTCACGTCTTGTTTTTTTCCACCATTATGATGTCCCCTTCCGGGCCGTTCCGGGCCGTGTTCCGGGCCATGGCCCAGGTTCCGGCTTGTTCTATAAAATTCAATTTTGTCACCACCTGTTCAGATCGTTTCGATGATACGATAGTACGTTGAACGCAATGCCCATTAAATACGATTCAATACGATGAACGCAATGTCTCATTTCTCGTCCCCCACCTTCGTTTGCCGCTGCCTTAAGCCACTGGAAAATTATAAATACCTGGTCCTGCCCCCCGAACTTCCTTCTCTTCTTTCTTTCTTCTCCATCCTAGTGCAAGGGCTTAACACGTATCAGTGAGGAGAAATCCGAGATCGTGTTTTTGCTGGTTGAAAACTACCTAGCCTTGACTGCTTCAAGTGGGCCTTCGGGAACCTTGGGAATTTTTGAAATACCACTGCCTCAACTCCTTGACTTCTTGGTCTTCGAGTTGAACTTGATGCTTCGATGGGAGACCCTTCAGTCACCCTCGAGTATCTTGAAGTCTTTTCACTACTTGTTACCCATGCTGGTGGCTCTTAGAGAAGAGATGATTCGTCTTCCTCATGATCATGTCCCTTGAATAAAACCCCCCATATCTACTACCTACGTGTCTCACACGGTCCAATCTCGTACGCATCAACTCAGTGCTACGCAGTAGTAACCATCGCGGCCCAATGCCCATAAGTAAAATGCTCACACCACAAATATACCGCTTAGATCTCCACTTGTTCTTCACGGGAGTACTAACATCAGCACTCCCGCTCTCATTTACTTGTGCTTAATCGTGATGGACAGCTTGCTTATTGGTATCCGTCTGTCAACCTCCAGTGTGCAATCCCGGCCATCAACCTGCAGTGTGCAGTCGCCGTTGTCACGCTCGATTGTGCTTAGTCGCACGGCTATAACTTGTTTGTACGTGTAGGTCGTAGGTGGTGGCATTTGGTGTGTATTTTCTTCGGTCATCGGGACACTGATTTTAGGGACTGTCTCGCTTTGCGTTGGGCTTTTTGCTATCCTTGGTTCGCTAATCAAATGGTCAAATTTGCTACGTGGACTGGTGGGTTGATACTGATATTTCATACTGAACTTTTGAGGGGCTCCGAGATTGGTTGGTATATTGATATGAGTTCTCATTTTATGAAGTCCAGGGAGTCAAGTCAATACTCTTTTTGCTTGCATGTTGATCTTTGGCTCCCATGTCTGTTGATATCATGGCTTGACGACCAGCTTACGTCCACATATATTGAGATCGTGACTCCCGACATCATACCTTTACACTTGGACATTAAGTGTACGGGGAGATAGAAATAAATCATCGAAAAGATTTGCAAGATATACTACCTAGTTTCTCGTTCTACAGCACTCGAAATTGCATACCTGGATGTCTGAAACAGCCTGTTTCTTCCCATAGTATACGCCTGAAACCTGTCCCTTGAGCCATTCTGGAATAGACACTCCCAATTCGAGCCGGCTGAAATTCGCAATCCAGCCATTGTACGATAGACCGTCCTCTTCCGAGAGTGGAGTCTCATCTGCAAAGGTTCGCGCCAGGTTAAACGCTGTATGCTCGAACATATTCTGAGTGGGCCATCTTGGGTCGTCGAAGCCGAGCGTATCGATCGATATCACCGTAAAATGCCGCAACTATAATCAGAAGGTCTTTGTTGAGAGTTGGAAGGTCGGGTGTGAGTGGATTGTAGAGCATCGGCCGAATCTCTTCGTCTTTAATCGCGAAAGGCGCTGGCTCGGGGTCTGTGTCGTATTTATCCACACGCCGGTCTTCGCCGATATCGCAATTTCCATCGTCCATCGCCCAGTGTAGGCCATTGTACTGCGACTTCGAGTTCCGCCCCTGTTGAACGAGAATCGAATATGGAGATATGACCGGATGGCCGTATCACTGTTCAGGTTTCCAGGAACGGGAGTGAACAGCTCTGGTACAATCGTCCATGGCATTGTGCTTGACAGCAGCTTTCATGATAGCATCATAGGTGGCCACGTAACGGCTCTCGCGTGCTTCTTCCGCAATGTGGTAATCGGGTAGGTGATCCAACTCGTGAAAAAGATCTGTATAACCCGCAACGGCACATGCACGACCAACCACGTACTTCATGTGATCACATGTCGACATGCCTGAGGCCATCCGATAATCTATAAGATGAAACTAATTTTACCACAAAGTACAAAGTACCATAAGTAGCAACATCTGAGAGCGATGGCTCCCAATGCCAAGCGTATTCCAATCGGCGTCCGGCATCCTTTGCATGCACCTTGTAGATCTCCTTTTCACGGTCATACTGCTGGTCCCCCTTCTGCATATGTACATGCACGCTAACAGACCGAGGGCTGTTTTACCATCGCCTTTTGCTAGCCACAAAGAGCCTCTTAATCCGCTTAATCCGCTTAATCTACTCAGATCCCCCGCATAAGGCGACATGACATGCATATCGACAAGATTAACGATTACACGGCAAACCATAGACATGACCGTTTCCATTACACGCGCTGCTGAGTAGAGACGCAGTATGTGTGAGAATGGATCTTTCACACTTGAAAATTTCATCCCAAGCTGTATGGATGATGTAAAAGTAGTGCATCAAAGGTCTTGCAGGAACTAGGTATACTAGCAGCAGTAGGGTTTACTGGCACCACGTGATCTCCAAAGTATAGCACTTTAATTGGTTGAGTATTCACACACGTGATTCTCTTTATATTTTGAAGAGGGTCAGTCAGTACAGAAGCTACCAATCTAGGGGTACCCAATCTAGGGGTACCCAATCTAGGGGTACCCAATCTAGGGGTACCCAATCTAGCATTGACTTCTCAAGTGGCATATGTCCATGATCAATAATAAAGTATTAGACGAAGAAACTGCACTTGTACTCTCCATATTCCACATCCAGTTCTGCAGCACTCAATCTATACATGCAGGCCCCCTCAGATATCAACCCCCATCTCATGAAATATACGGATTCTTGGGCGGATTATACTGTGGCCTAGACTGACGAATCCCAAAGATTACGGAAGGAACAATAATAACAACCAGAAGAACAACAGCCACCATAGCCGAACCAAAGATGATCCACTCCCGCCGACGAGACTTATGGCGCATGACCGTCCCCGTCACAGAATGTGACTCCAAATCTTGCTTCCCTTCCGTAGCTGCTGCAGACTGCCGACCACTTGAATCTGCCTGGTTTCTGTCTGCAGCTCCGGCTCCGACGCCAGCTCCAGCCTCAGCCTGCTTATCTGTGTGTTTGTCGTCGGGATATTGATTGACCTCCAGGTTGCAGTCCCGGTCGCTAAACTCGAGTGTGCAGTCCCGGTCACTGACCTGCAGGGTGCTGTCTCCGCTCATGCTGTGTTCGATGGTTTGTCGAGGTGGGTATGACGCTGCCACTTCTTTGTATGTGTCGGGGTATGGGGGGGCTTGGGGCATTTTGCCGGAGCGGGTTGTGTGTTTCGAGCGACATCTTTTCCATTTTGAGTATTTGTTTCTATACTTTTGTCTGATCTGGGAGAAGGTTAGCAAACTTGAACACTAAAGAGTATAGTTGGGTATTGGGTTTGCATACTTGATACAAGATTGCGGTGTAGCAAGAATGGGTGTCGAATGCTGAATAACAGAGAACTAAATACTCTGTATTATTTGATCAGAGCACAGGTCCTGCTGAGCACTGGGGTATTGCAGGGGGAAATTGAGGCATTGAGTGTCTAGGACTGAGATAGATGAATAAATGACCCCTTGGGCAGAACTGCTTGGCCTGCAACAGCATGCGCTTGGGTCATATGCTGGAGAGTCCAACTATCGATAGTTCTGCATTGAATTTTATTGTCCCTTGATTGCAATTGCCATATGCGGGTGGCGCTAGTCTGTTCTGTCGAAGCTGCAGCTGATGTATCAGATCTCGTCAACCGCCCTAGGAAATGGGCATTGAGAGGCTGCAGGGAATTTTGGCTACTTTCTGGAAAGATTAGATGATGGATGACTCCATGAAATGGCAATTCTAGGTCTAATTGCTAGAAGTAAGTTTTGTCTCGGTCGAGGAAGCTGTGGAGTCCTGTATATATAGTTTTTCAATTTCTTTCTAGCATAAGCAACATAACTATCAACCACGCAAAATCTCCTTAGTATCGATATCGATGCAATGAAGCAGTTTTTATTTGCGGTGAGTCTTCTATTTGATCTACATTGCAGGACAAGGCGTTTGTGTGAAGGTTTGAGATTCATATGTTGAGGCCTTGGTCGTTAGGCATCACAATCGTCGAAATGCCGGGCTTCAAACGTCCGTCTATGGGTAAGTCTTAAGACTAGTTGACACGTATTTGACCTTGAAATGTTGTTTACCAGGTAGTGATTAACTTCAGATCTATATATAACTCCGAAAATAAATTATATCCTACGGGCGTCTCACGTGCATGTCTTTACCAGAGCTTAGAAACCAACGAAGAAATGCGAAGAAAGAGGTATCAAAATCTTTTATACAGAGGCTATGTCACATGCGCGGGTGCAAACGAAGACCGAGATGCCATAATAAACAGGAAGAAGACGGAACTCCTGGTAAGAAAAACAAGTAAAGAACAACGGAGTCAATCCCGGAGATCAAGCGGCATGGTGCCAATAGCAAGCACACCCGTCAAAGCCCAGCAGAAAGCATATCCCAGACATATCCCGAAGATCACCCCCAGGCTGGGGATTCCGAGACTGAACTCCCACAAAGGAGAGGTAGCACTCCCAACATTTATTCCTTCGACTCAACCTCACCCTCCTTCTTAGCGAGCTTGTCATTTTGCTTCTTGGCAAGACTGAGCTTGGAAATCGCCCGCTCCAAGACCTCAACACCGTCCTTCCGGAACTGCGTAACCTTCTTCACATTCAACCTCGTGAGTGAGTGCACGAGATCCCGGCCCTGCTCACGCTCGCGCGCCACCGTCCGCGCCGTCATGGCGAAACGCATGTCCTTCGGCCCGTCGACTAACTCTAGAATGGCAGTGGGTGCCTTGACCTGGGGTTTAGGCTCGCGGATGGCGTTTTTGTCGCCCTTCTTGGCGGAGAAGTACTCGTTCTTTTCGCGGGGTTCTACGCGCAGGACTCGTGTGTAACCGCCTGGTCGGTCTGCGTAACGCTCGCGGAGGGGGCCGAAGAGTTTGGGAAGCATTTCATGTGGTGTCTAGGGAATGTTAGTGTTGTAATTGGGTTGTTGATTTTTCTCCCCAGGAGGATGATAGATTGAGAATTGCAGCAATTCGTCACGGATCTGGTGCACCCATTATTTGTCGTGACTAGGCTGATCCCCGTCCTGATTGGAATAATTGGGGTGGGCTTGTTCGGGAAATCGACATACGTAGAAAATCTCCAATGCTCGTCGCCGACTCGCTTCGGTGTTCTTCTTGCCCAGGGTGATCAACTTCTCGGCCAGGCGCTGGGCCTCTTTGGCTTTAGGCCATGTCGTAGTAATTGACTCATGCTGGAAGAGGGAGGTCACCAGGTTTCGGAGCATGGCCTGTCGATGCGCGGAGTCGCGGCTCAAGTGGCGGTATCTGCTTCCACCGCCGGCCATAGTGAGGGTTGTTTATTGAGAAAATAACAGGCAGAGAAGGAGTGAATTATTAGAAGTAAAGTGGGAATCGCAACGTCAATGGCCAAACCAAGATGTTCCAGTTACTGAAGTGAAGGAGAGAGGATGTTCGGCCCAGAAGAATTGTCGCAGCCAATCGGAGCTCTTCCACCGCCTGTCCGACTTCGATTTTCCGCGCTCCTCTTGTTCGAGGACATTCAGCTTTTCGAATACATTCCAAATGAGCCTTTGATTGTCGGGAAAAGATTATCTATAAAGTCGTGAAATACCGTGCCACTTGTCGCATTTTCCATCTATCCCCGCGAACAAATAGGCAGTCCGGCGACTCCAAACACCACAACAAATATGGGCTTCTTCACGGGTTTTGTACGATTTGCTATCGAATCTATACCAGGAAACGAGGACTAACTTCAGTTCGCACTCGAACAGCTTGGCGGCTTTGCCTTCACCTCATCCGTTCTCTATATTACCATCCAAGTCCACCGCTCAACACGCATATCTCAACGCAATGCCATCCACGCGCAAGTCGAGCAAATAGACTGGTTGACCTCCTCTTCTGGCGCCTATGACCGGCGCTTCCTACCAGAAGACGTGCCAAGGTGGCGGCGCGAAGAATTGGAAGCGCAGAAGCAAGCCGAGCCGACTATGAAGGAGATACTGAAGCATAGGTGGAATAAGGAAGTGGAGGTCTTGACAAGGAAGGCTCATGAGACAAGATGGGAGGACGTGAGGGACGCTGCTGCGGAAGGCTGGAAGGCTGCTGCACGACTGGTTAAACGGGAATGAAGGATCATTTTTTGGGGCTATAGCTAAGGCTTGGCTCAAAGGGATCTTTGGATGCATTATCATGTCTGCTTGTTTGGGTTTGATTTTGAGCACCGGAGTTTGAATACCCTTGATTTAGTTATGTCGTAATTTACATGTATTAGCATTATGATACCCCCGAGGGATATTGTAAATGCGTCCAGCGCATTCCCAGAACGGATAGAGATATCAATGCGGTGCGCCAGGATTCGGTGATGACCCGATCAATCCTATGACTTTCGCAGTAGCCCGCTGGAGAATAAAGAAAGTGAAGGAAATGCAGCAAAGGCCGGCTGCAGCTGAATCGACTGGAAGATTCAGGAGGTCAACTCGTGTGAGTTGATGACGGCGCAGTTGTCGTGACACTCTCGGTATCACTCCAAATGTCCTTGCTTTCCCGCTCGACGGCGCGCATAGCCTGAGCCACCTCCTCTAGTTTAGCGACAACATCCAAAACGCCCTGATTGACCCGATCAAAGTACCGGTCATTAGCCTCGCGGCGCTTTCGCGCAAGATGAATGTCTTTCTCCGTCTCGCCGTCCAACGTGCGGTGCGATACCGAACCGCGGCCTGCGCTGATTTCGGTCGCTGTATCATACTGGGATTTCGACTCTTCAGCACCTCGCCGTGCCGAACTGGCTTTTCCACTGGCTTCATCAGCACCGCTGTGGCCGGGATCCACAACTTCATCGTCTGCCTCACTGCGCGCCCAGGCTTGAGCGAGCTTCAACTGTTTCATGCGTAGATCTTCCAATGCTTCAGAGTGCTTCGCACCGAAGACATTCTCGCTCGTCACAGCGCTAAGTTCCACTTCTGACAGGGCGCTCTGCATCTCCTGCCAGATGGCATCGGATCCATCTACATCATTTTTGGAGGGACGGCGCGATACAAATGGTGATAGTAGGCTGGACTTTTCCGGAGTTTCCCCTTCGGCTCCGCGAGGTGACCGGTTCCGATGCAGGGGTGGAGGTTGGCTGCCGGAGGCAGTGGCTAGCGTTGAGGCTGCAGGTGGTACGGGTAAGGAGATATTAGAGGCATTGTGTGATGGTGGGCCCTGAAATAGTGCTGGAGGAGGCAGGCGCTGAGAATTTGTGGGCTTTCTTGACAAATCCATCTTCAACAAATGTACGAGGGAACAACAGACATTCAAGCATTCGAATGGGGAAGGTTGATGATACAGCTGATAACCTTATCGTTATCAGTTTGATGACATAATCTGAGGTGGGGGCTACGACTGTCCCGTGACTCGCTTAGGGCTAAAGCGCACAAAGTCACCTGAGGTACATCCGAAGCGTGTGGTAAGGGAAATCCGGAACTCTTCGACTTTTCGACAATCGACCCTCAGCCCCTTTGGCCGACAACACCCCTCCCAGTCGGTACGTATTCGATACCCTGCTGTTTCCCCTGCATTGTTGTGGTTTTCGGAAATATTTTATTCGTGGCACTGCGAGGTCCCTCGTCAACGATCGCATCCATCACGCACAAAATATCGGATTTCTCCAAACATCGAACACGCATCGAAAATACCCACAACCAGCAAAACCAGCGTTGCACTCGACACGAGGCTAACATTTCATTTTCTTTCTCGTCCAGTTGACCGTCGAACACATAATCCGCCAACATGGGTAAAGGACAGCCCCGTGGTTTGAACGCCGCCCGCAAGCTCCAGTCGCACCGCAAGGACCAGCGCTGGGCTGATGACCACTTCAAGAAGCGCCTTCTCGGAACCGCCTACAAGTCCTCCCCCTTCGGTGGTGCTTCCCACGCCAAGGGTATCGTCCTCGAGAAGGTCGGTGTTGAGGCCAAGCAGCCCAACTCCGCTATCCGCAAGTGTGTCAAGGTTCAGCTCATCAAGAACGGCAAGAAGGTCGCTGCTTTCGGTGGGTAACCCCGTTTCCTTACTACTATCGATGCAACGCGTTGGCAAGGTCTACACGAGTTGGAATTACGACAAGATGGAAACCGTCCACGCAACTACCACAAACATGTGCTAACTCGCATGTTCCTACAGTCCCCAATGACGGTTGCTTGAACTTCATCGATGAGAACGACGAGGTCCTGCTCGCCGGTTTCGGTCGCAAGGGTAAGGCCAAGGGTGATATTCCCGGTGTCCGTTTCAAGGTCGTCAAGGTCTCCGGTGTCGGTCTCGCCGCTCTCTGGAGGGAGAAGAAGGAGAAGCCCCGCTCTTAAACAACTCGACGCGTTCTGTTCGAAATCAAAAATGCAGCGACCGGGAGCCTTGGAGTGTGGGAACGGTGCCGGACGGAAAGCCCGCCTCATCAGCGCCTTGATTTCATGAGATATTTCTTTTTTGGGGAGTCCCCCGGCGGGCTTTCGTCCGGAATGTGGTGGATCCGCTAATTTGCGAATTAAACACGATACAACCTCCAAAAAGATTATGGCGCCATGACTTTCTATTTCTTTCCCGGGTTTCTGACCTTGCCGTATACTGTTTGGTTCCTTGGCCCTTGCTAGACTTGTCTGGTGAGGACGCAAAGTAGAGCGTAGGGTATGATATCGGGGTGAATACGGCTTCATGTACATGAAATGATCAAAATCTACAAGCTGCTTGGGTACATGACTCGATCTCCTATGCCAGTTGGGTTGTCTATATCTGGGGATTTGATCTGTACATCTAGGCCTTCAGCTCCATTTCCCCATTGGACATGTGGGGTTGTCTAGTAATTGCAATAGTCACTATTTATATGTGTACAACATACCGAGTTTGTATGGGTGCCCGTGAATATATATCTAACCTACGTCCTTTGCAGTACTAGCATTTCCGTGTTACTATCTTGAATAGACCACGATGTTAGCCCCGTTTTCTAGGGTCGACATATGGAGGTCCATTATCTTTGTGGTCTTCCGAGCAGAGGGCAGAGAAGGGTGAGGACCTGAGAGAAAAATGTAGAAAGAAAGAAACATAAAAGAATGAGATCAATTGCTACTTGGATGCTCGCAGATTAATTTTATACATACATGTATATATTGACTTAATCTTTCATGGCATAAGAACTTTGCATCCAGTCCAATATCAGGATAGGCATATGCGAGATTTTATACTGCTACTAGTGCTCGAACATATCTATACGCCAGGCGAAGGCCAATTACAAGGTTATATATGCTAGAGTCTAATGCAGCGGCTATTCCTAAACATTGGCGGAAGTGATAAAATTTGGTTATTTTATTCATTACTTCTGCATATCAGTCGTCAAAGTAATTCCTCGGGTATCGTTCGGGCAAATGTCCCTCAAATGATTTTTTTTTGTTGATTTTGTTGAGCTGTTTGACACAATTGCCTAATCCAACTACTAGTTTAGAAGCTGATATCTTCTTTGCGGTAGTGGTCTGACACAATGCGGTAAAGGTATGATGGGGCGTGGCCACCGCTGGAGTAAGAAAAGCAAAGTTAGTTTATGAAATGAGATGAGCGAGTGGAATAGGCGCTTGAAACTTACAGGTTAGTGATGTAAAGATCGACAAGCTCTGCAGGAACGTAGTCATAGATGGGGTTTTGGACATCGACCAGGTCGACAAGATCACCTTCCTCGTATGGGAGGACCTTGCTTGGGTCACCGTATTCAATGAGCGAGTCGAAGTCGAATGGGTAGACAGGGCTGAGCTTGTAAACGCCGCTCACGACCACGACGGGGGTCTGGTGGACCTTAGCAGCACGGGCGATGACACGGGTGCCAGCTGCAGCGACAAGGCCACCGTTGGCGAGGACGGAGTGTGTGCCGAGAATAACCTTGTTGACTCGTGACATGAGAGCGAATACGGCAGAGTCCGGGATGAGGATGACGGTGATGCCGTGCTCGATCAGTGGCTTCTGGAAAGCCTCCAAGCCGATATTGTCATCGTCGCTGACAGCGCTACCACTGACGGTGGCGTGTGTAGCCTCGTGGTTATTCGGGTAAGACTCGGCGTGGATTACGGTGAACTTTCGCTTTGCGGCGGCTTTGAGCAAGAACTTTTGGACAGTGGTCGAGGATGTGTGGGTGAGGATGATTTCGTTGGAGTGGATGTGGTCCAATGCGTAGGCAGCGATCTGATCGTCCACCTGGCCGAGTTCATCAATGATCTCGCCAATACCCTCCAGTACTTCAGCCCGGACGTCTTTGCTTGGGCCGTGGCCAGTGAAGCGTCCGCTCGGGGAGGAGGATCCCGGGGTGCTGGGAAGGGAGTTCTCGGGTTCAGGATGGGAAAGAAGGCTGAACATAGAGGTCAGAGGAGGGCGAGAGGATCTGTCTTCGGCTCGGAAGGAAGGGGAGTCGCGATCCAAAGGCAAGGATGCATCTATGAATCTATGAGTCACTGCGTAGATATTTCGACCAGAACTTGGAACTCACCGTCATAAGCCCGGGGTGTTTGTGGCTGGCTCTCTGAGCCGATGTCGCTAAGAGCGAATTCGGCGTCGCGATCATCTTCAGCTTCGTCACGAATAAGACCCAGGACCCGGCGCACAATATTGCCCACAACCATCTCGCGCGGTTGCGCAGCCATCAGTCGCCTGCCCACACTCTGCACCCGCTCAATAAGCTTTGCTGAATCTGTTGTGCGACATGCGGAGATCACACTCCGTAGCAAATAGGCGGTTGCTGTGGCACATGATCGCGAATGGCGGATTTGACGTCGCTTGAGCAATCTGATTGAAATATACTATGTTAGCAAGTTTGATCGTCGGCAGGAGTAGCCGCCATGACCAGGAGGCTCAAGATACGCACGAAATCAGTGTCTCAATAGAGGTATCGATCGGGTTTGTCTTGAGGCACTTGAGGAATGAGCCCAGGCCCGGCGTCAGGGCCAACGAGGAAGACGGCATGAGGAAGTGGGATGTTGGGAGGAAATCTGCTCGGCGTCAACGGGGATTGAGAGAAGTGTGTAATGTCAAGAAATAAACATACCAAGATTCAGATTCAGACCACACTAAGTACTGTCAATAGCAAGTGTTTTTTGTTCAAGAGATTCTCAGATTCTCACAAGAGCGAGAGAGTGGGAGAGACAAAGAATGATTTTCTGCCGTTCGATCTTGTCCGCTTCCCCACACTCATTGATCCTCGCTCTATTGTCTCGGCTTCAGGCTTTCTTATTGGTGTTCTTCCAGTTTTCGCATTTCTATTATTTCCTTTATGTTTTTGGATTTCTTTTTATCGCTTTGAAACCTGTGGTATAAACCGGATTTGGAGTTGCGGAAGTACTTCCGAGGCACGGGTGACTGGCGCATTGAGGTTAGAACAACAGCTTACACCTCCTTGTGATCCCCCTTTCCCTCAGACTACCCTCATCTCAGACCCCTACACACATATCTCATGGACCGCTTTAAGTGGCTTTGATGATTTACTCACGATCCATTTGTCAATAGATCGCTGCGCCCCTGTCTCCCGTGACGCCTTGAGGGAAGATGAACTCGCTGAATATCCTGTCCTCGCGAGTCATTGGCCAATCTTCCAGCTCTTCGCGCCATAGATCGCAGTCTCAAGGCGATGGCAAACGTGCACCTCTACCGTCAGACTTCTCGAAACTCCGATCTTATAGCGAGGATAACTTTCGGTCCCTCGACCCCACTGAGAAGAGCTATAACGATGGACCGCCCGTGAGCGAAGATAGAGAGGAGGATGCCCCATATGACTTAGACGAGAAGACGCCGTTACTGCATGAAGCTCACAAGAATGGCACGCTCACTGCTCGAAGTACTTGGCGACTGATTACCCAGCGATTTTTCGATGCGATCACGGAAACCATCAAATTCATCCTATCTACGATTGCTGCACCCGGTGTGTATCTGGCTCAATGCTTCCAAGCCGACGATGGTCACTACTCGCTCCTTGCACCTGTCCGGAAATTGCGGCGCTCCTCTGCCGACCCAACGATCCGGTCGGCTAAAGGGGCCACCCGGGTAGAAGGTCGGCGTCGCAGTGGCTCCACCCGGAAGCTCCGACCTCAAGGCTCTCACGAATCCATTGTGTCAACAACCTCAGAGTCCGACACGGATCGACGGCATATCAAGAATCTCTCAAGTGGGAGGAACCGACCTATCAAGACAAAAGGCCACGATCCAGACCCAATCCCAGAAGGGGAAGAGCACGAGCACACGCCCCGTCGGTCTATACGAATCAAGCTTCATAATGAGGAATCTCTCAAGAGACAGCGACAGCGAAGATCCCAAAGTGCAGATTTAGGACATCCAATGCCCGAGGGCGTCTCTCGAGTCCAAGGGGCTGTTCACCTGGATAGCTTAAAGTCCCCAACCTCTCCCAACATCCATCGCATAACCAAGTACCCGCACTCTCCCACCCCACCGCGGCCACTCCTTCCACCACGAGTACCTTCATATACTGCACCTCCCCGCAATGCCAGAGCCCCGCAGAAGACCTTGGTGCTGGATCTCGATGAGACACTAATCCACTCGCTCGCCAAGGGTGGCCGGATGTCCAGTGGCCACATGGTCGAGGTTAAGCTCTCGATACCCACGACTACTTCATTGTCCCCGGGTGGACCGCAAACGACACTGGGCCCTCAGCATCCCATTCTGTACTATGTCCATAAACGGCCACATTGTGATGAGTTCCTGCGCAAGGTCAGCAAGTGGTATAAGCTTGTCATCTTCACGGCCAGTGTTCAAGAGTATGCCGACCCTGTCATCGACTGGCTCGAGCAGGAAAGAAAATACTTCCAAGGCCGCTTATACCGACAACATTGCACATTCCGTAACGGGGCATACATCAAGGACCTGAGTTCTGTGGAACCGGATCTGAGCAAGGTCATGATTCTGGACAACAGCCCGATGAGTTATATTTTCCACGAAGGTAATAATTAACTTTATCTATTTGGTACGCTCGAGCTAATAACCATTGCCAGATAATGCGATTCCCATCGAAGGCTGGATAAACGACCCCACGGACAACGGTCTTCTCCACTTGGTTCCCATGCTGGAAGCTCTACAATATGTCACGGATGTCCGAGCTTTGTTGGCACTTCGCCGCGGTGAACTCGAATCATGATCGTTATTCGCGTTCATGTTCATGAATGCGCATGTAGGTGTATAAGGGTTTTGTGTTTTAGAAGCGATGTCCAACCTTCCGGCATGAAAATAGGAAAAAAAAAAGAAGATATCACAGAGCAATGGAGGGATTGGACACCGACCGACACGATATGCAAGCGTAGTTATTCATAATGGCATTCGATGTCTTGTTTTGTTACTAGAAATGGAACGGAGATCCGTACATATGACTTTTACTTTGCTTGATGATTCTAGTTACCTTAGTTAAATATGTATTTCGAGAAGCCTATTTTACTATCCTAAACCCGTTGATCACAAGCAACAAACACATGTCGCGATTTCGGCCACTGTCTCGTGTTGAATGTTAGCTGTATAATAGGGAACCCGAAAGGTTAGCCATTTGTGAAGGGTGCGACACAACGACCTGAAACACAGAAGTTTATATAAGAGATGGAGACGCGCTGGGCCTTTTCTTTCGCAGCATTGCGAAGTGAATTGAGTTGGTTCCCTCGGAAACCAATCTTGGAAGTGATGTATGATTGGTAATACAATCTTGGCTGCATTGTGCCCAGCCCTGGAGGTTGTCATCCCTGCACAATGTGCTTCGTAATGCTGTCTTGGCTGAACTGCTGTTGAAGCGAGACAGAGCGCAGTTTTACCACCAGCACTCCCGACACTGAAGCCTACATCGAAATAACAGGTCTAGACATCGAGACATTCTGGGAATAAGGCGCGCTCAGTGGTTTCTGCCTTCCTATTGTTGGATCTGCGCCATGAGTGCCCCTGCTGCAGGAGGCGTCCATGGGCCGTAGGGCGCTGAGCTAAATTCTTAGCGTGGCGGGATGTTTTTACTTCTGTTGAGGCTTCTGTCTCAGATTTATAGGGCTTTTCCTTAGGGTTGATCTCTTCGAATGGAGCAAAATATATGTTGAATGCAATGGACTGTTTAGCTAATTTTTACTATGTATGATCCATCATTTATCACCCAGACAGGCATCCAATGTTGTCGTGGATACCCTCCTTGCTGATTACCTAGGTAGGGACATACATTCGGATTTAAGGTCTGTCAATTTATGCTTTGTCCGGGTGCTTACTGAGTGGGTCACAACGTGTTAATTTGATTGGCGGAACCGGCCTGAGCTGCAAAGGCCAAAAGTTAAAAATCAAGATGGGATCCACCTGGCACTCCAATGGTGAAAGTAACCTCTTGGCCATGACGTACAATAAGCAGCCTGCATGATACTAAGAGGTGAGAGGAGATAACTAGCAAAGACATGTCGAACTAGCCTCCTTGGCGCTTAAGGCGCCAGTTTTTGGGGCTTTAACATTGCCGAGGAAGAGCCGGGGACGAATAATATGTCCTTCAGCTCTTATCATTCTGGGCGCCCAAGCTGGAAGGTTTTCCAAGCGTGAATCCAGATGAGTTCCAACGGCCAATCGGCAAATTGTTCATCCAGTGTGCGTTCTTGGTATCCAAGCCATGAACCACACGGGATTCGATTCCGGCTGTCTCCTCCTACCGGGGCTCAAGTGGCGCTGTTTCTGTAAGGTTACATGCACGACCAGCCACCCCTATGGTACATTTCGCTTGGTCTTGGATACGACTACAGAACTGTGCAAGGTCTGGCAACATATGTCGAGGGGCGCAAGTCTTCTCCATTTTCTCCAGTTGATCTTTCGCCATTGTGCATAATCTATAGTGGGGTATATAACGACGATGTCTATCCGCAGGCGGACCGCGTACCGACGCCGCGCCGGAGACCAAAGGTTACGATTTAACGAGAATGGCACATTCCAAATATCTGTTTTTAGTGATTTGCATTTTGCTGAAGGTACGATGACATACTTGAACTATTGTTTCGGGATACTAACTATATCCAAAGATGACGAAGAGGACAACAAGACCACAGGGGTGATGAGAAACGTTCTTTCTTCAGAAGAAGCGCAACTCGTGGTACTCAATGGAGATTTAATCTCTGGCGAGGCAACACAAAGCTCCAACTCCAGTCTTTACGTTGATCGGGTTGTTGCTCCATTAGTCGACCTTGATTTACCATGGGCATCAACTTATGGGAATCATGACAGCGAGATTAATCTCGATCCCGAGGAGTTGTTCCGTCGAGAGACAGAATATCGAAACAGCTTAACCCAGAGAAGCATTCTGGATTCCGCTGCGGGCATCACAAACTATTACCTGCCAATATTTCCGCATGAGGCTTCGAATGACAGTATCCCCGTATTTATCTTGTGGTTCTTTGACAGCCAAGGTGGTCATTACCCCTTGACAGAGAATGATGGCAAAGCAATCACGAGGCAGAATTGGGTAGATGACACAGTGAGTACCACGGCGTTGATGAAGCCCTAGGGCTCCCGCATTTTCTCATGCCTGATCCGATGATTTGGGAGATGAGTTTTTACATACTGACCTATTACAGGTTATTGAATGGTTTGTAAGAACGAATGCAAACTTAACATCCACCTATGGGCAGACGATCCCATCCCTAGCCTTCGTCCATATCCCAGTCTATGCAATGCGAGCTTTCCAGACAACTGGCGTTAGCCCAACCAGCGAACCAGGAATCAACGGAGAACGAGTCCAGCAGCAAGGCTACAAACCCGATTCTGGCTACCATTATCAAGACTTCCCATTTATGAATGCTCTGCTGAACACCACGGGGCTGGCGGCGACTTTTAGTGGCCATGATCACGATAATGACTGGTATGGATGACACTACCTTAGATATTCTGTTTTCGGTTGAAGGCAAACCCCACAAAGAGCTCACTTGGCTAATCCTTTTCCATTTTGATAGGTGCTTCAAGTGGGATAGTAAGCTTCCTGATCTCAACGTGACGGGAAATGGGATGAGCATGTGCTACGGCCGGCATACAGGATATGGAGGGTATGGCGAACAGGCGCGTGGTGGAAGGCAGATTTTGTTGGATGAGCGGTGGCTTGGGGATGATATCCGGACATGGATTCGGATGGAAGATGGGTCGATTTCAGGCGATGTTCATCTCAATGCGACGTACGGCCATGATCATTATGGACTGGCGGAGAGGAGTATCATCAACGGGCAAAATGGTGGTCTTTCTCCTCCATGCTTGGGTGTTATTTATTTGTGGATATCTGTCTTTTCTGGGCTTATATCTGGGTTTCATTTATGGTGAATGATTCGATTAATTCTGTCAATAAAAGTATGCGGGGACTATTAGTCTGTTTAGTTGAAGGACCGTCCACGGTTTACTCTCAGGGAATGTAGGAGTGACACAGTTCACCTTGCGCTTGAAGATGACTGGCAAGATCGAGAAACTCGAGCATGCGAGAAAAATAGTATAGGTTTGTAGCAAAGCTCTTGAAATTGAGATATAGTCGATGTGGGGCCGAATGGCTGTCATTGGATGTGTACATATTTGTACCTCCCCAGGTGGTGCGTTAGCTGATAAGAGCGAATCATTGCTATTTGAAAAATGCTGTCTGTTGGATACAGTAGTAATTTGGTAGTCATGTTTCACAAGTGTTCGCCCCTAGCTCACATCAATCTGTATGTAAGTTGTGATCGCTGATCCCCCTATGGCAACCAGCCGTTTTGCCTCTGTCTTCCAGGAGATGTCGCAATAAGGTACTCCGCACTCCGTACAACGTAGATTATACAGACGAACGGTCTGGACGTCGAAACAAAAGAAACCCCTGACTTTTCCTCAGTGGAGTTGAAATAGCTCACAGCCCTTTTGATCGTCAAAAGAAAAAGAAGAGAACTGGCTCTCCCGCCTCTGACGTCAGAGCCCCTGGACCCACTATTTCGAGGGTGATTTTCCCAATGCGGTCATCTGAAAACGGAGATATATTTTAAAGAGAAGAGGTTGTGATTAAATGATTTACAATTTAGGGAGAAAAAGGAAAAGTATTATCTCGGGTTAGGAGATTAATCACTTTAAGATCTAGGGACAACTGACGTGAAACACGATATTGTATACATTGTATACTACTAATATTTAAATGCATCAAATCATCAAATCATTGAATCTCAAAGCCAAGAAAGTCCAAGTTCCTTGGTTGGACCCGTTAAATTGCTTGTCTTACACGCGTCTGGCTTGGCATCTGCGTGGAGGGTGGGGAAACTAAAAGCCCTAACCCATCCGAAAACAAAAATGACCCTATATCATTCGACATCGTCCGTCGATCTCTCGCTGGACTGTCGCTTTCACCCGCTCTATCCCTTAAGAATATGATTATTTCGATCTTCTAGTACTTATCCTGCCCAATTATGAACTGTTTAACTGTAGAGTATACGTATACAATCGATTTCGGCCTATATTCGGCCCAGCCGGTGGCAACATGATAGATCTACTGGTTGATCGTCGGGTCTTTGCAAAGCAACCAGCAAAAGCTTGCAATTTCTCTCAACCCCACAGAAAAGTGGAGAAGGCCCTGAAAACTATTTTTAATATGGAACTTTTGGGTTGGGGGTCTTCTGCCCATACATCATTTCGCCGCATCCCCAACCTCCGAAGCTCCCTTTGACAAGCAAGGTCTCACCCGCTTTACACCTTGAGTCGCAACTGTTTCTCATTTTAGATCGATACTATCTATGATTGATCTAAGCCGAAATGCGCTTGTCCGGAACATGGTCTATTCTTAATGGCCTCGTCGCAACACTCCTCTTCTCAACGTTGACGCCTGCGATCGAATTAGACCTCAACGATGAACGTACGTCATGGATACTCGAATCTATTTTCCAATAAAAGGTGTCACCGGACTGACTTCGCGACCACTGGACAGAATCAATCAAAGATGCCGCAAGTACGAGTGCTTACTCCATGATGGGATGGTATTACGGCAACGAAACTGGACAAATCCCTGGCTCTTTCCCTGAAAAATGGTGGGAAGGCTCTGCTCTTTTCCTCGCCCTGCTTCAGTACTGGCACTTTACGGGCGACACGACCTATAACTCTTTGATGAGCGAAGGAATGCAGTGGCAATCGGGCGAAGAGGGTGACTACATGCCCAGCAATTACAGTAGCTATCTGGTGAGCATATATATTCCAAATCCCGTCAAGGTCAAGGACAACTAGTTCTCTGACTATTCTCGAATCTCTAGGGAAATGACGACCAAATGTTCTGGGGTCTTGCAGCTATGCTGGCCGCCGAGCTGAAATTCCCTGATGTCGAGGACGGATTCTCGTGGCTTTCACTGGCACAGGGTGTGTTTAACACCCAGACCGCTCGATGGGATATGACAACATGTGGTGGTGGTCTGCGTTGGCAGCTCTTCCCTTACCAATCGGGATACACCATGAAGAACTCCGTATCCAACGGCGGTCTGTTCCAACTCGCTGCGCGCCTCGCCCGCTACACCGATGATGATAAGTACTCAAAATGGGCCGAGAAGATCTGGGACTGGTCTGTTTCCTCACCGCTAGTGGACAATAAGACCTGGAATGTTGCCGATTCAACACAAATGGCAAATGACTGCGCCGACTCTGGTAATTATCAGTGGACCTACAACTACGGAGCATACCTGATGGGTGCTGTCTACATGTATAACTATGTGAGTGGGAGTCTCGTTATCCGCCATTCACCATTACACGGCCAAATCTTCTATATGCAGACGCTAACACTCCCATACAGACAAATGGAGACGAAAAGTGGAAGAAACCAGTAGACGGCCTCCTCGGCAAAACCCTAAAGACATTCTTCCCGAACGGGGACGTTATCGAAGATGTCACTTGCGAGCCTATCAAAAAGTGCAATTTCAACGAGATCCTCTTCAAGGGCCTCACCTCGTCATGGCTCGCATTCACAACACTCCTAGCCCCCGACACCGCGGCGCAGATCAAGCCCAAACTCGCCAGTTCCGCAGAAGCCGCCGCAAAGTCCTGCACGGGAAACAACAACAACACGTGCGGTATCACGTGGTATCAGAACAAGTGGGACGGGACAACTGGTATGGAGCAAGAGATTAGCGCAACGAATGTCTTCCTTGCGAATTTGATCAACTTTGACACCGGCTCGTTTGGGCCTGTCACCTCCAAGACTGGAGGAAACAGCACCAGTGATCCCAATGCGGGCTCGGAAAATGATGATGAGAACAAGTTGAAGCCTATTACGACTGGGGACAAGGCCGGCGCCAGTATTTTGACCTTGATTTTTGTCTTTGGTTGGGCTGGTGCTGTGGCTTTCATGATGCTGGGTGGTTAACCTGGCGGTATATTTCATGTTTTTATTTTATTGGCATTGGTTTTAGAGGAGTTGGAGTTCTGAGGGGACTCGCTAATATTTGCACATACTATCTCAAAATCATATTCTACGACATGTGGTACTGATCTGTTTAGAAGGGTTCAGTGCTGCTTGATTATAGGCGCAGTATTTATAACGTAAGGTCTCTGACGAAGTACCTTGACGAAATAACCAAAAGACGGATAGAAGGGGCTGATGAACCATCTGGTTCATTATGCGCCGCAAACATACTATTCAGTAGGAGAAAAGAACTTGTCAACTCACCTGCCAATCCCCAGCTAATTTTGTACCCTCTTGCTCCAGCACCGTAGCAAGTGTATTTTGCGATCTTTTCGAATTCTTGGTAGGTTTCTCGCATCCAGGTCTGTTCATTTCGTTCATCGTCTGTTTTTGCGGGGTGGGGCGGAAGTGTATGGGGAAGCGTAGTCAAGGCCAAGATCTCCCGGTAATTCTCTCGCTATGACGGTGATTCTCATGTATTTGGATAGTTTGACTGTGATGCTGAGACCGAGGATACCGGCCCTGCTGAATTACTGTTAGTAGACAGGGAAAAAGAGCGTAGATTTGGAACTCACCCGACGATGATAACATGGCGTTGAGTCATGTCAATGAATTGTCTTTTTATTTCCAAGCTGCGATTCTTGTAAAATTTGAAACTGGGATAGGATTGTTCAATCTATTGGGTTGAGGAGTGAGTCATCTCAATTCTTCTGACATAGGAAAGCCACACCTAACAGTCATATTGAGGAATTGTGGCTGTTGGATAATAAGAGCAGAAATGCCAAGCCATTGGATACTAAGATTTAACTACTTAGGTATGTTGTAGGCATTGTTGTAAGCTAGAGGGGTTGTGTTATGGACTGTGTAATAGTGGCTTTGACCTAGCGTGATATATGATTCATATAAAAAGTACATAGAGAACAAGGATGAACTCCACAATGGAAACAATCGTCTCAAAGAATAAACTCCGTATAAAGCCATTGTTGTTGGTTCAGCAACTATCTATCACGCGTGTTAAATGCACGCGAAAGCGGTGTGGATCCGAATGGATTCGCCTTCAACCCCATCAAGTCACCTACGCGTCACAGCACGTCCAGAATATGGTCGCAACCACAAGGGCAGATAGACAGCCAGACGCTGTAAACGAGGGAAGCAACCATGTAGATGAGACTACAGCTCTCCTAGCGCCCAGCAAGACCAAGTATGCTGACGCGCCCACATCAGACACTCTGGACAGTTCGTCAGGGTCAGATGGCGACAATGATGGAAATGACGACAATCACGACGAGAAAAAGCCCTTGCCCATAGCCCAGATCCTGTTGCTTTGTTATGCGCGCGCAGTCGAGCCCTTAGCCTTCTTCTCCATCTTCCCCTATGTCAGTCAGATGGTGCAGGATAACGGGGGTTTGGCGGACTCAGACGTCGGCTTCTACAGCGGACTGATCGAGTCAATGTTCTCCCTAACGCAGGCCATCGTCATGATATTCTGGGGACGAGCAGCCGATCGATTCGGCCGCAAGCCCGTCCTGGTCTCCTCCTTGTTCGGCGTGACTGTGGCGACAAGCCTCTTTGGCCTGGCAAAGACCATACCACAGATGATCATGTTTAGGTGTCTTGCTGGCGTCTTTGCTGGGACCATCGTCACCATCCGCACGATGGTGGCCGAGCATAGCACGCCCAGTACCCAGGCCCGGGCGTTTAGCTGGTTCGCCTTCAGCGGGAACTTGGGTATTTTCCTGGGACCTTTATTGGGTGGTGCACTTGCTGACCCAGTAAGACAGTACCCTGGTGTCTTCGGGGCTGTCCACTTCTTCGAAAAATATCCCTACGCGCTCTCGAGCTTGGTGGTGGCGTCCGTGGGAGCCACTGCTGCCGTGTCTAGTGCCTGCTTTGTCGAAGAGACGTTGAAAAAGGAGCCGGTTACGGTGGGCCACGATGGTGAGGAGGCAGCATCCGATGTGCCGACTCAGAGCAGTGATCTATCGACATGGCAGCTCCTCAAATCGCCAGGGGTTGGTATGGTCCTATACGCGTATGGGCATATCATGGTTCTCGCCTTTGCTTTCACGGCCATTATTCCCGTCTTTTGGTTCACTCCCGTACGCCTCGGAGGGTATGGATTTACGACTCTGCAAATTTCGTTGATGATGGGTCTAAATGGTGCCGCACAAGCTACGTGGCTCCTCTTGGTGTTCCCCCCACTGCAGAAGAAGATAGGGTCGAATGGAGTGATACGTCTCTGCGCCACTGCCTATCCATTATTCTTCCTATGCTGCCCTCTTGGCAATGTACTCCTGCGGATGGGCACGGATGGATCTGTTAAAGCCTTCTGGATTCTCTTGCCGGTCGCGCTGGCGATCGGCTGTGGAGTCAGCATGAGCTTCACGGCGATTCAGCTCGTCCTGAACGACGTTGCACCCTGGCCGAGGGGTACTTGGCACGCTGAATGCGCTGGCCCTGACTGGTGTTAGCGCGCTGAGAGCCTTCTGCCCTGCTCTCTTTACCACCCTCTTCGCTCTGGGGGCGAGGACACAGCTGGCTGGTGGCTATGCCATCTGGGTACTCATGCTCATAATTGCTTCGGGTTTATCCGTTACAGCAAAATACCTGCCAGAGCCCGAGGCAGCCCGCAAGCGCCGGAGCAGCCAAGCGAGGTGATGATGTTCGGATTGGCTGAATTCTCAGCGCGATCAAGACTGCCCCAGCGCACCATTTGGAGGAGGGCTGTTTTGTTGGCATGGAATCTTTTATTAGCACGGGGTCTATAAAATTTCTAATTCTATGTGGAATTTGTTTCCTGTGGTACGTTTAACTGCTGCCCACGGGTGTATTACACGGGTCTATCCATGGGTGTCAACAAAAAATATAAAAATGGACAGGGTTTATATTTGAGTGAAGATAAATTCCTTATATCGAGTACATTTCCATTTTCGGACTTTTACTGCTCAATCTCACCTAGGCAAATTTGAATTCCATTTCTGCCTCATACTTACTCTTCAGGACCTCCCTGTTATACCAGTTAGTCTTCCGTTTGGAGTTTTGTACGAGAGGCGCAAGAAGTAGACACCTTTGTCCGCGGCCTTATATGGGTTATTAGTATCGGGATTTGTTCATTTCAATCTCAGGTCCCACCAAGATAAATAATTACAATCTCAGATCCCTGTTGAACTTGATATATCGAGGACCATCATAACCCCCTTGTACAACATAGTTACCTAGGCCCATGTATATGCAGCACCCGTTGCGCCAAGCCGGGTACGTACGGGGACAGCAACAATGACAGTACCCACACCTCCGCCAGCTCTGGATAATTGCCTATTATTTAGGAAGTATAAATAACCTCAGGCCTACAAATTGTTGCTGCCATTGAACCTGTTAGGGTGGCATTGATTTTACGAAGAGATTTCTGCTAGGCGACCATCTTGGGACGAGACGGAAATCGGTGTCTGCTTGTTTGTTGCCCCAACAGAATTTCCATCCTTCAACTCTCTCTTCTCCACATACTCTACTGATCCTGCGAGCGAAGGAAAAAGCTGTACTCCGTACGGAGCACTGTCATGCGATACTGCCACAAGGCGGTGTACTAGGCGATATCGGATATCCCGATTGGGAAAATACGAAGTTTAAACGAAAACTTTCTCTTTTCTTTTCTTTATTGGGAATCCTCACTTCTATTGTCCTCTGTGACTCGGACTTAATAGGGGAAATATGATTCAGATACATGGTATCACCAGCGCCAGTGAAGCCCCTCATGTCTCCGAAAAAGATGCAGCGCTGGCAGTGGTGAGCGATGTAGCCCAGGAAATTGATCCAGTGGTCGAAAAAAGGGTCCTCCGAAAGATCGACTTGTATTTAATGCCTGCGATGCTCATAGGTCAGTTGTAGGAAGATGCTCGAGGGAATTGTTGACTGACCCAAAACACAGGATATGGAATGGTGTACTATGACAAGGCAATCCTAGGCAGTGCCGCCCTCTTTGGTATGACGACCGACTTGGATTTATCAGTGAAAGACTATTCCACTTCTCCCCCGACAGTTGACACTTCCCGGCTCGGTTGGGCAACGTCAATCTTTTATTTTGGAATGCTTGCGGGTCTCTACCCAATGACATTTGTTCTTCAAAGGTTCAACATTCGAACTGTCCTGGGTCCCGTTGTTCTTGTTTGGGCTGTGATCTGTGCCGCCACTGCCGGTGTGTCAACCTGGCAAGGTCTTTATGTACAACGATTCTTCCTTGGTTTGTCTTCCTTGGCGTTTCGACCGGCCTTTTATCTGACCAGATATAGGCTTCATTGAAAGTGTGATTCCCACGGGCTTCATGACTATAGTCAGTGGATATTACACCCAAGAAGAACAAGCTCTCAGACAGGCTTGGTGGTTTTCAGGGACTGGTTGGTTTACAATCATTGGCAGCGCCCTGAATTACGGATTCGGTCAGATCACATCGGGATCTTTGAAAAGATGGCAGTATATCTATATCCTTGCTGGTGCTCTTACCTTCTTATTTGGCCTGTGGTGTTGCACTATGCCGAACTCTCCAGTCTCGGCTTGGTTCTTGACCCCAGAAGAACGAATGGTTGCCGTGGAAAGATTGCGAAAGGGACAAACCGGTGTGAGGTGTCAGAAGATAAAGCTCGACCAGATCAAAGAATGTTTGACCGATGTCAAGATCTATCTAGTGGCTATCATGATGGCAGCGGCGTGAGTTTTTCCCTCTTGGTAGTTTTGCTACCAAATGGAGCATGTATTTATTCTAATGATGATCTCTGCAGGTATACTATCAACGGTGCCATCTCTGGGTTTGGGCCCTTGATTGTGTCAACCTTCGGCTACGACACTCTTGATTCGATCCTGTTCCAGTTTCCCGTTGGAGGCGTTTGTGTCATTTTCATTCCGCTCTGTGGCTACATTTCTACTATCGTGCCCAACGTTCGCATACCTATGCTTATTGCCTGCTGCTTGCCTGTTATTGCCGGTTGTGTGATGATCTGGAAATCCCAATGGGGATACCGTCCCGTCACGCCGGTTGTTGGTTATGCATTGACTGGCTTCTTTGGACCAGTGGTTAGCCTGATCATTACAACTGGAGCTTGCAACGTTGCGGGTGCTACAAAGAAGACCGTCATGGCGGCAACTGTGTTTGTGGCGTACACTGTCGGCAACATTATCGGGCCTCAGTTGGTGAAAAGCGACACCAAGGCACAGCATTATCCGGAATTGTGGACGGGTATGATCATTTGGTAAGCTTCTGTTTGCCTTTGTTTTATGATTCATCTTCTAATAAAGCATACCTAGTTACTGCATTACAATAGCCGCTGCAGTTGTGCTGTATCTGGTGCTTCGCCGAGAAAATCGAATCAGGGGAGAATTGGACTTGGATGAGGTGCAGCGAGACAAGATTGCGTTTGATGATCTTACCGACAAACAGAACCCCTTCTTCCGCTATGCTTTATAGTGGGTTAGGGAGCTGACCTTTTTCTGTTTATACAAAGATTCGGTCAACGCTTCCGACACGGAATCTTGAAGATTCCGTCAAGTGGAACCCCGCAACCGCATATATTAGTAAATACATCTATGCTCGCCCTGGAAAACGGGTTTATATTTCTGTTCCAATTCATAATGGAAGATCCTAAGCAGTCTCCTGCCGTCGCACTCTTTGGTGATGATGCTATATTTAGGGATCCCCGGTATGAAGTAACTTGGGAAGCTGGCGATTCTGAAAACCCACGGACATGGTCGGTGTGGTATCGTGGATTTATTGTGGCATCTATGTCATTTTCAACTACTATTGTGTGAGTCTTGTCATTAGATCCCTGACTCACTTCACCCTTGTCTTGAATATCTTGGTTAACCTCGGTTTCGCAGAGTGATATACACGACCATGTACACCTCAGGTGTCGAAGGCATACAAAAAGAATTCAACATCTCATCAAAACTTGTTGTACTCCTTGGTCTAACCACCAATCTTTTTGGTTTGGCATTAGGATCGGTTGTTCTTTCGTCCTTGTCAGAAATCTATGGCCGACGTCCTGTTTATCTCGTGTCTGTTCTCTTATTTGGTCTATTGACACTGCCTGTCGCGTTGGCAAATAACATAGAAGCCATTTTGATCAGTCGCTTTTTTGGAGGATTCTTCGGCGGAACTATGATTGCCAGCGCGCCAGGCAGTGTCACTGATGTGACGGATGATCAGTATCGTGCTCTGGCACTGAGCTGCTGGAGCTTAGGTACCATGAATGGACCTGTCCTTGGTTAGTGTCTCTTTTAATATTTGATTCGTTTCATTTCCTAATTTCTCTTGGGTATAACAGGTCCTATCATTGGTGGCTTTGTCTACCAATATCTTGGCTGGCGATGGCTCAATTGGCTTGTTTTGATATGCAGCGGAATCTCACTCTGTCTAATGTTTCTCGTGAAAGAGACTTATTCACCTGCTCTTCTTCGACGAAAGACCATAAAGAGAAAGAAGATGACTGGAGACCGTCGATGGTGGTGCCGCTTCGACCATGAGGAGACCGGTTTGCAAGTGTTGAAGACTAATTTGATTCGACCCCTACGCATGGCAGTTCTTGAGCCAATTTGGTAAGTAAAATTCGGCATATATCAATTCTTAATATGGAAAATGCTGATTGGAATAATCAAAAGCATTTTCTGGAATTTATACGTTGGGGTTGTCTATTCCGTGCTGTTTCTATGCTTCGTTGCATACCCGATTGTCTTCGAAGGAGCGCGAGGCTGGACCCCAGGCTTAGCTGGACTGAGTTACTGCGGCATAGGCACAGGCACAGCCATCGCTGTCGGTCTAGAGCCCTTGATCCGAAAAATCATTGCTTTGCACCCTCAGGATCCGATTACCAGCCGGCCAGCTCCAGAGGCAGCAGTGATCGCCGTCTGCATTGGCAGCGTACTGATACCGATTGGAGAGTTCTGGTTTTCTTGGACCGCACAACCATCGGTGCACTGGATTCTTCCCATTTTGGCCGGTATTCCTTTTGGATTGGGAAATGGGTTGGTATTCATCTACGCAACAAATTACATGGCCGGGAGCTATACCGTCTACGCTGCGTCCGCCCTAGCAGGGAATTCGATTGTGCGATATGGTCTTGCAGGTGTTTTGCCACTTGCGGGTGAAAAAAATGTACAGCACTCTTGGAGCAAATTGGGCTGGGACGATGTTGGCACTGATCGAGGTTATACTTATTCCGATCCCGTTTATCTTTTATAAATATGGCCACCATATCCGGTTACGAAGCCCGATGATCGTCAAGAGGGATATGGATGGCTCATGATATATTTATACTCTTTTCCAAGAGCGATGGTGGACAGTTCATAATAACCAAAGTGATTGGATCCATTTCACCTGTGGCTGCTCATGGCCAAGGGCCAAATTCTAGTCTTGAGTTCCAATTCCTCTTGCTATGCACAAAAAATCTTCGATTCATAATAAAAAGGCATTGGCCTGCATAGCCAACTACCAATTCCAAGCCGATGGAACATGTGAATCCAAATCGCTCACAAATAATTCCTGTAGCCACTCTATTCCACCATCTATCATTTCCCCAGGCAACCAGACATTCTGATCTGAGCCTATTATATCCATCCCTGCGATAGGTAATGAAGTTGAAAGGACCCCCGTGTTAGGATCTGTATCACCTGGAAGACAAGGCTCCATTCCCGCTGTTTGTACACCACCAGAGTGCAGTTCATGAGGATGATGTCTTGGCGGATGGTGACCGGATGTATGGGCTGGTGTGTGTCTCTCTTCAAAAGGAAAATCGTTTGGCACAAAAGGACTCTCGTCTAGATCCATGTGTCCCGCGACTGGTGGGTCTCGATCAATGGCTTGACGAATTTGTGTTTGCCGAGAGGACGAAGGCGACGTTGAAGCTGCTTCAAGGCAATTCAAGCCCGATAGGGTAAATTGCGCTTCCCGCTGCGTTGCATTATCGCAAGTCTTTGGTGATTCATGAGATAAATGATTCGATGAAATCATGGGTCGTGATGAAGACGACTGTCGATCGTTGCTCACCAAGTTTTCGGTTAGACGAGTCCCTGGATTCATGATTGCTTCAGCCATTTGGTTCAGCTTCCAGACAGCCCGGGCCATTCTGCCTGAGACCCAGGTCTTGCGGCAGTGTTTCTTCAGTGATCGCGCAGCTTCCAACGTCAATTCCCCGTAGGTATGTTTGAAAGAACTTTGTTTGATGATCAACCCGAGCGCGATGATAGTAGCACTGGTTAGGTAGTGCAGAAAGGGAAACGTATACTTTGGATGATCTTCTGCCACGTTGCTGAAGTCTTCAATTATGCTCTGGGCTAGGCGCATACAAATCACTTCGTTTTCAATGGCTTCTGGTACTGGCAAAGATGAAGCTCCTTTACGCTGAAGCATTGGCTTTCTGATTAGAAGGTAAAGTGACGACCATCGCTGTTCGACAGTTAGTTCAAATCATTTCAAGGAGGGTCCGCCCCAGGGATAACGAAAGGCCGTACAATCCGCATCATCAACTGTTGCTTGATCTGCCACCACGCTAATCCTCTTGCTTTGTAGCTTCCCGGCCGTTGCGGGTCGTAGGAAAACTCTGGTTGAAGATCACTTTGGGATTGTGTTATGAGGAGTTCCAAATATTCTTTGAGAAATGGACTTGGGGTTGAGTCCGACGTTGAAGCACCGTACAGAGCTTCCCAGACTTTGCCTACCACCTTCGAGTAGCTAGCCATAGCAATGAGGTATGGTACGGTAGTAGGAGAGTTTCCAGTACCAGTATCCTCGGGCTGCAGCGGATGAGAGGTCCCTCGGTGTTTGCTAAGCCACTCATCACTCATACTTCGAGGAAGGCCAATGTCAACGTTCAAGTCCTGAATGAGGAATGGACGACCAGTCTCAATCGCTAATCTTCTGTCCATGAGATATATACACCACCACAGACGACGAGCCATTTCACTTTCAAAAGGGTTCATTGCTTCCACCACCTGACGACGTTGCAGTCCGATGTGGTGCGAATGGGATATTGAAAGGGCTAAGAGCTTTTCCGCTGGTCCATGGGAATCAAGTCGAAACAGATAGATAACCTACATGTCATGATATTGTGTTTAGCAAAATGAATCTGCAGCAGAGAGACCCATTCCCGAACTTACCATCAATAGAATATTTTGTAGCAGGAGTATCTGATCGGTACACTCACCGAAAACATCTAAGAGGTCTCCAATTACGTCCCTCGCCGCTCGGTACAGGCTCCAACCGGCGGAGTACTGCCCTTGTTGGCCATCTACGCGTGAAGACTCAACGCATGTGCCATTAGCAAGGCACAGCAGCACACACGCAAAAGTAAACCTCCACTCGCCACGTGAGTAATGACTTGCGCTGGGGACGAGGAAGCTTTCCCAGAGTCTTTCATATGCTTCCCACACTGAAGGCAAGTGTAAAAAGGGAACCAGAATATGAACTTCATCACAAAAGGTCTTCATAGCACGGTCCCATTGTACGCGATCTGGTACTATCTTATGGGAGTCTAGAGCTTGATATACATAGCTCTTGGTCTGTTGTCGGTGATTTCCCTTTGGCGATGCTTGCGGAGACGGTGTTAACTGGGAGGAAAAAGAGTGATTGGGCGATTCAGATCGAAGTCTGGCATATCTCACGCCCATCTGCTCTAGCCTGCCTTCCACAACGGTTATGTTGTGTGCTAGAGATGTCTCACCGGAGAATGGTGTTATACTCTCATCTGGCAATCCTTTATGCCCATTTTGGTCTTCAGAGACATCTTCTTGGTGACTTCTAGTGTGCAATACTGGCGGCCTTGAGGTGTTCTGGTCACTCTTATCTTGGGGTTCTCTGGATCTTGACTTTCCTTGTCTGCATAATCGTCAGCACACCTTGTGATAGCATGAGATAATAACTGGTTCAAATCAAACCTTTCTGCAAAATCACGACCTGTCTTCCGCCATCTTCCTCTCATGTCGGTTCCATTTTGCTGGCAATCTCGTCTTTTTGAAATGCAGGCTCTGCAGGGAACATTTCCATCGCACTGTCCAGGAGTACAAGTACAATAGTCAGCATTGTCCATTATCACGTCTTTTATTAAACAAATCCCGCACGACTTACTTTGATTTTCCGGCGCTTACACTGACCACTACATTTGAAATGGGCTCTTTAGTATTGCCGGAAGTTTCAATCGTAATCTTGGAATGCCCACCATGCTTTGGACGCATATTTTGCTCGTTTTGGATGTTTCCCACGCTCACTGAATGGAATGGCAGATTCCACCATCTTTATAACGGAAATACTTGGGGTATGTTAGGGAACGGAATCATCGAGTGGAGAAATCAGGGGCCGGAATCTTCGGGATTTTAGTTCTTGGCATATGAGGAGTAAGATTGCAGCAGTTTCGAGATATGAAATTGCAATCAGATAAATCCAAATCCCTAGTGCTCCTATCGTTTGGTATTTTGGGAATGTCAAGGTGTTACAAACCCTGCTGCTATATTGTGAATATGGTGGAATATTGGCTGTTGGAGAATCCCCCCCGATGGGATGATTCTTTATGTCATGCAGACTCAGCCTTTGCTAGTTTGCTAGTTTATTTGTCCCGAGCCACAAATCGTCCGAGTGCGTCTCTGTTTCTTTCAGATCGGTGATGGGGGAACGCGAAGGTCTTTCTAAGCTTGGCTGAGGTCCCTCGTCCCGAGCCACGAACTGTCCGAGGGCATATCTGTTTCTTTCGTGTCGGGCACGGGGGGGAATGAGAAGATCCTCTTGATCTTTGGCTGGGGTAACTCCTGTAGCCTCACGTTTTCCTCATCCCTTTGCCTGCTTCTATATCTCTTGTTAGTCTCGACGTTATAACAATTAGCTATATTCTCCACACACCGTAAAGGTAAGGCCAGGGTCCTCCTGATCCAATGGTCGATAAACTTGCCTAGGCCAGTGAGGAAACGTCCAGAAACCAGTCCCGGGTTTGATGTTGAGAGCATAGCATACCGCTTTTTTGGGCCTCTTGTCTTCGAAGGCGACGCAAATGTGATAGAAGGGCTAGGTAAGGAGGAGTGAAGAAAGACGGTGATGCATTCCGAGCGAAGCCCTCGCTAAGAGAGAGAAGAAGAGAGAAAGAAGAGAGAGAGAAAACTACCTAGGTAGCTATCTGGCTGGTCCTGTCACCCATGGTGGCCCCAGGCATCCAACAAAATGTGCATGACAAAATTCAATCGCTCACATCGTGCACATCGCGACAGGATATGGCTTGGCTCTTGAGGGAGCCTGCACTTGACCTTTCGCTTCCGACGGGTGTCATATGCTAGGGTCGAGAGATCTGCGCGGAGCGAGTGATGGAATGTTGACATCCGGGATGGCCACACAGATGGATCTAACATAAAACAACAGAGTATACAAATGCAAGAGGCCGATCTGGGTAAGTTGGGAAAAACGGGTCGAAAGGCCCCCCACCTTTTTTCAATGCCGAAAACTTCTTCAAAACCAAAGGCCTCAAGGCTTCTGGGCTTCGTAACAAAGTCACCAATTCGATTGTCAAACATTCGTGGAAGGGCAACTCCAGGGCTATAAACCGGCGTGACATAAACAGGGGGTATATAAAGAATAGCTGCGAGGAACCACCGGGAAATCGGAGTGTACACAACACTGTATCGATGTGCCTGCAAATCCCCACTGGATACCTATTGAAATTCTTGAATTCTTGTCATTTTAGAGAGTTATATAGCACTAAAAGGGGTACATAACTACCTGTAGGCGTAAGGTGCAATTCAACACGAAAAAGGGGCAAGGCGGTCTACAGACACCCGTAGTGACTCCTAGTCCTAACCTCATACTCATACCCGTTGCACCTCACGTTCAATATAACCAGTTGTACATATTCTTAAGTCTGTCTAACATGATAGGCAGCTTCCGAGCCTACGTGGATTGGATTTTCCGATCCTTCAAGACTCTGGAGTTGAGAATCCTGTTGGTGGGAGACGATGATTCTGGAAAGACCACTTTGCTACACCAATGGTACCACCAGAAATTTGTTGATCTGCCTCCAAACTATATGGGTGGATTCGAGGTTCAGACTGTCGAATATCCGCAAAAATGTCGCTGGACCATCTGGGATATCACACGTAAGTGGCTAACCTCCCATCCTCCTTTTCATTTATTTCCAGCAATGCGCCTAAAGCAAAAGCCCAGTCGGTTCGGATCCGATCAGAAAGCTGCTATATCACTACTTCCAGAACACAGCAGCTGTTCTATATGTTCATGACTGTGATCGGCACTTGGATGATGCTATCTCCTCCGTTCATTATTACATCGGGGTTATGCTCGAGAGAGAATGTAGTTTACTTTACATTGTCCCAAATAAACAGGATAAGCTACCCTCGGAAAAATCCCAAGGGCTTGCCCACGACCTGCGCGAGGCGTATAAGAAGGAGCTAGCCAGATACGAGGGTCAGATCTGTTGGAAAGTCCTGGACTTTAAGATCAGTGCCAAAACTGGAGAGGGTGTTTGGGAAATACTTGACGAAATTTATGGCGAGCTTTGAGTGCAGCCCAACTTGTTTGTGCATATCTCCAAGTCCTACAATTTGTTATCCAGTGCAGTCCACCAACACCGGGTGGTGTTGTTGGGGGCCGATTATTTTGCGCTTCGGAGCTTGAATATCGCGATTACCGCTAGGATTTGCGCTTGGACCTCGGTACGGCAGTCTCTAGTAAATCTTCCGATGTTTCGAATCGCTGGCTAAACCGGGAATCCCGAAAAGCTTCAATATTACTATTCGATGCTGTTGCCTCGATAATGGATTTAAAAGGGAGTTGGCAGACGGTGTCTTATTCCACCACCCGAGAACCCGTCAAACCATCCATGGATCCATACATGAACTTGTGTCATGTCTCGCAGGAACCTCGATGCATCCAGGCTGTTGTGCCATCCGCAGTTTCTTGGCATCGAGGACCTTGAGAGGACAGGGCTGGCTTGGCGAGACTTGGCACGGCTTGGCAATCACTCACGAAGGATTCACTAGGCGATATATTTTCCATCCAATCGCTTTTTTTCTTTCTCCAATTCTGACACTATGCTGCGTGAGGTATTCTCCATATTCACATGTGTGGCATGGGTGGGATTTGCCATTTATCTCTCGCCATGGATGAAGGTCAGATCAATATCTTGAAACTGACACTATCCACTCAGCACTAACGTCCTGTAGGATATCTCCCATGAAGTTGAAGCTTACAATGCTACTACATTCCAATACCCAGTGCCATTGTCTACACACAATGAAGAGCACACACGTCTAATGCAGAATCTTCAGCGATCCAGTGGGAAATGGGACTCTAACCATCCTCGACATCGATTGTTAACTGCCCTGTATGGATATACATCCTACAAAGACAAAAACCTAGCTGAGGTGAACCGCTGGAGGAATCTTTATAAAAACGTCCCGAAGCAGCAGCGAACGGTATGTATTTCTTTCGCTCTTTCTTGTCTTTTCTCTTTGCTGTTAAGCAGGTTTCACTGACTAGCTTAGTTGCTTGAATCAACCGTCCACTACACGCGTAAACTCAACACAATCGAACATTTGCTCGATACAAACAATGAACTCGCCAAATCTATTGTTGATCACGGTCTTTGGTTCTACAATATCAGCCAATCTGAGCTAGACGAATTCATCAAAGAGAGTGAGAGTCAAAAACGGTCCGCTGATAAGACTAGCGTCTCTCAAGGAATGAAGCATTTTGTGCGTGACTGGGCAGACGAAGGCCATGAAGAGCGTGAACAATCCTTTGGATGTATTCTGAAGTCGCTCGCCCAGACACCACGGACGACAGATAGACCCTTGCGAGTGCTGTTGCCTGGGGCTGGATTGGGAAGACTGGCCCATGAGGTTGACAATCTTGGAGGTGAGTACATGGTTTGCTATCTGGAAACTTTCATTGATTGATTCAAATTAGGCTTTGATGTGACGATGAACGAATGGTCAACATACATGAACCTGGCATACCGTTATGTATCCAGTCGCTCCATCCCCAACAGTGTACCATTTTACCCGTACATTGACTGGTGGTCTCACCACGCCACGACGGAAGATCTCCAGCGCTCCATTACATTCCCAAACCAAGTTATTCGCCCATCATCTGTCTTACTCATAGAGGGAGATTTCACTACGGTATTCGCAGAACACACTGGTCAATACGATATACTCGTGACCTTGTTTTTCATCGATACTGCGCGGAACTTAGTCACATACCTTGAGACCATCCACAGACTACTTCGTCCTGGTGGCCGTTGGGTGAATCTTGGTCCTTTACTGTATGGCACCGCGCCATTTGTGCAGTTATCACTGGACGAGATTGTGGCGCTAAGTGAGAGCATGGGATTTGAGTTCCAGGAGACAGATCCCTCAGTTGGGGATATAACAGTGCCTGGCTTGCAAGTGCGAGGGTTGGATGTGGCATATGGTCGAAATGCGCGTGGGTTGAATAAGAACGCATATCAGGCGCAGTATTGGGAGGCTGTTAAGCGCTAGAACAGGAACAAAATAGAAATAATATTCTGCTTCCTTTTTAGTAGGATTCAAGCAAAGTAGCTGTTTGTCACTAGAATATTATCCGAATTCGACTTCTAGACCGGGAGAGATGAGGCGGGATAGGGCAACAAGCTATCCGCGACTTGCGTCTTTCGTGAAACACAATATATCTCACATAATACCCACCTAATTTAACTACCGAACAGCAATTCATTTCCCGTAAGCAATATAATGACGCACCTTCGCCCCGGCCCCCATTGACTAGCTAGCACGGTCAGGGTCTCGGGTACAACCTCAGGACCTTGGAAGTTTCCGATTCCGGGCCCATAACCCAACAACATCGACCGATAGTAAAGGATAGCTATAATAAGCGAATATAGAAGAATTGAGTTTCTCCCGGCCTCGAAATTTACACAAAAAGGGCATCGTATCGCTCGGATAATAAAGCCTCAACCCTCTTGGCAGGTTGGGATCGGCAGGGACTGACATTGGTCCATGATGGCCAAGATATATCCAAGAGAAGCACAGCTCTCATTAATCAAACATTCTTATCCACACACGAGACCATCTAGTCGAAGACCAATGATATGCCGGATATAATGAGACACCCCCTCCGGTGCCAAGGCCATTTGAGAACCTTTGGGGCACCAAGACTTTCTCTTTTCTTGGCCTCGCAAACCCTACTATGGCGGCGGAGCAGCAGGTATAAAGTCCTGCGTGGACCCTGTGCGACAGATTCGTGATTTTGGAACATTCATTGTGATTATACTCTCCACAACCTCCAAAATAATCCCGCCAAAATGAAATTGTCCATCTTCCTCATTGCATTGATGACCTCGGTCTCATCCGCGGCAACCACTCAGGATCCCGGCCCATCTCCTACTGCTTCTGTCGGCTGTGAGCCACACGGAGACCACTGGTTCGTTCGATCCCGTCGTATGCTATGTCTATCACCCGGTGTTTATTAACATTTCTATACAGGCACTGTGACGGCCCAGCCTCAACAGATGTCTCCTCAGTTACATCGACAAGCGAGGCCGAAGTGAGCACCACTGCTTCTCCCACTATGCCTAGCCCTACCGAGTCCATTGGCTGTGAGCCGCACGGTGACCACTGGCACTGTGACGGACCCGCCGAGACCGGTACTGAGGCCGAAGCGAGCACCACCTCTGCCACTGCTTCTCCCACTATGCCCAGTCCTACTGAGTCTGTTGGCTGTGAGCCTCACGGCGACCACTGGCACTGCGATGGACCGGCTGAGACTGGCAGTGCCTCCGCGAGTGCTTCCGCGAGTGCCTCTACCAGCTCTGGAGATGAGGAAGGCGCTGCTGGCTCAATTGGTGTGCAGCTTTCCCTGCTTGCTGGTTTGTCCCTTGTCGCTGCTGGTCTGAACCTTTGAGACTGTTGATCATCTCAGAGACATGAGACTGTCTTGTGTGTGTACATATGTGTTGCTATATCGAGGCGACCATCTCGAAGTACAGTAATTAGGGATCAATGTATTCACCCCGTGTACCTACCTAGCTAGAAATGTCAAAAGCAATTATATAAGCTGTGTATCTACCTACCTAGGTAGGTAGCCCTGGAAGGTTACCTCCAGTCTAACCCGTTGTGAGGCCTGAGGCCATCAAACAATTAAGTCTGTCCACGGCCAAAAAATAAAAAATAAAAAATAAAAAATAAAAAAAACAAAAAGAAATGTCAACGGCGCAAAACGAACGGTTAAGGACAGAAGCAAAAAGGGAAATGGCCGTCGGATAGGAACCTAGCAGTACATTATCCTGCACTAACAGTATGCTACTGCAGAGCAGTATACCGGTAGGATCCAGTCCGCCAGCCATCCCATTTAGGACATCCTAACAGTGATTCTTCTACTACCTTGGAAGAATATTATGTCTGAACTGTTCAACACTGGACAATGTCTATCAGCAGAGAATCTATATGCATATTACCCCACTTTTTATTTGCTCAATCTCATCTCTGCTCTACATGCACCTAGATATATCCCTTTACGAGTCTAATTGGTCGTATAAGCTGCCTTTGTATCTCATACAGGCATATGGCCTAATCAGGGCAAAGATGTGAATTTGGAAACAGATAAATACTAACATCGAAAAGCACCGGAGTGGATTCACTGGCTCATTGAGGGTTCAAATTGGCATATCAATTACGATTGACACTGATGTCTTGGAAAAACATTGGCTCAGTATCTTCCAGATTGATCCACATATCATGGCCAAGGCGTTAATGTCCTCCACAACAAGTGAGGTTACGACCTTCCCCTACAAGCTAGGTTCGCACGACACTACCTAGGTATGCAACAGAAATGGAGTAAAGCACGACCACAACAAATGACCCAAAGATCAGTCACTGATATCAAAGAACTGATTGTGGTTTTAGCAGTGTGAAGAAGAGAAAAAGCAAGTGAAAGATTTGGATAAAGTCCGATGATCTCTTTTCTTTTCGAGATGGAATATTGAGTACAGAACGAGTGTGAGAAGATCCAGGATGGGTATGTATAGCCAGTTCGAGGGAAATGCAGACAAGACGGAAAAGGAAATGCGGAACTGGGTTCTCCCTTAACATGAAGGAGAACAAGAACAAAGACATCGGAATAGAAGAGGAACAGAATGGACTTAGCCTCCCTAATGTTCCAACCCTAGATCCTATCCTAATCCTGTGATCCAGAAAATCAGAAATTGAAAATCGGTTTGGTTGGCTTGTAAGTAAAAAACAAAAAACGAGAGCTTCGTGAGTAGTGGGTTACATGTAACAAAGAACACCAGGAATCCAGAACAGGAGAGGGAATAAATCCTGCATTGCACGCTGCTGCAGGAGGGGAAGAGGGAGGGAGATCCAGGTACAGTAGAGGCAGAGTAGAGGTAACAGCAACAGACTCTCTATTCCTGTCCAAAGCCAAGCGTTTCCTCCACCGCGATAGACATTTTGTGCTCGAGGGCATCGTGCGTCTTGTAAGGAGGAAGATCAAGACGGTTGAAGCTGTGTTGGGAAAAAGGTTAGCCATCATACAGCAGATACAAGAACCAGCTCGGATACTTACCAAGTATGCGACTTGGGAAGCGCAGCAGGATCACCAGACTTCTCAATGGTAAACCGTCTGGGGCCATCAGATCCCTGCAGATCCTTGAATCCGTTGACGGGAATACGTGAGGTACCAGTAGTGAACTGGAGAAGACGCGACTTCTGCTCAGCATCCCAGGTGCGGACGATCTTCCAGAAGTTCTGGATAACCTCGTCCTGCTCCTGGTAGCCGCGGTAGTCGGTGTGCTTCTTCCAGTCTTCGACATCAATGTCGGCAATACCACCAATGAGCAACTCAAGTTCGCGCTCGTCAAAGACATTGACGAGGTCGGGCGGGATAAGCTCGTTGAAGCCGGACATGAAGGCGTCGAACTGCTCCTCAACTCGCTTCATGATCTTCCATTCCGTAACCAACCTGCGATACGATTAGCGGGTTTAATCAGGCTATAGAATAGCTGGTTTCACTCACTCAATGTACTGTGGCTTGTTCTCGTTGGTGACGGGAATATCCCGGCCACCGGGTATCAAATCAATAGTGCGACGCTCGCCAAACTTCTCATCGTCAACCGAAAATGTGAGTTCCACAATTCCGTCAATGTCATTATCCCTGCAATTTATTTAGTGACACCATCCTAAAAATGAGACTGGATGTATCAAACTTACAGTGTCCATGCCAAGTTGCGGTGCAAATCCTCATCCACGCCCTCCATATCTTGGAGACTGACCTTCTTCCGCAACATCATCTTGTAGAAGGCTCCGATGAAGAAGGAATCCAGGAAACGACGGTGGAAGATAGCCAGACCAACCACCCGGCCGATGAACTTGAAGTAATTGAGATGCTCGGGGTTCACTCCCGAGTGAGGATTAATCTGCAAGGTATAATTATCGTGGGCAGAGTATTCGAAGAGACAGTAGAAAGGATTGAACATTTCGTGTGAGAGGAGGAAGAAGAATTCACTGAAAGAGTTAGCAACTTTAGATTACCACCGGGAAAAAAAGAAGAACAGAACATACCGTGAAAGACCACCGTAGTCAAGACCATCTTCGCCATCGAACTTGATCATTAGGCGCTTCTTAAGATCGGATGCGCTCTGGCGCATAATCTCGGCATATGAATCCTCGAAGATGTTATTACGACGGACTTTAACGTGGCACTGTCCGGACATAATGCGCAACGCGGGTTGGGACCGGAAGTAGATCAGCTTGCGGCGGAAGTCACGCTTATACTGGGGCACGCCCTGATCCAAAGAGGACGGGAGGCGCGGATCATCCCAAGTAGTCGTCTTGGTGTTGTGGTCGACGAAATATACTCGAGCAGTGTTGGTAAGACGCATCTCCCAGCCGCTGGGGAGAGGACCCAATTGGGATACAGGCTGCTGTTGAATGGTGGTGTTGTTCGCGCCACCTGTGGTCTGGCCCTGGCCGTACATGCGGATATACTGCTGCCGACGAGGATCGACCCATGTCGTCGTGCGTGTGTTGTGGTCCACGAAATAGGGCCGCCCCTCGGGCGTCACTCGTCGTTCCCAGCCTGGTGGAAGCTCCCCTGTGCCTGCAGTGGTGGCTCCCGTCGCCATCATGGAGATCGCGGCGGCGTTGGACCCGGCTGGAGCTCCAGATGCGAGAGAAGTTCCTGCGTTAGGCCCGGGCGGTGGTGTAGGTATCTGCTGGGCATCTGGCAGGTTGGGTGAATTGGCGCCAGTCCGATCTTCCGGAAGCATTCGGCTCTGGTGGGCCCGACGTTCAAGCTGCATGTTGGCTTCGCGCTGCGAGCGCTGGGCATGCTCGTTGTAGTTGGCCGATGGTCGTGACCATGTTGTGGTGCGCGTATTGTGGTCCACATAATATGTCCGTCCCAGATTGTCTTCACGTCGTTCGTATCCAGCAGGGAGTCTACCTTGGCTGTCCTCAAATGAGCTGAGATTAGCGCGGGACGGGACACCGGGTCCAGGGGGGGTTGGTCGGGGCCCCATTCAACGAGGGAGGGGCACCGGCCGGTGGAGCGGTGGTCGGAGTGCGCTGGGTCAATGATGAACTTGATGCTGCCGCAGGGGACGTATCGATATTGCTTGGGCCAGCTTGTGACTGGGATGTTGGTGCTGCAACCTGGGGCACAAGGCCGCTGGAAGTCGATGTCTGGGCCTGTTGACGTTGGAGTCCATTCTGGTTCGGATGCGGGGTGGTGAGGTTTGAAGATAGGTTGATGATCAATTTTCCGTGGACCACGAGGTTATCGTTCGATTTTTTCAGATCCCGAGTAAGCATTTCTGTGGGGGGGCACATGGCCGTCAGGTCAGTCCACGTTTCTATGACTCTGCGATCGGCGTTCTTCAGACGTACCATCACCACCCATCGACAAGTCAATGACATCGCCGATGCGGACATTGATGACTCCGAGGAAACCCTGGTCCTTCTTCTTGAATTTCTTCTGGTCGAAGATCTGAATCGCAAGAATGCTGTCCTCGTTGACTCTCCTGCAAAGATTCGTGGTTAATAACGTTCGCCCTTTTCCCCGACAGCGGCGGACTTTTCACATACAAATCGAATGGCTCATTCCAATAGGGATTCAGAGTCTTCTTGATCACAGAAGTTGTATGGGTTTGTTCTCCTCCAACAGTAGCCACGGCGAATGGATCGGGGAATCCTAGAAAGAGGTGGTCAGTTCAACCCCGCAGCACTTGATCGACCGATCTGAAGGAGACAACATACGGAAGACATCGCGTTTGTACAAGCCATCAGCCGCGATAACTATATAGCCAGATATGTTAGCCTTGAACGGATGCGGAACCCCGCAGAGTCCCACGACGATTCGATGGAATGGCGGTCTTACTCGTGACCCGGAGATTTGGCTGGCTGCAATTCAAGTCAGCGATGATCTGAAAATCCAAATCGGAATAGTGCCAGAGAGGAATCGAACTTACGCTGGGAGATTTGACGCCATGATGCTTTACAAGCGCCGATCAATCACGCCCAAGAACAGCGCGGGCGCGCACATTCACGAGGGGAGAAGGGCCAAACCGAGTTCGCCCAGGGTCAAAGCCTGGAAAGAGTGGATAGGTTGGTAAATTGCAGGTTTGTTGATGGTTGTAGTGTTGAGAGAGGAGGAGGAAGAGAAAGGGAAGGGTTAGGCGTGAGGTGCGCCCGTTGTATGGTGCAGGTACTCGGACTACGTATTCACTATGTACGAGATACACGGTCAGTACTTCATGGGGCTGAGCACGGGGAGATTTATAACGAATGATCATTTCATTCTATTTACTACATATGTATATTATAGAGTATTGCATAGCCATAAAAAGGTACGAATATCTAATTCTTTTCAAGTTTCTTTAAGTATACGTAATAGAGGAAATTCAGCGGGTGTGGGCGGGAAGAGTGGCAATTTGATATTAATAGGGAAATTAATAGCCCTGGAGGATGGTAAGAAATATCTCAGAAGCTATTCCAGGCAACCATATTCATATCAATGTATACATATGTTGTATGTAGTTATTCTATGCTCTTTTTATACAATTATGTAGTACTCTAGTATGTACTCTCAACCATATCTAATACATCCAATACATAATCTTCTATATCAGCTAGTACATTAAATACAACGCCAATAGCCAAATCTTATCTCTTATTGTTTTTGTTTGCTAATTCTCCCGGAAATTATTGTACAGCACAGTTCCCACAACTCCAAACCCATAGAGAAATTGAGGAGAGGATCAGTTCAGTCTTAGAATCAGACACCAGACCCGGGATTTCCAGAAGCACCTTCAAATACACTCAGTAGGGCGAGAATCCACGTCCTCGGCCCCGGTAGGGAGCACCACCACGATATCCACCACCACGGGGGAAACCACGACCACGACCGCGACCAAACCCACGGCCACGGCCACGGTGCATACCAGGCAGGTTGGTACGCTTGGGAACGACCTGTTATTTCGATATCAGCGAGTGTAGAGAGACTAGTATCAGCAATTATAAACTGACCTTCAAGTTGCGACCGCGGAAGACACTCTCATTCAACACCAGAGCCTGGGCAACCAAGCTGGGTTCCGCAAATTCAACATAGGCATAACTACAGCGTCTTGTCAGCACACATCCACCTTGTACTATTTTCTCTTCGTCTGTTCAGATCTCACCCTTTGGGCTGGCCAGAGAACTTGTCCAGCAAGATGGTAACCCGGTTGATGGAACCACAGCTCTGGAAATGAGCCTGGATCTCCTCCGGCGAAGCGCCGTAGTCGACATTGCCGACGAAAATGCTACGCGCATCGATGTCTTCCTTGTTCTCTTGGAGACTCTCAGTTTGCTGGTCGAGGTCGGCTTGCATTTCACGCAGCTTGGCAGCCTCGGATTCCATCTCGGCCACTCGTCGCTTCATAGCCTCAATCTCTTCCTATACGGATCAATCATGTCAGCGGGGTATGCCTTGTATATGAGGGAATGTATGCGACGTGGGTATGAAAGAAATGACTCAAAGATCTCGAACAAAGAGGCGGAATTGCTTTCAGTGCAGCGGAGCAACCCCGATCACACCTACCTCGTCATCTACACCATCTTCCTGAGCTGGAACCTTCTCCCCCTTGATCTCCTCTGGGATCTCCTGGCCTTCAGCAGCCATCTTGTCGACAAAAAGAAAGAAAAAGTGTCGGGTTGGGGTTATTCGAAGGGTCGGTGAAAGCGCCGGGGGTACCGATGAGGGGAGCGAGTCAGAGCTCTCCGAAGGTCGGTTTGGTCTTTGCGCGTCAAATCTAGTATATGAAAACGAAAGGATTGAGTTTCTTGAAAGTGGGAACTGCCCAGATGATTTGTACGAGATAACAGAACCCTCTGTCCAAGATCTCTAGGCGGTAGAGAATTGAAGTTCTGGGATTTGGCAATGACAGTCTGTCTATTTTGGGAATAGCGTCTTTTCCGGCTACGGTATACTGCCGGGCGGTGTATAATATCTTTCCAGCCTCACTTGACGATGGGGTTTGTCTCAAACTATCTACTTATATTCTATATGGCACGCCGATAGAAGAATTAGGCAGGCAAAATCTTATGGTTTGTCTCTACTACAAGATAGTTTATATAGGAAAATAAGTCTATATTGCAGCTACCAGCAGTTACATAGAAAGCCTAATTTCGTTCTATATATTCAACTTGAAAAAAAAAAGGCCTAGCTATCTTAGTATCAAATCAATCAAGGTAGACTTACATTATACATTGGGACTCTTGGTTGTTTTCTTTAGCTAGTTCAAGGGCGCGGAAAGTTCAGATTACTGAAAAATCATGTCTATGTACCTGCTGCATGGCCATACTATATAGTAATACAGATCTCATGAATCTACAACATACATGTAGGAGCTATGGCTCCTTGGCATGAATGCAAGGTATTTTGAATCAAAATTGACACGATTTGCTTCTCATTACCGTATATGAAAGCCAGCCCAAATGTGACTAGATAAATACATAGACCTCACGGTCCGAGAGAGGGGCAAGCAAAACACAAGACGATCAGAAAATAATGGATAAATTTGATTCTATCGGTAAACATGGTTTTGAGGGAAATCAAGGAAATCAAACCGAGCGATCAGCCCGTAGGAATAGATAGCAGTGTACTATGTAGACAATGATGAGGAAATGACTCGATTCAAGGTATCATGTATCAAATTGAAAGAAAAAACAAAGCATGGAATCTGCAACAAGGCGGAGGGAAGGCGAAGAACACATGGTCAGACGAACACCAAGGCAATTATTTACAGGAGGAAGGAAGGAAGGGCGGTAGACATACGGACAGCATCACGAAGCTGGGGGGATGGTTCTTGCGGAAGGAGACCTTCTCAACAGCCACATTTTCCACCCCATTGGCATCGGTCTTCAGCTGGTAGACGTACAACACAAGGACATCACCTTGAATCTGTTCAGGGTCAGCATGTACACTATCTTCCAAACCCGTCAGGGCAACTCACATCCATCAGGCAGAAACTCGGTGTAGGCTCCTCGCCATCTGGCCAGAAGCCCGAGCTCATGGCACCTGTTGCGCTTCCCGGGTTGATGAAGAACCGACCCTCCATCTCGAATGCCTCAAAGCGGTGGGTACCACCCCACAGTAGGACATCGACATCCATTTGGCGGGCCGCGATAAGCAGTGCGTCGGCGTCGGCGGGTGGCACGATGGTGTGGCCATGGGTGAAACCAATTCGTAGACTGCCATGGTTCACGATCCTAGAGAGGGGGAGATTGGGGGAGTCGACATCGTAATCGCCCTTGACCATCTGTAGGTCCGGGCTACCTCGCGGAGGAAATCATAGGTCTCGCGATCAGTCAAGTTGCCCAGACAAAGGGTCTGGCCGATCTTGCCGGGGGTCAGGAGTTTGCGGAACTGGAGTGGACGAGCATCATCAGCAGGCTGGAGTAAGTTGTGACGTAGTAGAGAGACGGACCTTGGCTGGAAGATCCTAGATTATGTGTTAGCGGAGATAGGGAAGCTGAGCTGAGGACAGCTTACAGGAGCTCGGTCAGGGATGAACAGGTCACCAATGACCAAGACCAAACGGGCGGTCATCCTGGATGGTGTGTGTGGGGTAAATGGAGGTCAATGGTCCATCCACGGAGATCGGAAATCGGAGCAAGCCAGAAAGAAACAACGCCTGTTGGCTTCAGCCTGATGGAGCTTCGCGGGGAAGAGCAACTAAGCTATGCCCTGAAGCCCTATTCTATATCCAAATGCGGCTAGCGCTATCTGTCCTATAAAGCCATCCCGATCTTTGTTTTGTTTCGCATTGGCTCATCAGGCCGAATGTCTCGTCCGAATGCTTTTCGGTTTGATGAGTCCAATCCATATCTACTCCGTATTTGTCGAAGGTTTCCTAACTCTTTGCGGAGGTCACCGGAGGTTATGAGAGCATACTACATTGGGGATGAAGGGTCGAATGGAGTAGCAATTGTCGGGCAGACCACGGCATTGAGATTGATATAGTACAATATGTATATGAGCACTCCGTATAAATGATATTATATATGCATTCAAATTCAATGCAGAGAGCAAGTACATGTAATATCGGAATACTCCTATCCCCAACATATGTGTAGTAAACAGTAAAACATAGACATGCAATCCTCTAGAATTGCTAATAGAATGATATAAAAATGACTCAACACCCCGTAGAATACCCCAGATATTCGCATGATATCCCACAAATCCTTTATAGAACAATACGTACAGCGTAGGACGTAGACTGTTGGGGAGTCAATCGGTAGGGTCCGCCCGGCCTTCCCTTCTCCGACATCAAATCCCCAAAGGAAAACAAACTCCTTCGGAGAAGAGAGCGCGGCTCAATTCATAAATAAACCCTTAAATAACCCATCAAAATCTCATTCTCACATGCCCTCGGTGCCTTCATCCGAACGAACAAATCATCGAATTCCAATCGGTATCTCGGCCAATCCACTCGGCGATCCCCGAACTTCTCCAAAGTTACCCTCGGGAACTGCTCCAATCCCCTTTCACGCGAAAAGTACCCCGCGGCTCGCCGCAATCGGATGGCGTCCAAATCGACTAAGGAACGCCTGAGCCTGATTTCCAGACACCTGGACCAGCGCCTCCCGTTGCCTGACCTTAATACTCCCTTCTCGACCGAGAGAGATTCGCTATTCTCTGACGACGTCGAATATAAACCCATCGATCGCTCCATTCTTCCTTCCCCTCCTCCAGAATCAAATCCCACCATGTCTGCTCAAGCCCCTCACAACACCCTCCTGATCCCAGGACCCATCGAATTCGACGATGCCGTCCTCCAATCCATGTCCCACTATGCGTGAGTTGCCCATGTCATACATTATTACAGTAAATAACCAACTAACTCCCTTAGTGAGAGCCACGTCGCTCCCGGCTTCGTCAAGGTCTTCGGCGAGACCTTGACTCTCGTCCGCAAGCTCTTCCAATCCACCAACCCCACCGCGCAGCCCTTCATCATTGCCGGAAGCGGCACACTGGGCTGGGATCTCGTCTCCGCCAACCTGATCGAGCGCGGCGAGAACGCCCTCGTCCTCAACACCGGCTACTTCGGCGACTCCTTCGGCCAGTGTCTCGAGACATACGGTGCCAACGTGACGCACCTCAAGGCGCCCATCGGCGATCGCACCCCGCTCGAGCAAGTGGAGCAAGCCCTGAAGGAAAAGCCTTACAAGCTCATCACCCTCACACACGTCGACACGTCGACAGGTGTGCTCGGGGACGTCAAGGGCGTCGCCCAATTGGTGCGCCGCGTCAGCCCGAACACCCTCGTGGTCGTGGACGGCGTGTGCAGCGTGGGCTCAGAGGAGATCGCCTTCGACGAGTGGGACCTCGACGCCGTCGTCACGGCTTCGCAGAAGGCCATCGGCTGCCCGCCCGGTCTCAGCATCGTCATGACATCCGGCCGCGCCATCCAGGCTGCCCAGTCGCGCAAGACCCCGCCCGGCGCTTACTACGCCTCCATCGCCAACTGGCTTCCCATCATGCAGAACTACGAGAACAACAAGCCCTCTTACTTCGCCACGCCGCCCACCCAGCTCATCCACGCTCTGCACACCACCCTCACCCAGATCACCGCTGATGTCCCCGGCCGCTTCGCTATCCACAGCGAGGTCTCGGATAAGGTTAAGGCTGCTGCTGCCGAGCTTGGTCTCAAGCAGGTCGCTTCTCGCCCTGAATGCCAGGCTCATGGTATGACTGCCATGTACCTGCCTGAGGGTCTGGTCCCGGCTGATGTCCTGCCTGGTCTGCTTAAGCGTGGTGTTATCTTTGCAGCTGGCCTGCACAAGGAGATTGCTACTAAGTACATCCGGTTCGGCCACATGGGTGTCACTGTCACTGATCCCAAGCGTGGTGATGTCGACAAGGCCCTGGCGGCGCTTAAGGAGGCTCTCGCCGAGGCCAAGCAGGCCAAGGGTCTGTGAGGGCTGTACTCATGTATGTTTGATGTAAATAGAATCACTTGGACTTGCACAGAGTAAGCCTTATGGGTTATATTCAGTAAGACTACTGCAATGAATTATTGATTAGATGATATTATTTTGTAAACTACCCTGTTGGTAGGATAGTAACGCGGCCTCACTTAATAAGTTAATGTGCCTTTACTCTCCTACCAATACCATTTGATCCTAGACTATATCACTGTTTCCAACTACCTAAACTACCTACTGTCCTAAACCAGAAAGCATAATAATCTGCACGTACCCGCCGATCCTCCGCATTCTGGAATCCTCCCTATTGGCGCATTTACCCAGACCGAAGATCGGAGTCGAAGAGATACACCAGACACGTTAGGATGGACATTGAACGGCGAGTCGCAGTCAAGAATGTAATATTATACCAGGAATTACTCCAGACAATTCGGTGATATTTCCCCTATCAGCTCCTAGCTGCTGCCAAGCAAGCCGCAAGTATGTCAAAGTCCCCCTGCCACACCCCTACACAGCAACAACCATCTCTTGCATAGACACGGCTGGTCTTCAATATTTCGAGGACACTACGGTGTAGATAGACATAGCCAAGGATATTTCCTACATCAGTAGCCGATCTGGGGACTATATTTCCCCATTGAATCTCATGTGGTTTTCGATAGAGTTTCGCCAGGGCTGAAGATTGTAGGAATGGAATGTTTTGTCTTTGATAGAAATGTAGCAGGGGACTTCATTTTGTTTATTCGTATGCCCATCCATCCTGTGGAGGTCTCTTCCTTCTGTTATCCTACTTCCATAAACTAGTAAGGCTTCCCAACTGCGTGACTATATCTCAATATAGAATATCTCCGACATGCATTACTTGAACTCGCTTCCATTCCTCATAGCAGCCGCTACTTTCACCTTGGCGGACACAACAGCAAAAGCAACCACATTAGCAGACAATGCAGTGAATACTACATGTGCCTCAGAAAAGTAGGTCGTGTCCATCCACGTATACACGTGCATGCATGCGTGGATGCTTATATGCAGTTCAAGCCGAGCCCGAATACTAACTATTCAACCCAGCAGCATCCTACGGCAATGCATCCAATCCCTGCGACCTAACCTGGGGAACTGCGCACCCGACGATTGGGACTGCCGCTGTACTAATAGCATGAATGTGGTGGAGTAAGTCCGGTCTAACACCTAGTCAACCACATCCACCCATCCGAATAACATATTGACATTAATAACCCAGATGCTATACCAATTGTCCCGAAGACCCATCCAAAAATGACGCCGAGACAACTCGCCAGCGGAATTGCGCTAATGCCAAAGCACACGCACTGATATCAGTAGCTGCATCTACTGTAAGCTCTAGTAGAGCTGCGGCTACGAGCACTGATATTGATGATGGAACGGATATTTCTGACTCCGAAGTTGAGAATGATTTCGAGGGGGGAGATTCGATAAAGTCGTATAGTGGATTGGAGGCTAATCTGTTTGCCCGTCCAGAAGAGGGAGCTGCTTCTGGTTTGAGGATAGGGGGTTGGTTAGGTTTTCTAGGGCTTACACTGGGGTTTCTCTTTTAGTTTTTGGTTTTGGGTTGAGGTTCTAGTGTCTCTGATATCACTGTATGTATACCCATATACCATATAAAGATCGTCCTAGGGAGTGGCTCCATCAAGTAGCATTATCTCCTAACGCCAGAACCAGTAAATAAACTCAGTAAGAAACCCTTGCGCCGAAACTGCGTAGTCGTAAAAGAAGAGAAAAATCTTGCCAAATCCTTTGGCCATGTCCTGTATCCCGCGCTATTCCTCTTGCTCAATCACTTTCACAACTTCAGTTCCATTTTTCGTATCCCCGACTGGTTCTCCTGTCATCCAGCACAGGATGGTAACCCAGTCATCCAAGTTATTCTGCACACCATCCTTGAAGTCCATGATCCGTGATGAACGGATTTGGAGGGCTTTGGGGTTCTGCTTGTCGTGCCAGATTTGAAGGATGCGGACGGTAAAATCCGACACGGAAAACATGGTGATAGGGATGTATCGGTGATCGTTATATCCCTCCTGGAGTCGGCGCTTGGCGATCAAACCATAGGCAAGAGATACCTCACCTGAGTTGAGGCGGCCAACACGGTGGGGCTGCGAATCGGCTACGAAGGCATTGATATGGGGCTGAGATGTATCCTTCGCGGTTGTCCAGCCTTCGAGGTACCATTGGCCTTGCATCGGATACACAGAGCCGAGCTCGTTACTATCAGGTAAGAATGGTTAGAAACTAGAGTGCTGTAGATAGGATGGATTCTCAGTGACTTACTCCTCATCAGCTATTCGATACGGCGCATCGTAACCCCAAAAATTGTTCAGAGTACCGTGTAAAACCCCAATCACGTGTACCGCGTTATTCCACCGCCGGTATTTGTACAACTTTGGAATATCGAGGATATTGAGACTATGGATGTCCCGTTCATCCCAAGGCTGTTCACGCTCCACGTATTCTCTCATTTTATCATGGGAAAATGGCTCCACAAAGCGTGGGCCATAGTCTGGGGAACCACCGGAGGACAAGTCTAGGCCAGCGGTGGTGAGGTTCAATTTCTTCTCGTTGGAGCAAGAGAGGAGGCAGACAAGGAGCTTCCTAGTAGCGTTGTGGCAGGCTTTGACGTAAATCTGGCCTTCATCCCACTTTGTCGTTTTGGGCTCATGGTCTGATGTGGTGGGCTCCATACTTGTGCGCTAGATGGTCACAATAGCGAGGTAATTTGAAGTTTGGAGAGTTGCCTTGCTGGAAACAAGACGGAAAGGGAGAAAGCTCTGGGTTTTACAGATTTTATGACTGAGCCAGCCCTGTTTCAGACCTATTATTAGTCGCCTCAATACGCGCCTTGGTGTAATTGGTGTTTGGTTGGTGTTGTTGGTTGGTGTTGACGGGATGGCACGTCAGACCAAAGAAGTTGATTGGTTTAGGGTTGAGCAGTTGGCCTTTTGACCTGGCAGAAAATCATGAAGTATACTCCAATATTCGATACTTCAAGAAAGCAACCCACACATGTATATCTATATCGCATTATATATTGGAAAATGATATGTGAAAACTTTGCCCTTCATCCTGAGCCTATGGTAAGAACATCCACTCTGAAAATACCTGAAAACAATTACTACTGTGGTAGAAGCGGGGAGTGACATAAGAGAAGCGTCCAGGAAGCCACAGACAAAGAGGTAGAGCGATGTATACAGAATGTATCATGTTCCTTAGAGGAGAAAGGGGAAAACTGGAACAGAAAACTCCACTCCCTAATGAATCTACGGTGTCAATAACAACCAACTGACAATGTCATAGTAAGTTGCCGAGTATCAGGTGGACACTATATACATCGAATTTTAGCTTAGATTATAAGTCACCCGCAGTCCTAAGCAATACATATCTCAGGCAAGAACACTGCGTAGAGCCGATAGCTCAGCCTAGTTCTACACATCGTCAAATCCAATGACTGGCCATTGGCGTTGCAAGGCCAATCTTATGTTTGGCAGGCCCAAAATGTCAACCTTCAGGGCCATAGAGCCGGCATGATATTCACAATGCTGATCAAATACTAAATATTTCCTTATTTGCCTCGGCCCACCCCTCCAAGCTGGTGACCAGACCAGCGTACTTCCGAAGGTTGGCAGCTGCCTTCTCGTATGCCTCTCCTTCAAACGGGCCAAGACCCTCGTCTTTGTACCACGCTCTCATCGACTCTATTAGCGGCCCCACCGCAAACTCCGGCACACCATTCTTCAACATGTTTTCCACCCCGTCCTTCTCATCCAGCTCGGTGACCTTGACGTCTCTACCAACCGCCCTGCCAAATATACCCACGGCGTCTCTCTGAGATACAAGCTTCGGTCCACAGAGGGGGATAGAGTTACGCTGTTCAGCGCCATCCGTGGCATGTATCCCTTGGACAAGCAGCGTTCCAGCTACCTTGCCAATATCTTCGGGCGAGATCCAGTCAAACTTAGCGTCCGGATACGCAATCTTAACCTCCCCTTCACGGATCATACCCGCCCACCAGCCCGCGTTGGTGTTAAAGTATGCCGGTCGAATTGCGATATAGCCATCGGTGCCAAAGACCTCGTCAAGGTTGACCTCAACCCGTGCATGAGCATATGGTATGGCGAGTGTGGATGGGATCTCCCTAATGTCGCCTTCGACACTAATGCTGCTCAGGAAGACGACAAACTCAATACCCCCTGCCTTTAGTGCCTCAATGGTACTTCTCATGTGGTCCGTCGTGCCGTGCGCGAGATATATGAAGGCATGCTTAGCTCCAGTCGTACGCACAGCAGGTCCGATGGTTTCCGGCTTGATGAGGTCGGCCTGGACCCGTTCGAAGTCTCCCTCCTTCTCTTGGTCGGGACTGAGGCCTTTGATGGGTTTTTGAGGATCACGCATGGCGAGAACCACCTTTGTGCCAAGTTGTTGAGCGGTGTAGGCAGCGGCAGAACCGACGTGGCCTGTGGGGCCGAAGATGATAGTAGTAGGAAGAGGCATTGTGGAAGGTTTGTTAAGCTGCACGAAACTAAGTTGGAGAGGTTATATACACTACAACCTTCTTAGCCGAGTTGAAGTTGTTGAGATACTTATACTCCCACTTCTGCTACAGTCTGGTAGACCAACATCGGCAGTCGGACTTCGAAACGCCCGAACCTAGAGCCGGTAAACCTTATTAACGCGTATGATTAAAAATCGAAGTCGGTTTCCAAGGGCTTATCATTACTGTAATGGCCGATGGATTATTCAGATTTCCTTGGAATAATAGAGTTTCGGACAAGTATACACCGCTCCGTAGATGGCCCTACTAGATATAAAAGGATAATTTTCCAAGTAAACCGACTTGTTCATCCATCCAGTCCGGCAATTTTACGATATCGTGGTTAGCAAGTCAACGCGATGGCAAGCCATCAATCTCTTCCGGTTGTTCTCTGCGGGCGACTTGAAAAAGTGGGCTCCCTTATTATCGAAGGGCTGAAACCTGAATACGAAGGTATGTCAGCAGTAATCTACGACGTCTTATGCTGTAGTCTGGCTTGATAGCTTACGAAATATAAGTCATTCATTTCATAACGAGTATGGAGGACGGTATACACAACCTTCCTCCTATCCTATCTGGGTCCTTGCCATTATCAAACGAAAGTGGCTTAGGTTCCAAGAGTTATTCTCGACCGCCCAAGGCAGTCATTCTTGGTGGTGGATATGATGATGAAGCTATCGCTCGGCTTCGTCAAGCAGTTATCAGCTTGCAGGGACAATCGAAGTACCTTGGATAAAAGCAGATCCCAAGAAGACAGAGGCCGGCCCTACTCCCGGGACGGATGAATACTGCAATTCTGCAGCGTCTCGGATAAAAGAGGCGCTCAGAGTTTTGCAGGAGGGAGGGAAGCTTGATAGAACAGGGGATGGACTTTTCATGTGGTGATAAATGGATTTGGGAATGTGATTGTATTGATTTTATGTTGTCCAGTTGCTACAGAGCAGGTACGAAGATATCATCACGACGGAAGAGATAGAATCAGACGCCGTGTCCGAGTGTACTTTATCACTGACAAAGCCAGGAGAGAAGTGCCCGAAGTGTGCTGCTACGGATGAGGAGGAGCTGTATGATTGAGAGCTACTCGTTCTTATTACCTTATTAGCTATCTTTTGATAGAATAACTGGATTTTGGAAATGAACGAGCAAATATACCATTTTGTAACTAAGCATGCGCTAAGCTTCGAGTCTTTCAGTTCATAAGTAAAGAACCTTCAGGTACGGTATAGGAATTAGTAAGAAAATAGTAAAAAAGAACAAAAACAAATAAGAGGTTTTTATAGAGGGAGATATGGAGGTTATATTAGCTAGCCAGTCCTAAAAGGGAGTATTAGAGCAGTCATAGGACTAGCATGTGATCTATCATATGATAGCCCTGACTAGGACTTCTAGTTAGTTTAAATAGCTTCCTCTCTCTTCTCTTTTCCTCTAAGAGAGTCTAATACATACAGTTTCTATATCATTCTTATTCCTACACAGCCTTCTGTTTCGCTGACAAATATCATTGAGTACAATGGAGTATGATCATATTACAGACAAGAGCCTAAGAACCAGAGATATTCCAATTTATGAGGCTTGATTGACATGGATATAAACATTACACCACAACGCTAATTGACGGTAAACCGGCTGCCCAAAATGGCCACTTTGAACGCCGGTTTAAGCTCCCTTTTTAACAAAATCTTCATCATCGCCACGCCACGTGCGCATAGTATACCTTTGATCACTGAACAGTCAGGGCTACTTAGTGCCATAAGCTGGCGGAGCATGGGCGGCTTCTGGGGTAGGCTTCAATGCTGGCAAACACAGAGATGACTCTCAATTAGTCCCCGAGGAAAGATTAGCCCGATCCCTCCACTGTCGCTCTAGATCGCGCCCCGTCCATGAAGTGCGCCATCCAAGATTCTTCTCAACACGAGACAGGAAACGCAGTGCTCCTTGTTGCTCAGCCGGTTGCTGCAAGCAATATCCAACTGATATACTGTCAGAAAGTCTCGAGGTTCTATCAGATCACGGACTTACATACAGCGTTGGAGCAAGTGCGAGGCGATAAAATAGCTATTTTGAACACTGTCATTCGATAAAGACAGACCGATGGCCATCACGACATGGCCCGCAATCGTTTTCTATCTCGGATATCAGCGAACAAACATACCAAGGAGGGTGCCTGGAATAGACCTCTGCGATGAGTCGCGCTTGCGACGTTTCGTAGTCCGTCATCCGCAGCGACGGCGCATCCGACAGTGTGAGAAATATCTTGGAGGCGTGATAATATTGCAAACCGACCACTGGGAAAGAACTCGTGAGCTTTACATCGCATCAAGTGGAGAACAAGCGAGACCAACCAGCAGGGGGTGACATGAGCCATAGTTCAGGAAACGGTTGATCCGCAGACAAAACAGGGGCCTGATATCGAAGTGGTTGCCAGCTCCTCGGCTTATTGCAGTGCCACTCCTCCACACAGTCTGCCAGGCGCTGCCAGCTTTTCCGGTCAATGGCGTACCCTGGCACAGCGCAGCATAGCTGAAGTATGCATGCGCAGAAAAAGATTATGGCATTCGCACGGGCGGCATCGTCATCGCGATGGAAGACCGAGGAACGCTCGTAATTTTGCAGATCCAGTTGTATTGGCTCGTACTGGGCTATAGATGAGTAAATAGCTTGGCGCAAGAATTGCCAGCTCACTGCTTCGGCTAATCCTCCGGACGATGCTGACCGAGACATGAGATTGAGTAGGCGGTTGGACCCGAGAAGGTGGCATTTCCTGTCGGCTGTCCTCTCCAGCTCTTCGTAGAAACGAAGGACAACCACCGTGGTGAGAAGATTGTCGTCATAGTTCTCCTCCGGCTGGTTTAGGGCAACGATGAGCAGCTGTAGACACTCTCCGTGAAAGGTTGACGCTTCACACTCGCTCCCATTTGTCAATATGGCATCATGTCGGGCAGCAAGTGCTAGGAGGGCTTTCAGCAGCATTGGCTCTTCGAGTGCTCGGCGTGGAACTTCGGTACTGAAGTAAGCCTGGGGTTCGCATACATCTGCCTGTGTCCATTAGCCCTCTTTCTTTATCAGACTTGCAACCAATAGAAGCCCTACCACTGCCGCGATCTTCTGGATGTAGGAGCGGATCAGGTATGCCTCCCGCGGGGACGGTGTTGAGACATCATTTGTTCCGCAAATTGAGGAGTTATTCGAGGAGGTGTCGGCCGGATATTCAATCGGATCTGGAAGCGTGAGCTGGCTTTGACCTGGCGGAGAATATGACTGCTCGAGGTCGTGGTCCCTGTCATCCGGCTCAAATTGCTCACGCGTGAAGTCGCTGGTCTCGTGCACAAAGGTCACTAAAGCAGCTTCTTGTTACTAGGCAAGCTATAGGATGGCACCAGAGAGGGGACCCACCTGGCCTTGAGACCCCTACCCAGACCTGCTGCTCATCCCAGACTAGGTCGAAGCGGGCTGGAGCATTATCACACTGCTGGTATATATGGCGCACAGGCTTGAAGTGGAAGCGCGGCTCAAGATGACATGGCCGGCCCAGACGCGCACAGCGCGAGCATGACGAGGCACCGACCGGGATCACGCAGCGGGCGTGGCGATGTCGACAGCGAGCACAGCCCTTAGTCACGCGCATATCGCAGTAGAAGATGATCGCTTGGAGGAATTCGTGCACAGCGAAAGTGTGGAGAAGGTTTGGTTAACGTACGGAGTAATCAACCGTTCTTGGAAGGCTCCAACTTCCGACAGTAGCGCCACGTCTCTATAGCTAACCTTGGAAGTGTAAGTACGATTTCCGGTGTCTGAAAGGACCGATCTGCATTGGCATTTTGTGCTACTGTAGTTTCTCATTGGGCTATTTCAGTCCCTTATCGCTTATCCTCCCATGAAAGGCTACAAGATAAAACCTGCACGCTGATAGGCTGATAGCTATCTTAATATCAAAGTTCGACTTTTAACCATGGAAAGAGTCTGGAGTGCGGGGTAACCCCACACTTTGATGGGTCCGGTCACGGAGTCCGCAGCGGACATTGGAACACTTCCCTAGCTAACAATATTCTGACCGGGGCATCTAGGGCGTGCCTTAAGGCAATAGTCCGCGCCTCAATTTCCATTGCCCTCGTCCAAATTTGACATATCCCATCAGATCTATCCCCCTCCTTCTCTCAAAAAACCTAACCTAAGGTTCGCTTCCGCCCAGGCAGTCGGCCAAACGAGTATGGTGCTGATCAGCATGGCGGTAGCAACACCCATGTTGCTCATGGGAATCCATCCCAGCAAAGAGCCGGGAATACTCAAGTCCAAGGTGTCAATCACAAGTCGATTTAAGAGAACAACAGTGGATGGAGCCGGCTTTGGTGGTGAATGGCCCGATGCTTCTGTTTTCTCTTTCTCGCCAATGGAGCCGTTTTGAGTACTGAGTGCCGGTGGGCCATGGAATAGATCCGAGGCGGTTCTAACAATTGCTATGCAGATACCATAGAACCAGAACTTGTAGGCTTCAAGCAGAATGGGCGTATACCACGAAACCAAGAAAACGTCCATGTCATGAAGCTGGGCTGGATGGTTAATAATGTGCTAATCGCGGATGGGTTGAAGCTGTGGCGCTCACCATGGTCGTGCCCTCCAGAGCAAGATACATCCCCAAACAGCCAGATTCGACCATCTCCATTACCGCTATCCTGCTGAAGGGGTACCCTGCGGCCAGAATATCTTGTACATTTTGGAAACAATCAAGAAAAGAGAAGAAGCGAAGATAGCGCCTTCCTGAGGGCAATTCAGTACTGGAATCCCACGGAAGAAATCACAACGAACCTACCGAGGCCTATCTGTGATGCTGCAACCGAGCATCTCAGAACAGTCTCATTACTGAACTTAAGTTCAGTCCCGATAAGGGCCAAGCTATGGAGCAGACGGAGGGTCAAATCCAGGCCGGCCGTGGAGTTGGTGAAATTGGCCAGTCGTCTTGCGAGCGATGTCCTTGGAAGGGCGGGAGATAGTTGAGGCATTGGGCAGAGCTTCACATTCCAATGCAATGAATATCTCAATGTAAGATAATATACTTGATCAGACGAGTGATTATTACATTGGGCTGTCGGCGTCCACTTAAAAGAACCTACAATAGAACGCTTCGGCAGTCCTAGTTTAGCAAGAACTATCAGGCCTAAATCATGACCTGGGGCACTCGGACGCACGTTTCCCGCGCTAAAGCTTAGCGCTAAAGCTAATACCGGAAATACGAAATATCTTGATGTAGCTCCTGTATTGATGATACTGTTCTGTCACCCTGTTAGGTTAGACCTGTATCTATAATACAACCTTCTATCTCACACTTGTTACATATCTGACCCTATCTGGCACCCCCCTATTGTGGCGTATTGTGGTAGTGGGATGCAGGAAGGAGACGAACCGGGAAACTTGCTCCTAGGCTCTTTCATGGAGTTAATTTAGTCCTCAATTTCTATCCAATTTGGATCTTCACTAATATTATATAAGCTCCTCTCCGTTCTGATTCTTTTTCCCAATTATTACCTCCCTTCAAATTGTTGTCTTGTTCCTTGAATCTTGGACATCAGACACTCCAACTATCATGGAGACCGCCACACATCCTCCAGAGGGGGTTGACTACAAGCATTCTCCCGATGCAATGAAGGAAGTTGGCCAAAGCCTACGTGAAAAGCACGACAGCGAGGAGGCCTTGACCTCTGAGCTCATCTCCGCTGGCTCGGAGCACCTCCAGCGGAAGCTAGGTGGGAAGGAAATCCAACTGTTGGCAGTGGGAGGCGCTATTGGAACGTGTTAGTGAGCCTTGTGTAGACCAAGATTAACAGATTGAGCTGACTCCCTTCCCTAGCCTTGTTCGTTCAGATGGGTGCAAGTCTGCCAAAGGGTGGCCCTGCAAGCCTCTTTTTGGGCTTTGTGGTTTATGGAACCGTCATCTTGTGTGTCAATCAATGCTTCGGTAAGTCCTACAAACTCCTATCATCCAGCACAGTGCATATTGATAAGGTTGCTTTGTGCAGCTGAAATGGTAACTTATCTTCCGATCGCTTCCCCTTTATCCGTCTGGGTGGGTTTTGGGTGGACGACGCATGGGGCTTTGCGATGGGCTGGAACTACTTCTTCCTTATGGGTGAATGCTGGCCCCTTACTCTATTGTATTTATACCCGCTGACTGAGTTCATTACATCAAGCCTTCGCAATCCCATATGAAATAACAGCAATCAATGTCCTTCTTACATACTGGACCGACAAGGTTCCCGTGGTCGCGGTTGTGATGGTATGCTTGGTAATATATGCGTAAGTTTCCCTACCCCAATCGCAACCTACCGGCAAATGGTCTTACCTCGGCGTTATAGTGCTCTCAATGGACTCGCAGTTCGGTACTTTGGAATAGCCGAGTTTTATTTGGCCATCTTCAAGGTCTTCCTCATGATGGGACTCATTTGCTACACCTTCGTCACCATGGTTGGTGGCAATCCATGGCACTGGGCCTATGGATTTACCTATTGGAAAAATCCAGTATGTTAGAGCCAAGCCGTTTTATTCTGCCTTGCTAATTACTACGCTCTAAGGGCGCATTCGTCGAGTACCTCGTTCCCGGAGACACGGGACGCTTCCTCGGGTTCCTTTCATGCATTATTCAGGGTTCCTTCACGTCAGTATCCGCCACATGTCCCACGTTCATTACAGTATGGCTGATTATAGCACGCAGTATGGTCGGTCCCGAGTTCATCGCCATGACAGCTGGCGAGTCCGAGAATCCTCGTAGACTGATGCATCGGGCCTTCTCTTCTTTCGTCTGGCGTCTCCTTCTTTTCTTCCTTGGCGGCGCTCTCTGCGTTGGTATTGTCATTCCCTATAATGACGAACTCTTGCTCAAATACATCGATGGAACTGAGGGTGGTACTGGAGCTGCGTAAGTCGCACTCGTCATATTACAAGCTCTGAATGCGCAGCTTACGCATACTACAGCTCTCCCTACGTCATTTCAATGGTTAAATTTGGAATTAAAGGTCTTCCCTCTTTGGTCAACGCTCTGATCATGACGTCCGTTCTTTCTTGCGGGAACAACGTTGTCTACTCGTCTATTCGCACACTTCACGGCTTAGCTGCGGATGGCAAGGCGCCGGCGATCTTTGCGAAGTGTAACAAATTCGGTGTTCCGGTCTACTCAGTCATCGCGGCGTTGGCGTTCTGCCTCCTTTCCTTGCTGCAACTTGGGAATACCTCTGCCACTATTCTCAACTGGTTGGTCGGAATCTGCACTGCTTCTTACATGATCAACTACTTCGCCACGGTCGTGACGTATCTGCATTTTTACGCCGCCCTCAAGCGTCAGGGCATCGACAGAAAGACTCTTCCATATCGTGGATACTTCCAGCCCTATGCAGCGTACTACGCCGCGGTGATGACACTGGTTGTAGCCTTGATTCTCGGGTACACTGTATTCATTGATGGCCATTGGGACGTTACAACATTCTGCACCTCTTACCTTATGATCGGATTTTTTATCGTAGCTTTGGTGTTTTGGAAGCTTTTCAAGCGGACACACTATGTCCGACCAGGAGAGGCTGATCTTCAGCTTGGAGGCATCAAGGCCCAGATTGACCTTTATGAGGCGTTGTATGAACCGCCGAGGAGAGGCAAGATTTCGGGTTGGTTCAATAGCTGGTTCGAGTAGTTTTGGGTGTCATTTGTTCGGGAACTAGGTTGGCCTGGAGTGGCTATCTGTGTTGCTATATTCACTTTTGGTATTCTGAATACAACGAGTGTTATAAAGTTCCCGTACTCAGATTGAGTTGGTTAGGACTGGTTGGAAGGTTGGTTTCGCCCAAGCCGTGCCTCCAGGAAGCTTGACACCTTATATCCAATCAAAACAATCAGCGTACTAACGCTACTATGCAGCATGAGGGGAGAACAGAGAAAGGTTGCGAACGACGATTTGAATACTCGTGGGGGGTACTGCGGTAGCAGGCATCGAGCATCTACACATGAAATGAAAAAGGGTGTTGTAGAGAGGCGCGACCCATTCTGTACCGCAAACGATGTTCTACATAAACACACTTTACAGCGAGCACTGAATTGGTATTGATTTCTCTTTTTTTGTGAAGTTGTTCAAGATACGCTTGATATCTCGTACTTTCACTAGCCCACAATATCATCGGCGTTCAAAATCAGACTCGCGAAAATTAGAGGCTCTCGTACAAATTCATCGGCCCGAATAAACTCATCAGTTGTATGCGCCCGGTTGAGATTTTCTACTAGATTCACAGGCGTAAATCTATAGATGTTCTTGGTCAAAGCCCAAAAGAACTTGGAGTCGGTGTTGGCTGTCATTAAATATGGCGTGACGATAAGGCTGTCTTCCGCGGCCAGTGGCTTGAGAACATTTTTGATGGTGCCAGACAAGATGCGGTAGGGTTCGGCATCAACAGGAGAAACGGGAGCCGGCTCTAAGGCGTCGACTCCAAACATACAGATCTTCCGTTTGTCTGTAAGGCTACATGGCGAATGAAATCCTCCAAATGCCATTCCGTGCTTTTTCGCAATCGGACTGACAAGGGACTCGTAGTGCGACACAACCTGAGCAATGGAGGTTTCGACGGCTAGGCGCAGGTTGACCATTGTGGATGCTGTTTCGGGAATGGCATTGATCTTGACTCCTCCGTTGATCTTTCCAACAGACTGGCTTGTTTGGAAGTAATATCTCATATCATCCAGTGTCTGGGCCAATTGTTCCTGGCTGGAACTGTCGTTTTGGGCAGCCAGTCCCAGCAAGCGGCGAACTGCCATGGGGAAGCTTGACTCGGGAGCATGGACGGCGCCACACTCTAGGAAGCGAAACATTGGATTCTTCGGTGTGACTTTCCCAGGAAATGGGTGATTTTCAATTGCCACCACAATTTCTGATAAGATGCCAATGGCATTATGATCCGGCGGGTTACTGGCATGACCGCCCGTCGACGAGACATTGATCCCAATGTCCAAATATCCCTTTTCTGCGACGCTGACCATGGCAAAAGTCTGATCGAATTCTCTCTGGATACCTGTGGAACCCTCATCCATGATCAGGTAGATCCCGTCGTCGCCGTATTTCTCATGGAGGAAATCCGAAATGGGCCTTCCGCAATTCTCACCACTTATCTCTTCATCACAGCCGAAGGCCAGGATAACCGTTCGTTTCGGTGCAAATCCGCTTTTGATCAAAAGGTCCAAACTTTCAATGATGGATATCAAGTAGCCTTTGTCATCAGTGGCACCACGGCCCCAGATAGTCTCACCGTCGTAGTGACCATTATAAGGCGGATACGTCCAATCCTTGACGTTCTCCGCAAGCACCGGTACGACGTCTTGATGCGCGAGCATGAGGATCGGCTTAGCCTCCGATGGTGGGACGCTGCCTTCCCATGTCAGGATCAATCCGTGTGTGTTGGCGTGATCCAGCGTCACGCTCTGGAACACCGTAGGATAGTTGACTTTGATGTAGTTCTCCACTTCGAAAAATACATTCCACCTGTCGTCTTCGCCGATGGGGCCTAAGTCGTCATAGCTCTCAGATGGGATACGAATGATCGCAGATAGCTTGTTGATGATTTCTCGTTGGTATTCCTCGGAGTCGACTTTCTCACGAACATACTGTTCAACTTGCTTGTTCCTTGGAGACAGCTTCGGCACTTGTGGGCATATCCCAGAATCTGTTCCCGGGATGTACTTATCCAACTCAGGTGAGCTAGACGACTGGGAAGATTTGATACAGACTGCGATAAATGCTGAAATGAGGCCAATCACGAATGTCCCGTGCAACCAAGAGCTGATTCCAGAACTCTTGTCTCGCCGATGGTTGATGTGTTCTGCCATTGTCAGAAGCGTTGATAGTTCAAAGACTGGGGCAGTTGAATGTATTATAAGTTCCGGCCGCTGGTGAGACGTAAGGATATATTCCGTATGAACTGGGCTTCTTGATCTAGTCTCCTAGACGTGGTCCTCCACTGTCAAACTATTATCGGTCCCATACTATCGGTCGCATCGGTATGTACTCCGATCCTGTATCACACTCATGTCGTTTTTCCAATAACATGCACGGTGCGGAGAAAGTTTTAAGTTAAACTCGTATCGATGCAACCTTCCACCTGCGCACTAAAAGCGGGCACATTAGAGTTACCTATTCCAGCATCTTACAGCGCGTAATTAAACCTCCAAGTATCTTACTCCGCTCTACGGACCCAGGATGTTTACTCCGCCTGTCACGGTCCTACACATCCTCGACAATATCTTACCCCTCATAGATAAGAATAAGGATGGTGAACTCCTACGGGAAGCCTATTTTGTTTTCCGTGGGAATGATTCAATTTGGTCTTTCTTACGAGGCCTTTCCACAGTCCATTTTGGTCTCCTAATAATGAGACTCGCAACGGGGTGGCTCGAAGCATCTGTGTAAACAGTCAGTGATTCATGCTTCCGCAGGAGCTCATCTCGTGATCAACCTTCATCAACTCTTTGAAAATCGGCCACACATATTTACCTAATAACGGTGCCATACTGCTTTCAACTGCCACAATGTTGAACAAGTCATCGTCATCACCAGCCGAAAATGAATTCCGCAGCGACACGTTCACCACACCGACGCCGTCCATGTTGGCTGCCATGACCAACGCATCATTCGGAGACGACGTGTATCAAGAAGACCCCATCACGATCAAATTTCAGAACGAAATCGCACGATTAACTGGAATGGAAGATGCACTTTTCATGCTCTCTGGGACAATGGGCAACCAAATCGGAGTCCGGGTCCACCTCAATCAACCTCCACACTCTGTGCTGTGCGACTACCGCGCTCACGTCTACGCCGAAGAAGGGTCTGGGTTGGCGGTGCTGTCTCAAGCCATGGTGACCCCCGTCCATCCGGCGAACGGTATTTACTTGACTTTGGACGACGTCAAGAACTGGACCATCCTGGGAGACGATATCCATACAGCGCCAACGAAAGTCATCAGCCTCGAGGTGACCATAGGTGGAGTTGTGACTCCCATGGAAGAGATCAAAAAGATTTCCGAGTTTGCGCGTGCCCATGATATCAAGGTTCATTGCGACGGTGCTCGCTTGTGGAATGCCTCTGCAGCTACTGGTTATTCTTTGGCCGATTACTGCCAGCATTTTGACACCGTGTCGATGTGTGTCTCGAAAGGACTGGGGGCACCGGTTGGTGGAGTCCTTGCCAGCACTAATTCTAGCATCAAGCGGGCTAGATGGTTGAGGAAGCAGCAGGGGGGCGGCATTCGACAAGCCGGGGTGCTTACGGCTCCAGCCCTGGTGGCTCTGGAGGAAGTCTGGCCGACCATGGAACAGACCCACGAGAAGACCAAGAGATTAGAGAGAGACTTGGAGGCACTCGGTGTTGTTCCTCAAATTCCGGTTCATACTAATTTCTTTTTCATCGACGCCGAGAAGTCGAATGTGAATATGGGGATTTTGTTGGAGCAATGTGACAGGTTCAACGTGAAGCTCATGGATGAACGAATTGCTCTGCATCATCAAATTAGCGAGGAAGCAATTGATAACCTCAAAGCTGCCATTGCTGAAACGGTGAAATTAACCAAAGCCTTGCCACCAGGTCATGTAACCAAGGTCCCGGCGGGTGGGTATGGGAGCACCTCGAAGATGAATGAGTACAGCTAGTTGGTGGTTTGAGAAAACTCTTGCTCAAATTGATGTTTTTCTGCGGTGCAGTTGGAGAAGTTTGTAGAGTTGACTCTTTAATCCTCGTGACTGGCCAACCGAGGCAATTGTTTAAAAGGGGGCATACTTATGGACACGTGCATTGAATTCAACGATTTGTATGTACAGCGATGAGAGGATTGTTCCAAATAAGTCTCCAAATTCCATAGAAGTACGGTACGCAAGGTCGCCAACTTGCAAAGATGACACTATTCTGGTCAAACAACGTAATGGGCATTTAGTAAACCTTAGGAGATGTTAAAGCTCCTATAGAAAAGAGCAATCATCAGAAGGAAATATAATACCAATAATTTTATGGAAGACTAAAACAGAACGGCGACAACTGATTAACACGGTTAAATGACAGCAGGTGAAGAGCGCAATACTACGGACAATAAAACCTCACCGTAGAAGATCCTCTCAGTTGTTGGATGTCTGAGGCATCACCATGTGATAGAACCTACATAGGTTGATAGCTCTCTCTCCTTCCTTCTCTTCCTTCTCTCCCCGTGCGAGACAGTCAATCCACACAGTGTTTTCTCCATCTGTATCGCATCTCCATTATCAGTCTCCACTGACATCGCTCTGATAGTTAAGCACTCTGCGTCGGGTCACCCAGCACAGCTGCCGGCTTATACTCGCTGAAATCGTATTCAACATCATAATCCTCCTCGTCGACGTCTTCATCGCTAAGTTCAACATCTTGGAGATTCTCCCCAACGTCGATCTCATCAGCGGTGAACCCATAATCCTCTTTCCGTGTCTTTTTCCACGCGGCAATGGTTTGTCTTCGGGTAAGACAGAAAGGCAGTTTGGACAGCGCAACACATCCATCCTGAGTCACTTCTACGGTCTGACCGATAGAGCTGGCAGTATCGGTGGCCTTATCCATCAGGATGATATGGATAAAGAACACCATTCCCGGCTTTGCCACCACGTTCTGACCACGCACAAACATGGGGAAATCCATCCATGTAGGCGAAAATGTTGCGCCCAAGCTATAGCCGCAACTGTTAAAACGCTGGTCCCGGAAGCCGTTTTCGTCCGCAACACGGGCATAAGCCTCGAACACGTCCCCGATCACTCGGCCTGGTTTGAGGGCTTCCATAGCTGCTTCCATTTGAAGGATATTAACCCGGTGCATCTCTCGCGCCAGTTTAGTGATTCCGCCGATAGGGATCGTGCGCATCAGACACGCATGATAGTGCTTATAGGCCGCGGCATGCTCGAGCGTGAGCTGTCGATCGATCTTATCCTTGCCGGTAGAGTAACGAGTGAGAACGGCTTTGTTACCCGATACGAGGATATTCTCATTGGCTGGATCATCACCGCCGCCCTCGTAGACGGTGCCGACAATCTCCCTCCACAAGTCACCTTCATATGCACCGGGCTTAGCTAGCTTAAGGGTGCGGACGAGGGCGAAGTCGGCGAGATAAGCGGCCTTTCGAACCTTAAGCATCTCGGCTTCCGACTTGATTATGCGAAGCTCCTGGGTGAACAGATCGCTATGATCCACAAGCGTACAAAGACCATCCACGGCTTCTTCTAGTGCCTTTCCCAGTCGGTGCGTCAAGGAGCAGGAGTCCGGTTCATAGCCAATCCGCTTTGATGACGAGTTGATTCCAAAGTCCTTCAGGACCTTCGGAACTAGAGACACGGGGTTGCTTCCGGCGTCGTCGGATCGAATGAGAATATCTTTCTGCTCCAGAATCGAAGTGTAGAGAGCCTGGCGTAGATCCGGGATTCGAGTGATCAATCGCATAGAGCCATCGTTGTGGAAGTACATGGCTTGAAAGAAGACATAACCGAAGGTATCGAAGCCGGTCAAGTAGTAGAGGGACTCTTGCTTTGTCATGAGAAAGCCATCGAGGTTCTCTCGCTTCATGAGCTCCAGAGCCCGCTGTTGACGCTCTTTGAACTCAGCTTCTGAGAAATATAGAGCTTTTTTGAAGGGTTGGGCTTTCTTGATTTGCGCCATTTTGATTGTGAGTAGGGTGAGAAGAAGAACTTGTAGTTACTGGGCTGTTTGGATGTCTCCAGGGTACAAGAGCACATTATGCTCTTATACCCATCTATGCCTGCCCGGCTGCCCCTCATGTTGACTGGACCATCATAGGAAGTTAATCCGCTGGTCTGGATTAGGAGTTTTGTCCCGCGCGTCCCTGATAAGCATGCATAACAGCAGCCCTGGCATTTGATCAGCGGGGTCAAAGCTTAAACACAAACGGCTTTCATGCCGACTGATAGAGAAACAGCCTTTCCGAGGGAAACGCATGCTAATTCACTAAAAGCAGGAAGTTAGACCTCGTTGGCACGCCTTGGTTTATCATGGTTCATGCACAATAAAACAGAAGCTCCATGTACAAGCTGGGAACCAGGGCTAGATGAAAACATAGAAGAATAACCTTTTGAGAACATTTAAAATCAAAACTGCAGTTCTTCCACGATGTCTCTCTTCGTCCCTAACGCGATCATGACTTTACCAGTCGCCGTAGCGACCGTTGGTGCTATTTTAATTTACACCGTCTGCCGGGTCTTGTTCGGCCCCCTTGCAAAACTCCCAGGGCCCAAGCTATACTCGTTGACTGGCCTGATACTCAGCAAAGAAGGCTTCCAAGGTACACGGACACGGGCAATCCACCGCCTCCATCAACAATATGGCCCAGTCGTGCGCGTGGGTCCCAACGAGGTCTCTTTCAATTCCCTGACAGCCTTGCGCCAGATCTATGGAGCCAGTAGTTCCTTTGGACGTCCGCCAGCGTTTTACCGCATATTCCATGTGTACGGGCAGGTACACCTCTTTACATTCTTTTCATCAGCCGAGCATGCAGCTCGAAAAAAGACCATGAGCCAAATGTACTCTAAGTCAACCGTTTTGAAAAGCCCGGTCGCCGACTCTATTCAGTCCAAGGCCAAGCAATTCACAGATTTGATCGAGTCAGATCCGCACATGGCGTCGGATCTGACAAAGAGCTTGCATTTCTTCTCTCTGGACAACATTACGTGGATGATATTCGGGGATCGTGGAGGTACGGCCGCTCTGGCAGGCAAAGTGGCGGACAGGCAGATCCTGAGTGACATTGATGAGCCTACGGCGCGCAGATATTCATGGTTTCAAATTCACCTGCCACGTTATACTCAGTTTGTCATGTCCTGCGGCTCGCGTCTGAGATCGATCTTCGATACCTTCGGCTTTCTCCCAGGAAACAGACCGCTTGCGTACAGCGGGCTTCAAGAATATGCCTTGGCAACGTTTCACACCCTTCGAGATGGCCCGTCCTCGACGGCAGCGAGCAATGTTAATCTCTTGATGAGGTTGTTACACGAAAAGAATAGCAATTCTGGGAAAACACCGCTTTCTGACTTGGAGATCGCCGCAGAATGTGCGGACCATCTTGATGCCGGGCTCAAGACAACAAGCGACACATTGATGTTTGCTCTGTGGACGCTATCGCTCCCAGGACATCAACAGTACCAACAGCGTCTTATGAACGAAGTGAAGGACGCGGCATCCTCTCGGCCCCGCAGCGGCATGGGTTTGCCAGCAGATATATGCGACCGACTACCGTTCCTCGATGCTGTGATCAAAGAAACGTTACGTCTATATGCGCCTATACCGGCATCTCAACACCGGATTAGCACGCGGGATAATACAATTGATGGCTATCACATCCCTGCAGGGACAATAGTCAGCTGCCAAGCTTTCTCTCTTCACCGGAATCCCAAGGTCTTTCCGGACCCCAACACATTCAATCCCGAGCGATGGCTTGCCGACGACGCGGAGACTGCAGAGATGAAACGCTGGTGGTGGCCGTTTTCTAGCGGGGCACGGATGTGTCTTGGGACGCAGTAAGTTCTCGCCATCCTCCTCGACTGCTATTCTCACCCGTTCATTACCTCGTTCAGCTTGGCGCTCGCAGAAATGAAAACGTTGCTTGCGGCCATATACCAGGCATACTCGACAACACTGGACCCGGAATTCGAGAAATTGTCACCGAAAGCGACAAGCCGGTTTGAATTGGTTTACGATGACTCGTTTCCTAGCTGTGAGGTTCGTTCAAACGCCCTTGGCGCATGTAGCCGATACAAATGGCTTACCCATGATTAGGGCGAGGAATTCCGTATCATATTCGACAGACGATGAATGTACCTCGCCTATTACGCGACTTACACTGTAGGTCGATACTAATTATAAGGGGGAAAGGCATCTACAAGAGACATCCAAAGATATTGTAGTGTCTACATTTATCTATCATATACAGAGCGAGCGTAGAAGTTAAATAGAGCGTGAAGTTCTACAATATACTCCGCTGTCAGGGTGGAATACCATTAAGTATAGTGGACTATGATCATATTACAGAGAGGAGCCTAAGGATTAGAGATGTTTCAATTTATGAAGCTTGACTGACATGGATATAAACATTACACAAGAAATACTGCACAAGGCTGAGATGAGAGGACACGAACATAGTATCGTCAGACAAAAATGGGCGATTTAACACACTGTCCAAGCTTGACATGAGAAAAAAAAACCCCATTGAAACCAAACAAAAGTTTAGAATAGAACAGGACTTGAACGACCTCGAAGTGAAAGTGAATATACCGGTCCACATTCTATATCTATCTTTTCGACAATTTCTATCTCTTATCGTACGATCTCTATATAGGACGACCCCTCGCACGACTAACTCTATTGCCGATATTCCACCTGCCAGGTGCAAGATTTTCGTAGGCTTTGGTTGGCCGATAGCGGCCCTAAAAAGGTGGGTCAGGGACATTAGATGTGTTGAAGCTTCGCTAGACCAAGGTCCCGAAATGATCTTTGATGTAGAGGGATGCAGGGCTTCGCACTTACCCCTATGCGAGATGCACACTAAGCGTTAAAATGCACTGTCCGAGGCTATTGACTGATGGTGAGATCAGACTAATAGAGAGTCCCCGGGCTCATAACGTAATAAGATCTATAGCGTAAGAGAGATCATGAAAAGGCAGTGCAATGTATGTATTGTAGTGAGTGTGTTGGACTATGTAAAGATGGAAAGGAAGGATAGTACTAGACTACATGTATGGGAAGAACCGTCATGTGACACTTGGGAGATTCAACAAGTTCCTGGGCATGTCCGGGTCGTCGTCCCCTGAGAATTCAACGATGAATTTTTTGGCTGGGCTCAGGCGTCACCGAAGTGGTAGACGTAGCTGAAGTCGACAGCGTCTTGGATTTGCATGTCTGGAGATCAGGATAGGGGAAGACCTTGCTACTGGTTTAAAAATCTTGAGAGGCGTCCAAACAAGCTCTCGCGGATTAGAGTATTCATCGTTGCAAACCTTTGACAAGAGGTGAGTTAAGAATAGAACTTTCCAAGTCTGGTGGAGTGGCTAAGAGATGGAAGGAAAATGAATAACTAGTCAGCCTTTTAAGTCGAAGTCTTTTATTGTCCACTCTTCTTCAGATATTCGGAACTCCGAAACAACATTGCGACTTAGATGGATCCTAATTCCTGGATTCCGAAAATGAATCAAAGGCATCTTACTCGGTGAGTTTTTAATACGGGGAAGAAATGCTCAAAAGTCATCGAAACGTGGGAACTTGTCACCAAGTGTGTTTTGACTGGCAGGATGGTATTTGGGTTGTTAGAGGTCCCTTTGGGAGGAGATGGGTACGGAGGTTCTCCCTCCAAGTGCTCGAGTGCAATTCTTGACGTGCATAAGTGACTTCCGATATGGTCTATATTGTTATACGATATTAAGTATATTAGTAACCGGTGTATTACAGCGGACCATGGAAGACATGTACAGCGGTTGGCAGGTTACTGAACTACATATCAGTGTCGTTTACGCTTATTTCCAACAGAATTTCCCTGAATATGTATGCAATAGTCCCACGCATCTTCATCATGCCCTCCAGCCCATAGCGATTCCTCCAACGGCCCTTGTTTTGAAAACTGAAGGAATTGAGTTCCAGGCGTGGAAAGAGCATTTTTGTGTGGCAACGTGTATGTCCTAATGCGGGTCGGGTGACAGACTCGGAGTTCCGTTGCGAGCGCGGGGTTCCGACTATCTTCATAACCATGTCCACACCATGAATTCTGAATCAACCATGAAAATTAGAAAACAAGTTCCACCGCGCAAAAAGGCCTGTCAGAGATGCACGGACTCCAAGGTTCGATGTGGGCTCGAGAAGCCGACTTGCTCGCGATGCAGGGCTCGTGGCAAGCAGTGTCGGTATCCCGCGGGTTCGGGCGACGTACATCAATCAAGCCCTGTGGTTTCAAGTGAACAAATCTCAGCAGATGAGAGCCTAAGTTTTGGGTCGTCACTTGCAAATTTTTCCACTACCTCGACCGTAGCAGCGTTTTCGAGTCCTGTGTCTGGCCATCCATCGGATATACCGCGCATCTACTCTCAGAACGAATCCACATCCACACAGACGGTGGACACCGATTTGACTTTTGATCACATTGACCTTGTGCCGATGATAGACGCCGAGAAGATCCGTGATCGCTGGCTGCAACCTTACCTTCTCACTGCGACGGAGCAGGTCCCGAAGCTGTTCAATCCGTTTACCGTGCAGTTCGTCACCTGCGTGCTTCGCTCATACCCCAACCATCTTCTTGATGAGAAAAGCCTCCCTCCATTCATTCATCCGCTGCAACTCAACAGCAAAGCGATGCCGCGAACAATAGCAAACTGCTTTTCTCTGGTGCGCATGTGGATGAACAGAGTTGCTGGAAGTGAGGCAATTGTCTTATTAACCGTCAGACAGGAGATGGAGAGACTATCCCGGGAGGTACGATTTGTTTCCGCCCATCGAAAATACTCTTTTAACCATAGATCAGGACGCGACAAGTGATTTCGACACATTATGTTCCTTCCAAGTATACCTCATCTACCTACTAACAGCTTACTTCTTCCCAATCGAAAACGCCTCCCTAGTAGACGACATGAGTATGATAACTCTCCAAGACCTCGCCTTCCGTGTCGCAAAAACAGGTCTCACCTGCAAAGCCGAGCTTTCGCAAACACGGCCGACTTGGGAATCCTGGATCATCGCCTCTGCCAAACGACGCACGCTGTTCACAATGTACATCTTCTCGAATGTGTACAACTCCGACAAGGGTCTTCCAAATTTCCTGTCTGCTGAGTTAGGGGGTATTCTTGTTCCTGAGAGTAAGGCGCTGTGGGAGGCTTCTGATCGAGACTCTTGGACGAGAGAGTATAATCGGCACCTGTCGAAATGGGAAGATGGGATGCTGCAAATTTCGGAGCTGTGGAGATCGTCGGAGACGGGTTCGGAGCCGAGGAGGAAGCGGATTGAGCGGTGGGTGCAGTCGGCAGATGAGTTTGGGATGATGCTTTTTGCAGTTTGTGCGCATATCCATGGGTGCTAACCATATCATGCGGTTTGCGACAAGATAGCTTGCTTAAGGTATATTGACATCCTTCTGTGTAATACTTGCAGGGGTTAATCCTGTACACTCCTAAGCCAACTAGCAGGATTAAGTCACAAGCCTGTTGTATCGTCGGATACATTCGATGCAAGCTCCTTACCACTTTCTTGGATAGCTACGTCCTTGAACCCGGGATTTCTCGATGGGCCCGAATTATTGAACCCTATGTGCAATTCAGTAGGATGGAACTGGAAAGTATTGGTATAGATAGTTGGATACAGTGTTCTGCCCTCAATAATCACGCGGAGTGATGCTCACCCTATATCCCAATCAACATTCATTCCATGCAAGTCATGGCCATGCAACTCCATGACTTGCATTGTATCATTCCTTCCCATCTGTAAACTGATACATACGACCATAGGGTGTGGAAAATAGGGCTTCCCGTCCGCTCTGCCGTACTCAAGCCTAGTATACCACGCGGCCAATACTCAATGCGCCCTTAGCACCCAAGCGGCACTCCAATATGAGTGGGGGTGATATGGGTGAGGGGTCTCAGAGACTAAGCTGAGAGAGGTGAGGACGGGGTGACAATTCTCACCCAGGGGTGATAAGGGCCAGCTCATTTAGCTCGTCCTAAGCAAAATATAAGCTCCGGGCCCTTATTTTGCTCTGCTGTAATTCAATTTGATTTACTCTTACTTACTTTACTTTCAAAATTATGTTCACCTAGAAAGATCTCTAGAAAAAACTCACGGAGCGCCATATTGCTATAATTCCTAGGTCGATAACTGGTCACTATCAGCGGGTTGAAATTGATTATTTACAAACATCAGAAGTCAAAGTCGCAGATCATATGAATCAGCATGAGGATCCATCGGGTCGTAGGCCACTACTAGCGTTTTGTAGCATCTTCATTATTCCCTCATGGTTTTGATAAGATGCCAACTCAAGAGCGCTACCATGAATTCCACCTGAAGCTTGGACATCTGCCTTGGCGTTCAGCAGTATTTCTACCACCGTCTCAAGGCCCTGGGACGATGCAGCTTGGAGTGCAGAGCCATATTCTCCACCAGCGGCATTAACGTCGGCACCTTTTTCCAGCAACAGCTGCACTAATGGACCACGGTCTGTAAGTGATGCATCCAGAAATGGATCACGCTTCCCAGGATCCATAGTAGAAAATGCGTTAGGTAATTTTGATAGAACCATTTCGCTAAGCTTTTCAAGCGTTTTTTCATCCCATCTGTATGCATCCGAGGATGCAACCTGTAGTGCATTGCTGTTCTGCGGAAGAATTGGCACACCTCGTGAAAGCATATCCTTCAAAACATGTTGTATACTTTGTGCCATAGAATCATGAGTGCCAAATGATGCGGCCTGAAGAGCGTTGCCAAATCTCCCACCGGAAGCGTTGACCTTGGCCCCTTCATCGAGCAAATATTTAACTAGGTCGATATGTCCCCCGAGAGAAGCAGCCTGAAGTGCATTACCAAATCTTCCACTAGAAGCATTGATTTTAGCACCGTAATTGACCAATATCTGAACTGCTGACATGTGGCCCCGGAAGCAAGCACTGCCAAGTGCAGTGCCGTATATACCATCTTCAGCATTGATGTCGGCTCCGAAATTCAGAAGGTCCTGCAGAATATTTGTATGACCACCAAATGAGGCAGCATGAAAGGCATTGCCGAATAATTCACTCCGGGAATAGCTGATCGCGTTTTTGTCTAGTGAAAGTAGTGTCTGCACTATTTCGCTATGGCCCGCATTGGATGCTGCAATCAAGGCATTGCCATACCGCCCACCGCAAGCAGAAGCATTGAAGTGGGCCTTCTTTTCTAGCAACAGTTGCACCACTCTTTTGTGACCTCTGAGTGATGCTGCAGCCAATGCATTGCCATACTGGCCCACCTGATCGTTGACATTTGACCCTTTGCGTAGCAGCATCAATACTAGCTCAACATTGCCATTGTAGCATGCTGCAATCAGGGAAGTGCCATACTCTCCACCACGGGCATTGACATCGATAGAAATGTTCGGTTTCGGCAACGTCTGTATTTTTGTTACCTGCCGCTCAGACAAGTTTGCCGGCTCTGTGCTCTTCAAGTTTTCTCCGCCAGAGTCAACACTAAGGTTTCCATCTAGAAGATTGCGCACAACTTCGATGTGGCCTTGGGATATCGCTGCTTGTAATGCGTTCCCATACCGCCCGCCCGGTGCATTCACATTGTAGATAGTGACCAGCTTAGCTACAATATCGGCAAGCCCTAGCAAACATGCATGGTACAAAGGTGTTGCACTGCTATCTGTAGCATCCGTGAGATCTGCAGCTGCCTTCCACGAGGAGCCCAGATCACGAAGTTCAATCCATGTATTGAAGCAACCGCTTTGGTCCGTGAAAAGCTTGACCACTAGTTCCTGGACAACGGAGCTTGGAGTATCCGAACGTGTATAGTGGTAGAGCCATTCCTTGGCAGCGTATGAAGCAAATGGAAAGCTTATGAGCTTATCCTGGGTGTGTGCTCCCTGAGAAATCTTAGGGTCCAAAATATAAAGAAGGCACGTTTGCGCAATCTCCATATGCGTAGAGCCATGCTCTATCGCGAACATAGAAACCGTTGATTGCTGGCGGATTTTGTCGGACCTCAGGTACTCTCGCACAGAGGTGTGAGCTATCTGAATTGTGATGCATCCTTGAATGAATAGACCCTTTTCCCAGGTACACTCAATCAAACAACCAAGCAAGTTGCGGAGCTCGTTGATGTGAAATAGTCTCTCAATATCAAGACATTTTTTCTGGCCAAGATCCACCGCAAGCGCATGAACCAGCTCATCCACAGTTAGGGGTCGATTTGAGAGGCAAAGAATCCTCAAAATGCGTCCTGCATAATTCGAGTGTACCTTCGGTATCTTGCTCAGAATATCCTCGTATGCAGCATCTAGAGAGCTAGGCAACGAAGACATCAATTCATCTAAATGAGATAGGCCTGCGGCACTACCGATATGACTAAACAAGGAGAAAGCATAGCGGAATCTAGAGACAAGACGGCTTAGTAGTCTTCAAAATTCACGTTCCAATAGTACTTACGCGCACTGGGAACGTTCTGAAATGAGATTCCGAATCTCCCGGTGGCGTTCTTCATATCTGTAGAGGACAGTATGGTCCTGAAGTTCGTCCCCAATATAGTTCGCAATGTCCTGCTGAACTGCAGCATTTTTCATAACCACTATCTGTCCTCGATGAGGATCCAAAGACTTCCGAATGCCCTCGAGATCACGACTTGTGACTAGAAGATGAAGACTAGGTAGGTTCCAATTTCGAATAATTCTGATGGTTTTTAGTATCGTAAGCATAGGGCTTTCATCCAAAGCGTCTATTAGAACGAAGACTTTCGAAAATTCTCTCATAATGTTGTGAAGGCAATTTAAAAGTTTATCCCTTGTGAAACTTGGTTTCGAAGCGTGAAACTCTCGAAGCTGTTTATGCTTATTATCCAACCCTTCAGAAAGTTGCCACAGTAGAGAACGTAGCATATCACAGTCACAGTCATCATGCTGCGATGATTGATCGATGAAGAAGAAAAAGGCGACTCCTATCTTCAGCTTAACGTACTCTTTCTGCCGCAAGTGATAATCCCGCAAATGATTAATAATAGTAGCACACATGTGTGTCTTACCACATCCTATAAATCCATTGATCCAAAGGAAGGAAGGGCCCTTTTCCACCCAAAGATGAAATCTTTCGTCATTGATGAACCATTGGCCCGTTTGTCCATGATTCTTGTTCCACACCTTGGCATAAATAGAATCAGCATCAGGCGGCTGAAGCCATTGGCGTAAGTCTTTTCCGGAGACTGTACTCGTATTCTTCTGGATGTTGTTGGATTGTAGAGTTTGAAGCTCGAATTCTTGTATAGTGATATCAACAACTGAGGCTACATGTGGACGACGCAAAACGGGAACTCATACCGATTCTGCCCCGGGGATCCTTTTCGATTTTTTTTTTCCATCTATTGAGCACTCCAAGTAGCCTCACAAATCCATTATCCTCTGCGGAAACAAACTTGACCATATCGCGGTGGTTGGCATGTAAGCTAATCCAATCGTAGCTTTCGAAAGTGGCTGACTTTTTGGTTACGACGGGCCCCCATCCGGGCAAAGGTAGTGCTTCAAAGAAGCATATAACCTCCAGAGGCTTGCCAGCTTTTTCTGAGTTCCGTATCAAAGTCAAAAATCCTTCCTGGATAGCCTCGAGGAACTGGTTATCCGTCTGCAAGATCTCCAATAACGACTTGCTGGTGGACTTTCCTATTCCAAGTGCCGACACTGGTATGCCCGCCCAGTCAGCCATCCAAGATCCCTGATGGGGTGTTCCCATAAAGATGATGCCCTTGGTGTGATTGAAAATACCCCGAAGATGATGATCCTGGGTCCTATCCCGCGAGAGCAGAATAGCCTCCTTGCAGACAAGGCCACCCAGGCTGTGGGCGACGAAAATGAGAGAGCGATTTGACGCATCGTGGGAATCTCTGTTTGTTGTCAAGTCGTTCAAGAAGTCTGAAGCGTGGTCGATGAGCCGATTTCCGCTTGCAACTGATCCTCGCATGATGTACGCGTCATAGCCGTAAGTAAGGATGCGGGCTCCGCGGAGTTTAGGAGGAAGGAGCGATTTTGGCCAAGGTGTGGATTGTCCGTGGGCAGTCCAAGTACTATTTCGATCGCCAGTTAAGCCATGGATAAAGCAGACATCAACTACGGCATCCGGACAATCGTGCCACACTTGTATTCCCTCGGGGAAGAGACAGGGTGGGGGACTCTCCGGCAGATTTCCGTTGCTAGTGGTTCGAGGCATCTTTTGCGATCCAAATATCGCGTTTCCGAGGAATCTCTTCATAGTTTAAGGTATTCAAGACTGGCCCCTAGAGGTGCCAAGGAAAAGAGATATAGACAACAGCAGCCGTGGTTAAGGAATGTGAGCTTGATGTAAGGACTCAATTGCGTAGTGAATTAAAATAGATAGGCGGAGGCAGGGGCATTTACGGCAAGTAAAATACACCCTAAAGTCTCGCCATATGAACCCCACATTCTACTCTTAAGAAGCGAATGATATACGATCGTAACGTTCCATAATAGGCTGTATACAGATGCCAAGAGACTGGCTGTCTCAGATAGGGGCTCGTAGCCCAATTATGTTCTACCATCGCTCAGCTGGCGGGGTCAGTGCGGCGTCGCGCCGGCCCGCAGGACCCTCGCCCGGTTCTCACCGCTACCTATTACGCACTCACCTTCCTAACCCCTGGTCCCGCGATGCTAAAGCGGCACTCACCCATTTCTCACCTGGCTGACACCAACTAACTATTGACCGCGTATAAGCCACACGCCGGTGAGTTAGTAGTTGGGTGGGTGACCACCAGCGAATCCTCACTGTTGTATGTTTTTGCATTCTTTTTTGTTTTTGCATCTCTCAGCGGCGCTCTGGAGTGAGTGTGATATGGATGTGAATTCTGGAGACCGAGATGATAGAGGTGAGAACGGGGTGAAAAGGGGTGACAAGATGATGGATGTCCGCTCTAACCGAGCAATGAGCGACGGATGTGATTAAATGGTCTGCTACCAGCTTCTGTACAGGAGACAAGCATACAGTGTCCATTTCACCCTAATAGCCAGAATGCCATCATGTTTATAGTATTCATAGTAGGCGGAATTGGCGATAGACCACTGTAATTCAGACCCACGTAGCTTATTTCAATTCTGACTTTCATATTCTTGGCTACCGTATTCTCGTATTCTCGCATTCTCGCATTCTCGTATTCTCGCATTTACAGTGGCGTTTCATGAGTATTTTGCACCAACAACTGACCGCGCTGTTATACCGCCTGCCTATTCCTACTAGTATAGACGCGCGCGCATCGCGTAGTAGTATACTACAATATCTCCGTAGTATTTATAAAGGTTACTACCCCCTTTTCCCCAATTTCCACCTTTCCAATTCTTTCCCTATACTCTTTACTGCCATGGCCCGCGGCCTGGAGCTTCCACCGTACGTTCGTGAGCGTATATGTGAGCTAAAACGCTCAATAAAGTGGGGTGTTAACGCATTCAAAAGCATGTATACAGGTGATACATACTTTGCATATCCATGGATGGGTGGCGGACCCTCGTAAGCGAGGGTCGGTACCTAATTCTTGTCAAAGATTTACAGGGGCCAGTTATTTTTGGCCTATGCCGTCACGTGAGAGAGTAGCGCTCCTATCTTTGGGGATCCGCTCGACATCACTCATCCCTCAGAGATATGCCATGGCAGGCACTGGAGGTTGGAAGGTTGTCTCGAGTATTATTAATAATTCATTATAATGGTTGGCGTTCCCTATAGCAAGGGCTGTTTGCTCTGTCGCGAACGACGCATCGCGGTTAGTTATGTCGTTACCCCTATATTCTGACACGGAAACTCACGTTGTAATGTATTAGTGTGATCAGACTCATCCGCAGTGTATGCAATGTTGCAGATACGGCGTTGAATGCCCTGGTTACAAGCGTTCCTGGCAATTCAAGGATGAGGGACCCCGTCTCCAGAAGCGGTATCAAAAGAAGTGTTCAAACGTTAGGACCCGTTCCGAGGCTATCAACAGCAATGGAATCTTTACAAAGTTTTCGATCGATGAGCGTGTTCATCCGGCTTTGGTCCGTCAATCCTTTATCAGCCAGCAGCCACAGGTGTTCAAAGAGTTTATCTGCGCTGCCTTCCCAACGATGTTTTGGCATAATGAATTCCGCTTTGGTACCGGCTTTAACTTCGCAGAGTGCGTTGTGAAGCACTTTGGTTTCAAGCAATATCACGATGCAGCAGTCTCGTGTCTTTCAGCAGAATACCTCGGCCATCTCACCGGGGACCCCAGACTCCACCAATTCAGCCGACAGGAGTATTCAAAGGCTTTAGGGGCAATCAGGCGAGCACTAAATTCGGATGAGGCATTGTCGGATTCTCTGCTTCTTGCGGTTATTCTTCTCGCTATCTACGAGATGAATACGCGGACTACTCGAGACGCTTGGGTCTACCACTCGAGGGCGGTAAAGCAACTATTCCTGAGGCGTGGGATGAGTTTCTGTCTATCTGGGGTTGGACGCGTCTGCCATTTTGCGTACAGGCCATTTCTTATCGCCGCTGCACTCTACGAAGGTGAGCCATGTTTTCTTGCCGACGATAACTGGCAGAACCTCGCAGCTCTCCTCCGAATGGAAGACTCCCAGAAGCAGAGCGAGTGGGCGTTCTACATCAACGTCTACGAAACGATTTTCATGGAGCTGGTCAAATGTCCTGGATACATTAAAGAGGCACGGGAAATCGTCTCCGTGACCTCTCCCAAGGCCAGGCTTCTAGCACAGCGGATTTATATAGCCAGCAACCGGCTTCGGGCATTAAGTGACGAGTTACGATCACTACTTGCGTCCCACAACCAGCGGAAGGAAGGAATCATTTTCCGTAGTTTTGTCGGGCCGGAGCCAAACGCTTTTCCCGAAACCAGCCCGTCACTTCTTCTCCGTGCCGCTGTCACTGCTACCAGCATCCTCGAAGAACTCTTCATCCGATTAACTACGCCTGCTTATGTCAAGGAAGAGTCTGTATCCAGTCGTGGCACGCCATCTTCCTTGTCAACTCCGCAAAGTGTCAGCGTGGCTGCTGGTGGCGGTCCGCTTCTTGATTTTCGTTTCACCTTCGAACTTGGAGGGGGCACTAAAAAGGATAACCCGTGCGCCTTTACCTGGCTTGACCGGGTCGCGGGGTCAATGGGGCTCTTGGGAGCAGAGATTACTTACGAGGATGCAGTTGATGTGGAGTAGGCTTTCATCTTTACCTCGATGTCGAAGGTATTTTGATGCTAGGAGCGTGCAAGTTCTATAGCTCTGCTGTAACGGTCAATTAAATGAAGAAACGATAGCCTGTTCAATTTATGGTAGATACTATGGTCGCCCCGGGAATCGGACGGCCGTTCGACGCTATCCCGTGGGTCGAAACTCAGGCGATCACTCGCGCCATCGCCGAGGCTGAGGCGGAGACTGAATTGACTATTGTACGCCTTTGTGACGTATTGTGAAGATCAGATCCACTGCCACAGCCTGCCAAAGGACCATCCTTTCTGGTCCTGTCGACGAAAAAGTAGGCCGCGAGACCCGGCGAAAACACCAGAGCAGCCTCCACAACCGAAAGCCGATTCTAGCTCGACACCCGATGGCTCACACAAACCCACATATCGTGAGGGTATGTACGGAAATTGGCCTCTTCTTCATCTCGCGTACCGGACCACTAACCAAAGAGGTTTTACTTTGGGATTGAATCTAATCAAGCAAGGTTCCAATTTGAAAAGCTTAAGTCATCACCTAACCTTTCAGGCGTCGGAGGATAACCTGATATCACTATATATGAATTTTCATTAGACCAAGCACAACCCATCGAGAAACATTTTTCATCCTACTTTCAAATATCAGAGATGCCGTTTTCTTCCCATCATGAAAGAAACCCGAGCCGCGATCGAGCACACAGAAAAGCGTTCGGGCCTATGAGAGGCGATAAGGACTCTTGGGAGCTCGATCTCGAACGATCTGGGGAAATAAATATTCTCCAGAGATACCGCTTAGGTCAATACCTCCGCCAAGCCACAAAAGACAATAGTGGGCCTCTTATCTCGCATAGGCTTCACTTTATAGAGGAAGACCTTCGAGAAGTTGTTCAAGAAGAGATATCTATCAAAGGGGGACTCGATGTATTAGACAAATGCGGGAAAGGGAAAGAGAGACTCGATGTCTTAAATACCAAATACTGGCTCCTAGAACAACAGTGGTGGCATTATCATTCCTGTCTAGAAGATGGGTATGAACGAAGAGGGTTTGAGCTATGGCGGTCCCATCCTAAATGGTATATGCACCGCGTGCTTATTAAAGATTGTGCTAGCCGACAAGGATGCTGTGCTCGTGAATGTGGCTGTTGTCTTAACCGTAAGATCGAACCTACACGTGCGCTTGGAGTTGGACATTGTACTTTTGAGTGTGTATGTTGTCGGAGAGCTCGAGGCTTTGAAATCTCCGAAGGAGATAAGGTATTGCTAAAAGAAAAGTGTCGTGAAGAAATAGGCAATCTTCTTACACACCGTATTGTACAAGTCGCAATATGGGGGCTTGTCGGTGATAGCTATGCCAGCCCGTTTGACATGATTGATACGCCACCAAGTTAGGATACTAAAGGCAAGGGTCCTACAAAAAGAGAAGGATAAGACTGGCTGATTGCTTTCGATATATTGATATTGCTACATCTTGCTCGCTACATGTAAGTCTTGTACTGTTTCTGTTTCTCGAGGAATGTGCCCGATTAAGCTCTTACATCACATTGTAGGCTCGTACCTTCCCTACAAGCCATTGCTTCCGTCTACAAAACAATTTCGTAGCCCACATACGAACTTCAAGATCACATCATTCTGCAAGTATACGTATACATCCACAAAATGTCTTTTGTGACTGCGCTCTGACCTGTAAGTTTGATCTCTTTGGTGTCTTTTCAGACGTCTTTTTTGGCCTGTTTCCCTGTTTCTGACACATCTTTTTAGCCCCAGTGCCCCTTCACCCCCGCAACGAGGATTCTGTGATCCTCGAACTCCTTCGCCTGGCCGACAACCGGGGGCCAATACTTGCCCTCCAAGTGGGCGGCGTTGTGATCTTAATCCTGGTCCTGAAGAGGGCACTATGCCTCATTGCTTGGTATATCCGGCTGAAGATCCTACTGTATGTCACTTGGCGATGTTGGATCTGTAGCGACCGTGCTGACCGTTGATTCTAAGGTACAGTCACCGTGACTCCGACGTCAATCCAGGGGAGGCAGACTGAGCGGAGAAAGGTGCTGTTGTGGGGGGTGGGCAAAGAAAAGGAGAGGGCCCCCGGTATAATTATGATATGAGTATATGTGGGTGGGGAGGGCTGGCCTCCAATTGTATATAGCCCGGCCATTTGCGCATAACCAGCCGGCCCAAAACTTCCATCTCGCCCATATGTGTATTACAATACAGTGAAATTACAAAACAAGTAAAAATACAAAAACACTCCCGATGTCGCGAGGTCGCGTTATCATAAGCTTAGCTTTATCAGCTCGCGATAACAGCTATGATCTCCACTCAAGGGAACCTTCAACATCCATAGATCCTTCCAACGTTCCCTCGGCAAGTATGGTCAAGGAAACAAAAACAAGGACACTAAATGTCCAGCCTGAAAAAAGCCAAGGAGAGGATGACAACAAACATGTATCATTCCATCCGCACCATATCACCCTCGAGACCTTCCGCAACCTGCTATCCCACTACCCTTCAACGGTAGAGCGAGTTCACCGCAGCAAGCTGATGTTAAAGCTGCAGTCGAAGACGGGAAAGGGACCAAAACGAAAGGCCGAGACGAAGACCAGTGCAGCTTCGACCACAAAAGCAGAGCTCGATTCGTCGGAAGAGAAGCATATTCTCGAAGAGACGGATAAATTCCTCCAGCTTGACCGGTGGCGATATGAAGACCTGCCGAAGATTATCGCGGAGCGGACGAATGGAAGTACGGAGAGGAGCGCACTTGGTTAAGGAGGAGCTAGTTGATATCATGGAATGGAAGACGTGAGTAACAATTTGCTATAGTCATGGTACAGCTCAGGATTTATCTGACCTACTTCTAGGAAACACGGAGTCTCCCGTCCCATGCTAATGGGAATGGTGAAAAGCAACCCAGCCACAACAATCACAAAGTCTACATCCACGGCTTTCGCCGCTCTCCCAGATGCGGATCCTTTGGTTGCTCCGAACGATGCATTCCCTAAAACCAGTCTGGATGCCCTTACTGCGCCTATCCGTGGCGTTGGCCCGGCTACCGCATCTCTGATTTTGTCTATCGCCACGGTCTTCGGCGACGCTAAGAAACAAGTCCCGTTTTACAGCGACGATGTGTACCTTTGGCTGTGTCTAATGGATTTTCCCGAGGGTCCGGATGCCACGGAGCAGAAGCCTTCTAAGCATAAGAAGCCCAATGGGGAGTTGATTGTCAAGTACAATATGAATGAGTATCGAGAGCTGTGGAGTGCTTCGCAGGAGCTGCGCGCACGGCTGAACAATTCCGCTGGGGAGAAGTCTGGGGATGGACCTGTCTCGTTTATCGACATCGAGAGGGCTGCTTATGTGCTCCGCAATATCGCTGTCTCGGATTACTTTGTCAGTCAAGAACCAGAGGCTGGTTTAAATGTTGTGAAAGATATGGAGTCGGCGAATAACCCGCTACCAAATGAATCAGAGAAGGATTCTAGTGAGCCTGGCACGAGGCGTAGTAAGAGGACGAAGAAAGAAGCATGAAATGTCTGTGTTAAAATCCCTATCTACGCCTTGGCACCCTCGGACTAGGTACTTGTATAGTTGGCATGACGCATTTACCATTCATATACCTCTCCTTCATGACCCGATCTCTTGTAGACATAGAAGCACAAGTATCAAATTGTCAGATGAGAATCCTGACTGAACATAATTCAGTAAACAACTAACCCAAAATACAAATTATCCCTAGTCCTCCCTAGACTCCCCAAAAACCGGCTCCCTCCCCCCAATCCTAAAAACCAAATATGGCGTCCCCACCTCCTCCCTATGCAAATAATGCAGCATCTTAACTTCATTCATAACCCTCACATCCACAGCAAAAGCTCGATAAAACCTCCACCGAAGCCTCCTCCCCACCTTCAGCACATAAACCGGAAATACGAAAGTCTGTTTATGGGCGGTCTTGAAATCGTATCTATGGTTGTTGATCTCGATTGCTGCATACGCGTGTCGGTGCTGTATTTCCACTGCTAGGAGGTTTACTTTGTTTTGCATTTTCCAGTGCGAGAGGAAGGGGTTTATTGTTGTCGTTATGGAGGTTATGGGGTTCGACCAGTCGACTAGATGTGGCGGGATGTCGACTATTAGGCGGTTTGTGGGGGGTTTCTTTTATTGCTGTTTGGAATTTTTTGTTGATGCGGGATTGGGTTGGGGCGGTCTAGTGGTATGGGTGGTGGTGGGGTTAGGTTGTGGTAGGTTGGGTTGTTGGTGGTTGTGGTTGTGGTTGTGGTTGTTGGTACTGGTGTTGATGTTGGCGGGTTGGGACGATCTCCTTTGGCAGTGTCTCCGACAGACTCGCTAGAAGAGACCACAGAAGACTCTGCACAGCACATATTGCTGATGACTTCGGTATCCTTCGCCTCAAGACCAGTATCAAAAGCAGGCCGAACCTGCCGCGAGTGCTCGTGCTCGTGCTCGTGCTCGTGCTCGTGCTCGTTCACCACGCCTTGGCTTTCGGTGCAGTCTTCCTCCAGGTTGCCATGACTGTCAATTGGTACATCAACTGCCTCGTTGTGTGAGATAACCCCGCCCATGTTACCTATAGACTCGATTGTCTGCATTGATGTTGGGTGCTCATCGACGAGGGAAAGTATATCCTCCATATTGACAGGGAGGAAGGGAAAAACAGAAGCGCGGAGGCGTTGCTTCTTTCAATTCCCATTGACGGTGAGGAGAAGAGAAACAGATGCGGGAAAAGCGAGAGGAACAAGAAGTCAACACTGCACTTATACCAACCTTGGAAGATCACAGTTCTTATAGCACTCAATCCCAGCAATCACCTGATGTTTTGATTTTTTGTTCGACAGGAACAAACATGCGACCAGATTAGGTTATAGGTGCCTAATAAGTTACTTTTAAAGCTACAAGTACTTGCATGCCTGGTTGAGGCTCATCGCGGCTGGAGCCTAGTGGGGACAATTTAAGGACGGGATAGTGCAGATCTGGCCTCAGATCGGTGTGGAGTCTGGACTACATTCCATACTAGTTAGTACGAAGTACGAAGTACATACCTTGCATGACTGGGGACTGTGAGAGTCCAGATAATTATACATGTGCTTAGCATCAAGTACACCGTTGTAGCCGACACAAGACCTGCCTCTGGACTACAGTAGTTATGATATATCTACTACGGAGTACACATTCAAGTCTATGCAGGTATTCAGAACCACATCTATGCCAAACCAGTCGCATTTTTTTTTCAATCTCATCGCTATGTACAAAGTCACGGCCGTCAAGTCTTGATTAAAAGCAGATACAGATACACGAGAGACGCATGCATCAAGAATAAGAATGGGTGTAGGGAAAAACAGAAGAAAGTCGTCAGATCATCATGCAATCCATGCATCACGGGCCATCATCAAGATGGCCGGTTTCTCCAGTGAATTGTGCTTCGACATGACGGAGAGGGGTAGGAGAAGTAGAGGTAATGGCGAGTGGCGAGAAAGAAGTAGGAGGGGGGGAGGAGACGCAATGTCTACCGTTGAAGGGAGAACTGGGGAAGAGATGAGAGGTCGGAACGGTAAGGGCACTGGATAACCAGTCTCGCAGTACAGATCGGATTGAGGCGCGTGAAATGATAGCAGGTATTGTACCCGGAATTTTTTTTTGTTAGGTTTTGTGATATAGCGAATAGAGATTCGCGATATTACCGCTTGGACGGGTTGGGCTTGCGCTTGGCAGCACGCTTGGCCTTGGCAGCATTGTCCGCGGAAGGAGAATGGATATAGCCCACATGCTGATCATCATTGTCACTGAACGGGACGATAGATGAGATCTTCTTGGAGCGACTGCGCTTCAATGGCTGGGACAGAGGTGGCCCAGATTGCGGCGCAGGACTCGCGAGGGAAGGTCCCGGCTTGGCTTCAGCGGTAGCTGACGGGGCAGCAGCGCGCTCGTCGTCCTCGACGTGGATGTGGCGGAACTCCTGCTCCGGCTCATCTGCTTCCGATGATGCAGGACTGTCGGAGTCGGAGGCTGCCTCATAGTCATCTTCATCATCACTGACCAAGCTGGGAGCTTGGTTGGATTCGATGGCGTGAGGGCTGAGGGTTTGATGATCCAAGCTGTCCGATTCCCGAGACTGGGACTGGCCAGCGAGCGAAAGGTCCAAAAATGACTGGGGACGCGACGGGGTCGCGCGCTCGGTGGGCGGGTTGTGTCCGCGGTCGAGGGCCTTTCGGCTCTCAGACTCTCCAGCGGTTTGACTAGCAGGCATACGCATCGGCTGGCGACCGGCGCGAGCACCAAGGGAGGTATGGCTGGCCCCCGATGGTCGAGAGTCATCTGTTTCCGAGTCATCGTCGAAAAGAGCACCAAGATCAACAGGCTTTCGGGATTCTTCCACCAACTTGTCCATGTTTAGACCAGCACCACGTGATTTCATGAGGGCAGACAGATGAGGGGTTGCGGGAGAAGCCAAAAACTGTGGGTTGGGAGGCTGTCGGACGGGCTCGGACCGTCGTCGGTAGGCTGGTTCAGCAGTGGAGGGAGGAGTGGCAACAGCAGATGTGGTAGCCGCAGCCGGTGTGCGGGGGGTGACGGAGTCCTCAGCGGGCGTACGAAGAGATTTCCAAGGAGTTGTAGCAACGTGGGTAGAGCGGATCAGAGGATGCACGTAGCCTGGGGTGGTGGGATTAGCAGTGGGCTCGGCAGAGCCACCGACCACAGTCCCGGCGTCGTCGACCTGAACAGATTGACCACAGGCCATGGCAGCAGCGTCGTGGCTGGCAAAGTTGCGGTTGTGGGCGATCCGACAGTGGTTAATGAATCCCTGAGTGCTGGAGAAGTTATCGCGCCGGCAGTCCAGACAGACCAGCTTGACCAGAACACCATCCGACTTGCGCCGGATGAGCATGGGCCCGGACTTCTCCTTGACCACAGGGTAACCAGACGACAGTGCGGTATGCTTGGTGGCAGTTGAGCCTCGCTGGGGACGTGTCTTGCCCGCCAGCATGCCCATCTCACCGGGGTTCCCACGCGTCGACCGACCCTCCACTAGTGAATTTGGCATGCCGGAGTCGACTTCACCACCGTCGAAGCGAGGGTCGGGAAGCAACCACCGGGCGTAGTGGCGGGCGTACGGGCCTTCGGTCACTCCCCATGGAGCAGGCGACATCGGCGCCGGACCATTTCCAGGTGCCAGCACTGACGCGCCCGTTCCCAAGCTCACATCCGGCGAGACACCCGTAACACGGGATCCGGGATAAGGGATTTCGCCACAGCGTCGCAGCTGTTCCAGAGCGACTTGACACTTGGCGATCTCCTGGTCGATGAGACGAAGTTCGTTGTGCTTGAGTAACACCTCCAAGCTCAGCTGGGCGGTGATGGTTTCCCGAAGTCGGGTCACACTAGGTCTGGCGACGGCGTCCTGCGCCGGCGGGCGCGCGGACGCGACCGGGGAGTTTGACGAGGTGGTTGGAGTAGAGGGGGGTGGGAGCGATCGAATCAGCGATCAGGGTCGGAGTTGGGCGCGAAGAAACGGAATCCGCGCAGACTTTCGTCGGGGCGGGCGCATCGGTCGCGTCGGAGTCGGAGTCTGAACGTTTGCGCTTGAGCTGGGGCAGCGACAGTGTGTTGATACCTGTGCAGTTTGGAGCCAGCATTTTGACATCTTCCATCACCTTATTCCCTCCTATAGTTGAGGGCCAGGGAAGCAGGCGAAACATGCCATGTGAGTGCATAGAGATGGTTTTGGATTATGTTGTAGGTGGCAGATGGTCCATGCGTTCCAAGTTTATTACGGAAAAAGGAATGGACGTTGCGCGACCGGAGGTTGATTACGGAAGGCAGCAAAGAATCTATTAATAAGATGGAGGAGAATACAAAAAAAGAAGAAAAGGGGAATGGGAGAAAGGAGAATGGGGGAAAGAATAATGGGAATCAATAGGAAAAAGGGAAAGGGAAAGGGAGAAAGGGAGAAAGGGGGATAGAGAGAGAGCAGAAGACAAAAGAATGGGAAATGGGGGAAAAGTGCCTGGGAAGGCCTGGGAAGTTGGGAAAGGGGAGTGGAGTTATTGGGGGATACTTGTTGTTGCCATACTAATTATATGGGCAGATCATGTACCTTTGGATATTATTGGATCAGTCTCAAATATCTGCGACACGTCATACATTTATTTGTTTACAATATATGTGTATGTTGTATGTTGTATGTGTATCTATTATATATCTTTCTACTCTGTTACTCTCTTACTCTATTATAATGCTGATACATTATCTATTCATGTCTGCCTATTCCCCCATTCAAGTGCTATTAACTATTCGCAATCGGATGTCGACGGCCCAATATAATGACTCTCTTGCCAAGCCGATAACGGTCTGGGCCTTGCCCTGTTTCTGCCTAAGCCAGCTGGATCTACGATCTATTCAGCAAATCACATACAATATAGATAAATTTCGCAAGGGGGCAAACCGGGTATAAACAGGTTCTGACTGCGCCTCAATTGGCATGTGCGAACCAAAAGTACAAATCATATTCCCATCCATATTCCATACAGGTCAGATGTGGCTGATGGAAAGTTGTGGAACGTTGTCGAACCGGGAGAGAACAGGAGAGAACAGGGGGCGATTCGGCTTTCCCCAGGTTCTCAGGGAACTCTACATCGGAGCCACTCTCTATATTACCCCTATTTATAGCGTAAATTATTACTCCATCTGGAGTACAATCTAGCCATTTCAAGTTTCTATTGAAGATCAGACTTTCTACTATAACTATAACTATTCTGAGACCAACCCACCAATTTGGAAACTCCGAAACCGAGTCAGAACTCTGATCACAGTACGGAGTACATCTGTACTCGTAACCCTAACTAGCATATCTCCATACCCTTTCACTTCATTTGCCGAGGTACACTTGCTCCGCTTATCCCTGGCTATCATATCATCATTATGTATCATTATGTATCACTATCATGGAGTCTGCCAATTTACACGTAACCCAGACCAAGATGTACACCGTCAATTTTAGAATGACAGAGGCTGCACAAGTGACCAACTATCGTGCTATATTGTATATCTCTGTTATATATCGTATTGGGTCATTAATGCAGCCAACAGTACGGATAAATATACCTCCCATCTCTCTCCAACATTTCCAACGTAACTCATAGAGTAGAGTAGAAATACAGACTTCATTTACTATCAGGGAAACTCAAATCGGACTCCTGCACTCCGCATTGGGGATATGATCAGATCCCAATTCTAGCCAGCACATCGCTTGGACTAGGTTGGAAATTCGGCTGTTATATTGTAATCCATCGACATGTTACCTACGGAGTAGATACTGTCTACATTGTTGTATGTGTATAGGCGGATGAAAATCCCTTGAGCGAGACCGTTATCCGTCCCCAGGTCTAATATTCCAATCAAAACAATATCCCTTGTCTCTCCTAACCCCAAAGTACAACATAGATAGCTTAGCTTATCGTCAACTTTCTCTCCTCTCTGAAAGCTGATAGGCGCTCTACCACGAACCTCCCAACACCAACGCTCTTTAGCGCCCTACGCACTAGCTAGAATATATAGCAACCGCGTCACCAATCCCTGACCAATCAAATCCCAAAATGAATATATTTACCAGCGCATTTTATCTAGCCATAATATAAACAAAGTCAGGCTCGAATGAGAACCAATCGACACAGTCTGGTGCTTGGGCACGCTTGGGCATTTTCGAGCCGGGAAGGGATATCGTTTGATACGGATTACCATCCGCGCTGATGAGAGGGTCAAAGGTGGATGGGAAGGTTCCTACGTTTTGTTGGTTGACTATTGGCCTTGGGAGGCTGGGAATAGCAACTAACATGCTGGGATGTGGCGGTGTTTGCTTTTGGATATTATGCTTTGGACAAGGTTCTCCAGTGATGTCACTCGCTGGTAAAGGGTTCAGCAGGGTTGTTGCAACTCTGCTGAGTTTATCCAGTATGTTGACGGGGGGATTGTTGATAATTGCCCATGAGATTGAGAGTATACACAGATGAATGAGATTCAATTCGAGTCCAATCTCATTCTTTTTTCGCTTGTCAGACAAGCACAATCCGCAAAAACGCCAGTTGCAACAAAAAAGACAGACGCTCGACTGGACCACATGAACGTGAAAGGCATTCTGGCCCCATAAGCATAAATCAGACCAACATACGCCAAATGAATACATAAAACAGACACGGCTGTCAAAATCAACAATGAAACGAACGAGAATGGACCAACGTAATCAATGGTATAATATTCAGATGGGCCAAATGGGACTCAGATCTCCAATCCAACATCGCCATCCAAAAACAAAAGCAATCGTATGCACTCCAGGGCTCATCCTAGTTCATCTGCCCGCCCTTAATCCGCAGGATGAAGTTAACAACGACGGCGGCGAGGAGGGCAATGGCCAGGATGGTAGGACCGAATCGGTCATCGATACCGCTCTGTCCGCGTCGACGGATACTCTGCGCGCGCCAGTGGAATGTCACCAAAGCGTAAATCATTGCGCCCATGGCGATGATGGTGAAGAGGGCTGCGGAGATGCGACCGATGCGATCGCCGAAATTGAGGAGGCCGACCGCTAGGCCGCCCAGTATGACGGTGAAGTTAAGCCATGAGAGGAAGGTGCGCTCGTTGGCGAAGAAGACCTTGGGTTCGACTCGGGTTGGGAGGGCGATTCGCTTGCCTGGTTGATGTTAGCTGGGCTCGGGCTGGAGATTGGAGGGTTGATGGTTGTAGTGTGGGTCGGATGAGAAGTGCGGTCATTCTGCTTCTCTTGGGGGTGTGGACGTCACCGCGGTGTTCGACATCCACAGCTTAAGAGAAGGAGAATTATCGCGCCAACCAGACCAAAGTGAGGGGAGGGCATCCATAGGGAATTGTCTCTTGCGTTGAACTGTTTGCTGGGATTGGTGTCGGACTTACCCGGAGCGGTTTGGAGGAGAGGTTGGCTAGACATTGTCGGATGTGAAGAGGTGAGGATGGAAGAGGTTAGGAAATATCGGAAGAAAAATCCAAACTCAATTGAGAAAGGAAAAAAGCAATTTAAAGAAGCGAGTAGCTTCAAAGTTCAAGATGTCGCCCCCCCTCTGGTCTTCCGGGCTGGGACTAGCGGGAGACAGCTCTGTCGCACGTGCTCCCACGATTTGATGAGAGGATCAGGTGACTAGCGTGGTTTCTTATGGATCTCAGCCCTGGAGTATTCGGTTTATATTATTATTCATGTACAACATATAAAGAGCTTGGCCAAAATCTCTACAGAAAATGCTTGGAAATTTGATAGAAACTATACAGCTCTTCATTGATACTTGCATACAATGTTGGACCCGAAAAAGGTCCGAAGACTCTGAAAAAAGGGAGGGAAAAAAATACTACATATGTCTCCGTACAATTGTTTCACCTCTCTCTCTCTCTCTTACGTCTTGCCCTATATAGGAAAGGTCAATGCGCCGAGAAATGGGGCAGGCACGCCATTTCAAGCTTTAGGCCCTTAACTACCTAGGTATTAACCGATGAACTGCCATTAGCGCACATACATGTCATCCGGATATCCTCCGAGGAAATTTAACAGGTAAAATGTACATATATTATACAACCCAACCTTACTCCGTACATCGATGCCCAGATCATTGTATCCTATGGGATATCTTCCCCGATATCGCCCCAGGAAAAATGGGTCGGAACGGAGGAGACTCTAAAGAGCTCCGGGCCGACTTGGACAAGGCCCGAGAATTCTAAGTCTAGAATAGCTAGGCCCACTTTTAGTGTGATAGGTGCCACATCTGAGCTGGCATGGACTGTGCATACGGAGTACTGACTGCGGGAAACATGGGATTTGGGGTCTCGTGCTACATCTGTCTAGGTATATTCAGAGCATGGTGAACTGGATGATATATATACAATACTTATGTGTAGCAGGGAAAAAGACTAACTACATAAACTTAGAATCCTTCGAGATCCTTGTAACCCCACAACTTATCCTTGATACCGAAACATAATAACGTACCTCACGCGACCTCCTTGATTGAAGCGTTTAGGCTTACTTAGATTGTGAGAGATCAACGTTTGATATCTTTAACCGTGCCAAGCATCTAACGCCCGGTAGATGCCTTGGACGCTTGGCACATTAGTGCTTCGGAAGTGGGCTTGGCGATGTTGGAGCTAGTCACTCGGGGATTGGGGTCGGTTTAATATTCAATGCAGGTCTGGATATTTTATATTGCGGATTGGCGTGGAATCGTTTGAGTATCTTTGTAAGAGAACGGTGTGGAGGATTCACTTTCAAGATTAAGCTAATTACTGTATGAATCATTCACGAAATATATATATTTTTGTCATTCAAATATAACACGCGAGGGCTAAACTGAAGTCGTCATTGCTTGAAATAAACCAAAAAAAGAAAAGAAAAGAAAAGAAAAAGCCTACGCGATAGTCTCCTTCGCAGCGCTAAAATCCCAATCCTCCCGAATCAGGTCCGCCGCCTTCTCCGCAATAGCGTAAACAGTACTGACAATATTTCCAGAAACATTATTCGGCAACACCGACGCATCCACAACACGCAGTCCCTCAACGCCCTTCACTCTCAATCTAGCATCCAACGCAGCTCCCATAGCAACAGACCCGCTGATATGATACTCACCTACAACGAGGTTATGCACTGCTTCTCGGGCGGCATCCATGTCCTGCAAGTTGACATTGGGATCCGGAAAAGCACGCCGTAGGAATGAAGATTTCACGCGTTCTGATTCCGTGACTTTATCACACCAGCGCAGGAACGCGGCCAGGAGGGAGATGTCTGCTGGATGGCCGCCGTAGTTTGGGTTGACGATAGGGTGTTTGGTTGGGTCTGCATTTAATAGTAAGTCGATTGGACCTAGAAGGGTTTTGTCTTTGGCTGTAACTCACCTGCGCTCTCAATATGGATAGACCCTCTAGACACGGGGTATTGCAGACAAGCCGCCAAGGTCACACCACCCGGCTGATCAGCCGAGCGCGGTAGAATTATATTGCCCTGATGGCCTATGGCGTCCGGGTTCATGGAACCTGGCACGGTAACGAATTGCATATTGGCGGAGTGGCCATCCTTGAGGTTCGCGATAGTCTGTTCCAGCTGTTTCGCGTGGAACGCGCTATTCGGCTTGATATCACGAATACTCTGGATGATCTCTGCCAGCTCTGTCTCGGAGAGGATTGCCTTTGCCGGGAAGAACCCCTGCATGCTGGAGACGGCGGTCAGTGGCCCGCTGCCAGTTTCGGCATACTGTTTTTGGGCAGCTGCCATTGCCTCGGGCACTTGGGACAGGGTGTCTCAGTGTCATGATGCCGGGTTGGACCTCCATCACGATGAAGCTGAGGGCGTGGTCTATGACATTTCCGCCGACAGCGCTGTTGGCGACCTTGCACTCGACGCCGGCGGCTTTGAGGACCTCCGGGTCACCGATTCCCGATAGCTCGAGGATCTGGGGGCTTTGGATTGTCCCGCCGCTGACGATTACTTCGCGCCGTGCTGAGACTTGGTACTCGACTCCCTCGTGTGTGAGGCTTACGCCGGTGGCCTTGTTACCGTCTAGTACGACGCGGTTGACGAGGGCCTCGCAGAGGACTTTGAGGTTTGGGCGAGTGGCGCGGTTCTCTTCATAGTATCCTCGTGCAGCATAGCTGCGCTTACCCTTGTTCGGGCCGGTTCGAATGACTGCGCCGAGGGTATGGTAGAAGCCGATGTGGTCGCCGCTCCATGGGTCATGGGGCTTGTTTGTGATGCCGGTTACGTCCTCGCAGGCTTTGATGATATCATTCTCCACTGGCAAGATTGAATCATTGAAGCCGGTGCGAATGGGTCCGCTCGTGCCGTGGAACTCGCCTACAAGTGGCATCGTGGAGCGATCGGTGATGGACGGGTCGATTGGCTCGAGGGTCTGTTCATTTGGTCAGTTTTTCGACTGGAAAAGCACCAGATCGGACAATGTAAACAATAGGATCGTACCTGATGTTTTCGCATATAGTGCTGCATATGTTCCCGGTCCACCCATCGTCCTCTACCAGCTCCGCCCAGTTGTCATAATCCTTAGTCGATCCCCTCACGTACATCATATAGTTGATGCCGCTGGATCCACCGAGGAGCTTTCCCCGCGGGATATGGTGAGCCACGCCGCGGTTGCCTTCCTATAACCACAGGAAATAAGCTGACGAATTGAGAGCAGATGGATGCAGTGAATAAGATTACCTGTGGCACCGAATATACACACCAATCATACTCCGGATTCTCGAACATCTGTGGGAAGGCCGCAGGAGTATCTACCAGCGGATCTCCAATGCGATACTTGCCAGCCTCAATGACGCCGACGGTTACAGCGGGGTTTTCGCTGAGGCGTACTGCGAGAGAGAGTCCTGCAGTTCCGCCGCCGCAGATGACGTAGTCGAATGTGGTGCGGGTGAACTCTTCGATTGCGCAGGTTGGATTTTCGGCCATTGTGTGAGTGTTTAGATTGCTTTAGATTGGAAGAGTGGAATTGGGGAGATCTACAACTTAAATAACATTGGAAGCACAAGAGGGGTAATGCATACATCAATAGGTACCAACCTTGGAAACTCGGGTTGGACCAGCTGCGGGGGTTCGGTCTTATACCAAGACGGCCTAAAACATACTAAAATATAACAAAACATACTAAAAGAGACTATAAGGCGTCCATCTAGTCAGACCTAATGAGGCTTAGAGGCGGACCTCGGAGGAATGTCAACATTGATTGCGGGGAAGAGCCCTATATTGTACTTGTATTGTCCTTAAATATTCGACACCATTCCCATCGCCGTCCTCAAACTCCTTTTTTTCTTGATTGAACTGGACAAGTATACTCCACAACATCTACGACAGCCGGGAAGATAAATGAGAAAATTCCTAAGGTCCGTTGCCAGCCGCATACAGCTGCATGGAGACGCCCGCTATTGCCCGCTAGAGCCCCTTTCATTTCACCGTGCATATATTGTAGGATCAGCGGCCACCGCGTGGGTCGCAACACTGCAGATCATTCCCACCGGTAACTCCTTCGGCTTTCTGAATTGAGTTGTTGATCCCGTCAAAGTGGAACATACCGCTAGGCATACTTTTATAGATGTGAAGTTGCTGCCCCCCCCACCCCACCCACCAAGTATATCGTTGGTAGATGCCATTTTAATGTTGGTGTTACAGCTGACGAAGCCTTGGAAGCCCCAATCGCGCCGTGCCGTTTGCAATATCGAACCCGCCTTGTTGCGGTTCATACACATGGTCTAGTCGTAACCTGGTATGGAGAACCCGCTGGCCTAAGAACATCTTGGCCATCTGAACGACATTGGCCTAGCTAAGGATGCCCGTTAGCGGCTATTCCCAGTCCGACCAGCCGAGAAGAAAGGAGTCGTGTACAATGTTGTATTTGTGTAAATCGCTTCAGAATGCTATATGTACAATGTGTTAGTCCCAAGTGGCCTGACCGACCCTACCACGGGTCTTGCATGCGCAGGTATGTTCCATATTCAAAGATAATCCAGTCAAAACCCCAATACTCAAAGCCCCATCTTCCTCTGCACCCAACCGAGAGCACTCTGCCACCTCGGATCCCCTAACCTCAAAGCATTAAACAGCTCCGAGACTAGCACTCTACCCGCATCCCGCGCCCACCACCGCAGCCCATCAAGCTCCCTCAACAACACCCCCCAGTACATAAGAATTAACAACGAAAACGGCTGCCGACACCGGAGGCTATCAACAAAGCCCTTCTCGACCGCCGCAAGCCAAGCAAAAGCCGGCGCCGGATCTGCCGAGCGTGCAAACTTGGCATAACAATGCCTCAGATGAGCAATAACAGTTTTATTAATGCGATGCTGCTCCGAGTAGACCCCTACCATAACCTGATCATTCAAGTCTGACAGGTGCGTCAGCGCAGCCTCCGTATCCGGATCAAGCTCGGCAGGCGTGTTCTTCCAAAACTCGCCCTGCGAGAATAACTCTAGCTTAATCCAGGACTTGCTGACTTGCAGGATCTTCTTAACACCCTGTAGTAGCTCGAATAGTACCACAATGTTCTCTGTGGTACTGGCGCGCTCATCTTTCATTCCCGTTAGTTGGGGCGACGCGATACCGATCGCGATCATGACGATCGAGTGCGCGAATACCGCGTCGCAGTTGTGCGGCGTGATACTATCGATCGCGTTGCGGAATGGCGTCAGGCTGCGGTTGTAGTACTGTAGCCCTGCTTCGTAGTACATGAGTGCTACTTCTGATGGCTCGCAGGATGTTGCAATGTGCATTGAGGCTAGCGCCAAGATCCCGTTCATCAGGTAGTCATGCTTGAAGGCAAGTGTCGGGACGGTTATTTGCCAAATTTGTATTTCTGAATCGCTGATGCAGAGACTTTTGTATGTCTCTGTTGCAAACTTATGCATTAGTTCTAGGTTGTTGATGCCGAATGAGTTTGTTTCGGCCGGTGCCGGGACTGGGATTGTTGCAACGGCTGGACCGGGCACCGCTGCTACGGGCGAGCCATGGCCATCTAGAGACCGCGGTACGTCGGACTTTGAGCTGGGTGGGGTAATATGGGTCGCAGCGCGACGGGCGGCGACTTTCAAATATGTGCATTTTAACTCGCGGGTTGTGCAGTTCGAACATGGTGGGCCCATCTCGTCACATTTGACCCGCCTGGTTCTGCATTGGTCGCACCCGTTGCGGGATTTGGTATGTGCGCGAAGAGGAGGCATGTGCAAAGTTAATTGACATATTGCGGAGCCTAATCATGAAGATGGTACGACAGAAATGATCTGAGATGTTGACATGGATGTTCTCCCGTATCATGTGACTCGGTTCTAGAACAATCTTGGAAGTATGTGTCGAGTTGAGCCTTCACATGATATGTCGGAAATCTAGGTATGTTGGCCAAAATTGGCATTGTATTATGTGCATGGCGCATGTGTTCATGGGGAAAGCAACAATATATCTATCCATAGGTTTAGACATTATTGCCAACGTACTAGCAGACGGGGACAATCCCCCCAGGTTAAATACTACTAAGGTTGGATTATCATGTGACGTCAGGCAAAACTGTCTACACTGTAGGCCTCGATGGATTCTATATCTTTTCCGTATATGTGCACAATAATTTTCGGAACGGCCAGTTGAACGTCAATACCAAAAATAATGGGGAACTCATCTGCACAGGTTTCTTCACGTGCAGTGGGAAATTTGACTCGGATTTAGCAACTCTTCTTTTCTTTCAACAGTTGCTCGTTAGTGATTAGTAGTCAGTAATGAGCCAGTGACTACTATGATTTCTGCAGGCGTACGCGCCTTTCATCCAACCCCAGAAGAAGACCCTGAGCGCGAGCGAATCCGCGATTTGTCAAGGTTTGTTAACGGCCAGTATCCCTGCTTCACTCATCACCACTGATCATTGCCATAACATATACTGCTTTACAGTGGCAAGACCATTCCCATCACCTGGTGCGACGCCTTCGGATGAAGATACGCCCGTAGGGTGCGAGCTAGCAAAGGACATTACCCTCAACGCACTCGCCCAGCTCGGTGTCTTCCGCTTCAATGCCAATCGCAGCTTTGTGTCCATAATTGACGGCGATATTCAGTGCCCAGATGACGGGCATGACGGGCTCAGTATCGCTACGAGACAAGAACTGTCACAAACCAGGAGATGGTATCTATCCTGGAGCACGGTCGCTGGACCTGATCTGGGGCGTATGTCCCCATACCGTCCGCTTGTTCACAGGCCGGGGAACGGAAGGCATCAATACCAGCAATGTGACCGCCAATCGAACACGCTATATTATCCGAGATCTCACCCTGGAGGATAGCTTCATGGACCGACTTTATGTCCGAGAGTGGCCGCACATGCGCTTCTACGCAGAGGTGCCTCTGTTCAGCGCATCTGGATACGTTCTGGGCTCTTATTGCATTATCGATGACAAACCTTGGACGTACTTTGGAGGCGACCAGGTCAATGACCTCCAGGAAGTGGCGGATGCTATCGGACTGCATCTGGAGAACGTACGCATGATAAAGACCATGCAGACTTTGATCCTAAAGAGGCCTCTAATCATGGCCGTCTTTAGTCTAGTGTCCATGCAGCAAATCACCTACCACATGAAAGTGCGGCCACCACTGCGGACGCTGACGACTCAGTCACCACCCCGGATCTTGATGTGCCATTGGGTCACGCTGTTCAATGCGTTTCTCCCGAATCACCACCATCGTCTTCCTCGACGGTCGCCGGGGGAGAATCTGTGTTTTTCTTGCAGGATCAACACTGCATGACCGAGTCTTCATCACTGAACTCGGGTTACTCAGATCGACCAGTGGTGCTGAGCCCTGGCGAAGGAAAGTCGATGGGCGAAGTACTCAAGTCAGGAGACACCGGTGCACCCCGGGGTATTGATCAGGGCTTCTCGAAGTTATCGTTGACCGAGATCATGCCCATATATGAACGCATTGCATCGATCTATTCGCGTGCAAGTGCGTTGCTCCGGGATTCCATGGATCTAGACGGGAGTTGCATTTCTCGATGCTTGTCCAACTGATTTTGCCTTGTGGGTGCGTCGATCAAACGGAGACTTGGATGATTCAGTCCCTTCCAGGTGCCTGGAGAAGAATCGTGATGAACTTCTCGGCAATGCGGGAAGTGGACCACAGCTGGCTTCATCGAAATAGCGTTATCAGAGGCCAGGGACCGATCGGACTCCCAACCACCCATTGTGCACCTCTCCATCACTGATACCGGCTGTGGGATCGCGCCCGATTTCATCACTGTTTGCCTCATTCTCTCAGGAAGATCCGCTCTCTGAGGGCGTCGGGCTGGGCCTGAGCATGGTACAGCAATTGGTGATGTCGCTCGGGGGGGGGGGGGCATATCAACGTGAGGAGCGAGATAGGTATTGGGACTCAGGCTGACGTCTATATCCCGGTTCAATACCTGCCGGCTAGTCGTGATCCAGCGGATAGCGCGGCCCAGGCAACTACCCAGCCAGGAACCACCCCAATGCATGCCTGCCTGGTAGGCTTCAATGGTTATCCTGACCTCACAGAGGTACACACTGTCGAAGGCAAGCGAAATCTTTCCATTCAAAGTTCACTCGCAAACATCTTCATGACAAAGATGAAGTGGAATATCTCTCTGGCTGCCTCCATCGAGAAGGCTCATGGTCAAGTCATTGCCATTGAGGAAGAACTCCTCAGACGAACTATGGATGAAAGCGATCAACTTGTCTCCGAAATGGCGGCTCAGAATGGCTTTGACTTCTTCATCGTGCTGAGCGGCAATGTCCCAATCATACTCGACAGCCTCTCTGTCAATATCATCCGCATTGCCCAGCCGTAGGTTACAATTTATTAACATTTTGGTATACAAACTAATAATTTGCAGATTCGGACCACAGAATATTTACGAAGCCGTCGAAAAGATCATGAAGTGGCGCGAGGGCCAAATACAACCCGTATCCCCTGCGCCCGACGCTACTTTCTCACTCGTGTCTCCGCAGACACAAACAGAAAGCAGTCCAGACTACTCAGGCTCGGATCTGTATGATAGAGGGAAGCCCGCGGATTCAAACGAAGCAATGAGCTCACCGGAAGGATCAACAGCTCCACCCCGACCATCCAGCAAGCAAGCACTGGCTCATGTGCTCATCGTGGACGATAATGAGATTAATGTCAAGCTACTGTCCTAGGCCGCTTAACAAGCCCGGTTCGAACCCACTAACATAAATCCTAGATTATGACCACCTTCATGCGCAAAATAAACTGCAGCTACGACAGAACCCACAACGGCCTCGTCGCACTGGAGAAATACAAATCTTCCAACCTTCGCTACGATTTCGTGCTGATGGATGTTTCAATGCCAGTTATGGACGGCCTCGTCTCAACAAGCAAGATCCGCGAATTCGAACGCGAACATAACATCAGACCTTCTTGCATCATGGCTGTGACTGAAGTCTCCTCCGCAGGTTGGATTCTCTTCGGGTTTGATGTGTATATAGAACGAATAGAACATAAACATTGCGTTTGACCTCCTGGCTCAAATTCATATTTTGACTGGACTCTGCTCGAGTAACCTCGGCCCTCAACCACGTAAATGTATAACGTAAGTTTGATGAATGTGAGGTGAGACACGCCAAGGACCCCAATCCCCGGATTTCACAAGTTCAATGATCCCTGGAGTGCTGAATGCGAATCATATGCCGCGGATCTCTCTGCTCCGTCTTGGCCTTGCCAATGCTTACCCCGCGCCCATCGTTGATCATGCATGTTCCAGATGTTGTACATTATTGGAAAAAGCTCAAAATGCACTACATACTTGCTGCTTCGACAGCAGGTTCATGAAGTGGGATGCATAAAGTGGAGTATAAACGTACACCGGCGAGGGTTACCCCCGAGTATCACGATCTCGTCTCATTTAGCGCGTTAGGATTTATAATTTAAATATAGTTCTAAAAATGACAAGCTGTCTCACGTCGCTCAAGTCGAGTGCATCCGGAGCCTATCGCAGTGTTGCATTGGGGTTGGGGTGTTGAGATCCCATCTTTGTATGTCGCATTGGAGGAGTTGAAGTCCAATCAATATGTGTTGCAAGGGCTGTGAGTCGCTCGGGCTTTTCGTCGCGATTGGCATGGGTCGAGTTCAGTGGCGATCGATCTTCTCTAGAATGAGCAACACTGCCTTGTCGCCGTGTCCCTTTACATAGTCTATAAGCTCATCGTTGACTACCTTCACCAGACCCTCCGCCACCAATTTCTCAACCTCAGCTTTGAACCCTCCGGGCACCCAGATCTCTTCCAGAATCGTGGAGACAACGACACCCTTGTGCTTAGTGACGCGCACAAGTTCACGCAGGGCAGGGTCTGGTCCAACGTGGCCAAGTGTGAAAGTACCCACGCAGGACACGAGGTCGTATGTTCCGTCCGTCTTGTCGATCGGTCGGTTCATGTCTGCCACTGTGAGATCTCGGTAGATGCCGGTCTTTCTTGCGATGGAAAGCATGGCGGGAGATAGGTCGATGCCATCGATTGCTTTGGCCTGGGCCATTGCAAGAGCCACTCCCACCAGCCCGGTCCCGCAACCGGCATCCAGTATCACGCTGTTTGTGGCGCCGTTGGAGAGCCCGTATTTGATGGCGGCTTGAGCGACAAGCATGGGTGCAACGTACTCTTGAGCACTGTCTCCAACCTCGTCGTCATATGAGGCGGCCCATTTGTCGTACAAGGCCATGCAGTCTTCAGTGCTGCCGCTGGCACGGGCTTGACTGAGGTATAGTTCGGTAGCCGAGCTTGAGGCCTTGGCTTGGATGGGAGCTGGGGCCAACATCGTATGGAGTTGAGGTTGGTTTCTGAAGAAGGGGCTTTGTTAAATATCTAGGAAGTCGGGATATTGCGTGTTCTCGCGCGGTATTCTTGGTTATTTCTGACCTAGGAGATTAGAATCGGGCGAGTGGGAATCCATTTCCCATCTGCCGACGCCCTTCTTATAGGAATTGTGAGCTGCCGATCATTGCAGACATTGGCTGGACATAGGCCGGGATTAATGGCGTGATGCGGGGTTATTGATGAATGGACCTAAAAGAGTGAACTTTGGCCGATCGATGATGTCGGTGGAACATAGTTTCGAGTATGTTGAGCCTGGGCCTGAGCATGATGCATGTTCCTGCGCTAAGTATGTACCCCTCCAGGCTGTTGCCTGGCTCCCGAGGTGAATAAAAACACCTCTATTTTATCCAATTCATCCGGCAGATCGGAAATAAAAACACGAATTCAAGTAGCGAGCATCACTATCGACTTGACGTTCTGACTTGAGTCGTACGGAAAGACTGGAGAATCAATTGAGCGAATTGGATGTCCACGTCTCACGGACCTTTGTTTTCTCCCTGGAGCACAATTCCCCGCCAGTGAGCCCATGCCAAGGCGGTTTTTGCTTGGCCAATCATCAGATCTGGTCTGAACATGCAACCTGTTCTCATCCAGATGTCCCCCATCAATCAAGATTAGATTGACTTGGATGAGCCCCACCGGGCTTACCACTAAAGTGCCGATCCATTTCCTAGATAGGGTTGGATCCATCTTAGCCTCAATTTATTCCCAGGTCGGGGTACGGAGAAATGGGGCAGGGAGCTGTAGAGTGATCAACCTCATCTTTCTCGTCTGTGCTCTTTGTGTGCCCCGATGCATAATTGCAAGGTGGTGATTGGGTATTGCTTTTCCCAGTAGGTTTCGATGCCAGCATTACATCCCATTCGATCCAATAGCAGTGTAGTGCCGGGTCGGAAGTGAGAGTGAGAATAATAATTTGCCGCGGTAGCCAGCGAAGATGCACTGATGGTCAGTGACAAATTCCACTCTCTCGGACTCCGCTGTGCATTGCATGTGCAGATCACGTGGATAGTTATCGTCTTTCCCTTGTCGCCTTGATCCTAAGGCTTCCAAGGTTCATGGCACCTTCCCTTTTTGGGGATTTAGCTACTCTCCAGGTGGAGTTGGGATTCAGAGAAAATTAACTCCAGGGCTATATGTTCAGGTTATGTAAATGTACATATGGCAGAGTATGTGACTGAATATTGAAACAGAGGTAATCGACGACCAGCAACTTTTCAAGCTGGAAAACACGTAGCAGTTGACAGGTCATGGGTGTGGTGGGTGTAGATGGCTATAGTCAGTTAACGTATTCGGTAAGCGAGCCGCCACTGTAAGCGAGCCGCCACCCAACAACCATAGATAGTTTTTAAATGCATTTATCTCAACCAAAACGCCATTAAATTAAATTTAAAAAAATCATCATCTATCTGGACATGCATCTCTCCTATGACCCTGATTTTTACATAGCCCGCATGTTGGTAATACTCTCGTTCGTGGCTGTAAAGGTGGCGAAGGCCTTCTTAGCCGGGGGGGGATAGGTGTTTCAACTGCTTCCACCGGCTGCATAATTAATACAGATGCTTCTTAAACTAAGAGGCCTTCTATAGCTAGTATCTGCTTCCTAGATCTAGCACGCTTTTACTTTTTCTTCTCATTTTTAGCGCGTAAATCGCTCACTTCTTTTCTCTAGTAGTGCGGCGGATTATATCGTGATCTAGCAGGCTTTTAAAACCTAGTTTATAGCGGAATTGAGCGGGCTCGGGGGGCTTCTTAATCTTATACGAAGTAATACTTTGATTAACGAAGCTTATTTTTGTAATTATATATAGTTCGAGGGCGTTTTCGGATCCTAATCACTACCCCGGCTAGAGGGGGGTAGGGGTAGTAAGCCGGATATTAAGCTTCGAAATCACTTTCTCCGGTATAAAAAGAATTAAACTAGCAGATTGAAAGCTATTTTTAATAGTCCTAGATTTAAAAGCTTCCATTCGTATAATAGGATATACTTCGAGAAAATCCAATTTATTAATATAATTTAATCCGTACCGCATTTTTATTTTAACCATCCGGCCGTACGAGCGTTTTAATACTGTAAAACAGCCTATATCTAAAGGCTATAAAAGGTAAGAAGAATATAGAGGCATACTAATCGGTATGATTTTATTTTCTTTATAGATTTTATCGAACTTCGGGGTTAAATGACTTCTATAGCCGTCGAGTATTAAAAGCCGATACCCCCCCTTTATACGCGAAGAAGTAGTAGGAATAAAGAGCTTTTTAAGCTAGCGAAGTCCAATTTTATTAGAGGTCCATCTATTAGGACTAACCTTAAATCGCTAATCCTCTAGGAGGCTATCGAACTAGGATTTAATAAAGACTTTACCTTTAAAAATCATATATAGAGGGAGGACCTAACTAGTAGCATTCGTACACTTAATAACCGTCACCTATTCTCGATTTCTAGGTTATAAAAGTGCTCGCCGACTATAGTATTTACTTCTCGAAATTACTCTTATAGTAGCAGTTAAGCCTATAGTAAAACCGGTCTTATCAAAGTTATAAATATCGTCCGGGTCGATCCCAAATTAAAGGATAGTTTTTTAAATAAGATCAAACCACTCTCTAATAACCTTCGGGTCTTCGCATTTCGCACGCTTATAGTTATACCGTTTTAAAAACCGAGAGGATAGGAGAGGACGTCTTTTTATAAAATTATATACCTATTTTTTACCGATAGAAAGAACCGGGGTAGTTCCGCGCTTTTCGAGAAGAAGATTCGCTATTTCTCGTACTATAGAGGGCCAGGGAGCTAATCCTCGAGCATCTATAGAGAGAATCCATTTTTAAAGAGATTCCTCTTCAATTTCTATCAATTTACACGAATTTGCGCGTGTAATTCCTCGTTAAGTATGGCTATTAAGGCGGTCGCGTAATATTAAACGCGGGACTTTATAAATGCGAGCAGCGGAAGCAACAGATATGATATCTCCATTTTTTAAAGCCTAGATAGCTAACAAGATACTACCCTCTTACTCTACTAAATTTACAGAGGATTGAGAGCGAATTGGTGGCATAGTGGGTGGTTGAATTAACTAAGTGCTAGTTCATGGACGCGTTTTGGATGGGGTGGCGGCTCGCTTACAGTGGCGGCTCGCTTACCGAATACGTTAGACTGTGAAGACTTAATGCCTTGAAGTTTAGGCCACCTAGGAATTACACTTTGAGTTTAACTAGCTTGCCCTCCAGTATAATGATTCTCTTCTCCTCTCAATACAATCCTGAAATATTCCGCCCATGAGACCCTGTCACGTCGCGAAAATTATGCCCGGGCAAACCCATGCCAAATGCCGTACGGACTGCATTTCCCCAATCCATTCGTCTCATTTCATCGGATTTGTGCGAAATATGATGACAGCGTCTCAAGCTATGGTCTATTGACTGTCCTGTTAGTGGTACCATCTCTAATGCCTTCTTCAGGGGCATGACCAAAAGATCTTTCTCATGTCTTTCTTGACACCCCTATGAACCGATCAACAGCAATGAGAATTTGATGGGTCCAAACAACTCGAGGAAAAGTCTCGCTAATGAGACAAGACCTTTCCATCGGTCAGATTTCATCTCCGCTATGGCGACTATATGGGGAAATGCCTCGAATTTTCTTGCCGCCTTGTCGCAAGTCCTTGGTCCTTGCGCCGCCATTATTGCCGTTTCAAATGCTCTTCCAGTTCACAAGTCGAGAATACACACGGGAAATTAGAACACGCAATATTGTTCTGCTTTTGTACAGGACCTTCGAGGTTACGATGGGTTCCTCCAACCGATCTCAGCATAAGCGACGGCATCAAGGTTCGAAATCCAAAATTGTCGACCCCTTCATATCCGATACCGCTTTCTTTAAACTCGAAGTTTCGATTAGGCATGGGTAGTAACTGCGCTCCTGGAGGTATCAAGCAGTCTTGGCGATGAAACACAACTATGGCAAGGGGTACCATTCCTGGTGTACGCAGGGAGTACAACCGAGCACTCGTTATTCGGGCAAAAAGAACTGCATTTTCGTATCAAGATCTACCGATCACGTTTGACTAGTACCCGAGGTCCAATATTCTGCGCACCAGAAGGCAGTACACTTCCCCGACAAGTGCTCCCTCAAGTAGATTAGGGAAATCATAGCTAGGACGGGTTAATGGTCCGAAGCTATACTCTCAGGTTCTATACTCGCTCTACCAGGTGGACAGGAATGCCTTTCTGCCTAATGAACCACGAGTTTGTGAGCTGCCACTCATGGTCGTGACTGGGGAGCGCCATCTGTGTTGCCAATTAGCCAATATGCTGTTAACCCGAAATCCGTGGATACAATTTTAACTTACGTCGAATGTGTTGAAAAGTGTCGCAATCAGCTTGAAGCTTTCCAGCTGCGAGAGATAGCGTCCCAAGCAGGCGCGCGATCCAGCGCCGAATGTGAAATCGGTGCTTTTCATCTTAGAAAAGCGCGCCTGGTATGCCTCTTCCGTTTCCCCTAGGTTCTGAAGCCAACGCTCCGGGATAAATTCATGTGTGTTGGCACCAAAGACCGTCTCGTTCCTGTTGATCACCCATGGATTCATGCCCACAGTAGTCCCTTCAGGCACGAAGCGTCCGTCCGGTAGAGTGAGACCACCTTTCGGGACAATACGCTCGAGCATAAGGCCGACTCCGGGATTAATGCGCATTGATTCACGCATCACCGCTTCAAGGTATTTCAGTGCTTTAATTTCTTTCCACTGAGCGGGAAAGGAGAGATTAGCACCGCGGAGTTCCTCGCAAAGTTTCTGGCACACGCCGGGGTTCTTCAGGACATAGTAAATGGTCGCGCACATGGTGCCTGCTGTCGAGTCACTACCTGCAAGCACATTGGAAAGTAGCCAGAGGATTACAGTGTTGTCATCGACAAGTTCTGGGTTCTTCTGCTTGAGTTGGAGGAACTTAGAAAGGAAATCGCCGCCGTGGTTGCCTTCTTGATAACGTCTGTGGAGTTGTTCAAGACTGAAGATATTGGCCCAGACAAAAGTCGGCGGTCCAATGCGCATGATCGGGTTCTTGTCAAATAGATAGTCCAGAAGAGGGATTTGGCAGATCTGCAGAAGCGTTAGTGTGGATCTTTTTGGTCAACAACCATTTCACCGACTGGAGCAAAGTAATCGAGCGTCTGAGTGGACCTTCTAAGGAAACCCTTGTAGTCACTGCCAGCTTCGAGAATACCAAGGTCTTTCGAGAACGTGACTTGGCTCATAGTATCCCACGCAACTAGGTTGCCAGTCGGTAAGTTTCTATCCCCTTCCGATCGAATGCGAATACTTACAGAAGTTGATCCAATCAGACATCTCGCAGGTCTTACCCGGGCGGACAAACCGCGCTCGGAGCTTCTCACAAAGGAGCTTGATAGTAATGTCTATATTGGTCTCGGCGTCTTGAACCTTGCTCATAGAATATAAGTTCTTGACTGGGCGGATATAAGTCGAGTGCCAACTCTCATTCTGATTCGAAAACAGATTTTTCAATCGGACACCACCGACGACAACGTCATTAACATTGTACATGTTGCTCTATAACATAAATATTAAAACTTCATGTTTTTCCTTTTATTGGAGTGGACTTACCTTAAGCCACGGATTCTTGGTATTATAAACAAGGCTGATCAAGTCGGGATCGGAGAGGCTAAGGACATTTGGACCCATACGAACAGCAGGCCCGTATCTGCGGTGCAGGTTGTTATGTGTAATATCACAACGGCCTTTGGCTACATCTCGCATGCGCCATATGTTTGTGAAACTCGCCAGAGTAGGACCGGGAAAAGAATTCAGCGGGGACCGAAGATAATTCCATAAGAAACGAGAGGCGAAGAGAATCGTCACAAATAGAGCGAGGTTGGTTGTAAGTTCTAGAAGGGTATTCATGATTGTTTGATGCTGTCTGCAAAGAGTGCATAAAATTATCAAGAGGAGGTTGTCAATATCTAGGGCCTTTCTTTTCCCACGCTGACCCTTCAACGAGCTACTAACCGAAGACTCCACATGGGGCCCATCTTTCCCTCATATAAGCCACACAATAGCTCAAGGAGAGAAACCACTAAAAGTGCGGAACGGGGAGAATTGCACAGATAAAATAGTGGACCGAGTGGTGAATGACCCAATTACCAGACCGCAAGGTGCATTAGTGCGCAAACAGTCAGACGGGAAGTTCCGCAGTATGATATGACAGCTGTCACTTGAGACATAGCGCACCTTAGTCTTCAAGTGATCAGCAATGCTGGCCTATCAATCTGAGTAGTTTCGTGTGGGGAAGCCAAAGCGGGGGTGTCTCTTAATTATACCAGTTTTTGTTCGACAGTGAGACACACCTAAATGATTGAAATCAAGATAGATTAATGTGTGTTCAGGCCTATCAACTTCCCTCATCAATAAACCTTTGAAGGTTCCAAGGTTGAACTGGACGTGGGGAGTGTGGAAACCTTGCAAGGCATTTAAGACCCGCACGGGCCGTAGCCGCAGCTGGCCCACCCACGGAACCAATCAACGGTAAGGTTATCTGTAACATTGTGATACGTTGTGATACGGTAAAAATACCTGCGGACCTCCTGATTGTTTAGATACTTACTTCTATATAACACTGCATACATACCTAGGTAGGTACACATCATGACACAAGCTAGTGACAATTTACTACTAGTAGGTACGACTGCCTGAATGCCTAAGGCTTACCGCTCCTGTGTTTGTCGAGACTTGCTTCCTTCGTATATTCTCTTCTCTTTCAATCATCTATGAATTATCCTTCCAAGGTTTCAACTCCCCGTGGCTTTGGCATCACACGCTCACCGTTTTCTCCCCCGATTCTTGATGCAGTTATAACAGTAACCAACCGGAGCGCAAGATGAACGACTCATTCCACTACTTTCCCAAGCTGCCTCTAGAACTACGCCGTCTCATCTGGAAGCACTGTTTACCGCATCGTATAGCAGAAGAAGATGTCCCCTACTTTCTTCTTGACGGCAACGAAGGCAATCAATCCTGCCACGCCCAGCAAATAACCCTCGAAAACGCTCAGCCGCCGGCCATCGCATTCGTCAATAGCGAGGCTCGGCAAGTTGCCTTGGAACAGGGACGCAGGCTAGAACCGCAAGAGACGACTAGCCTGGAGTCAATATGGGTGCAGCCGCGCCGGGATATACTGCATCTTAACTGGGCCCGATTACTCTACAATACCTGGGGAAATGCTGGCGACCCTGACAGTCCAATCACCATGTTCCTGTGGCGGGCGGCGGATCTTGGAATGCAGCCTTCTGTCGTGGCAGATGTTATTCACCCTTTCAACTTCGAGGGACTGTTAACCGGTTCTGATGGTGCTAATGCGTCCGATGACCCGTGGCTTCTCTATCACGACACAAAAAATAAGGACGCGGCCGCCATTGCGTATTGTGGCTTGAGTCAAAGCTGTCTACATGTGACTATGGCTGCGGTTTCCGTGCATATCACTAGGGAAGTGGCCCTGCAGTCTGGCATGGTTGGTTTGTTGGGCGATGCGCCTGTTCAGATGGTTGATGTTGGCGATGAGGCTCGGTTGAGGGAATTTCAAGGATTATTCAAAGAACACGCATTAGAAAGGGAACCAGCCGTGCAAACGCTCTTCGAGACGTTTTCAAGTTGTCGATTCCAAATAGCCGTGGAAAAATGGAAAAGAGAAGCTGAATGGACCATCTTCGCATACATGTGGCAGTCGGCACGAAGGGAAAACCTCGACATTCTTGGAACGAACCCGGGCTCCGCTTGGCTACCTCGCCTGACGGAGCGAGAGTTCATCCGTATGTCTCAGTATTCGCCGAATAAAAAGCATCCGTGGGTTAAACAAGCTAGGCAAAGCGTGCCCAAGCTGAAGCCGCGTATCATGGTGCAATATTGTACCAATCAGTGTTACATAAAGGGGCGACTTCCTGAATATTTCGGGACTTATTAAATGCTGAGTTGCCCTCTTATCACTGCAGGTCTGCTGATAACAGCCCTAGTCTGTGTGCTGATGCCGGTCCTAGTCCAGGCAACTGGACCCACATCCACCATCTGCGCAATCTCGAGAACTGTGATCAAACTGTTTTCTTTAGTTTAAGCATCCAAAACTCCATCTCCGAGAGCAACATGCTCACCATCCGGGCCTGCACGGCCAGCCAAGGTCAGACGTACCAGGCTGTCGTCTCCCCAAGTGTGCCACAGCAGCAAAGCCAACACAACCTCGTTGTTGCTGAAGGTTGCGGCGCCAAGGAGATCAAGGCAGCTTTCACTCCCCAAGTAGCCCATTCGATGCTTAGCAAGGCGTCCGGCGCGACTCCGCATTCTGCTCATGCGACGGAGGCTATTCGTCAACTTGGATTGTTCGTCGGCAGAAGTGCCGAGTGTGGCACCACCATCTTGTTTGCCAAACATAAGTCTGGTGTACTGGCCCTGTATTCGGTCGCACAAATCATCAAGCATACTGCGCGAGACTTTCTTGGTTATTTTGCGGAAAAGCGAGGATCTATCCTGCAGGCTTGCCAGCCTGGTGCTGCAGCTCTGACTGTTGGAGTGGTCTCTGTTGGGTTTGTTGATCTGCCAGCGGCTCAAGATACCATCAAAAGCTGGAACAATGGTTTCTGCCTTGATAAGACCATTCCCACTACTGCCATCAGCTTGGACGTCCTCGTATCTACAGTGGATAAGAGGTCCAACGCCACTGTATCTTCCATGCCAATACGAGCGCCAGACAGCCACGAGCCTTTCTCCCAAGAGGAGATTGAAGAACGGAGGAAGTCCATGCAGGTGACAGTTGCCCCTCACTGGCCACCCGCTGCGGCATTTTAGAACGACGGCAACTACTCTATCGTCAAGTCGTACATTGACAAAGAGTCCGACTCCACTATCATCATGTACGGTAATCCCGGAGCGGTCGATTGGGTGGCCTACATGGACGGCGATCTCCAACCGAATCAACAGGATCAAGGGCCTCAGCTTTGGTGGTTCGACTGACTGGGCTATTGACCTTCACGAGTATTCCCACAATGAGGATGGGGATGACAGCGACGATAAAGCCGGCGAGGACAATCTCACCTGCCGGTCGGATACTAACCCGGGGACCCTGGATGGGCTCATTGATAAAGCGGACTCTCTGGACGCAGGTTGTGTCCATCTCTTTGCGATGGATATTCTATACGAGCAGCTTCTCGACAGCTTGTCTTTGTTCAAAGCCAACTCGAAAGATTACGATGACAAGTTCCGCTGGTATGAGGAGTGGACCAAGGACCAGATCCAACCACGCCTCGACGACTTCATGAAGCCCGGTGATGACAAAGGTCTTCAGTATTTCGACTGTTACTGGTCGTATACTGGCAGGTACGAAAACAAAGACTCGTGCGGGCGGCATGCCCCGCATCTGGAACGCAAGCTTGGGGTGGACCATCCGCTACGACCTCGTGGACAGAAAGGGCTTCTTTGACGCCCTTGGGGCTGAGACTGGCATCGACGAGTAGTGGGTGGCATTTGGCAATAAAACCTTGGATCACATGTGTGCGCTTCCTGGAGATATACGACCAGGCGGCCACGACTTGCCTTGCCGTCCGCTCCTTTGCGAAAAGCTTAATTACCCTCAGAAGGGCCGCGATGAGGATATCCATGTCGGTAATCCCAAGAAGCTCATCGAGGCATCCATGGATAATGTCACAGCTCTAAGGAACTCGCTTTTCTCGTCGTACCTCAGCGTCGGACTGTCCTTCTATGACGACGGACCAAATGATTCCTCAGCCACGGACGCCGTAGTCGCCTACTCCATGCCGGTATTGCAACTCGCCGAAGCCATTGACAGCATGAAGCAGATCAAAAAGATCCGCCAAAATGCCATGGACGCCCACAAGAAGGGACTCATCACGGACATCCTCACCGTCGTCTTCATGGTCATTCCCTTTATTGGCGAGGCTCTTGGCCCCTTGGTCGGCAGTGCAACGTCAATGGCTCGCATTGCGCTTCTGGTAGGCGAAATGGGCAACGGGGGGCTGACAGTGGCGGAGATTGTTGAAGACCCGACATCTGCGCCGTTCGCCATACTGGGTCTGATTGCGGGTGTTGGCAGCGGCACCGGCAAGCTGTCCAGGGCGAGGCCCTGGTAGAGGCTTCTAAGGCGAGGGGCCTATTGAAGGCGAGCGACTTGGCCAAGTTTCCTGAGGGATTTAGGAACAAGGATGCTTTGGTTCAAGCGGTCATAAAGGGGCTGTGTGGGAGGAAGTAGGCGCGGGATGGAGACCAGGCTTTTAAGCACTTTCATTTCGATGAGCATCGCACAATGCTGGTTATTGTCCAAATTGTCTGTAGATTCTGGCCAGGCCTGTAATATATATTGTACAATCCGACTGTCACACAGAATGACACCTCAAAACCTGTTCGTTGCTTTCCTAGGAACTCTTCTGAGTAGATCAAATGGAAACACATGAAGATAAATTTCTTAGGTTACATATTTATCAACCAACATGAGGAATCAATGGAACAGACAGATTCCGGTCACAGACTGAGGTGTGATCAGGTCCAAACTAGGCGCAATATCGCGATCTGCCTATGTGAACAAGAGACCTAACTGTCCATTTCAAGGTTACGTTTGGTGGCCTACGTATAAAGTGACTAGTTCCGGTATTTGAAAAGGAAAAGCGTTACAGAGATGGGATCAAGGCACCTGATGTATATTTAACTTCTTCGTTCCGATTTTCTTTGTTGCTTACCGATAACCCATGTAATCGGAGCATTCCAAGGTTATAGGTACGAAAACGTAAGAAGCTAGACTGATACATCATCGTGATATAGACGATTCAGGTCTCTACACAAGGAATACCGTACGTTTTCCCCTTCCACTGTTCAACACGCCTGACCAACGGCACTAGCCTGTGAACTAGTTATTCTTTACAATTTTAATAAAAAGGTGAAAAGGCTAAGATACTATATTTATGAGTGAAGAGATCATCCTATCCTAGATGTATGCCTTGTTTTGGTAGCAGAATGAGAGCTTGTTGACGCTAGGGTTGTGGTCTCTCTAATAGATGAAGAATTCGGAAATAAAGCAGCATTCACTGTGCGAATTTAATTCTAGGTTTTATCAGCAAGTTTAGCCCTTCGTTGGCCTTTAATCGAGAAGTAATATCTACATATACAGTAACCGTTTCCCAGATGTCATATATACGTAGTGACTACGGACATCAATTCCAGAGAAATTTTCTTCTACCTTCTGCCTTTCAACTATTCTTCCTCTTAATGGTCGACAAAGGCTTCAGGAAACATCTACATACAGAATCAATACAACAATGCCTTTCTGGGACGCGGTTCCTCAGCTCTGTGCAGCTGTGGTAGTTTTGGCAACTGGTCATGTCCTCGGTGAATTCTACCTCGATTGGTGGTATCGTTCCAAAAGTAATGATGCCCCCTCAACCGATTCACTACCGTCTTCACAAAATTTTGGAAATCAAGATCAAACAGACACCAAGAGAGCTCAAGGCTTGGACGTCTAATGGCCGCGCCTAAAGTTACTTCCACTCTCGAATACCACACAGCTACGGCTACGAAAAGTTTCTAATGAAAGAACGATCAGGTCCTTTTTTCAAGTCAAGTGATAGGTGGTGGACCGTAGAGCCGGATTTGTGTCAACCACTTGCATTTGGGGGAAAGGTTCCTGATACTCCAGGGGAACCGAGGCAAAAGAGCGGCGCTAGGGTTTGGTTGACTCCTTGGTGTGGATTTGCAATCCCCAGATAAACCGTACGGGGTAGCGACATAAATTATTTTCTCGGATGTTATCATGTGCCATTATCCATTATTATCTGGAAGCGCTCAAAGCACAATTTCTCGTCTTACAATAACCAGCAACACGTAGGCGAGTGCTTTCAGTCTCCATTGTGGAACAGCATAGATGGGTGTTCTAGAAATGTCCCATTAACTGATGCAACCGTGGACAAAATTGCCAATGCATTAGAGAAGGGATGTCTTATTCCGGACTACTCGCTTCAAGTAGGGCTGCGCTCGGCCCCGGCTGATTCCACGAGGCAGATGAAAATGGAAATTGATGTCTTGGTGTATTTCGCGTAGTTCGCTCGTTTGACCGACGACACGTTGCACTTGGGGCGTGGGGAGGGATCCTTTGGCCTCCAGGCGAGTCAGGACCTACATACTCCGGTGGGCCAAGGCGTCCTTTACGGAGTCAAAAAGGCCATTGTGATCGATGACGTAGCTTTAGCGTGGAGCGCATCCCCAACATCGGAGATTATCTGGAGAGAGTAGCTCGGCGAGGGCTGAAAGGGCCGCTAAGAGGCGCCCTGTCCCCGCAGGGAGCGCCCCACGGAGTTCGATTGGATCTGGACATCGGAAGAGGTGGGCCACGATGTGTGGGAGTGCAACCTATCTGGCCGTCGGCATTGGGGCCAGCGTCAACAGGGCCGAGGCTAAGTCGGGGGATGAAGGGGGCAACTAAGGCGAGTTTCATGTCAGATTCAACAGTATGATTCGCCCCAGGCTCCAAGGGTCCCTTCATTCACAAAGGTTTTACCATAGGGGATGGTGCACGCTCAGTGGCTCATCTAGGGCAAAGGAAGACCTTCTAGTCCCCTTGGCCCACCGGCCTCTCCCGGTTTTTCCCCGTGGAGGCCGTGGAGGCAGTGGAGGGTCGGGCGAGATTCCTCTTGCGGCAGCCTAATAAGTGATCCACACCTATGAGGCAATCAGTGTAGGATTAGACAGTAATCCTAGACAGTAATTAATTATTTTTTGTTGCTTTTTAGTATTCTATTCGAATTAATTTGATCCATTTGACTAATCATCAGTCAATTCCACTAATCCCGTTAGGATGATTTCTTTGAACCCATGTAAAGCAGAACAAATCTAACTTACCATCGTCTACCCCGGATCTCCCTCGATTTTCCATCCCCAGCCCTACCATCCGCGAACGGGTGGCGCATTCTCCTTGGCGAGAGCTTCTTCGCACTTGGCAACGGGCCAATCCGCGGCTGCTGAAACCGAAAAACCTTAAGCCGCTAAGATGACTCCATTCACATGAATGTATGCCGCTAGTCCACTCATAAGGCCCCCGGCCCCCACGGTCGCGACACTTGCCTACGGTATCCAAGCCGCCGTCATGTTTATACTCCACCTCCTCTTACCTAGCGGGACCAACCGATTGAGACCAGTGGATCCCGGGGCCCCTGCTGCCCGCAGACGCAGGAAGCAGACACACACATCTGAAAAGGGTACAAAAGCGTCGCCCACCCCGACAGTCCGTGTCTATTCTTTCTTCGATTTCAGTACCTCCTTATCCTCCCTCGCTTCAGTACCTCGTTACCCTCCCTCGTTTAGTTAGGTAGAGGCAAGCAGCATCTCGATATGTGGACAACCAACTCCGGCCTCCGGGGCAAAAAGCTCCGCTGGGCCATCACCTTCACCTGCGTCGTGGGTTTCTCCTTGTTCGGTTATGACCAGGGTCTGATGTCCGGTATTCTGCAAGGTACATCCTTCGTCGGCGAATTCCCTGTCCTCGATAAAAACCTTCCTGGCAACGATGGGGCACATGTCTCCGTCCTACAAGGCGCTGTCAACTCCTGCTACGAACTGGGCTGTTTCTTCGGTGCTATCTTCACTCTCTGCTTCGGTCAGCGCACTGGCCGTACCCCTTTGTTAGTCACTGGTGGTGCTCTTATGGTGGTCGGTACTGTCCTCTCGACTGCTGCCTTTGGCGAGTCCTGGGGTCTGGGTCAATTCGTGATCGGTCGTGTGATCTCCGGCCTTGGAAACGGTATGGATACCGCCACTATCCCCGTCTGGCAGTCTGAGTGTTCTAAGGCACACAACCGTGGTTTTCTCGTTTGCTTCGAGGGTGCTATTATTGCTGTTGGCACGTTTATTGCCTACTGGGTCGATTTCGGGTTTTCCTACACCGAATCTTCAGTCCAATGGCGATTCCCTGTCGCCTTCCAGATCCTATTCGCTATCTTAGTTATTATCGGCGCTCTTATGCTACCCGAGTCCCCCCGTTGGTTTATCATGCAGGGCATGGATAACGAGGCTCTCCAGGTTATGGCACAGCTTAATGATAGCACCGAGAATGCAGAGGATGTCCTTCGCGATTTTAACCTGATGAAGGCCGACATGAAAGCCACCGAGGCCCAGGAATCCAAATCCAGCGGTAGCTGGAAGACTATCTTCACCTTCGGCAAAACACAAGAGTTCCAGCGTATGATAATAGGTTGCTCCGGCCAGTTCTTCCAGCAATTCACTGGTTGTAACGCAGCTATCTATTATTCTACCCTCCTTTTCGAGAATAACCTTCACATGGAACACAAGATGGCTATGATTGTCGGTGGGGTTTTCTCTACTGTCTACGCCCTTGCTACCATTCCTTCCTTCGTTATGGTTGAGAGGGTTGGTCGTCGTAACCTGTTCCTAATTGGCTTCCTCGGTCAAGGTCTTTCTTTTATTATAACTATGGGTTGCTTGATTGATGAAACCACCGAGAACGCTAAGGGTGCCGCCGTCGGTATCTTCCTATTTATCTGCTTCTTCGCCTTCACTACGCTACCTCTGCCTTGGATCTACCCTCCCGAGATCAATCCTCTTCGCACACGTACTATAGCTGCTTCCGCTTCTACTTGCACCAACTGGATTAACAACTTCGCCGTTGTGATGTTCACCCCCGTCTTCTCTAATCAGAGCTCCTGGGGTCTCTATCTGTTCTTCGCCTTGGTCAACTTCTCCGCTATTCCCTTCGCCTACTTCTTCTACGTTGAGACTGCCGGTCGTGACTTGGAAGAGGTTGACGTCATCTTCGCCAAGGCCCACATTGAAAAGAAGTGGCCTTTCCAGATTGCCCAGCAGCTGCCTAAACTCACTATTGAGCAGATCGGCCAGATGCAGGTCGAGCTTGGCTTGACTACCACCGACCACCATGCCAGTGAGTCCGAGAAGGTAGAGATGGCTACTAGCAGCGGCGAGCACGAGGATAAGCATGCTTCAGATTAGTTTGTTTATGGGTGAAAGGTGATACTAGAAATAGTTCATTGGCTGAAACATAATGGTTTAATGATATCATTGTAGTAAGTGTTGGGCCATTCTATAGATGCTTGTTTGCTGCCAGACTGAGCCTATCTTCATATGATTTTTACCGGGTATATAAACCCGGGATTGCAACTTCTAAAGATCACGATTCTTCCTTCTTGCCTCTCCCCCCCCTAGCCTGTAGTAGCCCAAGAGTAAGGACTTCATCAAAAGGCCCAGCTAATGTCATTTTCTAAACCTGTTGCTGGATGGGTCGGCAGCGCCTGCGGCCAGGACTGAGGAGGTTGTGAGAAGAATATGAATTATTGTTTAAGCTAGCAGCGCGAACTTGTATGGGAATCTAACAGGTATCCATGGATATGTTGTGATGGAACCATGGTTATAATTTGTGGAACCGTGGGATCTTTGACTTTTAAGCCGCTTCTTTTTTCTTCTACATCATTCAAACAGGGATATCATTTAGAATGCAAGGTGTGCAATAAATATCGTTCACAAATAACAAAGCACAATGTAGACAGTCTCTGGTCATCTAGAAGATTTATACACGGTTCAACTCCAGCGGTAGATAACATCTCTATACCCAAGTGTGTCTAGAAAGAGGGAGTCACGGGAGGACCATCAAGCTTGAAGTAACCAGGCTGGAGAGTCTGGTAAACCTCCCTGGGGTCGTACTTCTTTGCAATCTTCTTCAGCTGTGCCTTGTTAGCAGCGCCATATCCAGCGACAGCATCCTGGAATATGCTGGCATAGTTCATATAGACATATTCATTGAAGACGCCGACACTCTTAGCCTCAGCAATGACCTTCTCCATGAACTTGTTGACGAACGCGTAGACAGTTTTGTCATCAGACTCGTTCTTCCACCAGCAGGAGATGTGCAGAAGGTGAACAGGGCCAGGGGGAGCCAGCGAGTCCGAGAGGGTTGCCACCGTGGTTTTTCATGTTGTTCAATATCGGGCTCGGTGATGCCCTGGTAAATGAGTACGGGCTGAACACCGGCAACATTGGCAACATCGGGGATCATCGAATAGAAGAGATTCACCACCCAGTTAGCGAATTTCTCGTCAAGAGCCGCGCTGATGGGCCAATACACCTCGCGAAGGCCGTATGGGTTCTCGGTCTCGAGGTACTTCACATATTCGACAAGGGTCTTGGCACTGGAGTTGTCGGAAATGGCCGAAATATTTCTGTATTGCTTGAAGATTTCAGGGTTGGGGTCGTTCTTAACGTAGGTCAGTTCGGCGGAGGCAAGGTTCATTCCTTGGGTCTGAAGAAAGGCGACATATTGCTGGGCATTGCCGTCAACGGTGGCATTATTGATCACGTTGATCCAAGCGTTGATAACCTGGGGAAACTCGGTCTCGAGGAAGGTCCTAGCACCGCCATACATCTTTGGAGAGGGGATTGTGTACATATTGTACTTGGTGACAAGACCAAAGTTGTTGCCACCACCGCGGAGAGCCCAGTATAGGTCAGGGTAGGAATTTGCACTCGCAGTCACAATCAGACCACTAGCGGCAACGACCTACATGTGATTGTTAATATGCATTTGCCGGTGTGTATGACAGATCGCTAATCTTACCTCGAAGCTCTCAACATTGTCGCAAGACCAGCCGTACAGGTTGGAGTGGTAGGAGATTCCACCACCCAAAACGAAACCGCCAACACCAATGCTAGAAGCACGACCTCCGATAACAGCCAAGCCATAGGGCTCGAGGGCAGCATAAGTAGTGAGCCAATTGTTTCCAGGTTCAATAGATGCGACCGTCTTGTCTGGGTTAAGGGTGACGGCGCTCATATCCTTGAACCAGATACTGATCCCGCCAGGGGCGCTAGAGGCACCGGTAAAGGCAGCATGACCGCCACTGCGAGCAGCAAACTCGCAACCAGTCAAACGGGAAAGCAAAACTGCAGTGCTGACTTCCGTGTTCTTGGTAGGACGGAAAACGCAATGAGGCTGCACCTCTTCTTGCTGCACCGACCAGAACGAGCTAGTGAAGTTGTTGTACCCAGTAGTCTCTTGATCAGAGACTTTAGAGCCAAAAAGGAAGCTCAAACTTGCGCACTAAGGGAAATTTGAAATTAGCAATTACTCAATTCCTGGCCAGATTGCTATTGATGCCGGTTTTTGACTTACAGCAGCTGCACAGGCTTTATCGGTTGACCGTGTCTCAATGGCAGCGAACGACTTCAATGCCGGAATTTGCGACACATCCACACCGAGATCTTGCAACGCGCCAGGGATACTAAAATCGTCGGCTTCAATAACCGGGCTGGTGACGGTGGCCTGGGCCAGGCTCAGTCCGCCAATCGCGGATAACCCGCCAATGAGGGATGAAATCTGCATGTTCCAAAAGCTATCTAAGCAAACCAAAACAGAGCAAACAAACGCGGGATCCAGAAATTGCAAGGACCTGGGAAGGGGAAAAAAGAGAACAAATCCAAGTGGAGGAAACTTATTGTCCTTTATGTTCCTTAGAGGTTAGCTGATCAAAGGCCCTAATCCGATGAGGTCCCCGGAATGGTCCCTAGTATAGGGGTTCTGAGGTGTAATTAAGTAATTAAGGGAGGGGTTCGTGTGATTGGAGCATATTATGACTAGACATTCCAAGGCTGTGTTCGTTTTCGTTAACGAGCACAGCAATTTCGCTTCCAAATGTAAGCGAAGCGGCGCAGCCCGAATGGTTAAGCTAGCCGGAAGCTCATAACAATGGAATTGTGGCTTTTCCTTCTCAGCTCAGCGGCACCGGCGCTTGTTTAGCCGTGCATATCACCGTGGCATACAGAGTAAAGTGATTCCTATCGGCCACAAACTCTTCTTTTCCTTGACTCAGAAGCCAGGCATCTTGAAAAATGCAGTTATGATGAATTTCCTAAGCGAGCGCGACGAAGAACGCCACCGAGACCCCGTGAGTCCGGGGCTTATGCACGCAGCGGTCTAGTTTGAGACAAGGATACGCCCAAACTCAATTCGCAGTCTTAGCCTTCCACGATTGACCAGAATCGGGCGCTTTTTTTTTTCCTTTGAAGATCATATGCAGATAATTCCCGACATTGTTATGCTAGACTACCCCTTAACCCTACCCAAGAAAAATATGCTTCCTTTTCTAAGGCTCCTCCATGTGTGCCACGGCCCGTTATCGGATCCGTGGCCATTCCGGGCCGTTTGGGGGCCGTTTGGGGGCCAATTGGGGCGCAAGGGCCCGGGCTGAGGGGCGGGCCATTCACCCCACCGGTGGCACCGGTGCTATATATTTCTTCTGCGATTGGCCCAGGGCCGGTGGGGCATGCATCTTCAATAATTCCTGCATTGACATTCGAAACAAATGCGTATATTGCTCCTCGTGGAAGTTTTACAATCCCTGTTCAGTCTAAATCTCACACACCTCGAAGGATCTGTGCATGGTGGCTGCAGATGGTGCGCAGCTGTGAATCTTAAACCCAATATTATAGCTGACATGTGCTTATTGAACTCCTGATGGAATGGCTTTATGTATATGGATGGCAGTGGCCCCACGCGGTCCCTGGCGTGGTTTTCTAAAATCCAGTCTCACAAGGGATGGGAGAGGCGATTGCCGGCACATTTGGGAGCAGTACCATTAAAGGTACTGGCATTGCCTTGATTGTACTGACCTCGCTGGTTGTCGGCACTCGTTTTGCTGGTCTTATTCGAAGCCTCAATGACCTCAAGGCTGAAGACTACCTTCTGATTGTCTCTTACATATTCTTCTTGGAGCTGAGCATTCTTTACATCTATATTGCCCCGACTATCTTTCGAATAGCAGCAGTCAGTGCCGGAACGATTCCCCCCTATGCCACCATTTCGGAAGATGGGCTCCGATTACAGACTGTCTTCTTCGTCACGACATCTTCGTTATGGCTTTGCTTGTGGATGGTAAAGTTCTCGCTTATGGCGATGTATAAAAGGCTGTTGGTCGGGAAGAAATATATAATCGCCTGGTGGGTTATCATGGGGTTTTGTGTCCTGGTATGAATTCCCTGTCTCAGCGCGAGTATTTGAATCACTGACGGGATTCTTCTCAGTTTATTATTGGCTGCATTCTCTCTTCGTGGCTATCGTGCTCCAGCTTCCATGCCTGGTTTACTGCTGGCCAATGCGACACACCGCGCGACCATCGGGCGGCTGTTATCAGCTTATATTACGCATACGGGGTGGATATAGTCACTGACCTCGCAAGTAAGTATTGTCCTCCGTGGTCCTTGGAAATCTGTGATCTAATACCTCGCCCAGTCATGATCCTTCCCATCCGCCTCATCTGGAACCTACAGATGAAAACGCGCCAGAAGCTGAGCATCGGCGGGTTATTCTGCTTTGGCTGGATTTGCATAATTGTTTCCACCATCCGAGTCGTCCAGCTAGGTGAAACCGAGAACGGAGTCCCCGCTCCATCATGGCTAGCGCTATGGGGTACCATCGAGGCCTCAATCGGTATGGTTATATTTCCCACTTCTTGCACTTCCACGTTGAATCATTTTACTCACTGTCATTACCCTAGCTGTCATGATCGGTTGTTGTCCCGGCCTCTATCGCGTCCTTAAAAATGCTATCTCGCCCTCCAAGACGTCCTACCCGTATGACTCGTACAACTTGCGGGGCCGGGAAGGCAGTGGTATGCCATCGACCCGCTCCGGTGCATTTGGACGAACCGATATTCCTTTGAATAGCTTTAGAGGGAAGGAAGAATCGTACCAGTCAGCGAGTGCCTACCGCTCTACCAGTCCGTCAAGTAGTCAGGAGAAATTGGCCGATCCTAATGACAGGAGGAATATAATGGTGAACTACGGAGTTGCTGTGACGGTAGAGGATCGGCCGAGTGATTATGGCCAGGCGGCACGGTTTGTGTAACGAGGCATATTTTAAACAAAGTCTACAAAGAATTAATAATTGACAGTTCACATGATGAGTTTATGTCCAGTGCTGTTGCTAGCTACAGATAATTCTCACAATGCTCCATGTTGGTTCAAAACAGTAAATAGGGGGATTGTTTAGGTCCGCATCATCCTCCATCTTGGTATACACACTGTACTTGAGGACAGAGGATCTAGATGAGTACTGAGCAACCAAGAAACTACCGACCTGGGGCATTCTGGTCCAATACCAGATAGGGGATGTATCTTGGTACAACATAGGCATGCCCAATGGGCGGCCAAAATAGTCAGCCCCGGAGCTTGAAAGACAATTGCATTTTGGTGAAGAGCCCCAGTCGCGAGAATGCGCCATATATAGAGAGGAATGCATAGAACGGTATGATTTTGAGCCATGCTCGACCTGGGATATGGCATGGTGGCTTAGAGTGAGGATAGTCTGGTGAGAAGGGTGCGAGATTGAAAGAGTTGATTGGGAAACATTTAATGTATCACAGTCTATTGGGGGGTGATCAACGAGCAGGAACTTCAACTGCACCGCTACCCCAGGATTCTGGGTTCGTGCAATTGGGTCCACTCAAAGCGAGCACCTGTTGCAGGTAGACAGGTAGACATTGGAAGGCGGAAGCCTTGTAGTCATTGTCTGGCCTTTTTGAGGAGGCCATTCAAGCCGAGGTTGCGCATTGGCATCCAGCCTTCCTTTTTATAGAAGGAACTCCTCCTTTCCAATGTTGAGCCCGAACCCACTTTTCGTATTGCTGATTGGGATGTACTGTGTTGCCCGAAAGACTGACTGCCTGTTGCCGTCGTTCCTAAGTCTATGAAACTTTCGCGGAAAATCTAGGTTGGTGGGATCGTGACTAACTAAGGCTAGGTCGCTTATCCTAATAGTCCTAAAAATCCCTATTTAGCGAAGAATAAGGGATTATCTTTATAGGAGTATAGCCAATCGGGCTTAAGATATAACTAAGGGGGTAAAGCGCTTTCCTTTATTAAAGGCTAATAGTGATATCTAGATAGAGGGCTAAGATCTTCTCCGATAGTATACTTTAAGGTCTAAAATATAGCGGGAGGAAACTTTCACTTATAAATTAGGTCTAGACTATAACCTATATTTTAGGGTTCCTTATAGTTATAGCTAGATCTAAAAGAGTGGGGGCAATAGGTATTTAGATCGTTACCTTATTCCCTTCGTTAAATATCTTAGTATCTTATAGAAGTCCTTCTAGTTGATCTCTTACTAAATAAGATATATCGCTAGTAGTTCTTATCTAGTAATAAGAATATAGCTACGAACTAACTAAAAGGGCCTATAGTCGCGTAGGTAAGAGCTATATTTATTATCCTAGATATAACCTATAACGTATATTATAGCTAACTCGATATTTACTATATCGTTTCCTATCGTCCTATACGCCCGGAGGGCAGTCTAATACGATAGTCTTATATATATAGTACGGAGTAGCGGCTTATATAGAGGCCTTTCTATGGACAATACGCGCTTAAGTATAGTCTTCGAGTGACGAGCTTCTCGAGCTCTACCCTATAGGGCTTTCCTAATATATTCTACCTATAGACCTAGAGGGCATTCGTCAGTTCCTAAGGACTGTTGCGGGATACGAAGCTAGCGCAATAACTTACTAGTAATTTCCGGGGCCGGGATCGTAACTGTTAGGATTGTTAACCTTGCCCTAGATAAAGGAGCGAGAGCCAGGTGGAATTCTTCCTAGTTTCCCGAAGACATCTCTGATATCTCTGATATATGCATGGGATGAAAGAACAGGAAGATGAGTAGAGAATGAAGTCTCACACGTCCGGGAGGATAGATGAGGAGTGTTAGAGGTGGAAGCGAAGTGAAAGAAGAGGTAAAGTGAAGTGAAGCAAGAAAGGATGGAAGGCAAAGGGAAGACTCCATGGGCCAACTTGCTCATCGGGCCTAGAAGCTATCATGCAAACAACACAAACAAAGTCGAAAGTAAAGGCGAGATTACTGAACGAATAGGATCTAACAAGTCGTCAAGTCCCTGATGACCTCCTCTCCAACACTGTCCTCGGCTTCGGGAACAGCACGGCGCTTAGCAGCTCCCATTTGGTCATGTTCCCCAGAAGCTATACGGCTGTTCACCGTAGGCGCAGCGATAGCCAAGGTGTCGAAGATTAATGGCCATGGGAAGCTTCATATCGGCGAGGATAACTTAAGGAAAGGCTTAGACTAACGCATGTAAATAACATCAAAGCCTAGAGGTTGTTCTTGCATTTCATTTAAGATACTAAGCACAGAGGGGGACTCTGATCCAAACAATGCAAACAGGGTGTTGTATAGGGCGGTCACACACGGTAGAATCCAGGACCGTCAAGGTCATCGTGAGACAGCCTCTGTTCAGCAGCCGCCCGAAGCCATGGTTGCCGCTCCAAGAGCCCCAGCTTTAGAATTCGCCAATCTCCTCCTTCTGTTATCCTTGTCCATGTAGTTCTCTAACTTCTGTTCATACCGGGCATAGTCTCGCTGGTACTTCTTCTCGTTTTTATATTTTTCTCGACGAGGCGGAGTCGGCATTATGCCATCGAAGAAGCCAGAGCCGAAACACATTTTGGTTCGAGTCAGTTTGTGGTTGGTGGAAGAGTTGGTGTTGGTGGGTTCAATCTTTGCTCGGTACATATGTATACACTGGAGTGGATGAAGGAAAATGGTCTTTGTACCTCTTCAATTTTACTAGGGGTGATCAATTTATATGAATTTGACTAATACCGCCTGCTGTTGCACGAGTCTTCCGTCATAGGGGGCCAAATCATGGCTTTAATACTTTAGGGGCACATGCACTTCGGGTAGCGCCCCAGTTTGAGGCATCAAACATGTCGATCAGGTGGGACTGGAAAACTGGTCATATTAGGGCCGTGGGTAGTAAAGATGCTGTAGAGGCCCTTGATGGTCCCCACTAGACCTCGCAAGGGCCCATGAGCTGTACAAAGAGCAAACATAGAAATACCTATGACTTGCATAACTTGCACGACTTCGCACAGGACTCTTCCTATAAACGTCGGACCTGAAAATTGCCATTTCAAGTTAGCTTTACCCTTTTACGCTTAGCGTCCCAATACGCCGTCACGTAACCTCCCTTCAATGGCCTCCGGGCTTCACGACCGAAAATGCGGAGAATGATTGTGCAGGTTATGTGAAAGTTACAAATCATTGACGCATGAGAGTGAGTGTATTTCGTTTGATATGAGAATTTCGAGGTGGTTGGCCATAAAATCAATGTTCTTCTAATTTCGGACAACTCAGGCGCATATATCCAGCTGATATAGTACTGTCCAAGTATGTGAATGGCCATTGTGTTTACCTACTTACCTACAAAAACGCTAGCAAACACTGCGTTCTAGGTCGAGATCAGAAGTGTTCAATTCCGCGGCTAAACTAGTCCGAGAGCGAAAATATTTGTCTGCGTCGTGTAAACGGGCACCAAGACAAGCTATTCTTTATATATCAAGCTTTTGTGTTCGTAAAACGGACATATATCCCATTTACCTCGTTCCGACCTATATGAACACCACAAGAGCCCCGAGACATATCAAACTGGTCATCCAACCAACCGAGACAACACGCAAGCCAGAATTCGGGACCCACGCAACCAGCGGCTGACCAGGCTGTCGCAGACTCAGCTTTTCCGTGGAATTGTCACTGTCAAACACTCCGGAGAAGGTCACGCGAAACTCAGCAGTCAATTCACGCTTCCCACTACTTGTCACCGCCTCTGCCTTGCCACTCCCCGAAAGCGTCAAGTCGAACGTTGTATTCGTAAAGGAGCCATTCATCGCCAGTCGTTCGGGGGGGGAGTTTCGAACGAGTAACTCAGATCATTCGAACATGACCCCTCAGGAAACCTCAGAAGCCATCGGGGGTCATGATCAAGTCTATCCGGCATTGTCGCGTTAAACCGGACCCTGCCCTGGTCCTGGTCCTGGTCCCCTTGAGCGGGAGCCGGGGCCTCGGAGATAGTCATATTCATCACATCGCTAGCCTCGTTCACCCGCGCATCCCAATTAGCCCATCCATGGGTTGTCGTAATTCTGAACAGGTCCGGGTAACCGGGGCAAGCAATCTGGTTCTTGTCCCACTGGATATAGCTATACGAGTCCGCAATTTCGTCCAGCGGCCTGCGCGATTCCCATGCCTTGAATCCGATTATTATCGGGTTGGTTGGGCCGACAGGGTACGGTGCCTGCGGGCCAATCCAGAGATACCCGAGCATCTGTATAGTATACTCGGTGTCGCGCATGTGCCGGTAACACCTCTCACCCTCGGTGTTTGTGTAGTGGAGGGAGGCTTCGCCCTTGAAGAATGACCCGTCGTAGCTTGTGTCTTCGCCCGAGACACCGCGGGAGGTGTAATTGTTTGCATTACTGGGGATCAGATCCCATTTCCAAATTGTTGGATGTTTTGGCGTGGCGCAGGAATCGGTGCTGCTGCTGCTGCCGCCGCTATTGTCGCCGGAGTAGGAGTCGTCTGAATCTCCGCCTCCGCCACCTCGTTTTGCTTGGACGCCTGATATGCATGTGGAGAACTGGAAAAGGAGGTACGGTAGAAATGAAATCCAAGAGTGCATGGCGATAAGTATCTTACTATACCTCGTCTCTTCTCCTTTTGGTAGTCCTAGTGAACGTCGTTAAAGAAATGGAGAAAGATAAAATCACAGGAACTAAAGAAAGTAGCATCTTGTCAAGAACAGCAACCCTCTCCGTGTTGTATGCCCAGCGAAGAGACCGCTTGCTCACTGCCAAGGCGTTAGCGCAGCAAGAATGCTCTTGATTCTCGTATTCGCGAGATGAAGCCCCGTGGTTTGTTCTGAACCCTCGGCGAATTGGGTGCTGTAGGTAGAGCATGCTTTGCAGCTTGTCGCTTGTATTCAATATAATTATCCCTGTCCGGGAAGTACAAAGCAAAAACAAAACAAAACATACAACAGTGAGGATTCGCTGGTGGTCACCCACCCAACTACTAACTGTTGAATGCCTGAGGCATCACTATGTGATAGATCCTGCATGTTTGATAGCTCTCTCTCCTTTCCTTCTCTTCCTCCTCTCCTCGTGCGAGACAGTCAATCCACACAGTGTTTTCTCCATCGATTCTCTCTCTGTATCGCATCTCTATCACTAACTCACCGGCGTGTGGCTTATATGCGGCCAATAGTTGGGTGGGTGTGGCCTGGGTGAGAAATGGGTGAGCGCCGCTTTACGGTCGCGCGACCGCGGGTGATAAGGGTGAGTGCGCTATAGACTAGGTGAGAAGCTGGGTGAGAAGCGGGTGAGAATCACTCGAGGTAGCGTGACGCCTATACTGACCTCCTTAAGTGATATAGAGCGCGATATGATTGGATTACTAGTTGAACCTAAAACGCCTCGGCCCTTAGCATCTACACATAGCTCCAAAATAAGATATATCTTTAGTTCAATTCGTCGTTATAGCTTTATTACCTTATATAGACTCGCTACGGCCCTTCTAATATATCCATACTAACATATATATCCTAGTGCAAATAGCATATATCAATCAAACTAATTAAATAGGCGAAACACACAAAGCAACTAGTACACCAAAATCTCCTCATCTTTTTCTCCCCCGTCCCTCCATTTTTCAAGCACCTTCTTCATATCCGCCGTGATGATCTGAGCATAGTCAGGCCCGGCGGCCCCGGTAGGCAAATCCGCTGGGTTCCCCTCACCCAAGCAACAGGTTCTTTAGCAATACCCGCGAATTTCTTCTTAAGCTCTTCAACCTGCTGAGGCCCATAGCCGCGACCGAAGATTACCGCGCGAGGAGGCCGGCTGTAATCGTGGGTTCCGATCTCATTAGGGCTTTGAGACTGAGGCTCGCGACCTGCAAGCAGATACGGGAGCTCAGCCTCTGCAGCCTCATATGACAGCATGAAGTGGATGACTAAGGAGCATTAGCACCTTACTTTGTTCATTTCAGGAAGGTATATTAAGAACCTTCATATTCAGGCAGCAGGTGCTGGGAGATTGATTTCCCCATCGCGGGTATTTTGCCGCAGGCAACTACTGGTATCGGCTGGGTGAATGAAGACATATTGCGAGAGCTATACGCTGTACGCTGTACGCTGCGGATGAAGGTATTTCGGAGCTTTGGAGAAGGAGAATTATGGAGTAAGCTGAGGTCGATGATTCGATTTATATTCCTCATTGCGGCGCGCTCGGTCTTGATGAAGAGTTAATGACGTCCGGACGGAGCATGAGAGCCTGTTATCTCCGACTCCAGCCCATTTCAAAACCTTAAACTTTGGGCGTAGTTCGGGCCAACCGTGGCGACCCACCTATTTTTTTGATTAATCAACAGTCCCGACGCCCCAACCCCGATGAGTAAACCAACCCGTCATCACGCGGTACCGGCTATAGTTCTCCTTCTCCTCCTTCTTACACGCTTTGATAGCCGCGGCGCTACACTCTAGGCCATAGGTATTATACCTAAAGCTTGCGAATAAGAGCACGTCGACTCCACGTCCATAGCCCGGCACTAGGGCCTTCCGCCTCTTACCGTCCTAGGCGATAGGCCCGCTAATAGTGCTAGCTCGCTAGACCAGGGTGTCTTCTAGCGCGGGGTTCGGGAAGCCACAATCCTAGGGCAGATTATCACCTTTGTCCTAGAGGGAGGCCCAGCCCTCAACATACTTGTCGCCCTGATATTTGGCAAAATATGCTTAAACATCCTTGGGACTGGTAGGAGTCGTTATGGCTATGGAGTGGTGATGGAGTCGGGGGAAGTTAAGAGGTGCTCGCTCTGGCGTGACAGTGATAAACAGGGTAAAAGATTAGGAATAGTACAGAGTGACCAGAAAATATAGACTGCACAGGGAAGTAAATGATACTGGGTGCACGGCGTCTGTTCTACTTATGCCTCTCGTCACCCGTAATTAAGTATCTTTACGCTGTGATTAGAAGTAATGTTCGATGGGATAACCTCAAGCTCCCACCGCGAACCAATAGTCAGGTGTTGGGTCGAAAATTAATTAGTCTTTACCTGTTTATTCATCATACCAGAGGGAGAGCTGTGGAGAAAAGTGGGGGTTTCTACTACGGTGGCATGGGATTGGCCCAGGCGGAAATCTTGGGCCCCACCGTCCAATTATGCTGCTCTCCATTTGTAGTCACCATTCTTTCCCGACATTGTTTCCCTGAAGGCTTAACTGTCATTGGGGCTGACTACAGCAACCCACACTCACTCAAACCTGCCATGCAAAGTCAGAACGTTATGAGTAGTGGAGACGCAGCCGGGGACCAAAAAGATAAGGTTTTATTTAACTGATGACATCAAAGTTAATGCTGCGCCACCCGAAAATATATCTAAAAATTTCGATGCAAAGGTCTAATGCCAGGGAGTGGTAGTTAGTGGCGGTGGCAAATTGATAATCAAGCCGACAGTTTAGTTAATAGCTTAACTTGAGATCAGACAAAGAAATTCCCATGGAAGAAAGATGAGTATGACCATTGAGGATAAGTGGGTTTAGTCGATCTTCATTAACGCACTGAATTGATTTTTAGTCGTTCGATCATCGTAGCTCGAATGTGATTGATTAGTCCGATCAACTGTCGATCCACGGGACTAGGCATTATAAGGTTAGATCCGCCCAAATGGGGCAGGGGCTCCAGCAATCAAGCCTGGCTAGTCATTGCATCTAGTCCGTAATGAGTTAGTCAGTTAGTTAACTTAACTAGAGCTAGGAATGTATATTAATCAATATTAATCACTCCGAGCGGACATGCCTGATGATTCAACGAAGACGGTTGAACTGACTGTTAGGAAAATCTTAATATACGAGATGTTCAATAATCACCCCATCCGTCAAAAAATGTGCCATGCTCTTCGTTCAACACATTGACAAGGGATGAGACAGAGGGCTTCTTTGGGCTCCGGGCCTTGAGTCGGATTATTAATCGGAAGTTAAGTTATGGTCATATATCTCATTACTTTATTGTTCTTATATCTTGTGCGTGATGTTGCTACTCTACCACCTGCAACTCCAGTCGTCTGATCTCCAACATTTTTTCCCGTCGAAGTTCTTCTGCTGTTAAAGTCTGGCAGATTAGCCAATCCGAAGAACTACAACATGGAGATCAATCGCGACCCCGAGAAAGCGATGTACCAGACGAGTTCGCTCGGAAAGCCCTCCGGACGATCTCCCTCTCCAATGGCGGACCCTATCGTCAACTCCAGCACGGAGCAGTCAGACGACGAATCCGGCCAAAAGCCAGACCCCCGCGACATCTCACAATGGCCCATCACTCCAGATATACTACAAATACGACAACGTAACGAGACCAATGGTGGGAAATCGAAGAAGCTGGGTGTGACATGGCGGAACCTCACAGTAAAGGGCATCAGCAGTGATGCGCTTTACAACGAAAATGTTCTCTCTCAATTCAACCCATTCGGGAAGGGCAGTAAGAGCCCACCCCTGAAGACTATTATTGACAACTCTTCTGGATCCGTCAAACCCGGTGAGATGTTGCTTGTTCTTGGAAATCCAGGAGCCGGGTGCACAACACTGCTTAACGTTCTATCAAACCACAGAAATGGCTTTGCAGAGGTTACTGGCGACGTCTCGTTCGGTTCCATGACCAGTCAAGAAGCCAAACAATATCGTGGTCAGATCATCATGAACACAGAAGAGGAGATCTTCTTCCCAGCTCTTTCAGTTGGTGACACCATCGACTTCGCCACACGTTTGAAGGTGCCCTTCCACCTGCCACCGGATATCAAGAACGAGGAGGAGTACGCCCAAATATACAAAGAATTTCTCTTGAAGTCTCTCGGTATCACACACACAATGGATACCAAGGTCGGAGATGAGTTCATTCGTGGTGTTTCGGGTGGCGAGCGTAAGCGAGTGTCCATTCTCGAATGCCTTGCGACTAGAGGCAGCGTCTTCTCCTGGGATAACTCCACTCGTGGTCTCGACGCGAGCACTGCGCTAGATTGGACGAAAGCCATACGCGCCATGACAGATATTCTTGGTCTCACTACAATTGCCAGTCTGTACCAAGCTGGTAATGGCATCTACGAGCAGTTCGACAAGATTCTGGTTCTCGACAACGGCAAGCAGATCTTTTACGGACCTCGAGATGAAGCTGTGCCATATATGGAGGATCTTGGCTTCCTATGCGACCCTGCAGCTAATAAGTCGGATTTTCTCACAAGCGTATCGGTGGCTGCCGTACGCACAATTGCCCCAGGCTTTAAGGACCGGTTTCCTCGATCAACAGATGAGCTGCTCGCTGCTTATAACAATTCGCCTATCAAACCAAGGATGATGGCCGAGCTCGACTACCCCAATAGCCCCGAAGCTCAGCAGAATACGGCGGACTTCAAAGAACAGGAGACTCAAGACAAGCATAAGAACCTCCCAAAGAAAGCCGCGGAGTCCGCAGGATATTTCCATCAGGTGCAGACTGCTACTATACGCCAATTTCAGATCATCTGGGGCGACAAGCAAACGCTGTTCATCAAGCAAGCCACAACTGTCGTTCAGGCGTTGATCGGTGGCTCACTGTTCTATAATGCTCCGGATAACACGGCGGGCTTGTTTATCAAGGGAGGCTCACTCTTCTTTCTCTCTACTATACCCTACCTTCATCGCTCTCGCCGAGGTTACGGATTCATTCGTTGGCCGACCCGTCTTAGCCAAACACCGAGACTTCGCTCTCCACCATCCATCTGCCTTTGTCTTCGCCCAGGTTATTACCGACATCCCGATCATGCTCTTCCAAATCTCGCACTTTGGAATTGTGCTGTACTTCATGACTGGATTCCAGTACACCGCCCAGGCTTTCTTCATCTTCTGGCTCATCAACTTGATCTCGGCCCTGGCTATGACACAGCTGTTCAGGTTCATCGGTGCCGCTTTCCCGAATTTCGACGCAGCAACTAAAGCTTCTGGATTCACCATCGTCGCTGCCTTCACATATGCAGGATACATGATTCCCAAGCCCGACATGCACCCTTGGTTCGTGTGGTTCTTCTGGATCGACCCCATGGCCTACGCGTTCGAAGCATTGCTCGCGAACGAGTTCCACGACCAGGTGATTCCTTGTGTGGGCCCATTCCTGGTTCCAAATGGCGAAGGATACAGCCCCGAAACAGGGGGCGGACAAGCATGTACCGGCGTCCGTGGTGCGCCTCCTGGAGCAACCAGCGTTACTGGTGACCAATACCTGGCTTCTATGTCCTTGAGCCACAGCAACCTTTGGCGCAACTTTGGCATTCTCTGCGCCTGGTACATTTTCTTCGTGGCAATGACCGTCTTCTTCACTTCCAGGTGGAAGCAGATGGGCGAAGGTGGTCGCGGCCTCCTCATTCCCCGTGAGAAGCAGAAGAAGGTACCTAAGGCCGAGTTTGCGGATGAGGAATCCCAGGTTGTCGAGAAGCGATCCGAGAACTCCAGCTCCGATTTTGAGAAGTCTGACGCAACCATCGACAACCAACTCGTCAACAATACATCGGTCTTTACCTGGAAGAACCTGACTTACACCGTCAAGACGCCGCATGGCGATCGTCTTCTTCTCGACAACGTTCAAGGATTTGTCAAGCCCGGTACGCTCGGTGCTCTTATGGGATCTTCAGGTGTAAGTGCACTAGCAATGCGATTGACAGATGGATATATGCTAACATTTTTACTCAGGCCGGAAAGACTACACTGCTCGACGTTCTAGCTCAACGCAAGACTGACGGTACCATTCATGGCTCCGTTCTAGTCGATGGTCGCCCACTCCCTGTGTCCTTCCAACGATCTGCTGGCTACGTCGAACAGATGGATGTCCACGAGTCATTGTCCACGGTGCGCGAGGCGTTGGAATTCTCTGCTCTTCTTCGTCAGAATCGTGAAACTCCCCGCGAGGAGAAGCTCCGCTATGTGGACGCGATCGTCAAGCTTCTACAGTTGGAAGATCTCGAGCACACCCTCATCGGTCGACCTGGTGCCGGTCTTTCTGTTGAACAGCGCAAGCGTAAGTCTGAATCTGTCGAACAGAGTTGAGACAGACACTAACAACTTATCAGGTCTCACAATTGGTGTTGAGCTTGTAGCTAAGCCCAGTATTTTGATCTTCCTCGACGAACCTACTTCTGGTCTCGATGGCCAAGCTGCAAACAACACGGTACGCTTCTTGCGCAAACTCGCGGAAGTCGGACAGGCTGTCCTCGTCACGATTCATCAGCCATCGGCCGACCTCTTTGCCCGATTCGACACCCTCCTCCTACTGGCGAAGGGTGGCAAGACCGTATACTTTGGCGATATCGGCCATGATGCAAGGACCGTCAAGAAATACTTCGCTGATCATGGCGCACCGTGCCCCCGAGAGGCCAACCCTGCTGAGCACATGATTGAAGTCGTATCAGGAGGTCTTTCTAAGGGTAAGGACTGGAACCAAGTCTGGCTTAACTCGCCAGAACACAAGAAGATCACTCAAGAGCTTGACACTCTTGTCGCCGATGCTTCCGCCAAACCGCCTGGAACTGTCGACGATGGCCATCAATTTGCAGCACCTATGTGGGAGCAGGTAAAGCTTGTCACGCACCGCATGAACATCTCCTTGTTCCGCAACACCGAGTATATCAATAACAAGTTCATCTTGCATATACTTCTATCTCTTTACAACGGCTTTTCGTTCTGGTCGATTGGTAACAGCGTCAGCGATCTCCAGCAACGCCTCTTCACGGTCTTCAGTTTCCTATTTGTCGCCCCCGGTCTCATCTCCCAGCTTCAGCCTATCTTCATCGATCGTCGCAACGTGTATGAGACGCGCGAGAAGAAGAGTAAGACCTACCACTGGGTGCCATTCGTCACTGGCTTGATTGTTTCTGAGCTGCCCTACCTGGTCGTCTGCGGTACGTTGTACTTTGTGTGTTGGTACTGGACTGCTGGATTGCCAAATGATACCAAGTGGGCAGGCAGCACATTCTTCGTCGCAGTAAGTTCTCTCTTCTTTGGTTGGCTCCTCGCTCCAAACTAACAAACCGTCTAGCTGTTTTACGAGTTTTTGTATACCGGTATTGGACAATCGATCGCCGCGTACGCTCCCAATGCAACCTTTGCATCTCTCGTCAACCCGCTGGTAATCACCACCCTCGTATCATTCTGCGGTGTCTTCGTTCCTTACGCACAGATCACGGCGTTCTGGAGATACTGGTAAGCCTCGTACGACAATCAACACCCACGAGATCAATGCTAACATCACATTTTAGGCTCTACTACCTCGATCCCTTCAACTACCTCTTCGGCGCCTTCCTCACCTTCACCACCTTCTCCATCGATATCACTTGCGAGCGGGGCGAGCTTGCGATCTTCGATCCTCCTGCGAACGAGACTTGTGGCGACTATCTCTCCACATATCAGCAGGGCATGGGACGTGGCACGAACCTTCTGAACCCAGGCGCTACGGAGAACTGCGAGGTGTGCCGATACACTACTGGACAAGACTACTTGAGAACACTCAACTTGAACGAAGAGTACTACGGCTGGAGGGATGCGGGGCTGGTTGTATTGTTCGCTGTAGTGTTCTACGCCTTGGTGTTCTTGATGATGAAGTTGCGAACCAAGGCGACGAAGAGGGCGTCTGCGTAGACGAATGGTGGTTGTTGGAAGAGTGAAAGATTGCCAAGAGACCCTACTCGAAGAAGAGTAAAGACGGAGTGCGAAGTTGAGCGCGGACGTGGTACCTTGGGTGTGGTATCGAGGCTGTATAAAGGAAGATTCAGCTCCTAGATCGATTTGCTTTTAAGTTTAGAATGCCCCTATATCGTTAAATAATATTTTAGTAATTGAATTCGGACTAAGAGACGAACCTAAGTAATATCTTTCGCGTTATATCTAGGGTTCGTTATCCTCTATAATAGGGTAGCACCTTAAAACGGTGTAAAGATATACAGTCTGTAGGTGTATGGCCTGTCAACCGGGTAAGATACAATGGCTCTGGGAGGGATCAATGTATTGTCTCTATATGCTAAGACTAATTCTTGTCAGAATTTAGGGGGGGTTCTAGGGGCCTCTAGGATTATAGAATAGATAGTAGGGCCACGAAATAGGGCCGATCATATAACGAACCCCGCTCGCTTCGGCCACACCGTATATCTGACGCACCCATATCAGCTAACCCCGTTTCACAGTTGAAAGGATCTTTATCCTTTACACTATTATAATAAAATATCAAATGGTTAGCTTTTAGAGACTAAGTACGCTATTATTAGTTTATAGGAACTACGAGACAAAAATGATATCGAACCCTAGTCTCACGAATGGATGCCGTGGTTGATAAGAGGAGGGGCGGGGTCGGCCGCTAGTGAGGCTGAGGCAAGCACATCCGATGGAGCGGCTGAAATTGAGGGGCAACGTCACCCGCATGAGGGCTTAATCGCACCAACACCCATTAGGGCAAGGCCTTCTGCCTGGCCTACAAATAATCTTATATTTTTCGATAATTTTCCTCTCGTTAAAAGTATATTGTTCCCCTGCCCCGTGCACTAGGGTCGGGACGGCGCTATGGACCCCCTCACGGCCATCAGCCTTGCCGGGAACATTCTTACATTCATTGACTTTTCTTATAAAATCATTTCCGGAGTAAATAATGTCCTTTCTACTCCGAATGGCATGACCCCGGATAACGAACGTCTGAGTGTTTTGGTGGAAGGTTTGAATGCTGTCACGCAGAACTTGGTCACGGACATCCCCGCCCGGACCGAAAACGAAAAGCAGCTCTGCGCCTTGGCTACCAACTGCCATTCCTTGTCCGGAGAGCTCTATCAAATCCTCGGACGTTTGAAAGTGGGAGATAAGAAATCGAAATGGGAGGGCCTAAGGGTGAAGTGGCATAATATGCGGAAGGAGAAGGAGATTGATTCGATTGAGCGACGACTGAATGGGTATCAATCTCAGATTTTGATCCGATTACAAGTCATGTTCAGGTAGGCTTTTAGATGGAATGGTCAAGGGCGCGGGGATACTGAGATAAACATGGTGAGAAAACCGATGAGCAGAACTCTTTAGTCAATCGCCAACTGGAGGCCCTTCGAAGTGAGGGTAAAGCTCTTCAAAATCAGACGATATCCCAGCTAGATGAGCTATACCAGACTATTTCGACTCTGGTGGATTCCCTTCGGTCGGCTCCAGGACAGGATAAATCATATGGGTCAAAACAGGGACCTCTGGCAAAATTGGGCACTTCTTTGTTCGAATTCCAGACTGTGACGACTTCGATCTCTCGAGAAAACAAGATCCTAAAGCATCTGGCATTTACATCCATGTACAGTCGCGAGGACAGCATTGAAAATGCTGAGAGTGGGACTTTCGAATGAATGGTCGACGAAAAGTCCGAATCAGTAGATGATTGGAGAGACCCTTCTCTCGAGCCCGAAGAAAGGTATGGCGAGGGGTGGGGAAGAGGTGGCGGTATGAGGAAGAGAAGAAAAAGCAGGAGTCCCTGCGAAAGTGGGCTCGAGAGAAGTTTCTCGCCTGGCTCGACTCTGGCCGCCACATCTTCCATATATCGGGCAAGGCAGGTTCTGGGAAATCTACTTTGATGAAGTTTCTTTCCAAGTCGTCTCGGGTCAAGAAGGGATTAGAAAGCTGGGCTGGGGGTCGGCCCTTGATCTTTGCCCAATTCTTTTTCTGGAATTCGGGAGATGAGACACAGATGTCTCTCGAGGGCCTATATCGAAGTCTGCTATTTGAAACGTGCAGGCAAATGCCCAGTTTGATTCCCCGTCTTTTCCCCAAGTTCTGGGCAACTTCAAATTTCGACGTGGCCCCAATTCGCTTTGATGAAGTTAGGGATGCATTCACTAGCCTGATCAAGGAAGCAAGCTCTTCGGAAAGTAATTTCTGTTTTTTCATTGACGGACTGGACGAGTTTGAGGGTGATGAGGTCGATCACTGGAGGCTTTCTCGAGATCTTCTGTCTTGGACAGCACAAGCAAAGAATATCAAATTTTGTGTCAGCAGTCGCCCTCATATTCCTTTTGTTCAGTCCTTCGCGAATGACTTGAATCGTCAAATTAGTATCCACGAGCTCACCCGAGAGGATATTTTCAAGTTTAGTGTGGCCAGGTTTGAAAAGGACCCCAACTTTCACCGCATCAAGGACTCATATGAAGACTTGGTCATTGAGATTGTGAATGCCTCGGATGGAGTATTTCTCTGGGCGCGTCTGGTTGTGCGCTCTCTCTTGAAGAGTATAGGATATCAGGGCAGCGAGAAAGACTTGAAAAGAAAGCTTCGCTTGATGCCCAAAGGACTGGATGAGCTATTCGATGGGATCCTTAGCTCTATAGATCCGGACGATCAGCTGCTCTCGGACCGATTATTCCTCTTGACGACTCCCCATTTCTGCCGGTCGCAGCCAATCATACTGAATGCGATAGCATACTCATGGCTCGAGGACCTCGAGGATCCGGGGTTTCCTTACGAAGTACCGATGAGACCCTGTACAGTGAGTGAGATCAATGAGCGAATTGATCGCGTCCCGTGTGTGTTGGATCGCCTTTCTCGTGGCCTGCTAGAGATGTCCACAACTGGCAGCCGTGAAATACGCGGACATGATTATTTCACCTATCGAGTGCAGTTTCTCCACCGCAGTGCCCGCGACTACATTGTGAATACCCGGGAAGCGCAAATGCGAGCCCGTATACCTGACTTTGATGTCTACTCCGGGATATTTCGATTGTTACTGGCAGAATTCAAATTTGCGCTATTCACAAGAGAGGATATGCAACCGGCACATTGGGAAAAAGACGGCCCTTTAAGAATGGCTCTCGATACGCTTTTTAGTGTGATGTGTGCTGCTCATGCACATTGCGGATACAACGTGCCGTCACGTTTCCTCGAGGAGGCCAACCGCATTGTTCAGCATCATACCCAAACGGTAGTATCAAGAAGAAAAGTTCTCCCCGGAAACGAGATCCCAGAGCCTGAAGGTCACATCTTTGGGCGGAAATTTGAACGCATTGGTCGTCAATGGCTCACATTAAAATCATCGAATCATTCCCCCGATTATCTATGCGAGGTTGTTCAGCGCGGTCTAGAGCAGTTTCTCTCGCCTGATCTGATGAGCCTCTTGAAACACCAGAACTCAATCTCGGGTCCGAATTTACTCCTTGCTGCTGCTGCTATGAAAGTTACAAGCGTGGAATTTGTACGGGAGCTCCTACGTGAAGGACGGACCCCTCGAGAGATGGTGACCATGGAGCCAATCCACGCGATTGACAGAGCAGAGCCAATACCAGCCACCCAAGCTACCGTTTCTGTGTGGTTGATGTTTCTATATTGCGTCGTCGAGCATTACCTCTTGGCTCGTTCTATAACTGACGCAGAAAATGGATGTCTTGAGGAGTTCTTGCAGTACGATGTTGATCGCGACGTGCTGTTTGTCGTGAGAATATTTGCCTCGTCCGACAAACCAAACGAACCGGCGGATGATGACCAGGCGCCCGAGAGGAAAAGCGGCGAATTGGACGAAATCGTGGCATTTGACTTGCTGGAATTCCTAGAGTTGGTGGAACCATCCAAGATGAAGAGCCTGCGCATGAAACTTTCGAGCAACGGAACCCGATCAGACCGACACGAAGTGATGCCCATTTCCGGGCCTCCAATTGCGTATCGAAGAGGCTCTCTATCGAAGGCGCTTAGATCAATTGTTGCTCCAGACAATAGCATTGTTGACCTTGGGTTTTTATCACATCTCTGCCTTGAAAGTGTTATCACCCCTTCCGAGCGGTTGGACGTGCCCTTCGCTTTCCGGATCAGCTAAACCGTGACTGGACCTTTATATGATTTATTAGATATAATATAGCAACAATGATAACACTTCTACCTCGTATATGCTCTGATGTGCTCCCTAGGGCTTTTTTATTTTTTAAATTGCTTTGGCGCTAGTAGAAGTCGCCCGCCACGAGGGTAGCCTCAGAACGGAAACGTTAACTAGAAAGACAAATGTGCCAACCGTCGTGGCGATGCGGCCAAAAAGTCCTTGTCCTCTGATTGGCGATTTTGGGGCTGAGTTGAAAGAGAAAATGCTTGTTCGAGACAAGAGGCGACAATTGTAGGTCGACGGGTTGGTGAGATGGGAATAGTGGAAACGGGAGGAGATATCACTCCCGAAATGAGGATTCTGGAGGAAGAGCGGGCCGTCCGTCTGCCCTTCGACAGTGTGTAGCTCAGATAAGGAGAAGAATCCTGCTGGCGACATGATCAACGTGGAAACGTCCTGATTGAACGCACGGACAGGGCTATTGGGGAGATGCGGGGGTCCTCCCAGGTCCCCACCAAGCCGGGGAGTCTCCGCCGTCAGCGCGTCGCTGGGTATCTCGGCATGTCGGGGGCTCGGAGAAATAGTGTCCAGAGGTCCATTGAAGCATGAGTTCGACGTAAAAAGATCGAAGCGGTGGGATGCACAGGTACTTATATGTAGTCGCTGCATGGTCTGCTTCTGTTCGCTCTGTATAGAGGTTACAGGCATAGATTTCTTTCTTCATTGCCGTTGTTGCTTTTAAGTATTCATTATGCCGCAAACATTCGATGTAGAGCATGTTCTAGCAAACATCAGCGAGCAGGACAAGATCGCTCTTTTATCAGGTAAGACAGAGGCGATGATATTTGGGAACGTCATCCGCTAACAAAAGCAGGAATTGACTTCTGGCACACACATCCTATCCCCGAATTCGACGTCCCTTCGATTCGCGCAACCGACGGTCCCAATGGTATCCGGGCACGAAATTCTTTGCCGGCATCCCCGCCGCATGTTTACCCTGCGGCACAGCTCTGGGCGCCACCTGGGACCGAGATCTGATATACCAAGCGGGGGAGCTGTTGGGTGACGAGTGTATTGCGAAAGGGGCGCATTGTTGGCTGGGCCCGACAATCAACATGCAGCGCGCTCCCCTCGGTGGCCGTGGGTTCGAGTCGTTTGCGGAAGATCCGCATCTCTCCGGCATTCTGGCCAAATCCATCATCCTCGGATGCGAAAGCAAAGGGGTCATTTCCACGGTGAAGCATTTCGTGGGCAACGACCAGGAACATGAACGACGGGCGGTGGACGTCCTCGTCACCCAGCGAGCCTTGCGCGAGATCTACCTACGACCCTTCCAGATTGTGGCAAGAGATGCAAAGCCCGGTGCGCTCATGACCTCGTATAATAAGATCAACGGGAAGCATGTGGTGGAAGATGAGCGCATGCTCAATCTGATCCGCGAGGAGTGGATGTGGAATCCCCTGGTTATGAGCGACTGGTACGGGACCTACACAACCATCGACTCCATGAATGCGGGCCTTGACCTTGAAATGCCGGGGGTGTCCAGATACCGGGGAAAGTTTATCGACTCCGCCGTGCAGGCTCGACTGATCAAGCAATCAACTATCGATGCACGAGCGCGAAAGGTGTTGGAATTCGTGAAGCAAGCGAGTCAGGTCCAAGTGTCCGAAGTGGAGCGAGGACGGGATTTCCAAGAGGATAGAGCGTTGAATCGCAAACTCTGTGCGAACAGCATCGTCCTCCTCAAGAACGAAGGCATCCTGCCCCTTCCAAGGGAGATCAAAAAGATCGCCCTAATCGGATCTCACATGAAGACTCCCGCAATATCGGGTGGTGGCAGCGCGTCACTTGAGCCATATTACTCTGTCTCGTTATACGACGCCTGTAGGGAAGCACTTCCCAACGCCGAGGTGCTCTATAAAGTGGGTGCATACGCCCATAAGATGCTGCCCGTGATAGACCGTCTCTTGAGCAATGCTATCATTCAATTCTACAACGAGCCGATGGGCAAGGAACGACATTTAATCAGCACTGAGCCTGTATCGACGACGGCTTTCCAGTTCATGGACTACTATGCTCCCGGTCTCAACCGAGCGCTCTTCTGGGCCACACTGGTTGGTGACTTCATGCCCGACACCTCCGGGCTTTGGGACTTTGGCCTGAGTGTCTTTGGTACCGCAAACCTCTACATTGACGACGAGCTCGTGATCGATAACACTACGAGCCAGACACGCGGGACGGCTTTCTTCGGCAAAGGCACAGTTGAGGTGCTGGGATCGAAGGAATTACTTGCTGGCACTACATACAAAATCCGGATCGAGTTCGGCTCTGCCAATACTACCACAATGAAAACGGTGGGGATGGTGAATTTCGGTGGCGGCGCCGCAAGTCTGGGGGCCTGTCTAAGGATGAACCGGGATGAGATGATCGAGAATGCCGTGCAAGCCGCCACAGAGGCCGACTACACCATTCTTTGCACCGGGCTCAATAAGGACTGGGAATCTGAAGGGTTCGATCGCACGCATATGGATCTGCCACCGGGAGTCGACCAGTTGATCTCGAAGGTGTTGAAAGCCGCCGCAGACAAGACCGTCATCGTCAATCAGTCCGGTACACCAGTTACCATGCCGTGGGCCGATCAGGCCCGGTGCATTGTGCAGGGCTGGTACGGAGGTAACGAGACCGGTCATGGAATTGCCGATGTCCTCTTCGGAGAGGTCAATCCATGCGCAAAGCTGCCCTTGTCCTGGCCGGTGGATGTGAAACACAACCCGGCCTACCTGAACTACGCCAGTGTAGGTGGCCGAGTGCTGTACGGGGAGGACATCTACGGGGGTTATCGGTTTTATGAGAAGACCGGACGAGAGGTGCTCTTTCCATTTGGGTGAGTTGGTTCCTTCGTCTCTTAGGCTCATCTAACCGTATCTCATCTAACCGAATTCTAGTCATGGCCTGTCATACACGACCTTCAATGTTTCACCGAATGCTACCGTCGCCCCGGAGATCTTCACCATGGACGTTCCTACGGTCGCTACCGTACAAATCAAAAACACGGGAAAACTGGCGGGCGCCCAGGTTCTCCAACTGTACATCTCCGCTCCGAATCCTCAACCCCGCGCCCAAGCAAGGAACTACACGGTTTCGAAAAAGTATTCCTGCAGCCCGGGGAAGAAAAAACGATTAACATCCAGCTGGACCGATATGCGACCAGCTTCTGGGACGAGATCGAGGACATGTGGAAAAGTGAGCAGGGGACGTATGAAGTGTTGATTGGGACCTCTAGCCAGGAAGTGGTAGCCCGGGGGAAATTCCAAGTGGATCGCACCTCGTATTGGCGGGGACTCTAAGTAATTCCTTCGGCCTTGTTTGGATGGTTCGGGTGAATTTCTCGGCTAAATGAGGCCATCTTGCCTTGATTGGAGGGATGATTCAGCCATCGTTCGCCGAGCCCATCACCAATCACCATCGTTTTTTTCTTGGCCTTTTAGGAATATGTTTCTCTGAGTACCCCGTGTCCGACTGCACGAAGCCCCACCAGGAAAAATGGACCCTTCGTCGACTGCGCGACCTCGCAGGAATACTCGGGTACTCACCGCGTGCGATGCCTGTCGTCTCAGCAAGACTCGGTGCGATTCGGCACGGCCAGTGTGTGCCAAATGTGTCCAGCGGGGTGTAGCTTGCGAGTATCCGGAGACGGATGCAATCTCAGTGTCGGTTCCCATAGAGCTTTTCCATTAGCCGAGACATCTAATGACGACCAATTCTACCTAAAGACTAGATACATGGGGCGCAAGAATCCTAGACGCAGTAGAACGTCAAGAGCGGCTTCTGTCCGAGAGCCTCTCTTTGAACCGGGGGCCTCCTTTTTTTCGCAACAGGCGTCACCATCTCCAGTGGATGAAGTAGATCCCGAGTCAATCTCCCGCAATGATGCGCTCAAGACGCCGATTACCGGGTCGGACATGATTCTCAGCTGGCCTATTTTTCCGAAAGAGAAATCGGTGTCGACTTTTCCAATGACAGCGTATTCCGAGAAGCCAGATCGCTTTCAAACGGGTATGGCCTTCTGGACGCATCATATCCCAGAATCCGATACTAATGGGCGGTTACAGCTCTACCAAGCTTAGATCCCCAAAGGCTCCTCGAACTGCGCGAGATTTTCATGACCAAGATCTGGACCAAGAACCCGATCGTTGACCCGGACCAGCTGGACTTTTATATCGCTCGAGTGCTGGAAAATGGCATTGATTGGTCCGCCTCCTCGTGCTTGGTGCTACTTGTCTTTGCACTTGCGGCCATCTGGGGGAATTATCCGGACGACGAAACGCGCGAGGTCTCGTACAATGAACCGTCATTCAGCCCACCAGTCACTTATGTGACGATATCGGTTCCGGAGCACCGAATGAAAGAATCGTTGACCTTCCTCTCCATGGCGCGTAAGCGCATCTCCACTGCGTATCTCGACGATACATTACTGGGAGTGCAGTGTCTCTGTTTATTCGGGTGAGCTCCTTCCTCTCAACTGCTTCGAAATACTAAAGTCTAACTCCCGCGTAGAATTTGGTATCAGTATAACATCGAGCCGATTCCAGGCTGGAAAATGTTCCGCACAGCATCCATGCTATGGCAAACGTATCGTTTGAAGCACCGCGAGGGAAAGACGATTAGAAGTGCGCAGGAAGAGAGTGCGTGATTTAATCTCTCTATTGCGGATATGTCTAACTCCCCCAGGTCTGGAGCAGCAGCTCTACTGGACATGCTTAAAGTCTGAATGGTATAACGTACACCACAGACCTCACATCCTCCCACAATTGGCTGACAACAAATAGCGAGGTTCGATATGAACTGATGGATCTCCCGCCCTGTGACCTCAGCCTCTCCGACTTTCCATATTCTCTCCCGAGCTTCCCCACGAGACAACCATCTAACGACACCGCTGGGTGGGTGTTTTCCAATCCCTCGTCCACAGACCTCGAAGCAGCATCTTCCTACTATTATCTGGCCGAGATCTTCTTGCGCAGGCTTCTCAACCGGGCCCGCAATGCGGTCCGTGTGCTCTCCCCAGATATCGACCCGCCGACCATCAAGACTCTGGCGGAAACTCTGACTCAGCTGGAAGGCCAACTCCAGCAGTGGGTAGACTGTCTCCCACATACACTCCGGTTCAACATGCCTCTGGAATCCGCCCCCGGACCGAAGGAGGGTGAGCTGATGAAGCTAAGCCGTGAGCGATACGTCGAGGTGCGCGAACTGCTCTGCCGCGCGTATCTATACCTGTGCATACATGTACCACTCGACCCAGGGATGGCGGCGCTGTATGGGGTCAAAGCGAGCGAGGCACTACATTTGGCAGTTTATCGCATCCAGACTGAGGTGCCATTCTTCCGGCATCCGGGGTCATGGGGAGCTTGTCGAGTCCGGTTCAACCATGCGCTTTGTCTGATTGCGGGATTTCGCGCAAAGCTGACGCAGCGCCCCTCGGCTGGATATGTGACCATTCCTTCTGACTGGGCGGACTGTGTGCGGGTAGTGATTGAGCGGTTGAAAATCTGGGGCGAGGAGGGCGGCGGGATCAAGGAGTTAAGTGTGCTGCTGGAGTGGTTGATGCATGGAAATTTGGAATTGTAGAACAAAAGACAAGACGTAAATTGTTTTTGGTAACGGATCGAAGGACCTATGTACATACCAGTACTGAACCAATTGAACGAGTTGATTGAAGAACTACCCTAGAGATCGCTGTTGAGGGCGTCTCATGGCCTGTGAGTATTGTATTCCGAGATGACCCAATTGATATTACATGTATGGAGGACATCAGCACTGGGTAGTGGCTGAATCACCAAGTTCTTAATGGCAAAATACCTTATGGCTCAGCCAAATTACCCCATACAGGAGAGCTGCTACAGCCCCGTTTCTCTTCCAGTATCTATCCGCAACGCGTCTCCACAAGGGAACGGCGAACGTCGTCCCACTCTTGGCCCGAGGCTCTCGGGGAGACTCCGCGAAGTCCTTGCAGCCTTCTTTAGGCTAATATGAACTGCCAAGACTCTTGTGGAATTGGCGTCGAGCTACCACATCCATAAGCTCGCTTACCCCGCACGCCTCCAGCTACCCCGTGGGGGGATGAAACTATATTTCCACCAGCGGGGATCGTACCCGGATTTTCTTCATCGATACGATAGAATCAAGTCATCCAGCTCGTCTGTGCACAAATTGATGGGTCAGACAGACCATGGCTGTTTGGGACTGGGCCAAGGTGCCGGGCCAGAGGTGTCACGCTGGCTAAAGAGCGTTGAACGGGCAGGATATATAATCATTACTCAGTCCCGGCGAGTCTTCATGGATCTACAGATCAGCACTGCAGTGAGCATCCGAACATCAGCCTTTCAACATGGTCGTAGTAGGAAAACAGCGCGAGGAGAATCTTGCCGAGCCTGTGCTGGCTAACCTGCTGACCGATGACCGTACACCTTGGTACAAGAAGCCGAATCTGAGACGACTCTATTTCATCTTGTTTCCGGCATGTATGGGTATCGAGATCACGTCGGGATTCGACTCGCAGATTATCAACACGGTCCAGATTGTGTATACTTGGAACAAGTGTATGTCTTCTTGATTCAGGATGGGCTCTGCAGGAGACTAACGGTGCGATATAGATTTTGGTCATGCAACCGGGGAGATCGTGGATGGACGCCCCAAGTACGCGATTGAAGAGAACCTCAAGGGCTTTCTGGGTGCTGCATATTCCTTAGGAGCTATTCTCTCCCTACCCTTTGTCCCATACGTCAACCAGCGAGTCGGACGACGATGGACGATCATGTTCGGTTCATGCGTGAGCTTGGTCGGGGCGCTCATTCAGGGGTTCTCCAATGGAGGTATTCCCTCCTTTCCTTATCCTTTCCGTGACATCTCTGATGGTTCCCAGTGGCCATGTACATAGTCGCGCGTATCATTCTAGGATTCGGAATCCCCTTCTGCATCGTCGCAGGGTCGTCTTTGCTGGGAGAGCTAGGTTACCCCAAGGAACGGCCGATTCTCACCTCGCTGTTTAACTCCTCCTACTTCATCGGCCAGATCACTGCGGCAGCCGTGGGCCTGGGAACGGTGACCATAGCGTCCGACTGGGCATGGCGGATCCCATCTCTGCTTCAGATTGCGCCCGCCATGGTCCAGATCGCGACGGTGATGTAGGACGCTCCCCGCCGCTATCCTGAGTCCCACTAACACACACCCAGGTTCCTCCCCGAAAGTCCCCGATACCTGATCAGCAAAGACCGCTACGATGACGCCTTCGAAATCCTTACCAAGTACCACGCGGAGGGTGACCGCAGCTCTATCATTGTCAAGGCCGAACTGGCGCAGATCGAGCGCACCATCAAGATGGAGCTCGAAGAGTCAAAACAAAACAGGTGGGACATGTTCCGCACGGCCGGTATGCGCCGTCGACTGTTTATCTCCGCTTTCCTGGGTCTCTTCACGCAATGGTCCGGCAACACGCTCATTTCGTAAGCATCCGCCCGTGGCATCTGCCCTATATATGTCTATCGCCTCCGCTGATCCATGTAATAGGTACTATCTCAGCGACCTCCTGAACATGGTCGGAATCACCGACGGCGTAATCAAGTCCAAGATCAACATCGGCATCGCCTGCTGGGGTCTCGTCTGTGGCACTGCACTGGCGCTGACGGCCCCGCGCTTCAAGCGCCGGCCGATGTACCTGACCTGCGCAAGCTGCCTGCTGTGTGTGTACATCGCATGGACCATCTCCATGGAGCGCTTCATGACCACAAAGGCTCAATCTGCAGCCATTGCGACCATCTTCTTCATTTTCGCCTATTCGCCCGCCTACAACCTCGGCTATAATGCCCTAACCTACAGTGGGTGTCCCTTCCGTTTCATCGCATGTGTATGTACTAATATGAAAAAGCGTATCTGGTCGAGCTGTTCCCTTACATGGGCCGCTCACGCGGTCTCTCCTGGTTCCAGTTCTATGGCCGCGGTGCATCCTTCTTCGCCACGTACGTGAACCCCGTCGGTTTGGCGCGCATCGCCTGGAAGTGGCTCCTGGTATACTGCTGCTGGCTGCTATTCGAGCTGGTGTTTATCTACTTCTTCTTCCCCGAAACTGCGGGCCGCACTCTTGAGGAGCTGTCGTTCTGTGAGTGTTCGTCCTACTCTACTGCAAGAGACAGAGCTAACGTAAACAGTGTTCGAGGACAATGAGAAGGCCAATGAGGTTGCCGCAGCCGTTCACAAACAGCTCGATGAAGACGACGAGAAGAAAACGGCCACGGCACATGTGGAGGTCCAAGAGACTAAGAATGCTGTTTGATAGTGCTATGATGGCTGTTATATAAGGATGGTAGGGTGAACATGTGGAACAAAGTTATCTGCTAGGTAGTATATGTTAATTCTACGTCTTTTTCCATGTTTCTTTCAGCCGTCTTTTTCAGTAGACTTCTTAGGTAGTCTTTTTAGATCTCTAGTCTTATAGATATCTTCTCCATTTTCATTTAGTAGGTGGTAGGAAAGGGCGAAAAAGACTTCATTTGTGGAAGGCCACTTGCCTATATATAACCTTTCATATCTCAATCTCTACGGTGTCAATTTCTACACCATTAATTTCTATCAACCTCTATAGCCAATAAAATACGCATATAGTAGGCATATGAAATGCTCTTCTAGCAAAATATAATATGGCACAGTGGCTAAATTTCAAGAAATGATGGGTTACTGTCCTCTCTGAAAGGCCGCTATCACTTCCCTGTTTCCCAAATTTTCAGCACACTCCTCGGCAATACGCCCATCGGCATCTGTAATTCTCGGGTCCGCCCCTTTACTGATCAAATATCGGACCACATCCGCTTTTCCAAGCTCAGCTGCTTTGTGTAGGGCTGTGCCTAGGCCCATAAAATAGAACAGTCTCCAAGAAGAATAATCGTCCTGGTACATGATTGTGTTGATGTTGGCGCCTCTCTCGATGAGGAGTTGTAGAACCTTGGTAACATCCGACTCTCGATCAATTGCATGATGAAGAAGCTGCCCTTTCTGAACGTCGCCGCCGCAGCTTAGCATAAGCTTGATCGTAGATATCGGGGCGCGTTCAGCTGCATATGAGAGTGGAGTGAGGTCAATCGCACACCGTTGATTCGGATCTGCTCCACGATGAAGAAGCCACGCGGTCATGTCTTCATCTTCAATGGCATAACTGGAAGAGGTAAACAAAATCAATGAGCTGGGACGTTTGAGAAATTCCGAGATCCTCAAAGTTTGGGAATCACCCGAGAACTGGGGGGCTTAAGCTCACTAATCGGTTGATTTATGTCCCATCCATTGTCAAGGAAAACCTGGAGTGTATTCTTGGCCTTCATCTCTGTTGCACGCAACGCGTAAAGCTGATCCATAGGTAAGTGGTGACGGAAAAGTTCTTTGACAAACTGTATCTCATCGCGTTCGATAGCTTCAATCATGATCTCATAGAGGTCACATATATCGAAACTTGTCGACCTATTGCTTGAGAGCTGTGATTGCAACATCCCCTGGAATGCAAAGATATTCCCGTTCTCGTAAAAGGCGCGCAACTTTTCCAAGATTTCTTTTGACGTCCGGGTTGGAATTCGAGGATATTCATTTAAACTGAGAGGGGGGAATTCTGGGGAAGGTTTGACATCCATGCTGGATAACGGCAAAGAAATGTGTTCAACAGACATCGCGATACCGGAGGGATCTTGGGATAGAGCAGGAGAAGAGACGATTGAGCTGTGGTTAGGAAGGGGTGGGCATTTTCCAAGTCACGAGACCAATCTCAGCATGAGTTTGAATTTTCACCGTTTCAAGGTTGTGGGAAGCTTGTATAGTCCCGGACCACCTCAGATCCATCCTAATTCTGATAAAAATTAGTCTTAGTATTTAGGGATATATTGATTCCTCTCCCCCTATGCCATTATGTCTTACCCGGTTGCTAGGCCATCCACATAGAAATAATATATCTTTATACTTCGGGTGCAGTATACATTGGCTCAAATATTAACCAACGGGCAAGCCTCCATTCCTGCTCTAGCTCTACCACATGTATAGTGTGCCTTTTTCTTCCCTCCCTAGATACCAGTTCCTGTCCTTCGAGATCTAATCAATCCACCTGAAATATCACATCTTGGAGCTTGCCAGGTCCTCAACGTCAAACTCTGTTGAACATAACAAGAACGTATCACGAAGTGCCTAAGTAGTCATTACTCCACTCTACGAACTCAATCGAAATGAAGGTGAGAAGAGCATTTAATGCACTTACCGACAACCGATACCTCTCGTTGATAGCCTGATAATCCTCCCCAGCAAGCATATCACAAAAATGTCGAATGGAAGGATAATGCACGATAGAAATCTCATTCCACCAATCCTGCTGCGACCGATTCTGCGACCCCCGCGAATCACTCTTCTCCGACGTTGGCGGTACCACATTGCCCACCAACTTGGCACTGCCGCCGCGTTTCCCTGCGACAGGAATGAAGGCCTGGCCGTACTGGTAGTAGTTCTTCTTTCCATCAGGATGGTGGAAATGTAGTAGGTTTAGCATGGTCACGGGTCCCTTATGTATCTTCCAAAGTTCATCCATGAATCTCAGGAGCTCGGGCGAGACTTCCAGGTTCTGCGATCCCTCTTTGCTGCCCTCGCGGACGACCTTGTCTAGAGAACCTGTGAGGGGTATGGATGAGGCATCGTTCTTGAGTCGGTAGTCTCTGGCCTGATAGTCGGAGAGGAGTTTCGAGGGAATTCCGGTGGTTATTATGTATTCGTTCGTGATTAACCGGCGTAAGGCGTTTGGGATTGGGTCTTGTTCGTTTGGCTGGGTGGTTTGGAGGAGCACTAGCAAGTCCCATGAGTTCGAGGCGAGAGGGTGATTGTCTAATATATTTGGATGGATTACGACATGGCGTGGACGCGAGGCGACGATGACTCGAGTGCTGGGCGATTGCCTGAGTTGCTGGAGGAATGATTGCGCATCTGTGGACTTGGTAAGGGTAAGGAGGTGGAGGGTAGCGACAGGCATGGTGCAAAAGCGTCGTTGCTATGTAAATTGGGGGTGAGGAGGAACATAAAATACTGAATGAAACTCGGCAAAATGACGATATATGATCGCAACAAGGTGCGGGGAAAGCTGTTGATCGGCATTGCCGAGGTACATATATTGGCCCGATCGGTTGCGACACATCAAACTTCCATTGATCGCGTATTTATTTTGTAGGGACTCAAGAGCCTATATATCCAAAGTGAAGTTCAAGTTGGTTTTCAACCAACTAGTTCTTCACATAGAGGGTGCAATGCATCATTTCGGATGCAGCAGCTTGGTTCCTAATTTATATAGATTCCTAGTGTAGGCCGCCGGTAGAGTGCTATCAATTTCTCGTACTTTCTTAGTTAAGTGGTATAGTACGAAAGGGCGAAGAAGACTTTATTTGTGATAGGCCGGTTTTCTATATCTACCCTTTGATGTTCTAGTTTATTATACTTTATAGGTCACTAACGTCATCATATCGAAGTTTTTGTCTGAATCTCTTCATGATCTTGAACCTACTCTCAGTTTGATATTTGGTACCAACGCTGATAGGGGAAATAGTATAGAAAATATTGGTCAACATCTGACTAGCACATATATTTGCACACCCGTACCGTGACTATCCACCTTCAAAAGTGATATGGTGCACAAATTCGCGAGACCACTTTCAGTTCTCCATCAGAAAGGCGAATAATAAACACTCACGTAGGGCTTGGAATTGCGATATGAGAACGAAATCCCTGAGTGCACATAATTGGTCTTCGTGAGGTCAAGTTCGGGGCTGTCAACTGTATGAGCGTTCTCCTGTTCATTGCCATATGCGACGGTATCAACTTACTAGTACGATGTCACTTTGTCCCTATACGTTCTGGCGAGGTCCGTCCAGCCAACCATTTCGTAGAACGTAATGAGCGCGTCCATCACCACAGCATCATTCATGCCAAAGGTCAGGAAGTAAATCTGGGGGTCCGGGAATTTCTTGGTGGGAGATAGCGTCCAGTTCGCCATCATGACGGCTCGGTAGTCCGGGCTCGGGGGTGTGCCAAAGGCCAGGTCCGGCCAGACGTTTCCACGATGGCCTTCAGGGATCATGAGGAGGTCCCATAGCTTTCTAAGTAGGGTCAGACCATTGCCACATTGAGGATCTTCCAGACGACTCCCGCGAAGAGTCCACATGTCCGCCACACGATCCCATGTAACCATCAGGTCGGTCACGTAGAATTTCATCCGACTCTGGTCGGGGACGCACAGGTCGCAACCGAGAAGTACGACAGTAACATCCTTATCGGCAGGAATTCCGTCGTCATTCAGGCCCAGGAATTCGCGGAGGTGATGGACTGGTTCCTTCAATCCCGGGAGACCAAGCTTCTCAATTGAGTCAAGGTATAGCTTCCCCGGTGCGATTCCTGTCGCCAGCGACTTCATGTGCGGAAAGAAGTATGCCTTGGCATTGATGCCGCTCTTCCAAAGTTCGACGGCCAGGGCATATTGGCCTCGCCCAGCCATCGGTAAGGGGGCTTTGCCTTGGAGTATCCGACTTTCTTCATCTGGGGTCGCAACAAGTTCCTGTTGAAAGTGGCGGAACCGGGCCAAATCGACGTTTTTATCTAGAAAGGCAAGTTGGGATATGCATTCATCTGTCGCTATTTTGTTGAAAGAGTCGACACCCTCTTCTGCCAAGTGTGAAATTGGTTCGAAGCCAATCCTTACAATGTTATGCAGAAGATTCCAGCTTAGCTCGAATGGGACACCATAGGTGGTAACCTGGCTCCACCAACGCTGAGTGTGCTCTGTCCGGGGACCGGGAAGACACCAAGATATGGGACAAGACGTTGCTGCATCAGATACAGGTAGGTGAGCTGGTCCTTCTGTGGATATTGAGCATCGCACAAAAGTTTCAGCAACTTGGGGCCAGTATGTTCCCACCAGCGCCGCTGGTGATCATTGGCAAACCAGGAAAATCTGTCGAGGAGCTGGAAAGCCTCTTCTTGGGAGGCCAGAGTCTCATTTCCAATAGCCATTTGTACGACCGGAATGAGGGTGTTAGGGTTATGTAAAAGAAAGGTAATGCAATAATTGCAGAGAGGATGGGCGTTCAGCTGCAGCCTAGCAGGATGTCTGTGTAGGGCGTGAGAACTTTTGCTGCTAGGGACTCATCAGGGCCGTGTGTGATATGCGCCTTTTAACCATTTGAGTACGGACACAAAAGTTGTCTTCAAACACGGTCATGGGGACAAAAGCCAGCGTCGCAAAGCAGATTGAAACACCCTGCAGAGTGACATTCTCGCGAATCAACCAGTGACGCTACTGTGAAATTATTGTTTTGCTGTGCATATATCATATTGTGATAGTTCTATGTTGTATGCGTCTTGAAGGATCACCTGCAAAGAGACTATCGGGGAAACAATAATAATAATAATAATAATTAGTTATTACCAAAAGCGTGGGAGCTGGCTGAAATGCAGGATTTCCCCAGGTGGGAAGCAGATATTTGTTCCACTTAGCTCAGTTTCTCTCTTTCTCTATATTTTCGCCCCGAATTGATTCCTTTATTTCTAGAGATCTGCATTCTTCTGCACGGAGTATGCAGTATCTCTATCAAAAAAGCTAGACAGAATAGGCAATAGCTAATAGCCTCAGCTACTACTAAAGCCTTGCTTCACGGTGCATATGTCAAATTGTGACAGTGTTGTGTTGGCGAGTCCGGCCTGGGTAAGCGGCTTGACCTGAATCATCTGCAAGAACACCGCCTGTTGACTGATCGTGCATTCCACAGCCTACATGACTTTTGTCTGCCTGTTATTCAATCCTGGAGCACTGGCCTCCGCCTGACCAACCCTAGCCTGACCTAGAATATACTATAAATCGATTGGGCACCCACTCGAGAGTCAAACAAAAGCAAAGGGACAATGGAAACCTTCAATACAATTCAGCTGTCTCACCCAGGGGGTAGTCTATGCGAGTTTGCTCTTCATCCTGGGAGCCATATTTTTCTTCCCCTCTGACCAAGGGAACTTCATATGCATAAATCAACACTCATGGGACATCTTTCACAGAAAGGCCAAGGAAAATTTTGAATACAATGCATTTGCTCTAGTGAAACAGGGGCTTGAAAAGGTGAGCTAAAAGATCCTGGCTAGGCTGATTAAGTGGTTGACATATACAGGGCCGCTCGGCGTTCCGACTGGTCACTAATATGGGTACCTATTTGGTCCTGAAAGACCGATATTCGGAGGAGATCAAAAACGACGATAGATTCAGTGCTTTTGATGCAGTCGACGCTGTATGTCGGGCCTCTCACTAAGCAAGGACTTCACAGAACTATCTGGTTCTAATTCATTGCATAGGTGTTACTCGTGGAAATACCTGGTTTTGAGAGCATGTTCCAAGGATCGCTGCATAATCATGCGTCTCCATTCGCAGTTCGTGCGTTTAACAGGGAGCTTGGTAATTCTTCGAACTCCTTTTGCCTTTCAGGAATGCATACTGATTCCAAGGTTGCTGAATATAGTAAACTTGACTCACTCCCTCTCGGAGGAAACTAGGCAGCGTCTGCAGACCACCTGGACTGACTCGACTGGTACGTATCAAGCAACGCCCCCATCCCAAAAACTAAGTTCATCGTACACTGTGATAAAATGCGAAAATCCCTATTCGCACAACATCTAGCAAATGTCTCTAACTCCACAACGCTAAACTATTGCAGATTGGCATAACGTCTCAATCCACGAAACAGTCCTGGACTTAGTTGCACGTATGATGACAAGAGCATTTCTTGGGTCTGAGCTTTGTCGCAACGCCGAATGGCTTGACATTGCGAAAAGTTTCACAACGAATCGCTTTGCAGCCGTCGCCGCTATCCAATCCTGGCCAAAGGTCCTTCAACCTGTGATTCATTGGTTCCTTCCCCCTTGCAAAGTGGTTCGCCGCCAAATTCAGCGCGCGCGGAATATCCTTATGCCAGTTCTAGAGCGTGAAAGGCGTGCTAATCGTGAAGATCAGTCAACTAAGCGGGAATTCTCTAATTTGGCTTTTATCGACCAGTATGCCAAGGGGGCTCGCTATGATGTTACTATGTCCCAGATGCGACTTATTGCAGTCGCCTTTCAGACTACAAGTGATATGGTGGAAAAGGTGGTGGTAAGACTTTGCAAGCACCCAGACCTAATCCAACCATTACGTGACGAGGTGATTTCGGTACTTGGGAAGGATGGCATACATCACAAGTCTTTGAATAAGCTTACTCTAATGGAGAGTGTGATGAAGGAAAGCCAGCGGCTTGAACCTGCTGTTCTCAGTATGTTATCATCGAATATTGTCGCCCTTCTTTTTCCTATCATCATTATCCCGGATCGGTCTAAATCTCAGACGATCTAAGCACCAGACCCAAAACAATTGTTCTTTGACTATCTTTCTAACCTAGGTTCCTAATTTAGTATCTATGTTCCGCGTATGCAAACAAAACGTGACTTTACAGGATGGTACAGTCGTTCCTAAAGGTACTAGCGTCGCATTTGCAAATGACCTCCGCTTCGATCCGACACTATACCCTGAGCCCGAAACATTTGACGGCTACCGATTTCAGAAGATGAGGGAGGACCCTGAGAAAAGCGATCTTGCGCCATTTACCAAAACCAGAATGAGTCACCTAGCTTTTGGCCATGGGAAGCATGCATGCCCAGGTCGCTTTCTTGCCTGTGATCAAGGAAAGCTTATTTTGTCTCATATTCTCCTTAATTATGAGATTCGGGCAGTAGAGGGATCCCCCCCAGATCTGCAGGTTCGTGGAATGTTTGTTCAAATGGATCCTAGTGCGATGATGTCGATAAAATGTCGGGAGAAGGGAATTACACTTCAAGCGTGAGCTATCATGGTGGATAATGATTGTATACAAAGATCTGCTGAGCCCGGGGGAATTTGTTTATCGATGCACCTTTTGGTTGCCTCCCAATCAGGATCACGCATTATTGAACTACAGATTGAACTACTGCTTTTCTGCATCAGACTAGTATCTCTAGTATCCGAGGTCGAAGAGCTTGCATGGCTTACCCGGAATCGGGGATGTCGCGTTTGCTGCATCACCGATAACCAAGGCATACACCCCCCCCTAAGATTCCCAAGTCGGCAAAGGGCCACAGAAAAAGATTACCTAGGTACAATGCCTGGACAGCACCTGGGCAATGTAACATTTTTATGCATGCGCCTCACTCGCTAGCGCGCTGTACTGCATCGTAGGATGCGTATTTTGGGAGAAAATGGATCAATTATTAACGCCTTTTTTAGACTTTATCAGATAGACTATATCATCCAAAACATTATAAAAGAAGGAAATTTGACTATTGGATGGTGCTGACAACACCTGCATCAACATGCGCGACACGGCTTGGGAATCATCGAGCTAGTGGTGAAGCATTTGAACCTTGTGACACGTTCAATGGTCGTGCTTTCTGGCGTGGCGTCAGCGTAAACATGCGTACACTTCTTGTGCGTAAAGAGTTGTGAAGGTGCGTCCGTGGTCGAAATTACGCTAGTAGCTAGAACATGCCTCTCGTCTCACCCGGTCCTTACCTACAATGCGATCGGGCTGTGGTATCTGGACTTAATCAATAAAAGGCAGCTAGTATTGTACAAGGGTGCATGTTCCGGCACTGCCGATAAACATATGATTGGGAAAGGTTGAAGACGATCCCATCTGCAAAGGCTTGGGGGCGGATGACCTGTTGATAAGACAGCAGGGCTGAAAATCTTGGCTGCAGGAACGTTGGAATGGGAGACGCTTGTGTCGTAGTAACTTTACCTACATAAGGAGGGGGAAGCAGTTTCGATTGATATTTTAGGAACTGGGCGGGTTTCCGTTATGCTATTTTTGCTTTTTTTTTTCATTCTTTTCTTTTTCCTTTCCATTCTTTTTTTTTCCTTTTTTTGGGGGGTGGCGTTACAGGGACCACAATTCTGGATAATAATGGAATGCGCGCACTTAATTAATTTATTGCTACCTGCAGCTGGGGGACACTCTGCCTGGGGGCGTCCAAGCAAAAGGAAGACAAACATACTGCCCGCCTATCGGATTTGGAAGGATGTGGTGTTTGAAGAGAGGGAAATTAGGACCGGGTAAGAGGGGGTATCTACGGTGGGTATTGAGGGATATACCGGGATTACATTGTGAGCTGTACAAATGAGGTAGTAGGATGCACTTGAAAGCTGGAGGCGTCAATCAGTGAACGGGAATTCAGCTCCACCAAACCGTTTTTCGCACCCTCTACAAGTCTTGGCATGAGTTAGCGGCAGGGCCTATTGACAACCCATGAAAATGTAGGCAGATTTTACCCCGGAATTGGCTTGTGTATCCTCTTTTAGATATAGAGGCCATGATTCAAAAAGTCTGATCAACTTAGTGGTGATACTGGGGACGGGAATCATCGTGCACGGTCTACTGAACAGGACCTTGTAAATCAATGTAATTCATTCTAGCTAGCATCTTAAACGCACAAGAATACTCTCAAAAGCGATCACAGTTCGGATGCAGTACATTCAGGTACCGAGGATGATGGGGGCATAAAAGGAAAAAGCAGAATTGGAGCAATAGAGACTACTGGTTGGACTTCAACTGCAGCACCTTTTCAAGTCGCTTGTCGTCCGTAATATTGATGCCCACGATATTGGGATCAGCAGGCTTCATAGTCCACCAGCCGAGCATCCTCTGCGCGAGAGGGGTCATAGATTCAACCATCTCAAGAGGCATTGTCCTGTATGTCTCGAATGGCGTTAACTGGCAGCTATTGAAGTATGCGAGAACCACCCGTCGTGGGTCTTCATCTGTTGTATTGTTCGGGCCGCCGGCGTGGACTACGCGCTGTCGCAGCACGAGAATATCGCCTGGATCCATGGTTGCCAGCACAGCCTGATCGTGTGAAGGCGTGCCGACCTCGTCCCACCGATGGCTGCCGAGGATGATCTCCGTCGCGCCGTTCTCTTCAGTGAACTTTGTCAGGGGAAATATGACGCTGAGAGAAATTGGGGGTGCATCCATAGGTTGGTAATGCATCAGAGGGTGGGTGGCATCGTCCCGATGCCAACCCTGTGCGGGCATTCCTGCATCGATTGACCTCATAAAGGCGGTGCTGAGCCAGTAATCCCCGGTATGCTCGAAGTAGGCCTCACAAATGGCGTGAAGGACCGGATTGTTAAGAATGACATTGCGGAACGTCCCGCATGTCGTTGGGAGGTTCGGGACGTACTTGAAGTGTGGTGGGTATGCGTTGGCGAGGAGTCTCTCTCCCTTAGTCGGTGGGATTGCCATCTGCACGTCAAGTTCGCGGTTGAAGCTTTCAACTATGTCAAGTGAAAGTGCGCTCTTCAAAATAAAAGCCCCATCCTCCTCAAGCAGTTTGCACATAAGGGGGACGTCTGCATCTACAGATAATCGCTGGAGTTGAGGCTTGGAAATAGTCATCATGGAGACAAACAAGGGGTACTTGTTATTGAGATCAATCAGAATGAAGTCGAAGTGATAGGAGCGTTGGCTTTGGCTTGACTTTGGCTTTCATCAAATAATGAACGGCAACACAAACTGATTTATCTTCACTGCTGGAGCAAGGCTGCCGGGGTATGCCTCGCTCCTCTGTTCGGACCAGCGCCTTTGGGATGGTTGCATATTAATTGAGTTAATCACGCGTCCATTTGTTTGGTTAACGTGCTTCCTCTTGCAGCAGATATATTTGCAGGTAGTCCGATAGAAGCCACATACACCTGCAGATATAGCGATGCACACCTCACAGAATATGTATTTGACCTTGTATGCTGTTTTATAGTTTCCTTTAATTGTTTTCTTTTTTGGCTTGCATCCAGTGTCACCCTAGGAGCTGCAGTTAAGTTCCAAGTGCACAATGTACGCTGGGAATTTTCCAACGCTCTTTGGCGAGAGAAGGGGGCAGGAGAGGAGAACCAATTATTGAGATCTACAATGGAGATTAGACAATGAAGGCTGTACAATATGAGATTGTATTGAGTGACGATAGTTGTGGAGAACTATGTATGGAAGAGAGGAAAGGGTAGATCTACTACATGGGGAAAAGTCATATGACATCAGAGATAATTCAACCCGATGCTAAGTAGAACACTGTCAGGCTCGCCGTGTGTGTCGTCGAAAGCACCGGCCATTGGGCTTTACTGCCCGCAGGTTCAGCACATGCGCCAGAAGTTCGAACTACACTTCTGATGATGCCGTAGTGGGTTCTGCCACAGTTTGATGGTATCGGTCGAAAGGCCTGGGTGGTGGTGGTCACACGGCATAAGGCCGGCATGGGGTTGTCCAAACCTGATTGGAGATATGTGAGAGAGACACCAATTGCAGCTGCAGTGAGGTTCTTATTATTAAACGCCTAAAGCGGGGACAAGTTGAAAGGTCGGCTAGAAGTGTTCGAATTTTGATCGTACATGGCAGCCGTCTTTTAGGGTTCAATATAAGGTAGGTGGGGCCCATTTCGGACGCCCTGGCCCGATTCATTTTAGGCCCCCTTATTCTGTACAGGGAACGCAGCATTAGCTGTCATGCAATGCACGAGGAACGACCAAAATGCTTTATGATGCATCACTTGAGGCATTAAACAAGTAGCGGCAAGGAACGAAAGCGTGCAGCAAATGCCGTGTAACTCTGGCGTTGATTCTGGACTCGTCTGGAGACGATCAGCCGCGACCTCAAGGACATCAGCACAATTTGTACAGCCTGTATACCAGACAAACCCCGTTTCCCATTAAAGCACACGCACCTTTGAATAAGCCTTCTAGCCTGACGAAGGAGATTGTTGTGGAAGTCGGCTGAAGTGCAGGATTTCCCCAGGTGGGAAGTAGAGAGTTGTTCCACTTAGCTCAGTTTCTCGGTTTCTCTCTTTTCTCCTCGAATCGATCTGTATTTTCAGAGATCCTGTATTCTTCTGCATCCAGTATCTCGATCAGAGACCAACAACCATAAATAATTGATCAACGAAGAGACAAAACCGGTAGTCCACGCTGTCATGGATCGATTTCCGATATCTCCTGCTGTCCTCGTGCTAGCGATTACCCTCCCCATTCTATGCTTCTGCTTGATACACATATTGCCAACCACCCAAAATCGAAAGCAGCTGCCCCTACCTCCGGGACCGACAAAGCTACCCATCATCGGCAATCTCCACCAAGTACCTCGGCGTTTGCCATGGAAGGGGTACAAAAGGTGGGCAGATATATACGGTCCGATTATGACCTTTCACCTTGCAGGGACCCCAACCGTGGTCTTCTCCTCGTGGGATCTCATCAAGAATCACGTCGAACGCAGAAACACTATCTACAGCAGCCGACCCTCCGTACCATTCTTCCTACATGCGACGGGCGGTCTCAGCGCGGCAATCCTGCCCTACGGACCAGAATGGAAGCTGCAGCGGAACATTCGCAGCTCTGTCCTCAAACCATCGATGACGATCAAGTACCGTGAAGTCCAGGATCTGCAGACCACGCAACTCATGCATGAGCTGCTTTCGACAAACGATTTCTCCCTATGCCTACGACGGTGCATTGCAAGTGTCTTCTTGACCGTGGCGTATGGGGAGCGATGCAGGGATAATGCGGGACTGGGAGCGATTGACCAGCTCGAGGACCTCAACCGCGCCATTGCCATGCATGCTGAGTCCCTTTTCTCGGGGACTGCTGCCATTTTCATGCAGCTTATTTGCCCCCGTGTACTGGCGGATAGGCTTACACCTCAGTGGAAGAAGGACGCCGATATATTGCACGACAAGCTGACTGCGGACCTTGTAGGGCGTGCGAGGGCCGCGCTACGCCGACCCGGATGGAACTGGGTCAAGGAATTCCAAGCAAAAGAGGGAATAGAAGCAGGGGAAGGGAATGAGAGCGATTTTGAGTTCAAGCGGCTCGCATATATGGTCGGCTCGCTTTACGAAGCATCCATGGCTGCTTCGCAGGCGCTCCGAATCATTATTCTGGCTGGCATCCTGCACCCGGAAGCCGTGAGTCAAATGCAAGAAGAGCTGGACTCTGTGGTCGGAAGGGGCCGCCTCCCAGACTTCAACGATGCCTCCCAATTACCCTGGACACAGGCATTCATCAGAGAGGCCATGCGTTGGCGCTCGCTGACTCCAATGGGATCACCACGCGCCACAGCCGACGAGGACGAATGCAGAGGCTACCGTATCCCCCGTGAGGCCACCATCCTAGTGAACGTGTGGGCGATGAACCACGACGAGACGGTCTTTCCAGATCCTTTTGCATTCAAGCCTGAGAGATGGATCGACAACCCAAATTTGCCCCAAATGTTGTACGGGATTGGGCAGCGAGCTTGTCCGGGGCGCCACATGGGGCAGGATTCCTTATTCTTGGGCACAGCTCGCCTGTTTTGGGCTCTCGACATGGTCCAGCCTCCTGGTGCCGAGGAGATAGATCAGGAGCGGTTCCTAGATAGTGGAACAACGCTCGCATCATTTGTACCGGAGTTTGAGGTTCACTTCTCATCGAGGTCTAGGCAACATCGGCGAGTCATCGAGGAAAGACGGACATTATTTCCGAAAGACAACCTGACGGTGTCACAGGATACTGTGCCAGTCGCACTGCTCAATTAGGTAGCTCACTTGTTGGAAAGATTATAGCTAAGGAATGCATATGGAATACTCTACAATCAAAAACTCCGGCAACAGGTCGTTTCACTGCTATATTGGTGGACTGGTAAATCGAGTCCGAACCGATAGGGGCCTAATGTATCGCCCCTGTCTATTTACGAATATCTCAAATTTCCAGGCGGCTCATAGCTCATAGTCGCACCATGTGATGTTGTGTTCGATACCAGGAAGCACTTATACTAATTGACAATGAGAAGCAAACGCAGGAGGAAAGCAAACGTGCGTCAATTAGGAACCTTCAGGGACGAAACGGGATTGAAACTGTGGTTGTAGAGAGTCACATAGGCACCGCCATTCTTGTAGGAAAACGAGACATACGCGCATAGATGAGCTGCCTGGTTAAAGTCCTCGCCGGGGCTGCCATAGAGATCGCGTTAGTATTCTGCCACAACGGGATTTCAGGAACTCACTAATTAGCAAGAAAATTCGACTTATAGTGTGTCGCCATGTCCTCCCAGCCAACACGACGGTAAAAGGTGGTCAGTCCATCGACTAGGTCGCGTGAGTTCATGCCAAAGACGCAGACATACATCTGGGGCTCGGGAAATGGGGAAGAGCTCCCGTCAAGGTGGAAGTGGAACATCATTGGTGCCTCGAAGCCAGCTGAGGGCTTACCCAGCTCGCAGAAGTCAAGCGGCATGGTATACCAGCCCTCTCGCATGTGGATGTCGGACCAGAAGTGCCTGAGCATTTCCAGGCCCGCGAGTGCGTCCGGATCGGTTCGGGCTCCCCCAAAGGTCCAGATATCTTCGACCATCTTCAGATCCACCTGCCGCTCGCTCACGTAGATTTTCACACGCGATTTGCCGGGTTCCACAAGGTCCGTGGCAAGGAAGTGAGGGAAGAAAGAACATTTGTCAAAGACCTCATCTGCGTCTGTGGTCCGGGAGGGCCTGTTCGCCCTGACTGGTCCGTGGCCCTGGCGACGCCGGTCCAGGTATTGTTCAAGGTTGGCCAGCTGGGTCTCGAAGCGCGACTCCCGATCAACCTTTCGAATTGCGTTGACCAGAAGCTCCTCGGTAGAACGACCGGTCACCGCCGATTTTGGCTGCGGGTAGAAATACGCCTTGGCCATCACGGCCCCGGATTTTTTTAAATCCATTGCGGTGATTATTTGGGACTTCCAGGGGCTCTTGAACATGTCCGGGTTGGACTTGAGGACTGCTTCCTCTTCCTTTGTGATCACCAACTCCTTCTCGAAATCGTAAAAACGTTCGAGGTCCACCCCCGGCAGCAGACGTGAGGCCGCCTCCAGATAGCCCTTCGGCGCAGTTGTGTTAAATGGGTCTTGCGCTGTGCCAGATTCAGGAGTGACGGGATCGACACCAATGCGAATCAACGCCTGCGCTATGTTGTTACTGAATTCGATGGGCAACCCTGTGAGGACCATTCCACTGCGCCATTGCGTCGCGATTATCCCCTTTTCCTTGTCACGCTTTGGGTAGGGGCCGAGGGCCGGGAGTACTAGGTGCCGATACAGGGACAAGTATTTGTATTGAACATGGATATCATAATTGGAGGATATGAGTAACTTCGAGAGGATGGGGCGGTACTATGCCACCAGTTCTCCTCGTCTGGACTGCTAAAGAGTATGGTTTCACTCAGTGCCAAGTAGGGAAGGGGTTGCGCAGGTGAAGGCTTCTGGTCCGGTGGTGCTGGAGGCATCTTTGCTTGTTGAGGCCTGATAATTCCGACTGAGTACCGCACCTGGCGATTCTTCCTTTTTATAAGATGCTCTCGCAGAAGACTAAATTCTATTCGATTTCGCAGACATAGGCTTGCTGTCTATTTACGGCAGTCGATTGCGGCAAACCTGCCAATGGTAATTCTGCCGGTTTTGGATGAGTCTTTTTGTGATTAATATAATCTCGTACAACTCATCTAACAACTTGCTTGGGCTCACTATAGTAGGGCCATGGTAATATTACATACAGTTTACCATACCAATAGACTAGGCCCATCCACTAGGCCTATCCAATTGCATATGCAATTCACTATACCGATAGACCAGGCTGTCGGCGAGGCCGTCTAGGCCTATGCAACTCCATATACAGTGCACCTGACTAATGGACCAGTCTGTCAGCCAGGCCCATGCAGTTGCAATTGCATATGCAATTTACTATACCAATAAACCATGCAGTCAGGTAAACCCATGCAGTTGCAATTGCATATGCATCTCACTATACGAATAGACCATGCCGTCAGCCAGGCCCATGTAGAGACTAGTCACATACCTATATGAGGGGTCATTTATGTTGCATCGCATGAATGGACACAGGAAGCCACACATGTAGACCGCCAACAGGAGAAGAGGACGATAGACCAGGTGCCGTTCGAACTAGGCTTTGACAAAACACACGATGGGCTGAAGGTCTCGACGAAAATCCCATTTTCGATCCATTTTCAACCCATTATTTTGTATAATATTCCCGATTAGGAAGGAAGATAGCCATATTAAGAGATTTTATGACTATATGCAAAATTATGGGTGGAAAGTTCGGTTTTCTCATAGACTAATTCCAAATCCCTCTAACCCTCCCAAGTTCGTATGCTACGAAAAAGGCAAGCGAGCTGAGGTGTCGCATGTACAATCCCTGTCTTTTACACTTGACTTGCTTGTAATGGACCTGGCCAGTCTCCAACTTCTCGAGCAGCAGCTGAATGCCCTCGAATTGTGATAGCTCGCAAACTTTGCGGTAGCGCGGCCATTCCATTACAGTCAGCCTTCGCGGATCCTGTATACGAAGGGATTCAAGTCAAAACATGGGCTATGTAGGACGACTGCAAGTTATATGGTACCTGTTCGGTAGATCCTGTGGCGTAGCTCAGTCTACTATAGGTTCAAGATATGGAATGAACCGCTTAATCCTCGGGCAGATCGTCTTATAGCTAGTTAAACAGTATATATTTCCAAAGAGTGGGTGTAACGACCCGGTAATTCCAAGCTCTGCTGTAACCTGCAGTTATAATACTAGGAAAAGCAATGCGGTAATTACTCGCAGATCCAACTCATCATACTGACATGACTACCAGGCGGGGTATACACTTTCTCAAACCGTAGCCGACCATCACAATCTTCAACCAGGCGGCGTATCTGGGCCAGGCTTCTCTCTTTGGCGGAGAACAGCGTATACATTCCTATATCACTCCGGCGTAACTGCCTCTCACTCTGCAGAGAGCCTTCGCCCGGCTCTGGCAGGACGGCGTCCATAATGAGCAGCCGGGCCCGAGGCCGTATAGCCGAAGAGATCTGGCGGATGATGCGAGTACAGTCCGCATCGTTCCAGTCGTGGAGAATGAGTCGAAGGAAGTAACCATCCGCGATGCGTGGTTGGGGGGTGAAAAAGTCGTGCTCTTCGAAGGCGACTTGTGGGTTCTGGTCTACTCGTTGGCGAGCCCGGTGGATTATTTCCGGTCGGTCTTGCACGGTGATATGGATGTGACTAAAAGCTTTCGCAATAACAGTCGCAACGTGACCTTCCGATCCACCGATCTAGAAGAAGGAAAAAGTAGCACACTGTCAGTACATCACTCGACTGAGTCGGTAAACCCTTCCCCTCCAGAGAGCGAAAGAGAGAGAGAGAGGTGAAGGCAAAACGCCACTGAGTCAATAGCAACTTACATCTACCAACGATTTCACGGTGTTCCAGTCGTAGGCATGAGCAACATGGCGTACCATGGAGTCATTATGGACAGCCATCCCGTCGTGCCATCGTTTCCGGTTAATCTGATCCTTCTCCAAGACCTCAAAGAAGGTCGGGCCCTCGCAAGCCCCCGGTTCCCTAGCCATCAGGGCCAATGGCCCCTGGCGCGGAGTTTCCCCGTTCGGGTCCAGATTTATGGACTCGTATATGAACGAGCAGGGTCGAATGCCAAAGTCCGCCATAAATTTAGCCAGACCTGCACTGTCCTGGTCACGCACAAACGTGGCAGACATGGGAGTATGTTTCACGGCACCAGTTTCATCTTCATCGAGGAAGCCATCCAATCGGGCGAAGCGAATCAGGCGCTGGAGCAAGTTTGGCTCTACTGGCGTTTTCAGTTTCTTTACGAGCATGTCGTATGTGACGGATCCGGTTGATGGGACATGATCTGGAACTTCGAGCCGGATCAAAGTCTGAATTGTGCCGACGTCGACAGCCTATGCCGTTCATGAAAATGTCAGTTACAAGAATAAAATTGTAGGAACAGGAGAGGAATACCGATTCCAACAAACTAATCAATGCCGGTGCAGGGCCCCGAGCTTGTTGGAGGAGCTTCTCAGCCGTAATGATGATCTCGTCTCTGACTGCGAGCTCTGTGAAGCTAAGGAGACTTAATTTGGCATCATCTGGCTGGGATCCTGCCTTGTCGAGCGCTTCTTCATAAAGCTCAACATTTTTGCAGAGCTTGTTAGCGAGCTCGCGGAGACTGGACATCTTAACGAGAGCGGCCTTCTTGTGCTTTTCAATGATGTATCGTACCCAGTAAGTAGTCAGGCCAGCTTTTTCCTTTTATATTTGCGTAAATATATAAATGCGAAATGCGAAATGCGAAATGCGAAATGCGAAATAGCTCAACGTAACTGGGCAACAACGCGCTTCTAGACCGCTGTTCTGGGGACCGTGAAGTAAGGGCAAAATAGGACAATCAGAATCTGGTCATCCATATGGCTATACAGAATCGCATCAATATATGCAAATATATGCAAGGTAGGTGTCATGGTTCTTGCATGCATGGTATGTATGTAAGACGGCATTGATGCCCTACCCTGAGAGATGCATAGGTCTGCCTACAGATTCATGCATCGCATTTACTGGCTCTAGTCCCTACTCGGATAACGTTGGGTCGGATGTTTCGCTCCTTCCGATTTCTTCATTTTCGCTCTTTTTTTGGTTTTTCCTTTCTTCGTTGTGCTGAGCAATTTTTCAGTGAACCCGTGCCAACTATCTGATCGTTCCTTTCTCAACTTCACTCCAATCCCCTCAACGACTTGCTGGGCTTAGTGGATCCGAATCCCCAGAACTATAGGCATCATGGATTCGCGGTATCTGGAGACTGCTGGCCTAATTGGCGTTTTTACCCATCTCTGGTACTTCCGGCGAGGAGAACACCATCTTTATCCTTGGCGATATGTGCGATTTCACGTCTGTCTGACCATGGCGGTGGCAGCATTGTTATACTCCAAAGAGTCACCGCAATACAATCAATCTGCCGCTGAAATATGCAAACAGACTTGTGCGCTCATGCTCACATACCTCGTCGGGCTGTTCACTTCGCTCTTCCTCTACCGAACGTTATTCCATCCCCTCCGTCATTTTCCCGGCCCGCGGCTCGCCAGAATATCCTCGTTCTGGTTATCTTTCCGTCTAAGATCTGGGCCGTCCTTCCGCATACTTCACGAATTGCATGAGGAATATGGACCTATCATGAGGGTGGGGCCGTCTGAGGTGTCGATCATCCACCCTGAAGCTGTCGGGATTATCTACGGGCCAGCCTCGCGGTGTTCAAAGAACGCCTTCTACGACAACGGCCATCCTATGATGTCGCTACATTCATATCGAGACCAAAAAGCCCACGACCAGCGCCGCCGGGTCTGGAGCGTTGCGTTCGGAGACCGGGCTTTGCGCGGTTACGAGAAGCGCATCCGGGTCTATCGTCAGAAACTCTTCCAGCGGCTTGGCGAGAGGGCAGGTTCGGGCTCGACGATTAATGTCAGCAACTGGTTCAATTTCTACAGCTACGATACCATGGGCGACCTGGCCTTTGCTCGCAGCTTTGATATGCTTGACGGAACCCGAAACCATTGGGCGGTTGACCTGCTCATGCATGGAATGACTGGGTACAGGTATCTGTTTCCGAGCTGGTTCTTTCGGCTACTCGCTACCATGCCCTCGCTCTCGAAGGACTGGCACAGGTTTATTCAGTTTGCGACAGACACCGTGCTGCATCGCTTGAGCGTGTGTCGTTCTCCCCAATTCATCTCCCCTGTTTTGTATTGACGTTGGCTACCACAGGAGCAAGTGGGAATTTCGGATATTTTCGCATCCTTAATTGCGCCACTGAATGGTCGACGACCCACCGATGATGAGCAGAACATGCTCATGGGAGATGCTATGCTCGTAATCACAGCTGGAAGGTTGGTGATCTCGCAAGCTATCAAGATCATGAAATTGATTGACTGACCATATCCAATGAACTTTGATATCAATAGTGATACCACGGCAACAAGCTTGACGGGCATCGTGTACGAACTCGCCCGACATCCGGAGGAGGTCGAAAAGTTACGGGCTGAGCTGGAGCATATTGAAGTTGATAGTGACGGTGAGTACCAGCACGACAACATCGCCAAACTGCCGCATCTCAATGGCTTTATCAACGAGACTTTCCGGCTGCACCCTCCCATTCCCGGTGTCATTCCGCGAAAGACGCCACCAGAGGGAATCCAGGTTATGGACATCCGCATTCCAGGGAATATGACGGTCTACAGTCCCCAATGGAGCATGGGTCGATGTATGGATACCGTTCTGCTTTGAATTTGTGGGATTTTATATCTGACTCCGCATTGTCGTTACCTTAGCCCAAGCCGCGTATGTTGATCCCTTGTCCTTCAAGCCGGAACGGTGGTACAAGTACGGAGATCTTGTAAAGGACAAGTCTGCCTTTGCCCCATTCTCCGTTGGTAAGTACGAGCGCTTCGTTCTTGCTGGTAGAATACGATCGTGACTCGCTGAAATCTCTTGGATCTATAGGGTCTTATTCCTGTATCGGAAAGCCACTCGCCATGATGAACATTCGCACGACCGTGGCGCGTCTAATCATGACCTTTGATGTGAAGTTCCCAGCGGGTGAGGATGGGACCCAGTGGATGGACGCTGCGGACGAGCACTTTTCCATGGGCATTGATCACATGCCTGTAGTTTTGGAGAGACGTCCGTAGTTGTATATCTCACAAGCTTTGGCGGTGACTCTACTTACAACCAGTGCTCAACTTAGGATTGTTGTCCTGGCCACGATCTGTAAGCATGATTGAGTCCTTCAAATGGCAGTTTGCTGTGCTCCACGGGTTGGGCGCTTATCCCCACCCTTGCTTTGGCTCTATGCCTTCTAAACAGGGCATATCCTACTTGTTTCGACCTAAACTGCGTTGTTCTCAATCCCATTTCCCCATCAATAACAAACAGATACCGTCAAATGCAGAACTTGACTTGTTGCGCTTTCCAACTATCTATTCCTTTGATCCGCAGAATGACAACAAGCTTTATCTATAAGCCGAACACTCTGCTTTGAGCGAACAAACAGGATGTAGAGGGGCTTTCCTGTAGTAAGGAATGGAGTAACACATTGACGCACCCCGCGCACCGCAAGAGTCAGGTGTCGGTACTTGTTCTTCCTGTTGTAGGAACTTTATTGCAGCTTCAAGACAGATAGGGCTACTTCTACTTCTCCCTTCTCCATCGCAGTGTTTTTGTGTCGGGTATCGAGGATATTGTCAGTCACACTTGCGAGAGTTCGGCTGTGCATTCGAGTAAAAGCAATCACTTCAACTGGTCTATGAAGCACATTTATTTCTTCCAAAGCGGTACGGCAGTGGACGGGCTCATTGGTTCCCCCGAATTTTCTAAGTCAATGTCCTCGCTCGGGGCAATGTGAAAAACCCCCCCACGAGCGAGCTATGTCCAAAAGTCCAAACCATGTCCGCTCCTAATATCTCATGAGCAATCTCCTGCTGCTGGTCCACTGGACTCTAGACCCTGTTCAAGGAGAAATATTCCAAGTAGCCAATCTGTTCAGGATCTTTACTTTTCTTTTTCCTTCTTTCTTTTTTTTTGTTTGCTTTTTCTACTTATCAATAGTTGCTAGGAGCTTGCATTTGCAGGTTCTTTGGTGTGAACTCTATAATATACGTATGTATCAGCTAGTCAGGGTATTTCTATGCACTAAGGCAGTAGCATATTAAAGCCAAAAACTTGCTCTTGAGTGCATTAGAACTGCGCATGCACTGTTCAATATATTGGGCCTCCGTGCGTTTCCAGCTGAGCCACAAGAATCTGTAGTGTCATACGCACCTCGTGCATGCATAAAGCTTCTTAGCTTGATTAGATATAGACTAGTGCATGCGGGTTCTGTACCGGCGTTGGACTTTAGGGTTGAAGACTATGCTATAATTATAACTGCTATCAATGCATTCAAAACTCTATATGTACCAGGAGGGGGCGATCCTACAGAGTTCAGGGAAGAGTAACACAATAGAATCTCAGAATACCTTCATTGACGGCGATTCACAATTGTTGGTATGTACCAGTCTATTCGGTGTTTCATCTGACAATGGGCCAACTAGAAAGCTTGTCATGCTCCAAGTTCTTCCACGCATGTCTCAACCCTCGGGTGTTGGTGATATAGTTGACAAAGAGGCACCGCAATGGTCAAACCCTATCGTCGGCGTATCGGATGTATACAGTATGAATTTCCATTCTTGAAGCATTGCTTCAAAGGCTTTTTGGCTTATATGTCTCACCTAGAAATTTCGGCAGCTCTCACACCCTGGAGAACATGCGTCCATCATGTTATTAAGGAACGCGCTGAAGAATCCCCAGACGACACGGCGGTTTTGGCATGGGACGGGTCATTCAGTTATGCAGAGCTCGAAAGGATCTCTTCAAATATTGCAGTTGTCTTAATGATGCTGGGAGTTCAGCCAGAAACCATTGTGGCAATCTATATGGATAAAACTCGTTGGACTACGGTTGCTATCCTCGCAGTCATGAAGAGCGGGGCCGCATTTACTCTACTCGATCCTTCACACCCTCAGTCGAGACTTCACGCAATCTGCCAAGAGATCAATAGTAAGTTTATTCTTACGTGCGAGGAAAGGAGTGAGCAATCCTCTCACTTGGCTCCTTCTCTTGTCGTCGAACACTTGGCCGACGTCTGTCGATCTGCATCTGGTCAATCTCGAGTGTTTCGTGGCCACCCTGACCGTGCACTGTATGTTGCGTTCACATCAGGGTCAACTGGAAAGCCCAAGGGCGTTGTGATCGAGCATCAGTCGTATTGTTCCGGTGCGCGACATCATCTCAAGGCTTTTGGAATCCGCCGAGATTCACGCGTTCTTCAGTTCGCGTCGTATGCCTTTGATGTTAGCCTCATGGAGACTCTGAGCACACTGATGGCGGGAGCTTGTCTGTGTGTAATGGGCAGCGATCAGAGAACAGACCCGGTGCTTTTTCGTCAGGTCTTTGATAGTTTCCGGATCAGCCACGCCTTCCTGACTCCTTCCTTTGCAAGAACGATAGCTTGGACCAGTGGCCGCCCGGGCACCACACTCATTTTGGGCGGCGAGACAATGCGTACATCCGACGTTTTATTCTACAACAAGCTGGGCATTTCCTTGATGAATGCGTATGGTCCAGCAGAATGCTCTGTCAACTCCACAGTTCTATCTGCTGTTATGCCGACAGGAAGACCCAATAACATTGGCTTTTGCACTGGCGCAGTCGCATGGATCGTCAGTCCAGATGACCCTGAGCAGCAAATGCCCCATGGAGAAGTTGGAGAACTCCTCATAGAGGGTCCTATTGTCGGGAGGGGCTACCTGAACAACCCAGAAGCGACCCGTGAGGTATTCATTCGACCCCCATTGTGGCTCAGGAGAACGCGTGCCGGCATACCAGGCACCATTCGAACCTACCTCACTGGTGATCTTGCATCGATCGGTATCAACTCAGGTGAAATCCTCATTCACGGCCGAAAGGACCGTCAAGTCAAAATCCGTGGCCAACGAGTTGAGCTGGGTGAGATTGAAAACCATCTTTGTGAATGTCTTTCTACGATAATCACAGAGATTTTCGTCGAGAGAATCGTGCCCCAGAACAACGAGCAAGAGAAGCTTGTTGCTTTTGTCGTATTACCTGCACCGTACAAGGGCACCCGAATCTATGAAGATTTATTTTACGCTCCGCAATGCGCTACGACGGAGCTTTTCCGCACAAGCCAACAACGACTGAGGGAACGCCTCCCCGACTACATGGTACCAAATACATTCATCCCGCTCGCCACGGTCCCAAAAGTCCCTTCAGGAAAGATTGATCGAAACCTTCTACGAGCCACTGCCCTCAGGATGTCTGGAGATCAGATGCAGGAGTTTAACTTGGGGTCAGTTGGCACTGAAGCCACCAAGGAGCCCCCAGCAACTCAAACGGAGGCGCTGCTCAGACGTCTCTATTCAGAGATACTGTGTCTCTCACCTGAGCTAATTGGAATTCGTGACACTTTCCTGCAGCTTGGTGGTGATTCCCTCCTTGCCATCCGTCTTGCAGGCGCAGCCCGAAAGACTGGCCTCATAATCTCGATGCAAGACATCCTTTCCTCAAAAATCACAGTATCAGACCAAGCTGAGCGTGCGATAGAGTGCACTCCCCTTGTGGGCTTGGATATGCATGGTACGCCTGCATTTATGAACAGGGATTCTCGTGATGAGGTTATGCAAGTCCTGGAAAATCAACACGGGATTTGCCCTCAAGAAGTCGAAGACGTTTATCCCTGCACTTCACTACAAGAAGGAATGTTCGCAACATCTATCAAGGAACCGGGCATGTATATGGGTGATATTGTCTTTCAGGTTCAGGATGGCGTGGATCCTGTCCTGTTGAAGTCTGCTTTCAAGGCCATTACAACTGCGAACCCCATTCTTCGTACTCGTATTGTTCCAACTAAAAAGTGCTTTATGCAAGTGGTTTTGCTGGACGATTTTGCTTGGGAAGAGTCCATGTGCGTGGAACAGGGTCAGGGCCATATCCAGGAAGGTGGTCTCAGCACAAAGGGATGCCTTGTGAAATTTAAATATAGCCGTCCGACTCGAGAGCTGACGGTGACCATTCATCATTCTATCTGGGATGGCTGGTCACTCCACCTTGTCCAGAGCCAATTCCAGGACGCGTACGAAGGGAGGAGCGTGGCAAAATCTCCATTCTCGCCTTTCGTTTATTACACTCAACACCTACAGAACGTTGAAGAATTCTGGGCCTGTGAGTTCTCAGGATTAGATGCTCCAGTCTTTCCAGCCCTGCCATCCAGCAACTATTGCCCCTCCCCAACAGGGGCACTCAACCATGTGATCAGAAACCTGGATACCACAGGTAGTACTGAACATACAGTGGCAACATATATCCATTTGGCCTGGACTCTACTCATAGCTCACTATACAGAATCTGCCGAAGTTCTCTATGGGATCACCGTGAGTGGACGCAATGCACCAGTGCCCGGTATCGAAACGATTGTTGGACCAACGATCGCAACCATTCCTCTACGTGTGAAGGTCAACCGCGACGCGTCTTTTAAATCTGCGCTGGATGGCATTCAGGATGTTCTCACACGGGTTATTCCCCATGAGCAAGCCGGTCTGCCACGAATTTCCAGATGTTCCTCGGATGCTGCAAGGGCCTGTAATTTTCAGACTCAACTTGTTATTGAGGCCGCCTCCGGTGTTGAAGGCGAAAGCGACTCTGGACTTCTTGCTGTATCCAGTGGTTCTACGTCTACCGGCATGAGCTATTCCCGCTTTACCGATCGTGCACTGATGATCGTGTTCCACCCCAGCCTCGACAGAGGAACCATATCAATAAATGTGACTTTCGATACTGACATCCTTTCTTCAACCGAGGTCACTCGGATGATGAGTCAATATGAAAATATTCTCCGCCGAATCTACGAGACATCCTCCCCGACCCCTGGAGATATACAGATGGCTAGCCCGAGTGATCTCCTTCAACTTCAACGTTGGAACCGGGACATGCCACTGGCAGATGCGCGATGTCTGCCACAACTGGTTCTTGCCCAATCCACCTGCCGGATTCACGAGGTTGCAGTCTGCTCCTGGGATGGATCTTGGACATACGATGAACTTGTCTCACACTCGCTGCGTCTTTCTCGTCATTTAAAAAAGTTGCAAGTCCACTCCGGCTCTTTTGTGTCAATCTGCCTGGAGAGAAGTAAGTGGAGCATTGCCGCTATTATTGCAGTCCATTGGTCTGGTGGAACGTGTATTCTACTCGATCCAGACCATCCCAAGCAGCGACTACAGCAGATTACAAAACACGCTGGCAGCTTTGTGATGATCAACAGTGAAGCTACCAGGGCCTCGTCAGGTGATCTTTGTCCCATCGAAGTACGCTTGACAGCGCCATTCCTCAACAGCCTTGAGGAGAACGGCGATAGATCTTTCAAAGGTTCTCCAGAAGACCCGGCCTTCATCATGTTCACGTCGGGTAGCACTGGACAGCCGAAGGGGATTGTCATCTCACACCGTGCATTGAGCTCCAGCATCTACCATAACAGCAATGCTATGAAGTTCCATTCAGGTACTCGGGCACTCCACTTTTCGTCCTATGCATTTGATGTCAGCATCTATGAGATCTTTACCACATTGGCTGCAGGGGGGACTGTGTGTGTCCCTTCTGAGTTTGAGCGCAAAAATTGTCTTGCAGAAGTCATCGGGCGCATGAATGTCAACTGGGCCTTCTTGACACCGACCACCGTGCAAACAATGTCTCCATCCGAGGTCCCATCTTTGACAACCCTTGTTCTTGGGGGCGAGACTGTTACACGCGACAATGCGGATACTTGGGCGCATGGTCGGTCTCTAATCAACGGGTATGGCCCCGCCGAGGCAACAATTTGTGGCGTTGGACCTATATTGGAAGGTCGTTGGAAGTCCGGTGTCATCGGTCACATTGTTGGTGGCTTGGGATGGGTCACTGAACCGACAAATCCCCAGCGACTGGCTGCAATTGGCGCGGTTGGGGAGCTTCTGTTGGAGGGTCCTTTCTTGGCCCACGGCTATCTTAACCTACCAGATGTTACCAGGAGATCTTTCATCAAATGTCCTGCCTGGAGATCTCAAATTCGTTCAGACGCCCCGTCGGTTATTTATCGAACGGGAGATCTAGTAAAGTACCAACCAGATGGCACCATTCAATACATGGGACGCAAGGACACACGTATTAAGCTTCGAGGTCAGCTCATAGACCTGAGTGAGGTTGAAACTGCGGTCTTGCGCATTTTCCCCAACGCCGTCGAGGTAGTCGCTGAAGTGATGAAAATGACTGCGAGCACTACAGCGACTATGCTCGTTGCTTGGATCAAGCTCGGTACCGTCAACGTGCCAGAAGATATGAAAAACAGTGATACATGTATTGCACCTGCGGATTCTGAGTTCAGAAATGCATCGTCCTTTGTTCAGACACGCCTCCGGAAACTGGTCCCCTCCTACATGGTCCCAACAATGCTTCTTCCGGTATGGCGCATTCCGCACACTCTCACAGGCAAGGCCAATCGACGTTGTCTTCGGCAGGAGGTGCAAGACTTGCTGCCATCGGAAATACAAAGCTTCATGGTGGCACCGCACGAAAAAGAACACATGCAAAATAAGTCTGAGGAACTCTTGCGAGATATTTGGGCGGATCTTCTGGATATTATACCTGACGAAATAGGACGTCGAGATGGCTTCCTTTCAGTCGGTGGTGATTCTATTACAGCTATGAAAATGATGGCCGTTGCTCGACGCGCCGGGTTTGGCTTCACAGTCATGGATGTCTTGAACAGCTCCTCACTGTCAGAACTCGCTGCCACTCGACGAGATATCACTTCCCCCGACGAACCCTCAGTGCTCGACCCGAACTCTGCCACACCGGAACCCAAGCAGGAAGTGACTGTTTCTTCGGACGCAAACTCCGCCGCCCCTTTTCTGGTCACAGGCGCGCAAGACTTTCTCACCAAACGCTATCCATGGTCGCATTTCCGGTTTTCCTTCAATGGCAGAATTGATCAGGATCGTTTAAGATCGGCATGTGACTTGATTCTGCGCAATCACAGTATCCTTCGCACTGCCTTTGTGGAAGACAATGGCCAACTTAAGCAATCAGTTCGGGACTGCACAAATCACGTCCCTTTCCGTATAATTGTAACAGATGATACAGATGATTCTCTGGAAGCCTTTGCTGCGAAGCTTTGTGATGCTGAGCAACTTGTCCCTGTTCTTTCAGTCGATCACCCGACTTTGTTCACGCTGGTTTCCAATAAGGGTCTCGTCAAGCATCAATTCATAATGCGACTAGCACACGCTCAATATGACGCGGTTTCTCTTCCAAGAGTACTGAGCGATTTTGAGACGATTTTCAAAGGAACTCGGCCCGTCGCTTCTAGTGACTTCCGTCAATATCTCGCCCTCCTCTCTCAGCAAGATTTTAGCAAAGCTTACGAGTTTTGGAGAACCTATTTGCAGGACTCTGTGATTACTCTTTTACCTTCGAGCTTCAAGTCTCCCCCCTCAGGCCCCTTCCATCGGGCGGACCCTATAACAGTTGTTGGGACTTACAGCCTTCCACTGCCACCAATTCCGTCAGAGATTACGCCGGCCACAGTTGTAAAAGCTGCCTCTTGCCTTGTACTGGCACACTTCACTGACAAAAATGACATTGTTCTGGGACAAACTGTGAGCGGTCGCAGTTTGATTTCTGATGAATTCGATGATATCGTTGGACCATGCACCAACTACATTCCTTACCGCGTGGTTCTAAATCCGTCAATGACGGCAATTGACTACTTGACTCATGCCCAAGCACAGCACACTCGGTGTTTGAATTATGAGTCAATTGAACTCTCCCAGATCGTCAAGAATTGTACCGAATGGGCCCACACGACCCAGTTCACATTTATTGTTCAACATCAACTTGCCAATACTCACCTCGATCTCACCCTTGATGGAAACAAGTCCACTGCATTTTCCCTGTCAGGTCGGCTCCTTCCCTCATCAGAAATCTGGATATGCTCTACCTCTTCATTCGCTGGGATAAAAATCGAAGTATTCGGATCGAGTTCAAGCATTGGGCAGGAGAATGTGGAGCTTTTGGCGTTTGAAATTTCTACTGCGGTCCATAGTTTGTTGACTGGTGTACACGATCCGCTTTTCTCTGTTTACGAACGCAATGTGTGATTTCCTGTTGCCCTACCACCGTTATGTGAGGCAATAATTAGAATTCTCCTCTCGGCTTGTTTTTTATACTTGGCTATTTGCAATATAAGACTATCATCGTACAATTAATCTTTATGACTGAACGCTACTCTAACGCGTGCCCATAGTATATATAGTGTTAGGAACTTCCACAAAAATTTCTAACTACTAGTAGTTATCTAATGATGTGATATTATACATAATACTTATTCATAACGACACTAGAAAAAATGTCGAAAAATGCTTTGGGGAGAGAGACATTGATCAAAAATAGAAAATATAGGTCGGAACAAAAACATACAACAGTGAGGATTCGCTGGTGGTCACCCACCCAACTACTAACTCACCGGCGTGTGGCTTGAGTACGGCTGAGCGGACGGGAAGCCCTATTTTCCACACCCTATGGTCGTATGTACTAAGTTATGAGTAAAGGGATCTGATATAATGAAGTGGGCTAGGGTGAATTGGTGAAATAGACCATAAAAAAAGAAAGATATGAGTGCGCGATAGACGAGGGGAGAATTAGGGAACCGAGAATCCTGGCCAATGGAAGACTGGAATATATGGATGTAAAAATCTATACAGCATATATATTGAGACAAAATAATACTATAAAAAAAATACAAGAAATAAGAATTCCAAGCTCGTATACTGTAGCAAGTAAAGAGAAATGTAATTGTCTAATCTATTTCATCCATGGAAAGAAGCACATATGTGCTTCTTCTTCGTATTCCTTCCAGTATGATAGACCAAAAGAATCGGTAGGAAACAGTGAGAATCAACAACAAGAAGCAAAAACTGACTGCAAGCAGGCTGAATTAAAAACATCGAGTCGCCGATGCAGTGTGATAGCCGGTTGTATGCTGGCGACAACACGAGTATGATCAAACCGCATACAGCCAAGGACACTAGTCTTCCTTTGGCAGGAGTCAAAGCTCAGATTCTCCATACCTGAGATCTGCATAGTGCACCCCTGATTAGAAAATTAGAGTTGAATCCTGGAAATAGCTGGGATTCTCAACAGACGTCCGGGGGGGAGCTCCCGGTCCGTGTGACCCTTTTGGTGTGTGCTAATACAATGTTGAGGTGGTCGCCATGTCAGGACTAGTCTTATGGCCGCCGCTCATATGGTTTGATGTGGAAATCTTAAAATTAATATCAGCTAGATGATGGGTATTAGAAGACTATTGACGGGTGATTTAATCACAATGATCTCTCTTACAGATAACTAATGGCCACGGCTAAGCTAAAGTAATATAACGAATATGGGGTATCTTGATAAACATGAAATTGAAACAAATCATAGTACAGAAATATCTCTCAAGCGGGCTTGACCCGATGGTCGAACGAAACCCAAGAGGGATCTGATCTTATAGGTGATATTTGGACCCCGTCATCACTTTGATCGGACTGTCCTGGATCGCCGAGAAAAACGGCAGTATTGTTGGAGTTTTTCCCACTCCATCCTGTGTCGATGTGAAGATCATCATGTAGTTGTTCGACGTCTTCAATAGCCGATGGATTTGTGCGGATCACAAGAAGCAAACTGTTGAGTACTGTGAACTCTAGCATCAACTTGATACTGTAGACGACTGGCTTGAGGGTAGTCTGCACGTCAAAATGGTTTGTATACTCTGTCGCCAGGAGGGCTGCATCCAATAAAACTGCGAAAGTGTTGACGACAAGTAGATTGATAACAACTTTCTGACCCCGACGGCCCTTCATCGCCAAAACGGGTCTCAAGCTGGTCATAGTTTCCCAGATGTATAACCCACTGATAATCGTCTCCTGGGCGGCGAATCCAGCCAGTTGAACACGCTCGTATATATCAAACGGACGGATAAAGCTTTTGACGCCAAGATTGATCCCGAGGAAGAGCACAGTGGTGGGAATATGCAAGGCGCAGAAGTTGAAGATGATCATGCCCAGCACCCAGCGGGAGTAGGAATCATAGTTCGTAACCAGATGCAGCCGTGAGTACAGCACCACAGACTGTCCAGTGACCATAGAATACCAGCTGATGCAGATCAAAACGCACATGGGAAAATTCGGAGCGAGAGCGAAGTAGCGAAGGAATGTCGAAAGAGCGTGAACAAGAATTCCCAAGGTGGCGATCACCATGCTCCAGAAGTAAAGGCCGCGACGGCGCTTGAAGGTATTGAAAATGGAAACGAGGATTTGGAGGACGTTCCAACACGCCAGGGTGAGGAGACCTGCAATCACCATTGCAATCGGCCGAGACACCTCGACAGGACCCGATTCACCTGCCATATTGGTGAATGGTGAAGATCAAGCCAGCGATGAGTGTAGGAGAAAGATGCTGGAATTGATGAGCTATGCTGCGGGCCGAAGCCGTTCATAGGAAAGTGGACATGGTGGGGAGTTGAAGTTGGAGTGAATCTGAACTGAATCTTGAAGACAATGGATCTCGGGAGGCAGGGGCACGACAAAGGGTGAAATTTGAACGGTCGATCGTTGTGGAGGTGGGTTTGAAGCTAAATCCCGATGGGGTAATTAGCATATTCCAATAGAGTTGAGACATTGGCTCCACTCGGGCAGCCATCATTGGGCCATGACACTGCTGATATCATGACAAACCTTGTCTAATCCTTCACCTTCCGCATTTGGCTTGGTTTCATATAGACTTGTTTTTAATCCATGCTCTTAATCGAAGCTAGTATGTGATTACCTCAGATCTTCAACAGGAGATTCCCAAAATCAAAGCGGAGAACGGTTCCAAGGGTCCAAAATACGAGAACAAGACCTCGAATAACTCTATCCTTACCACATCAGAACCACTGCTAAGCCCCGACGCGAATGAAAACCGAGCTAACCGCTGCTGCTGATATATAAATTGGTGATAGGCACAACAACTCCGCGCGCATCCGTGGTGCTTGTCATCGTTGTCACCAGTGGACCGGTGATGACCGTACATATTGCGAAACGTGAGAGATTCGCCGGCACCTATCTTTAAGCTCGTGCCATAGGTCGCGCAGCCCCGCGATGTGCACACTGGCGTGGGGACATTGGGAAACCAAAAATGGTGTGGTAGGTCTCGACTTGGCGACATGACCATTCACGATCGTCTCGAACCCTTGGCCCCCACCTCGAGGCGGGCTTCAGTAGCGCACTGTCTCACCGCCCCATCGATGTGGGGCTATCACAAGGGGTTAATGTCTGCCTAATTGGTTTGGCAAACTTGAAAAGGGAATTGGGATACTAAATATCAGCCAATTAGACATTCCAGACCTGTCTAGCTTTCAAGGGGGGAGCTCAGTTCTGTCAGATAGTTATTCCTACATGTCTGCCTCCATACTCCATCGGTTGCTTTTGAGACTGATGAACAACTTAATCAGTCCACGAATTGAACTCCTGGGATGATCCGGAGACGTTCTGGAGACTGTACCCCAGTCTCTGCCTCAAATTGGCTATATCCTGCAGGAAATATGTCTCTTCCTGTTGCCACTCCAGGATTCTTCGGTTCATACGAATGACCAAAATGTCTATATGCAGATCTCCCCTGGTGCATATTTATTATTGTCAGCTACCTCGACCGCCATAATGTTAAGGATACCTCAACGAGGTCGGCTCATGTCCTCTTGTGTGTTCTATCTGTACTTGCCATATCTATTAATCTTCTGCTAACGGTGTTAATATAATACATGCTTGCTATTAAAAGCCTGTCTATCGATTCTCATCATGATCATCATCATCATTTACTCCCGGACCAGAACACCGCGGTATCTCATCTTGCCATCACGCAGAGTCTGCATAGCAGTTTCGACACCATCCTTGGTCAAGGGGAAGGTCATGGTAGTCGGGGTAATCTTCTTATCGGCAGCGAACTTAACCAATGTGCGCAGACTGTTGCGCGATGCCACAAGGGAACCCTGGATACGAATACCCTTGATGTTCATGAAGAGAAGGGGAACGGGCGAAGGAGCAAAGTCGACAGTCAAGGGGTAGATTGAGCCATGCACATCCATGAGCGGGATAAGGCTGGGGTAGTCGACGTTGGCGCTACCACAGAGCAGCAGGTGGTTCACGGGCTTGAAGTCCTTCATTTCCTCGCCCTTACGGAAGACGTGGTACTCGGACGCGCCGAACCCGAAGGCCTCCTCACGCTTCGCCTCTGAGCTGGACAAAACAACAACATGGCAGCCCATCGCCGAGGCGAGCTTAATGGCCAGGTGACCCAGACCACCGATACCCATAATAGCCACCCGGTCCGTCGGCTTGACACCGTACTCTGTCAGACAGGTCCAGACTGTCGCGCCGGCGCACATCAAGGGCGCAGCATCGGCGGAGTCATAGCCATCCGGGATGGGGACGACGCATCCGGCGTCCCAAACGGTGCCGCCGCTGAACGAGCCCAGGTCGTGGTCGTGTGAGCCGTATTCCTTCTTATTCTCGCAGTATTGGTCCCAGCCTGATTTGATTGACTACTATTAGCATGTTGTTAATCTTGCTTTGGGGTTGGAATTCGTACCCGTCAAGCACTTGTCACAGTTTCCACACACGTAGTGTGTGTATCCATATCCGACACGCGCTCCAACCTTTACGTTGGTGACGTCCCGGCCGACCTGGCGAACGATACCGACGCCCTCGTGGCCGAGAGCCATGCCGGAAGAGAGGTAGTGCTCATCTGTGCCACATAGACCGGAGTGTGTTGTCTCGATATAGACCTCGTTGGGCTGTAGGGTGCGGGTGGTCTTGTCGGCCACGATCTTGCCCTCCTTGGAGCCGCGGAAAACCTCGAAAGTGACGCTCATTATGATGGTGTGTGAATGATATCTTGCGGGAGAATGGGGTTGTGTAGGTGGGATAATGGCACTAAGAGGGCAAGACGGATGGCACTCCTTTTAAATCAAATGCTTCTCCAACTTCCAGGTTCTACATGTCTTGGATGTATCGGCATCTGGTCCCTAGCTAGGTAAGCGTGCCGTTTTCCACCAGTTCTCAACACGACAGAGCCAACGAAATCTCTGCTAGGTGTGGATCAAAAGACGATCAACCACGTTAAAGTTGTTCTAGAGAATTCTGCACGTTATGCCGATCGACCAGTAGCTATTGAGCCCAATCACTGCCATTGCCGAGCCATCCGTCTTCTAGAAGATCTGTGGAACTCGTTGCGGATTTGATGTCAAGCTAAACCACAGAGGGCGAACCTCCGAGCAAAACTCCACAAATCAGATATTCGGCATGTCGCAACGGGTGCAATTCCTCCGAAGTCAAAGCTTGTCGGAGACTTTTGACCCTGGGTCGGGTTTAACTCGGGATAGATATAATAATCATTGTATTCAATAAGTGGGCTGATAACTAATACCTTGGTGGAATGATAGGGAATTTTCGCTAACCTTAAAATTAAAATTGTCCCGAGTCTACGGAAAAGTCGGCGCTGAACTTAAATTCTTCAGTGATGTCATAGGTATACGTTCAAGTACATTGTGGCAACATGGTCTTCACAGTACGTGCTATTACAGGCATAGCTGATTGGGTACTTGAATCTGTTTTTGTCCCTTTTCCTCTTTTTTATCTTTTCTTCCCTTTTTTTCTTCTTTTTTTCCAGCTACTATATAACAAAAAGTTGTTTGGGGCTTTGTAAGGTCGCTGGGAGCCTTCCAAGGCTGAAACCTTACGAACATGCCATGCTTAAAGTCAGACATATGTAAATGCTGAATATTCCTCAGACACGCTAGTAGATTGGGACCCTCTTTTGTCTACAAATAAATCATATGATCCTCCGGTGATGGCCCTTGGTGGATGGTTTCCCGTTGTTAGCAGAGGGTCAAAAGGGTGTATTTGGGCTTGTCGTATCATTAACAATAGATCTGCTACGTTATCACAGCGTCAAATTTCTATTGGGGATAGAACGTAATCCTCTGGGAGCGAGAGGAAAGAAGATTGACCGCTAAGGTCTTCAAGAAAGCAGACTATCAGTGCCTGAATGGGCGAATACACACTCCAATATTTCAAAACAACGTGTTACTATTTCCATGCTCCAGTGCAAGACAACACACTCGAAATGAAGGTAGCATTACAACTCCCGACCCAGTTGCTGCAGGACAGATACAAATAGATGATCACAGCGGATAAAGCCGGACCTGTTCTTAGGGCACATAAGCATTTGAACAGCACCAAAAAGGTTCGCCTGCAAAGCTCGCTGATGAGGTTGATGAACGTCTATATGACTGACAACATGAAATACGGATTGATAGTATGCAGTTGGAACTTCACGAGAACAACCGACTTGTTGGGATCTACATTATGTAGGGACTAAAGCAGAAGGGAGAGAGTTGTATTAGGAAGAGAGACAAGCGAGCTCCTTAACAACTATCTAATCTAGCGAACGCGACCTGTCTGAGGTATGAAGCAGGCACCGAGGCATCTACCACCACACGACTAGTGGCTACGATGACAGCATTGTGTTTAGTTCTCTATGTACGGGCACTCTAAATATTATGGTGATCTGGTCTTGCGTGGTCAAATAAGTCAAACGTGCTTTCCAGAACCGTTGAAGTTGGCCCTTTACTCCGCAGCTAACGTCTCCAAATAGTGCGATCAGAAGAATACCTTTGGGTGTCTAGAGCGCCTAGAGATTCTGAGGTCCGACCACAAGTCAGAAATCCAGTAGTCTACGCATGCGAATTAAATGCCATTGACTCGACTCGACTTGCTTATACACCGGATACGTGCCTTAGGCGGGGTAGCTTACCCGTTCCCACTATTTTCCAGGTTACCGGACCAACCAGAGGAGCTGCGGGGAGATCAACGTAATGACCCCGGTAAATCGGAGAGACAATATTCTCTTTCAAGGTTTGACCGTGATTATTAGCGGGAGTCCACTTGACGCAGGTGCAAAAATTGGCGGTCCTCGTTAATTCAAACGAGGGGTAAGCGACCTTGCTATTTTATCACGCATCTCGCTCGCCGAGGTAACCTCTTGGTGAAGAAAAAGGTGCCCAATTGGAGTCCTGTCATTTAGCAGTCCGTGATAACAACATGGGCCCATACGTCGCATCGGTCTTTGAAGGGACGGCCCATGTCAGAGGCAAGGCTTCTGGAACACTTATTGCAAGTGGCCTAGAGCTAAGCTTCTGGGGCGGTGTCAATTCTCAGACAGGAGAGGTTATTGACCGCCATCATGACTTGAGCGGCCATCATCTCCACGATACTGTCCTTGCCATTCCCGGTGGCCGAGGTTCATGCTCTGGGAGTGGGGTTATGCTGGAACTCCTCCTCAACAACAAAGGACCGAAGGCCATTCTATTCGAGAGACAAGATGACATTCTCGCTCTCGGCGTGATGGTTGCGGAAGAGATTTTCGGCAAAGCCATACCAGTGGTCACGATGAAGCCGGACGATTTCCGGGCGATTTTGGGCATGAGAGGAAAGACCATCTACATTGATTCCGACCGCGTTTCTGATGCAGCCTTTCATGATACACACGGTGACCACACACAAGAGCCAACCAAAAATTACTTCATCGACGGTATGCAGCTGTCAGACTTCGATAAAGAATTGCTCCAAGGACTTCATGGGGAGGCCTCTTCTACTGCGATCCGCATCATTTTGCGAATGGCAAGTCTACTAGGAGCCACGGAATTAATGAATGTGACCCAGGTCCACGTGGACTGCTGTCTTTATACAGGGCCAGGATCTCTTCTGTTTGCAGAAAAGCTCCGGGACTGGGGGGGGCAAGGTCCGAGTTCCAACAACACTGAATTCCATCTCTATCGATCAGAATCGTTGGCGTGAACAAGGTGTCGACAACTCATTTGGAGAAGCAGCCACACAATTAGCGAAAGCCTACACCGACATGGGCGCTACGCCAACCTTTACCTGTGCGCCATACCAGCTTAAGACAGCACCAAGACAAGGAGAACAAGTGGCTTGGGCGGAATCAAATGCGGTCGTCTACGCTAATAGCGTACTTGGGGCTCGAACCATGAAATATCCAGATTTCCTGGATATATGTGTCGCCCTCACTGGGCGAGCTCCCAGAGGAGGAGCGCATTTGGACATAAACAGATTGGCGTCGCTTATTTTGAGAGTTGATCTTCCGGAGGTGGATACTATTGACGATTCCTTCTACCCCATACTGGGCTACGAAGTTGGTAGCCTTGCTGCAAATCGGATCCCCGTGATTGTTGGGCTACAGGCACTGGCACCGTCGAGAGACGATTTGAAGGCCTTTGGCGCTGCGTTTGCAACTGTTTCTAGTGCGCCCATGTTCCATATGCTGGGCGTCACCCCGGAGGCAACTTCACTTAGTGCCGTCGTGGACGAAGCGCGTCAAATACCATCTGTCGATATCAAAATGGAACATCTGATTGACGACTGGCAGAGGCTCAATAGTGCATCCGAGCAACAGCCCGTCGATCTGGTCTCCCTCGGCAACCCACACTTTTCATTCAAAGAAATGAAAAGGCTGGCTCACCTCTGCGAAGGCCGAACCAAGGCACAAGAGGTTTCAGTCATAGTGACATGTGGCCGGTCTTCTTATGGCTTAGCCTCCCAGGCAGGGGTGGTAGAAGTACTGGAGAATTTCGGCGTTAAATTTATGACCGATACTTGCTGGTGCATGATCACGGAGCCGATAGTTCCGACAACTACGAATGCTATCATGACAAATTCTGCGAAGTATGCTCATTACGGGCCGGGTCTGACGGGACGGAAGTTCTTTTTGGGAAGCCTCATGCAATGTGTGGAGGCTGCATGCCAAGGCAGCTATACCAAGGAGATACCTCAATACCTGCTGAATACAGATGGTTAATGATTTGGGGTGCCCACTTCGTTTTGACCTTGAACGCCAACTGAAAGGAATTGAATCCCTTATTTGCGACCTGCGTTGCAGATAAATAGATTCCGTCCAACAAAAGGAGGAGCAGTGGGCGGCCCGACAGCTTGAGGCGAAGCCTCGTCGTCTTCTCCGGATGATCTCTATTAGACTCTGTGGAAGTGGGTGCAGACTACAAGTGATGTTGCATCTGGAGGGCGAAGACCCAGGCCAATCTCTACAGTGGACTGCACAGGCAATCTATGTTTCACTTGGTTAATTTATTTATTAGTCATTTCCTGATCCCTAGGAAAGAAATGCCGACATCGCTAGCAGATTGATCATAGTAATGGGCTCTGGTGGAGAGATAAATATACTAGTGAACTATTGGGACATTTCTAATATTGCGACATGATGGCGTGTTGCCAATAACGTGCTACTAGGTAAATATTACTCTAAGCCACCTATTTCCCCGCAGCTATAAGATCTAACAGTAGTCCCATTTTCTCCGCTCATTGTCAGAAACACAATGGGAAGCATAGCAGCAACACCTTTTCGAAGTCCGTTTCAGGACGTCCCGGCGGGCCGAACAGGTAAATAATACAATTGACACATACATGAACCCGAATTAAGAAAGCATGACTAGATGGCCTCGCAGCTCTCGTTGGACAGTTTCGAGAGGATACCGATCCCAGCAGAACTGATCTTCTTGTGGGCGTGTATAAAACGGAAGAAGGGAAGGCGTACGTGCTACCAAGTGTGAAAGAGGTATATATAACGACCCAAAATTTACCATTCTACGCCCCTGGCACATCACTAAATCTTCGATGTTTACATCGCAGGCAAAGAACAGGATATTCAATGACCCAGACTGGCATCATGAATATCGCCCTTCCGCTCTGGGTTCCCAGATTTATAGGGATTTAAGTGCCAATTTGCTATTTGGGCGAGATCATCGTCTTTTGCGGGAGAAAAGGTAAAAGAACGCTGATCTCCTCTATTACGAATTCTCTACATATCTGACTTTATTTCTTAGAATAGTTTCAACACAGACGCTCGGCGCAAGTGGCGGCTGCCATGTGGGCGCAGTTATATTGAAAAACCATTATGGGCCGTGGAAGGAAAGTGGGAACCCCGAGATTTTCCTTCCGAGCGACTCCTGGTGTAAGTCCTCGCTTTACTCGTACATCCGAAAGCAATCATAACAAGATCCTAGTGAATCACCCTTTCGTATTCGCGTCTGCTGGAATTAAGACCAGCCTTCTACCTTATTTTAGCAGCAAGACAAACACATTCGATTTTGAGAGCTTTTCGGAAGCTATAAAATTATTGCCCGCTCAATCCGTCATTCTTCTTCAATCTGGAGCCCAGAACCCAACTGGATGTGATCCATCGCTAGACCAATGGCGAGAGCTGGCCTCGATCTTCTCTCAACGTGGTCATTTGGCATTCTTCGATGCTGCATATCCCGGGTTTGCCTCAGGAGACATTGACACAGATCTCCAAGGTGTTCGTTTGTTTGCTGAGAAGGAAATCCCGCTTGTTTTTGTCTCAACATACGGGAAATCCTTCGGGCTTTACAGCGAACGCGTTGGAATTCTCTCAATTCTTGTTCCGAACGAGGAAGTGGGAAAGAATATAGAAACGCAATTGAGACTACTCGCAAGAGCAGAGTCGGGCGCGCCGCCCGACTTTGGGTCCAAGATTATCGAGACGGTCCTATCAGATCAGGTATTGGAGCGCCAGTGGCGACAGGAAGTGCGCGATATGGCGAACCAACTCAAACACCGTCGAATTGCGCTGAGGGAAGGATTGGAGAAGTTGGAAACACCGGGTGACTGGCGCCATATCACTGATCAGAATGGAATGTTTTCGTACGTTTTACCAAGATCAAGCTCGGGGAGATTCGCCATACTGACTTTCTATAGATATGTTGGATTGTCCGTGGAACAAGTCACTCTGCTCCGGAACAAGTACCATGTTTATCTTCAGGACTCTGGGAGAATATCTATCGCGTATGGTTGATACACATATCTTGGGAATAACGGTTAAGCTGACATATTTCTTTACCTAGTGGGCTGAACAAATTCAATATCGACTACACTGCTCGCAGTATCAGTGCTGTCATCAAAGCTACAGCCTGAAGAACTTGCAAGGATTTGCGCAACCGGTCATACAATAGACTGACTGGGACAGGATATGTAGGTCAAGATAGAGAGGGTTTATGATATATATCAGTAGTCCCCACAAGCTCTGCTGCAAATAAGAATGAAAATTTGCACAAAATCTTTGTTCAGCCAAGACAATAGCACCATATTCTCAATAAAATAAATAAAATAAAATTAGCCAAAATATCGAAAAGCAAGACTTGGTTATGGTGTGGAAGGTGAGAGGAGTGAAAAATATCTGCTGTTGCCTTTATTTTTCGGAAGTGCTTCTCAATACATTCATGGCGAACATCCACCAATCAACTGGGCTTGTGGTTTAGTGGTATAATACTCCCTTAGCATGGGAGTGGTCCGGGGTTCGATTCCCCGCGAGTCCACGTCTTTTTGCTTTTTTTCCCCTCCGAGATCGTCGCCAAGACATGCACGTCGTGCCAAGACATAATGGCCCGAGCCGTGTGTTACCCGCATGCGGTCGGGCAGCAAATACCATCTCAATGTCCATGCTGACCACCAAGTGTACGTAACAAAAACACCGATACTATACTTCCTATTTTCATGTAAAGAAACACCCATGGGCAGGACTATATCACAGGGCGTGGTATGCGAGAGGAGTCAATTCTTGCTGAAACTAACTTTTGACGGAGCTATCCAATTCAACCACCTCCCCATGAACAAGAATTGCGAAAAGCACCCAGGAAACGAAGATCCTAGATGGTGAAGATGCCGTTCTACTTGGCAGGCGGGTCTTGAGTGACTGTACGTTGAGCGGGAACCGTAGCCGGAGCCGAAGCCGGTTTATCCAAAGGGGCGTGGTTCGCTGGGTTGCGGAAGCAGTTCTCACTGGAATGACCAGCCTGACGTTGATGAAACTCGCAAAAGAAAGGGAGATGTTTACCCTTATTCAAGCTAAAAGAGTGAGCCTGATTGAGAGCGTTGAGGCGACGATCCTCGGAAACAACGAAGTCCGCAAAGGTTGCTTCGATAGTTGTATCGGTGGAGACCTTCGAATTGAGAAAGCCGTCAAGCCATGAGCGCGCAGCCGGGTTGGCGCTGACAGCATGCAGGAAATGATAAAAGATGAGAAGAGGCGTGAGCTTGGTGGAGTTGCACTCTTGGAGCTCAGCGAGGGCGGCGCGCCACTCGTTGACGAAAGCCTGAGGCTGGTTTGAAGTGTATGTGGTGTTGATGAATTTGAGGAAATTGGCGAAGCCAGCTTCGTACGACCGGGCTGCGAAGGCGCGGTGGAGGTTGGCGTATGCAGTACGTGCATTATTCGCGTCGAGAATGTAGAACTTGGCCGTCTGATGAACCGTGGCGTTCAGTAGCGGAAGGAGGTATCGACTGGCAGTATCCCACTGGGCATGAGCCTCGACTTCAGTGGACGTAGGCTGTGTGGGATCGACTGCACTGGGTTCGCTCCACACGCCGGTAAGAAGTCGGTAATATCGAATGTCGCGCGAATCGAGGGTCCACTTCAGTGCAGTATTCCATTCTGTGAAATTGGACTCGCCGACGAGCGTTGGGACGAGGTCGAGAAGGGTCGGCTCGGCAAAGCCACTGAAAGCCATTGTAGCGATGAAATTGATAAAAGAATGGTTGAGAGTGGCTGGATGGAGATGGGGTATTGATAGAAAAGGAACGAAGATTTTGCTTGGTGGAGTTGCCTGTGGGCGTCGTCGCACTTGGGGAGTAGTGGAAGTTTTGTGCTGGTGCGACAGCTTCTGGGAGATGAAGAAAATTTCTGGGCTCCCGGGACCAAAAAAAAAGAAGATCATGATAGAGAAGGAGCGACGAATGTCTCATAGGCTATCAAGTTCAGATCTACTAGAAGGGAAACCCCAAATTGTGTAGCGACTTCCTTACCATTGAAGCTAAGATGGGAGGGAATACCGACTCCTATTGCACCCATGTTCTATAGGTGGGTTATTACAGCATCGACTTGGTCATGTCTTTTAAGAGGCCTTTTAAGAAGTTCTCGTAATGTCTTTCGATGTCTTCGTTTTGAATAGGATGATTGACGACCTCGACGATCGATGTTCCCATGCAAAGTGTAGGGATATGGAATGGACCAAATTTGGAACGTCGCCTGGCATTTGAGGCCCTAAATACGGGAGCTGACTTTGCTCTACTTGGTCTATACACACCCGACATGATCCGGACTCTAGTTGGCATGTTAAGCATCACCTGGGACTCTGCCATATCAATTTGACGTGAAATGTAAGGCGATTTTCTCTTGCCGAGGCTGGACCGCAACCTTGGAACCTTGGAATTGGTAGGGGGTTATTGACAATGAGGAGGAGGCCCTTCCTGATTGGAAGCCTGAGGCAGCTTTGTCATTAGATTGATAGGTCTCTCCTTTCTCAGATATCTTCTGTGGATTCATACATATGCACGTGTCTGCTTCTGTTAGTAAATCGTATTATATCTTTTAAAACTACTCCGGAGTTAGGAGTAGTCTATTGCCAAGTGGATGTCCCATTCCCACAGCAAGGAAGTAACTACAAAGCTCTATAACTAGGAAAAGCAACATTTCCCAATCCCATCCAGTGTACTTTGTACTAACTTCAGCTTCAAATACGGAATACTCCGTAGTTACGTAGTATATGCCAGGATCCACCGGCCCGCTAATCTCCGACGATCCCAGCAGCTGCATGAACAAGTCACATCTAGGCAAACTTGCATAGGCCCGATCAACTTTCAGCTCCCCCACATTAGTGGATCGTGAGTACGCCGTGCATCTTATGTGATATACAAAATGGGTATAGTTAGAAAACAGTGCATTTGTTTGCTTGCTACGTGTGGAAAACCGGAGATTTCTTGCAGCCATAACACCAAAAAAGGGATTCTTGAATTACTTCATCGGACATTGATAATTCATTGACATTCTCCACAATATCGCTCGCTGCTGTTCTAGGTGTGTCGATATGTCCAACCTCCTTCTATTTCAAGACTTGCATACAGCGTCAGCTCTCCAATCCGTGAGTGCTGTGGACGAGGTTACATCGATTGCCTAATTTTCAGCTATGGCTTCTAGCAAGGATGTTATTGGGGTCTCCGGGGACTATGGCCATGCTAATACATAAATAGGGAGCTGTTTCTGCTCGAAGGAAGACCAGAATCGCATCACAACTCCCAAGACTCATCGAAAGAGAGACGACAGCAATACAGCAGCTATGCATTACTTGAGCACCCTCGGGGTGTTTGCCTTCCTTCCCTTTGCGTTATCTGCATCTAGCACTCCACCTGAGCAGATAGTAAGTGTCACACTTGAATGTCCCAGTTCGACTGTACTGACTTGTTTCAGACGGAGATTTGCAAGCAAAGAGGCCAGGTCCCTCAGCGAACAGAGAGTGGCTGGAATTGCGCTCAGACGTCTCCCATATGCGACTCCGACCAGGATCAAAGTACCTTGCACGAGGATTCCAAGACCGGAAACTGGATCTGTTGCCCGAAGGGACAAGAACTGGTCGATGGCTCTTGCACAGGTGGAAAGGGTAAGTCAAAGAAAAGGAGCAGGTATTACCTTTGCACTTAAACTAATAACCCACAGACCCAGTTGTTCCTACTCCCAAGCCAGTACCAGGATCCTGCGGCATCCACCTGAAGGACGCAAAACTTGAAAGCCTTCTTCGGGCCCTTCTGGTTCAATGCTTCCCCCACGAACACGCATCGTTGGATGTCTTTATCCAGTACTATATCACCGTCCTCCACGAGGGTATCAACCTGATCGAAGTCATCTACAAGAACGGTTGCGATGCACCCGACCCTAGCCCTGGGCCTACCCCCAGCCCCGCTCCGGTTCACCCGTGGTGGCAATGCCCGGCAGACAACTCGACCCCATGCAAATGGCTTCCTTTGGAAAACAACAAAGCCCGAAAGAGCCTAGCGGCAACCTCCGACCACAAGGTCCTGCCGAATCCCAACTTGCCTGTTGCAAACTACAAGTATCCCTTCGATACGCTAGTGACCAAGTTCCCGGATGATGACCTGGATATCTATGTCAAAGACCAGAAGCTCCAGGCACAAGGCTATGGAACGAGCTATCTCATTCCCGCCGGTAAGTGATAACACAATATAGAAATGCGCATACGAAGGGACTAATTGGTTAGGCACATCGGGCGATGATGTATACTATAAATCCCCCAAGGGAGCCCAAGTCCAGTTCTATGGAGCTTGTTCAAAGGATACACCATGCATTGGCAACGAAGTGGTGGCCTGGCAAGGCAAGTTGCTCACAACCGCTGCTCCTGATATGGAGATCGATTTCAGTGGTTACGACTACGATGTTGTTTTCACTTTGACGGATACCAGCGTGACCACCGAACAATACGTGGTGCGCGCAGATGGCAAGGAGATTGGCAGAACACACGGTCGGTTGACTCTTGGGGATGATAAATACAATACGAAGCACATCGCCAAGACTACCAATGTTGGTGTTGACGCTCTGGGGGCCCTGAAGAGTATCGCGAATGATGGGTTCTGGGGTTCATTCCGCATTCCTAAAGGTGAGTGACTCGAAGCTTTGGGTGGATGAGATCCTAACACAGTGTTAGATACCAAGACAGTGACTGTTCATCTCGACCATTATTCTCCAGTATATCCAAACTTTATCTTCGAGTATCGGATTGATAAGCTCTGTCAATGCTAAACAAGGCCTGATGGAGCTTGCAGTGTCCGTTGTGGCTCCAGCATTGACACCAGAGGTTATTATGATGGGTGGAAGGGCGAGAATTATCATTTTAACATTGGTAATACTTGGCTGAGGAAGTTGAAGAGACAATTGCTATTTCAACAATAGCGGGTTGTTGATTATGAGTAGTTGGTCTACATTGTCAACCTTGAGCATCTGAACATAACAGAATGCTTTAGAACCAGCAGTGTCTATTCACAACCTTGGAAATGAAGCACCAAATTACTAAGAAAATTTATTACCTATCCATATGTAACACGGCATGAGAGCTTATATCAAAGACTCCATGGCCTCCTGGTGGATCTCAGGTCTTTACCCAAGGATGGATTATTGGTGGTATTATCATATGCCTTGACACTGATGACAGTCACTACTTTTGGGGTATAGGTGGGCTATTGATTCTGAAAGCGAGTCATATATCGTTTGTGAGATAAATAGCCAAGTCTGCCTGCGTGAATACCTGGCCACCTCACTTTAGTCGATGGATGATGGACGAAATGGATAAATATGATACTATTTAGACAGGAGTAGTGATTTGTTTGTTCTCAGATGGCGCTCGTCAATTGACTTTCCTTTGTATCCCCATTCCCAGTCCTTCCACGGAATCCTAGCCCTGTACAAGCCATATAACCTTCAGCTAGCAATTCCACTAATAATCTCTTCAATACCTGGCGTGGACAGGTTGGAAGAACTCGGGCGCCGGAGATACCCTTGGTCCTCGTGACTCTGACCCTTCCTAGAAGTTGAATATTGTTGCCAATCTCGCTCCAATAAAATGAAGAGCCAAATCAGCACAAAGCTAGAGACTAAGCCAATGGAAAGATGTACTGTATTCAGCCGTAAATAAGAACAACATTCTTCCCTTGATAAGAAGATGTTTTACATGCTATAATTCGCCTCAAATTATATCCTGCCTCATGTCTCCGCCCCCGAATAGTAGGTGTCCCAAGAGAACCAGTCAAATCCGCTTCCCTGACTAGGTCTCTTATTACCAAGGCGAGAAGACATGTCTGGTCGATTGGTGTCAAATATCGGCCATGCGGATCCCATATCTGCAGGCAACCATTCGAGATAGTTGGAGACGTCTAATTCTCCAAGATCCAAATCCATCAGGTCTTCAGGATGCTGGCCATAGGTGTAGGTGGGCTGAGTGGGCGGCGGTTGGAATGGATTTGCAGGCTTTTCGTATGTCTGGGTCAGGACACGACCCGAAACATGAGTCCGAGCTAGTTGTAGGAAGACAGATGCAGTATGCTGCAACCTGGAACATACAGTGGCTAGTAAGCGCATCTGCGATCTCATTGCCACGAAATAGTCTACCGTGGCAGATAAAAGGCTCAGATCTTGCTCGACTGTAGCTATCTGGGGGCTGTCGTTGTTGACTATGTTTCCGAATATGACAAAGAAAGGGGTAAACGGACAATACAGAAGTTGCCTTATTGAATTATATTAGCGATATGAGCTACGAAAGTGGGTGTAAGGATTTGGGTGCATACCATACTACTCCATTGTATACCGAGCTCCAATTTGACACCATGAAGCTCAGTGTAGAGATGGCCTCGCGGGCAGACGAAAGGCGTAAATTCGACGAAGAGTCATCCCCCTTCAGTAGCAGAATGAGGGAGTTTAAATACTGGAACTTCATAGTGCTGATTCCCAAGTTCATTTCGCGCATTTGGCTGGCACTTGCCGAGGCACTTTCGGCATGGGCGATGGCTGTGAGGGACTGTTCTCCAATATTAGAAAGCTCAAGCTTTAGCCAATTGAAAGGGTGTAAGATACCTGATTGGTGTCCAAGTACCAAGTCTCGAGGCTTGATCGAATCTCTTGCTTTCGATGTATTGAGCCATCCGTTGCGAGAAGATCCACAACTGACCCTGCGAGCTTTGCCCACTGAATATAATGTGTGAAAAACTCAGAACCATAGCGCGAGCCATATACAGATGGCTGCCCATTCACAAACCACGCACGCTCATGCGGTTTGAATTTGAGCAAAAAGGACCGGTCTGGTAACGGGACGTTGTGGTAGAACGCTGTGGGAAGAAACGCCGGTCTGCTAAATGAGAGGGAGCAAGATTTGTCTATTAGGAAGAGGAGCCAAAAGAGACAAAGCCGTTGCTGTCGCGAGTCAGTGTCCTGGTGGGTCGGTGAATGTAATCCCAGAGCTTGGGCCTGTCTACATGCATGTCCTAGCAGCATCCAGGATAGATTTGGCGCAGCATAATCCTCGCCATGCATTGCTAGGAAGCACAAAGCCTGCACATTGACGAGACATGGTTCGAGGAAGATGCTGCTATCGTTCAGCGCGAGTTGCACGTTTCGCCGGAAGTTCTTCGTCTCGCTATTTTCTCCATTCTCATTGGAGACGATGCAAAGCATCGTATAATTGAAGTAGGCGATCCATCCCCGTTCCCGGACTTTGTGAGGTTCAAATACCACTTGCCGTACGACGTCGTCCGACGGAAATGAGAAGAATGGTTCACCTAGTTCACCATCCTCCAAGAATCCTAATTTGGCGTTGGGAGGTCAGTAGTTATCTGCATTCTCGAAGAGAGGAGATCTTACTGCCGATCAGCCGGTAGCCGATTGCCTTCGAAGGTATATAGAATGTGGCGGAATCCTGTGCAACTTGTTGCTCAACTTCCGTCGTGGTCAACCGGCCGGAGAGATATTGAAGCTCCGAATGCGCATTCTGGCTAGTAGTATTTCCTGATGACTGGCGGATTGCATCAATGTTGGCCGATGCCTCATCGAGGAAGGAGCAAGAATGTGAGAGGCCAGTGTGGAGCCTGGACTCAGAACCGACATTTTTTGTAGGGATGGTGCGACAAACCGGGCCCGATATCCCGGTATCCGTCTGAGGTGATGCCGATGTAATCGTTTGTAAGGCTCGATTGACAGAGTCTGTCAACTGCCGGACTGCGTGCTCAAGTCGCTCCAGTCTACTTTCGACATCGATTTCTGCTGCCGAGTCACTTGTTCTGCGAATGTCAGTCCCATGTTCGTATAAAGATGTTTGGCGTTCTCACATGTGATTTGGAGTCGGAGTTGGGTGGGTAGTGGGGGGGTTTGTCTCGCGAGTATTCACAGCCACTGGGCCACGGCTTGCAGTTACTGCATTTTGGGAGTTCCCGCGAGCACCTTCAACAATTTAGCGACCTCATCAAGAAAAACTTGACTTATAGCTGGGTGCGGAATACTTGAGTTTCTTCTGCCGGCAGAATGTGCACTGAGAACGTCAGTTGCGATCAAGGTGTTGGTGATATCGTGGTGCCTACCGCGAATCGAGCGAATTTGACTTCCATAAGCGGAAGTCACGAGTGGTCCCTATTGTTGTCTCAATCTCACGTCCAATACAATTCAGCCAAGAGATGAAGAGGACGGGGGATGCTTGGCCCGGCCGCCAGGACTGTAGTCCGAGAATAATGCCGTTGATTGGCTGGATTCGGACAATCCCGTTTTGGACCAATCGGAATGGTTCATTCCGGGATTTTCGGCATCACGGCCTCCGGTGTCCGAGACGAGGCCTTGATGCAGATCCAGGAATTTGTTGGGATTAGAAACAGTATATGGGACTCCCACTAAAAATGACAAGCTTTATCCAATCGTTGCTTGTTCGGCCAGATATGCTTCGTGCCGGCTTGTCCGTCTGGGCGTTCGTTGAACGGCATCCCGAGAGTCTTGGCGAAGGGGCTTTCAAGTATAAAAACACCCATGTGCCGAAGTACATCGGTGTCTCTAATCCCCCATTATATCCAGTCATTTGAGCATATCTCACATTTCATCCGCAACTATACCACGACAACAACAATGGAAGTACCTCCATCAATCGCAATCATCGGTGGTGGACCAAGCGGTCTAACCCTTGCTCGACTATTGGAAGTGAATGAAATCACTGACTACGTTGTCTTTGAGCGGGATCAGTCCTCAACGCCAGGTCCGAACAGACAAGGTGGAACACTGGACCTGCAAAGAGACTCTGGTCAAGAAGCCCTCAAGCGAGCTGGCTTGTTCGAAAAGTTCAGCAACGAACTAGCACGCTGGGACGCTGCCTATTTCCACCTTCTCGACTCAGCCGGGAAGACAATTGCCAACTTCAATAATACACTTGAGGACCGTCCTGAGATCGATCGCTTGCAACTTCGCGATCTTTTGCTCGAATCGATTCCCCAGCACAAGATTCGCTGGGGACATGGTGTCAAATTCGTCGAGAGGAAAGCTGGTGATGAAAACACTGTTGGTGACAATGGGTGCATCATCCATTTCACGAACGGTTCCTCTGCCACCGGGTTCCGACTTGTTGTAGGCGCCGATGGTGCATGGAGCAAAGTCCGTCCTTTGGTAAGTCTGCATCCGAGAACCGATATTAGTTCAAATTCTAACGTCGATTTTCCAGGTCACGTCCGCATGGCCAGAATACTCTGGTAAATTTTACATCGAGGGGAAAATTTCGCACAACAATCCGAGCTACCCTGTTGCGCATGAGTTGGTGGGGCCTGGAAACATGCTCGTGCTAGGCGACCAGAAGATGATAGCAGTGCAGCAGCTATCGGATGGTCATTACCGCGTTTACTTTGCCCTGAACGTGCCTGAAGATTTCTACAAACGCGTGACCTCCGTTCACGCTGATGCCAGCAAGGCCACCGAAGAGATGCGTTCACACCTTCTTTCCACCAATGAGTTCTTCGCGAATTGGACACCGAATTTAAAGGCTTTTATCGAAAATGCGGAAGGTCCATTCCGCCCCTGGCCTTTGTATTTCATTGACCCCGAAACAGTTGGCTGGGATCGTGACGTGGCCCCTGGCGTGACCCTGATGGGGGATGCTGCTCATGCTTCTACTCCCTTCATTGGCGAAGGGGTTAATTGTAGTATGCATGATGCAGTTATGTTGGCGGAGTGTCTCATCCGTCACTGCGGCAGCAACACCACGTTCGCTCATGTGGAGGAGGTAAAGCTGGAAGCTGCACTGGCCGCATACGAAAAGAATATGTTCAAGCGTGGACAGGATTTAATTCGACGCAGCTGTGAAAGTGGCAGAAGGTTGTTTTCGGATAACGCTGGTCCTCTTGTTCTCCAGATGTTTAGTGGTGATGCTGACAGTGAACCTGTCGAATCTGCTAATCTCTAGAAGGAAGAGAAAGATGGGAAGTTAGCGAGCTGAACGTTAATGTCTTACATAGATATGGAGAAGGTTTTAGATAGATTTATCGTTTCGTCTTCAGATTTTGGAAGTCTGCAAAATAGTTCACTATGCTAGGCAATGCAGCGACAGGGAAGAAGCCCATCCTTGTATTCCGTGCCTGTCCTAATAGATTTGACCTCACTATGTTCGGAGTGAGGATGGTTCGGGTCTTTGGAACTGGAATCCCACGAAGATCATCTGTCCGAATTGTATGCTCGTCCCGCTCGCAGTAGCCAACCAGACCCACATTTTTCATCCAATGTTTGCCTAGGAACAGAGTATAGATTGGGGCCTTTGGACCATCCACCACCACTGCTGCAATGACGCGGGTGGTCTCGGCTACCACTACTGTGATCTAACCAAGGTCGTCTGTCTTAACTGTGCTAGAGTCTGCCACTTCCATCCCAGCGTTGTTCAATGGGGCAGTACGACGATTCAACTTCGACACAGCACCTCTCGGAATCATGTTCCCAGTAGCCATCGACAAGGACCCGGGACAGCTTGCTCTGGGTAGTGACGTTGTCCTTGATGGCAAACACATCAGTCTCGTAAACAAGAGGATAGTATTACTATCTATGGGCCGAATCATCGTGCGAGCAACCAGGGACTTTTGTCGATCCATCCTCACTCGGTATCCACATAACTTTCCTCACTTTCGGCAAATAGTGCCTGGAACCATGCAAGTGCGACATCCTGGCCACCCTGGCTGATACGGCCAGGAGGACACCGAGCCACCATAACACCATGCTTGCGGATGTGAGAGCGGAGGACGCTGGTGGTTGAAAGTGGGACCTGTAATGAATCCATTAGCAGTCAGTCGGTACAATGCATGGTTGGGCAGAGGTGTTAGTGAACTCACGCGGCGGTATTCGCAATTGGTCATGCGGCAAAAGACTTCGCCATGATGCACGATAACATCTCCACTGGTCGTCTGTTCCGCTGTTGGTTTCATAGATCAGCAATTATTCGATTGGTGCAAATAATGCCTCAAATGGTTGCCCAAGGTTATATTAAACATGCACTAACCTGCTGGTACGGCGGGAGACTCAGATCTCCAGCGGCTACCTCTTGGATGTAGCGATGGTAGACCGCACAGGAGTGCAAAAACACGGGCCCGATAGGGCTGAACATGTTGAGTTCAGCTGCGAGACTCGACAAGATGATTCAAATGTTGTGAAGAAGAAAGGTTGCCGGGATGACGGTCGTCGGGGAAAAAGGAAAGAGAGCGAATGGGTTAAAAGCAACGGAGGTGGCCAGCTGGTTCCCCAGTTTGGCTAGCAAGTCCTGATAGATGCTCTTCACCTCTCACCGTTACTTTTTAGAATAGCTGCTTAGGATCTTCGTAAGCCCTTTTTGGTACTTGTGAAGAAGTCTACTTTCACTTCCAGATATGGATTTAGCAGACCAAATACCCACCGGCCTTGAAATAGGTAGATAGGCAAATTGACAGGTTTTTATTCTTTGCGGAGGATTGGACATTCTCACTCCACATTATGAATTCCCTGACTGTAGACTTCCATTTCCCTCACTTTGGATCTACTTCTTAGTTCAATTGTTATTGATACCACCAGTAAACGCTAATCCACAACAGGAATCACTGGTGGCACGAGCGAGGAGAACCATGCTGGGGTGGGCTAAACTGTGAACCTTGGAACCTTTCATACTTCTTATCCCTGTTGTGAGTAAAGAATTGGTGGGCTCGTGGCATCGAAACAAAGGTGCGTGGGGGGGACAATAGCGCCAAGTGCGAAGGCTGCAGTGGTGTCACGGATGACGGCGTCGTTGTTGACACGTAGGTTCCCTAGCTTGTCCGCTTAGTGCGCATTATCCTCTTTGCCGATATCCTGATCATCTTCATCGTCTTGATCCCGATCCCCTTCCTCCCGATCAACGAAAAGAGACTGATATCACGCAATAGCAGCGTCCATGGTGCGCTGGCTGACTCGCCTAGAATGCATCGGGGCGACTATCACCCTATGGATATGGAGGTGCATGTGCAAAGTTTCTCGTGTTGGCGAACGGGGTCTGCGACGAACGGATTAGCAATCATTTGCTATAGTAGACCTAGAGTCAGCAATGCTTCTTAGTAGGTAAACCCACACGGCGTTGTTCGCAGTTAGTTACCCGGCAGAATACCTCGCCACAGTGCACAACGATCTCTCCAGTGGAGGTCTGTTCCAATGTTAGTTTGGTCAAGTAACTTGCTTAATTGGTTGAAGATCTCCAAAGTTTTTAGGGTTGAGTCAAGTGTCATAATTCAGATGTACTCACATGCTCATATTGCGGGAGACTCAGCTCCCCAGAGGCTACATCCCGAAGGTAGGGGCCGTGGGCTGCGCTTGCGCGCAAAACGCGCTGTCTTGGTGCTAAAGTTGTCTGACAGCACATATATGACCTTCTTATCAACCGCAGATTTCTGGTCAATGCAAATGAACTCGCAATCATTTGCCAAAAATAACTCGGACTCGACTTTCTGAGCAATTTCCCACATGTCCTGGACAGTACCGTCTAGCTCGCCAGCTTTCCCGGATTTCCATGGCATAAATCCACAGCTCTTAGCTCCTGTATTGTAATAATTATCCAGTCCACCGTCATAGCCTTTGGTCTCGGCTCGAATCTCCCGGTCTTGGTCTTTGGAAAGGTTATTTGTGAGATAGAATGCGGGTAACCATGAACCTCGATAGCTTGATGCTGTTTGCCACTCACGGAAGCTGTAGCAGAATGGTTGAACTGCATGGCATAGGTTCTCCTTCTCAATAACCGGGTCAGGCTTGTAAAACTGTGGTCGTCTCCCCGTCCCCGGCTTGATGAGTCTGTCTAGCGTGGTTCGTGATGCGACCCTTGTTAGAGGAAACCTCCACAAAAGACGGGGCTAAAACGTCTGTAATAGGCTGAAGTAGCAAATGCAAAGCTGGAATCCCTGCCGAGAATAGTGAGACATGGGGACGATAATAAGATGACCAGAATGTCATCAAGTCTCGGCGAGATCTGATGGCATGTTTATCCCATGGTATTAGCTCAAAGGTCATCCTTGGCTCATAAAGATCACTTTCAAAGTCGCTCTCGCCGGGTTCGGTCGATTTTAACTTCGCAGTTTCCTTTCTCACAGCCTCCTGAATAAATGAGGCCGTCTCGCGGATTTGGTCAGGGGTCGCGGGAAAGAGGAGAAATATGACCAGATGCTCATCACAGGGGACGTTTTTCCATGAAGAACTTTGAATAGATCGTGCATCTCCTATTCGGGAAACAACGTCGGTTGCTAATTCAACTGGGAGTCTGGAAAGAGCTGCAACCATAGCCTCCAATTAGGATTCGCATCCGAGCGTGGCTTTCAAATCAGTTGAAAGAACTGGGCGATCAGGGTCATGGAGCTCAAGTCCTGGGTTTTCCCAAATCTCTTCTTTCCAACACCTCTTCATGATAGTCGGACTTTGTTTTATCTGCGACTGAGTTCGATTTCCAGGTGTCGTCAAATTTTGCAAACATCTGCGCGATCTGCTGACCCCTACAGTTCTCTCGCCGCGCCCAAACGGAAATACCGTCTACAGTGGATGGCTTTTCGTTGACTGAGATCAAGATCACCGACAAGCATGTCCCTTCACCCGGGCGGAGGTTCCCGGTCAGTTGTCTTTTGGAAAGTTCATCTGCAACCATCAATTTGGAGTGGCCTGACTGGTACGCCAGGACAGCGAGTGCATACAAGTTGGCTTGGCTCTCCCGATGCGAGCCTTGCCGGGCCATGGATGCAAGTAGGGATACGGATGGTGTGAATGTTTGAACATCATTTCCTCGACTTGAAGTATTGGCTTGCGTTTGACATTACCCTCTCGTTGAAGAGTGTTTATCTTCTTGGGCATTGGGGCGCAATCGCTGCACGAGCTTGTCTCTGCTCGCGTCGTCCAATTCCGCCAAGATGACGAGCGGCCATGTCTGGTCATCCATATTTCTGATGAACTTCACCCTGTCGGCGAGTGTCAAATTCTGATCAGTACCGTTAGCCATTTTCAATGACTGAGTCCGATATAGGCTATCAAAACGAAGTTAAAAAGCTCAGATGCGGAGGATTCTTCCATCCCACAGGCCGCCCCTGAGCGTCCCGACGCTATCCCAAGGTTAGGAGATTTCCCCGGACACGCTTTGGTCCTTTTGCCTTGCCCATTTTCCAATCAAACATTATGCTAAGCCAAATATAAATATATTAAACCATAATGTAGAATAGCATGGAAGGAACCCCGAGCGGTAAATTGGTGTGTTCAATAAAACCCTGTTGCCCAGCGTGCCGCTCATAAATATGTCGGTCATGAGAGGCAATTGCTGGCTCTAATCGATACTGGTGCTTTATTTAGTTTACTGCTCTTTCGCCCTTTGGATGCTTTTTCTTTATTTTTCGCAGGGCTTATTGTTCACATTAGCTTTGTGCCCATTCTTTGATTAGACCTTAAACAATGGTATTGCTGCACCTCCTTTGCTCTCACTTCGTGATATCTGGCATGCTTAAAACTAGGCACTGGACAACAGCTTTCAGACCCGTCAACTTCAAGGGCTGGTGAGTATGATTAGACCTTTCTATTACCTCACCTAACCCAGCTCTTCAGCCCCTGATCCGCAATGTCTAGGTATTCTCCATGGGAAGAAAAAGGACGAAGCTTACAGAGATGGATGGAATGCGAACCTGAACCGGGGTGTCCATACCCTAGATCTACATTTTCAGGAACGTGCAACCCCCAACCCCCGGAGTACTTCGTCACCCACGAAACTGTATGGTTGGATTCAATATGGGCCACCTGGATATACCCTCTTGATCTACCGGATGAGCTTAACAAGGTAGAGATCTGGAATCGACAAGGTCCACCTGTGGGCTGGGAGGGGCGCACTGGACGAGGGGTAGTGTTTCTTGATTGGATCCGTCGATCAAGGCGAAGCACTGCTCCACACATGTCTGAATTTACCAAGGCTGCCTATGAAATGGATTTTCCACTTAACAGCCTCAGATATGTATTTGTGACTGACATCTCTGAAACTGACACAGTGCAATGTATTCGGGATGAGGTGTACAGATCTGGAGGGCTCCCGTATCCTTCTAACGAACAGGTGATCTGGGGTCCTTCGAGCGAGTTTGATGCCCTACTGGGTACTACAATTGGTAGGATTATTGCGTCTTTTATTCTGTGCGCGTGGGGACAAGGTAGAAAACGAATTACAAGGATTGTTTCTTTTCACGATGGTGAGCACCTTCAACACCTGAACATGCGTTTTGATATTGAAGATATTTGAGGAAAGATTTAGGTATCCCTTGGCTTATCTTGGTACGTAGGTTATTACTTACAGTTTCTATTTGATATAGTGTTGCTAGCCATATGATTGAATGTTCCTCAACCTTAGATTGGTGTCAGTTGGTAGTGTCAACCAGATTGACAATTTCACAGTGGTCCCTTGAGAGCAGATTTAAAACTGGCTGGCCTGGGAAAGTTGATGGAATCAAGCGATATGCTGTCCCTATAGATTCAAGTCTCAGTTCCATCCAAACATCTTAGCATAACTTGTTCGGTCTAGTCTTACTGACACATAAAACATAATGGTCATGGTCTAAGTTATCCCTTTTAGGTAGGAATGCCGAGGAAAGTCCGGTTGTTATGACGTCACGGCTCAAAGTTAATCTAAATTATGTAAACACCCGTGGACCCGTCCGGGTGGGCATCAAACAACCTTGAACCTTGGTAGAAATCAGGGGCTCCCAGTGTTGGCATCCCACCTTATATCCCACCTTGTACCCGAGTCGGATTGCAATATCATCCTAATCGAAATGGTCTATCGCCGGGTCCTGAAGCCGTATGCGGCCGAATTTCTCGGCACTGCTCTGCTAATCGTCATCGGGGATGGAGTGGTCGCCCAATGCCTGTTGTCCGACTACAATTACGGCACCTGGTTGTCCATCAATGTCGCCTGGGCTGCTGCCGTCTCCCTCTCCAGCTACTTGTCTGATCCCAGCCCCACCATCAACCCAGCAGCGACTCTTTGCCTTGCTCTTGTGCGTCCATATGAAGGGCAGTGGAAACAAGTCCCCGGCAAGCTGGCTGCGCAGTTCCTGGGCGGGTTTGTCGGCGCTGCCATCGTATATATCAACTACCGTTCTGCCATCAAAGCTTGGGACCCCGAATACACCATTCCCGGCGGATCGATCCTGAGCCCGGTCGGTCACCATTCGGCGGGTATCTTCTCGACCTACCCAGCTGCCTTCTTCGAGTCGAACTGGGAGGCTGCATTTTCTGAGATGCTGGGCTCGGCTGTGCTGATGTTTGGCTGTCTCAGCATCTCCGACCCGAGAAATGCTCATCGATTGCCTGCTCCACAGATCGCTCTCTTTCTGCTACTGCTTATGATTGGAGCGGCTTTGGGCTGGCAGACCGGCTACGTATGTTCATCAGCTTATCACGTTAGGAAGTCGTACTAATGAAACTAGGCCATTAACCCAGCTAGAGACTTTGGGCCGAGATTGTTCTCTGCTATCATCTACGGCCGAGAGGTGTTTACGGCAGCCAATTACTATTTCGTTGTTCCCCTCTTCGCCCCTATTGTTGGCTGTGTTTTGGGTGCTGCGACTTACGATGGGATGCTTTTTGAGGGAGAGGGATCGCGCATTGCCGATGCGCTGGACGAAGTCGAGAATCACGGGTCTCTTCGACTGCAGTGATATTTGGGCTTTGAAGACTCAAGATAAACTTGCTAGCATGGGGTTAACCTGGGTTATCATTATTAGACATAGACTGACGTTAAGTGGGAACAAGAGGATGAGATTGGAAACTAGATCCCTTTCGAAATTGTACCTCATACTGTGGTTTCAATACCCTCCATCGTTGATGGGAGAGTAGGTAATTCATGACCTTCCGCAAGGTTTTTCACACATCAATTTCCGTAGGCTTTCATCGCCAACCATTGGCAAGCTTCTGGCGGTAATCCGAGATAATTTCAGGGGAAACATCATTTCCTCCACATACAATGATAACAACTCGACTATCCGGTGTGAGTTCTGGCATGACTTCCCTTAGCCTATCTAACCCAACTTGGACACTTATTCCGCAAGCCAGCTCGACCTCCAACCGCAGCTCATCACACAAACGCACAACTCCCTTCGCAGCATCAGCATCGGTGCCCACAATACTAGTGACTTCCACACCAGGCGGAGGAGATTGCGCGTTTTTCAGCGTCTGCTGTGCCACGCAGAGTGCCCCCAGGGTGATTGCCTGCGATGTGATGGCAGGTAGAGTGTGCAGATAACCCTTGCGTACCGAGTGCGCCAGCGAGTCCGCCCCAGCTGTTTCAGCAGCGAGAACTCGAACGTTCTTCACCTCTTTGTTAGGAAGCGTTGTCGGTTGATAGGCCGGCAAGTGCCTCTCAAGGCCCTCAATAATCCCGTTTAAAAGACCGCCACCACCAACGCTGCAAACGATTGCATCTGCCGGGAAAGAATGATCGGTATCGGGTTCGCCGTAGTGCCTTGGAGGTAACTGCTTAACTATCTCATCAATCAGAGTCCCTGCACCTCGCCAGATGTCGTGATGATCAAATGGTGGGACATAAATGTTCCTGACCAAAGGATCCAACTTGGTGTCTTCATTTTCGATGAAATTCTCCCGCAGATATGCGTCTGCTTCAAACCAACTGGCACCATGGCGGACAACATCCGAAGCCCCTGCAGCGCGAATTTTTTGGATCATCGTAGGCTTCGCGCTAAGGGGAACAACAACAGTACAGGGACAACCGAGATCCCGGGCGGCTATGACTGCTGCCATCCCCGCATTGCCTGCTGAGGAGCTGAAAAAATGCAGGGCTCTGCCATTGTTTGATGGATCAGAAAGAGATGTGAGGATTAAGTTTCCAATGCCTCTAAACCAGTCAAGTCTGTATCAGAACACGGACCTCTTTTGACCCGCCGCCATGTGGAATACCGCACTCACCGCGATTTGAATGAGCCGGACGGTTGGAGCGACTCTAATTTGAGAAAAATTCTACTATACTTGCTGTTCAGTGTCCGGAACTTCGATTAATGAGAATAAAAGCCCGATCTTACCATCCGGCAGCCTTTGAAAGTGTCGCCGACTCGATCAAAGGTGTGTCAATCCAGGGTTTCTTCAATTCGTATTTTGTATCGAAATGGCCCATTTTCGAGGCGAAAATATAGGAACAATAAAATATGCTCGTCTAGAAAATCCGAGACGTGTTTAAACCTGGAATTTATATTGGAGACATAAGGCTTCGGTGTCATCAGAACCAGTCTTGCCGACGCCCTTCATTTGACATTTGGCTCCTTGCAGGGAGTGGGTCTGCAATCTGGCAAGTCCAAGGAAATAGTAGCAGCTGTAGCAGTAGGTGCCCCGATTTCGGCAGCAGACCCGCTAAGCTAGAGAAGAAAACTAAAAGGTGAATTAAGAAAATAATGAGGAGGTATGACGGAAATCCGAGAGGAAAGAGACCGAGAAGAGAAATAGATTCTGAATCTACACTGATGCCTGATTGGCGCCTGTAGTATCAGGCATAAACTGTATGCCTGTACAGAATCCATTTCCAGCGAATTATGTCCACAACACTTGCTGTTCCGAGTCCGAAGAATAATCATCCAAGACCTGAGCTGAAGAACGTTCACCACGATCCAGAGCAACCCCCGGTAGCCTATATATGCTAGTCTGCTGATCCATCGGCAACGGAAGTCGTGTCGTGCAGTCAGTGTAGACAAAGATCGTTTCTCCGTCGACAGTGCCATCGGGATATCGTCGTAGATCATCTACGCAGTAATCTATGCTGGTGTGCATATCACCCATGCAGCGGTGCGCTTCGGTTTGTTGGTAGGACATTGTCCCACTGAGACACGAGTTAGTTGTCTCCATCATTTCTTCGTCTACCAAGCGAATAACAAAGATGCTCGACTTACCACACAGTTTTCTTGGTAGGGATCCAGCTCCAGTACCCGCACTGTCCATCCTTCAAAGGCATCTCGTAAGACATACCCTGAGCTCCCACATCAGCCGTGGTCTTTGACTGCCACCCTCCACTGATTCCATCATTCAAGCCCTTCTCGAATTGAGGCTTTATATCTACAGACCGAGTCATGGTCTTCGTAAAATCGGCAATTATACAAGGAGGCCCATTGCACCAAACGTCCAAGGGAAACTCCTTCCCATAAACAAAGCGAGTTCTGAGTTGGCAGAACGCCACGCACGAATTCGACTGGTAGTCCATATGGTCGCAAATGCCCTCCGAGTTGTTCAGATACTTTGGTGGGCATACTTCACTTAGATAATCGTGGTAGAGCACTGGCATGCTGTTCATCCCATCGCAAACATCCCTACGGAGGAGCGCACGGTCATGGTCCTGAGGCGCCCCAGTCACATGCACAGAGAGGAAAAGAGATATCAGAGAAAAAGCTTGATACATAGTGGGAGTGTCAAATGGCGGCAAAATGGTGCGGATGGTAAATTGCGGGGATTACAGAGGTGTTTTGGCCCCCAGATAGCGCATCACGCGGACAAAGACGGGACACATCAGGGCACTGTTATTGGGCTATGTATTATTCCTCATTTCGAACATAAGCACAGAGTTTGGATATTTTGACAGAAGTACTTGCAAAACCAAGCGAGTCCAATGACCAATTCGCCCTGGCACCATACAGCAGACCACTAGGCTTAATACTAAGCCTGTTACCCATATCCATGGATGGATAAAGTATCGAAATGAAGAAGCGAATATAATTAAATTTTGACGTAAATAGCTACGCTTTTAGCACATTATCCGTATTCCTGGCCCCTTTTATATATCTTGCAACAAGCTCATTAGGTCCATACTAAAATAGCTTAAAATACCGGGCGGGCGTTTATTGGGTAGACATACATGGTCTCCGTAGCTGTAGCCGAGTAAATTAATTCTAAAACTTCAGCTGGGCCAAAATAACTGTATCTCCTCTCGGAGCAAGCTCGTCTCGAAGTAACGCTCCTGAGTACAATATGCCCAGTCATAAATAATTGTCTTCACCCCCAGACATTGTATGTAACAGACTGGAACTAGCATATTGTTCTGGATCCCATTTTTCTCGGATTGGAGACCGACAACGTTAGTCTGTTTCAAGTCAGCTCATTTGAAACAACTAAATTCAATCGTGCCTTCCATGCCTTAAATGCACGTCCCAATTCTAACCCTATGGGGTGGAGAAATTATACAATGGAGAAATTACCAAACGGAGAAATTATAGGTTGGTGGAGTGTATAGGTGGAATGATCCGCTTCATGTTTCCCCTTAACTGGGTCATCGCCAATTCTTCACCCTTATATTTAACATTCTATCATATAAAGCCGCTGTTCTCGTCGGTAATTTGATCCTTCGACATCGGACCAACTTAGTATACTCCGATTCATCATGTCTATCAGAAACCTCGCCCTCCTCGCCCTCCTCGGCCTTGTCAACGCCCAAGACAAGATCGGATTTGGTCCACACTTCTTCCCTCGGCCCTACCTCGTCATGGATCCGTGAGGCGAAGACAACCCTTGTCCTCCCCGAGGCCCCGAGCCCACAGAAAGACCGTCTTGCTCTCTGGCCCGGTATGGGAACAAGCGGTGGTGATCTGATCCAGGCTCTTGCCGTTTCTTTCTCCGACCCTGCCGCGTGAGTAATGGAAGAACAAATGCAAGTGCACATAATTGATAAGTGACTCTGGCAGCAACTGTGGCGCAACAGCTGGGCAATGGTGCACATGGGCTAGTACCCTTCAAGGCACCCAGCTGGGCGGCAAGCAGGTCCCTGCCAATGCTGGTGATGAGGTCACAATGCATTGTAAGCTCTGGTTTACTGGGACTTATGAACGAGGTCTAATTATTCCATAGACAAGTACAATGACGACACCAGCAAGTTTGACCAGACTGTCTCCATTAATGGAGAGGTCGTGTCGACTCTTTCAACCAGTAAGTCCTCGGTATTCATAATCTCAGTCTCCAACTAACAATTTTTCTAGGCTCCGGCCAGGCACAGGGTTGGGGTACCGCTGTCGAATGCCAGGATGATGCCTGCAAGGGTACTGCTGCAGCACACGGTGAGTTTGCGTTTATCTTTCCCAGTAATTAAACGGATGCTAATTGTTATAGAATACACCGACACTACAATCATCCTGGATGCCGCCGATTCTTCCTTCGGCGACACTCTGGCTATCAACGAGGCCACTTCTTCTGGTCTCAAGACCACCGACAACGGAAAGACTTGGACCGTGTCTACTATCAATGTTCAGGCTCACACCTACAACCTGTAAGCAATAGTTCTCAGTCCATGTATGTACTCTAGAGAGAAATTTGTGCAGGCCACACTTTAGAGTGCTTTTCAACAAGCAATACAAGTGCCATTTAACAGTCAATGAAAGCGCAATTAAACTGCTAGCGTTACTCCCCAGTTAAGGGACCCACTAGTAGCACCAGGGGGAAATTCGGGTCATCAATTTTGTGATTTCTCAATTGTAAAGCGAGGTGTCAATAACCACCTTAGAAGCTTCTATAGATTCTCTTCCTACGCCCGCATTTGCTCCGTGTTTGTGCAGCTCAGGAATTCATACGATTTCTCTATCGGTGCGGTTCTGCAAGACTATTCCCATGGCCTAAGAGGATCGAAGCTCCAGTTCAGCATGTGTTCATTGTCAGAGGGCCACTAAGGCTGTTAGACTAAAGCCTTTATTCCCGATTATAAGAATCATATACGGAGGCTAATAACATGTCACCTAAAACTGAAGTCTGCTCATATAAGGCTACGCACAAGGGCTCGGTGACACCGACCCGAGGGCGGTAGACATAGAGCGAGAGACCCAGCAGATTCCAGGACTGCGTTCTCTTATGCATGCACCACCCTGCAATGAAATAAACATATTTCTAAATTTGGGTCCTAGAGAGACTACCGCACGTTGTCTAAACACAGAGGACGAACTCCATAAGTAATTAAGGAAAATTATGGCCTAAATAATTGATCATTTGTTACAAACGTGAACGGCCTATGAATTGCCTGTTTGCACCGATACGTCATTAAAGTAACATCCTCTTCGTTTTCCGTTTTCTTCCACTCTCCTCCCTCATTCCCTCTATCTTACACCTATCGCTGTGTCACTTCAATTTTGCCTACCAATTTACCGGTCACAAACTGCAGCTGAATCCTGGTTGCCTCCAATCTTGCAGCTCTCGGATCAGGCTCATCTGGCCTCTATGCAGGTGGCGATTTCAGGAGAATGGCCGGGCTTTTGAGTTTGCTTTTGAGCGACGCGATACATCGATCTCACAGAACCCGAACAATAGGAATCCCGAACACACTCGGCCTCAGCCGGTCAGGTGTTCAGAAGCTCTGGGGACCATAAAACAGAGTTCAGAACCCCGATCGGTGAAAATCCAATGTCAGATGAGACTTAGCATACGAATTTAAGTTCATGATCAGCCGCAGTATGTACAACAGTTTTTATCTCTCAAAGCCTAGGCCAGGTAGATGTACAGAGTAGCCCCTCCAAACACGGCATCTCCTGCAGGGTACATGGCCAGTTACTTAGCGCCGGACTCACGGGATCCATTTACTTACAGGCTGGCTCAGCCCTTGCCAAGAGTTGAACGTCCAGCGAGGTCGTTGTAACTGCAGCCAAGCATTTCATCGCTTATTATTTCCAGCCCTAACTATGATTGATTTTCTTAGAATCTTGCATTGATTGGCTATATGCATAAGGAATATCATGAATACGGGAATGGGACCATAAAATTGCTTTCTTTGGTCAGGCCTAGCTTGGGAAATTGTTGCCATATCTTGTTTACTCATAGTTGTTTAAAATTCTACCAGAGTGGCTTGGGCTTTAATCATTTGCAATTGCTCTACTCACAGTATCGAACCATATTCGCTTTCAATTAGATAGGAGTACATCGAACAGCAAGATCACTGAAAAGCCACAAAATGCTGGTGTAACAGTCAGTGGAAACAGTGCCATCGGACAATAAGTATGAACCCGTGTTCAGCTTTTAAAGTGCAGCGGATAAGTCCGATAAAGTGACAACTCTACGACTTCAGAGTTTTTGATTACTGCCACAATACTGATCCAAGGCTTGGTCTTTCCTTTCCAGGGAAAATACATGCCAGAAAGAGGTTGACACAGTCAGAGTGGTGGCTTGGTGGCTTCAAGCACAAATCATAGTAATGCGGTCGACATGAAGCGGCATCGTAGTATCGAACCGAGGAACAGGAGCGAATTATCAATGGAGTCTGGATATTCATTTTCAGCTCGGCGCAGAAGGGGAAACTTCTTCAAACCACCATAAGACATCAAAGAGGACTATATAATTCTCCTTCTCCGTGTCTCTTTTAATGATTTCGAAAGAGACATCTCATCGCAGCATCTCAATACCTATTCACATTTGTGACTTGGACTTACAAGGCAAAAATCAGGTTTTATCAACAATTTTTACTCCCAAACTCATCATGTCAGCGTATCCATTTGAGGTGCTGGTCAACTCCGGCAGCATCGGCGGCAATGGTGGAGGCGAGGTCGGGATTCTCGCAAAAACGGGTGGCCTCGTGGAGAAAGTTGGTGTTTGGGCGTCTGGCAGAGACATCATAGGTGTTTCCGTCCAATTCACCAACGACGAGGAGAAACAGCAGATGGGGTCCGGGAAATGGGGCGACTATTCCGAATTCATCTTCGAGGCAGCTGAGACTGTCAAATCCCTTAGCCTGTGGGGCAACGGAAAAGGCACAAACCTCGGACGGATCAAGTTCACCACTTCGACTGGACGTTCCTTCGATTGCGGTGGTCATAACGGCAAAGATGAATTTCCCCAGGATGTCGGCTCTGGACTTTGGGTCGGCATCAAGGGAAGATGCGGAGGAACAGTCGATATGTTGGGTGTGTACTTTCTGAAGAAGGTCGCTTCCATGTCGATGAAGGATGTCAAGTTCAAGAACGACCCCACCGGCACCAGCAACGGTATCAAGTCGAAGTCGGTCAAGTCATCGCAGTTTCCATGGCAAGGAAAGCCGTACGACTACAAATTCGACATGCCCCGACTTGAGAAAGAGTCCCATACCGTTACCGAGACCAGCTCGCAAAAAACTTCTTTGGCCCTCGGCTTTCGAGAGCAGTGGAGCGGTGAGGTGAATCTGTACATCACAAAAACGACATTGGAGCTTGAATCCTCTCAAACGATCGAGCACTCATGGACCAAAGAAAAGTCAACGGCGGACACTATTGAGACCACGGAGGGTGTGACATCCGGGGCAAGTGGCCATATTGCAGGACCCGGAGACGGAGTGATTGTTGAAGCTGTAACGTACGCTGGCCAACTCGACCTCGAATACACGGCGACCATTGTGGTGAAAATGGCAAGCGGGGCCACCTATAATATTCCAACAACAGGAACCATGAAGAAGGTTGCCTATTCGAAGGTCTATATGAGTGTTAGACCCATCAGTGAGGATTCAACTCTTCCTCCCGGGGAGTCCGAGAGCAGATCTGCGGATGATCAGCAGTTCGACAGCAGTCATGAAGAGAGAGCTGCTGATAAGACTCAGGATGAAGAAACCGCCTGGTCTCCCCGAGATGAAGAGGATAATGGATACAACCAGTACAACACCAACCCAAATGGGAACCGGGATGATGAGCCATTTGAGAACCCAGACCAAAGTCGGGACCAGGAAGATGAAGGTCAAGAATCTTCTGACTGGCAACAGGGTCTGGAGTACAACCAACTCGAGGAAGAAGACGAAAACGGCGGTTGGCAAGGGCAAGAAAACAACGACCGCAAGAACGATAGTGAAAACGAAGAGAGGTCGTACGGCAGAAGAAACCATGACGCCGAGGTCCAAACGCTCGAGGATGAACAACAGGGGTATCAGACATCGGACCGATGGAGCAACGATCGCAACAAGGAAGATAATATTGAGGAGCGGTCATACACCAAAAGAGATCAGGAAAACGAAGAACGAATCCAAAACGAGCAGGGTGATCTTAGCTCGGAGCGATGGAACCAAGACCAAGAATACGACAACCGCGATAGCCAGAACGAGAGAGAAGAGATAGCATACAACCAAAGAGACCAAGAAGACGAGCAGCCGGCCCAAGACGAGCAGGAGAATCTGAGCTCAGAGCAATGGGGTCGAGATCATGAATACAACGTCCGCAGCGATGAGAATGAAGAAGAGAGCCCATACAACAGAAGAACCGAAACCAACGAAGACGAGGAAGAAAATAATCGTCAAGCGTCACAATGGAACCAAGATCAACCCGACGAGAATCAGGCCTATGGCTTTGACGGCACGAAAGAAGAAAATTCCAACCAGAGTCGTTTCCAAAACGAACAAGTCGGAGATTACACCACTTCTCGCGGTCAGGATGAGAGATATGGCGAAGAACAAGAGTACGGTCGTGGCTACGGGTTTGCTCAGGACGAAAGCCAGACACGTTACAATGAGTTCTCCGCCAGAGGGTGATGGGGACTTTGAGGGTTATGGATATAAACCGGGGTATCAGCAGCAGGGCCGCGGAAGGGGATATGGCAATGAGACCGTCTATTAGACTGGGTTGGCTGATGGGGGTTTGAAACTTTGTTTTTGTTTCTGTTTTATGTTGAACTTTTCGATATTTACTTTTGTGGTTTTAGTTTTGTTCAAATGTTCTAAATATTATTGTCTTCAATGTTGGCATCCGTGATGTACAGTGTTGTAACATAGTACTCCGTACATACAGGATAACTTCTGCCAGGTGGGTCCAGGGTAAATCATGTCTTTCATGGGGAGAGCCGCAGACTGCGCAAGGAGAACGAGGATATGAAGTTCCACCTCAAACAACTCCAGCGTGTATAACATGTAGAGCCTGGAGAGTAGTCTTTGCCAACTGGTTTCCGTGTTTGTTCCGTGATGGTGTTCTGTGTCATGGTGTTCGCCCGTTCGTTCCATCATGGTTGGGTCTTGCATATTGTTAACCATGTCGTGCTATATTTTTACGCAAAATGTATTTAATCAGTATGAAGGGGCCTATCATTCATGTATGCACTATATGTATATTATATAATTTATACTAATTATCATATGGCCTGTCATATTGGAACCTCGAACATGGCCGATGTTTATACTCCCACACCGCCGTGGCAGAACCAAGCTCGCGCCAAACTCCTTTGGGCCAAGCGCCCCAGTGATTGCCAAACATCCAAACAATCCACGTAGATTGCAAGGAGCAGTCCTACAAGCATCCCACGTTCATAATCCTATCTACTATCCAGATCCAATAAAGGTATGCGAATACATTTATCCTGTTTCACAGAGGCTATCTGTGCTGAAATTCCCCGTCAATTGCGCCTCTTCTCCCCGCATTGCTCCGGGCCGCGCGCATACCCCGTGGTATTTTAGACATGATGTCAACCCAATGGAGTCTACACGCGTTAAAGTTTGAGTGAATCTACTCGTATACTAACAAAATCCTCTATGCAGCATTCTTAGGCACTCCCAAAACCACCGCATTCCATTTATTCACAATGTCTGCCGAAGGCGCCTCTGCATCGGTACGTTGATCGCGAGTGACACCGCGGCTGCGCTATACCAATCCGCAGTTATGTCACACGAATACTTGCACTACCATTGTGTTGTCATAAACGGTCCTAACAACCCTCCAGCCCATCCCCATTGAGGATCTCACCAAGATCACCAACGAGGTATGCCTTCCCCAAAATGCCCCGTTATTAACCCCGCGCTAACATTTCACCGCAGGCCTGCGAGAATGCCCTTGCGACCAGCAAGGGCTACGACCACGACAATGTCGGAGACTGGAACTCCCAGATTATCGTAAGCGTCACCGCCCAACACCCACAACCAATTAATCACCACCATCCGATTGCGCAATGCCAATACTAACAATCCCCCGCACAGAACTCCATCCTCAAGGCCCTGATCACCGCTACCGCACCCACCGATGCCTCCAAGCCCCCTTCCTACCGCTTCACCGTGAACAGCACAATCGTGCAGCAGGGCGTGATTGACCCGTCCGTTGCTGCGGATGGCGCACTTAGCAATGCCGGCAAGCGTGGTATGCACTCTGCCTCTGGGGCGTTCTGGGATGTCAGCCGCGACGGCATGTGGACATACAAGTACACTGGTGCTGAGGAGCGGGGGATGGATATTGTTGTTTGTGTGACATGGTTTGCCGTCGTATAAGGAGCTGGTTCTTTGTTGGTTTGTTCTATCATGAAGATATCCATGGATGGCATAGAAATCCATAAGCGGAAGTAGTGGCTTTGTCTGTGAGCGGTTATCGGAATTGTGTCATGGGCTTTACCTTTCCTTTTTCATGTACTTGAACATTTGTTTTTAGTCCTATGGGTATGTTCAGATCTGTTCTTTCTCTTTTTCGTGTGATTTGATTCCAGTCCAGTTTGAGCGTGGTGTTATGTTTTCTTTTAGTTTATGGAGACTTGCCTGCGTTGTCCGCGGAATTCAATAACCTTGTAAACACTTTTTAGACATGTCCAGGAGTATGTAGTGTAGAGAAGAAGAATACTTGAAATAAACATATTGGTATTGTCAGTGGTATCTCGACACTATGCAGTATCCTCCGTGGGATGGAAATGGAACAAGCAAAAAGTCTGCAAAATAATTCAAAGGTCTCCATTGACCAACCGAAATGCGCCGTAGAACCAGAAAAATCTGGAAGACACCCATCATTACGTGCGCCATGCCATGTGTAGATTACCCAGAATAAGATCAACGCCAATCGAGACCCATTAACTCATGAAAGCAGAATGCGGGTTAGCCGTGGCAACTCAGCTTTGCATCTTGCCCCTAGCGAGGCTCAGAGTAGTCGTTCAAAGCAACACAAACGGCGCCTCGATGATGGCCGCTGTACTGGCGGATGATATTGCCAGTGCCGAGCTCCCACAAGCGAGCGTAGTGATCACTGGAGACTGTTACGAGATATGCACTGTCTGCGGAGAAGGCACAGTCCCAGACCCAGCGCTGGTGATTGGCGAGCGTGGTCTCCAGGAACAGTGTGTGGTTGATTGGATCCATAGGAGGCCCGTCGGGGGATGAGGTGAATGTCTGTTGTGGTGTCTCTTGGCGAGGAGGGTTATCGGTAATACGGAGGAGATCACGGTCTTGGATGGGTGCATCGAAAATGCGGAGCAGATCCCGAGACTGGGCGGGAGCTTCGACAGGTGTTACCGGAGCTTCGACCGGAGTTTCAACTGGAGGGTTCAATGCCTCTTTCTCTTTCCATTGTTTCAATGCCAGTTTGGCAGGCGGAAATTCCGAGTCAAGGTTCCAAACCTTGGCGGTATGATCCGCAGAGCAGGTTGCAAGGTGCTTGACATCAGGAGAGAGGAGAACACGAGTGAGGTAGTCCTTGTGAGCTTGGAAGGTACAGACGGGGATGATGCGGGTGGTGTCGTCGGTTTGGACCATGCGCCACAAGTAGACATTGCCCTGTCGACATATTAGTAAAGAACCTTACAATGCTCCATGAATTCAAAATCACGCACCTTCTTATTTCCAGCGCAAAGCAACGATCCGTCACTGGCGACGCTAACACTGAGAACCGCAGTGTCCTCCTCCGGGATCAATTGATGAGTACAGACGCTCTCGCCCAAGTCCCAGACACGGACCATACCGGCGTGGTCACCACTAATGAGCTCGCCCTGATTGGGATGAATGACCACATCATTGACTGCAGCCCGGTGGACGTAGTTCCGCTGCAAGCTGCCGGTACGAGTATCCCAGACCTTCACAGTTCCATCCTCGGAGCTGGTAACCATCCATTTCCCCTCACAGTGGAATGCCACGCCGGTGATGTTGTTTGTGTGACCTTCAAATGTAATCACGGGATTAGGATTGGTTGACTTGATATCAAACAGCTTGACATTGTTGTGGCCCGCGGCAGCCAAAAACCTCTTATCCGGTGTGATGCACAGACGATTGACTTGCGAGTCAGGATGCTGGATTGTACGTGAACAGATACCCGAGAGCGCTTCCCAAAAGCTAGCAGATATATAGTCAGCAAGAGTTCTGGTATAAATTGCCACTCTGCGGGTCCTATATAAACGCCGCGCGCGGCTAGTTGAGCCTCAACTTACCGAATGGTATGGTCGTACCCCGCTAAAATATGCAACCAAGGTAATTAGTCCAATGCCTGGAAGAATGCGGGGAGCTCCTTGTGATATCGCACGTACCGGTGCATAGAATGACACTCATATTCGCCAGGGCTGAGGCCAAAGGGGTGTAGTGGGAGAAATAACCAGTCTTCGTGATATCCTCGTTCTCGGTACCACTGGAGTCCCTTGACGCTTTAGGGGAGCTGTCAAGGCAAGGCGGCCCAGACCGAACTTCGGATGGAGTCCCGTTTTCTGCCATGGCTACCACGTGATTACAGGTCCACGTGAGTAGAGCGGTGTTGCTGTATGACGTTGAGTCGATAAGGAGAGGGCGGTGGGAAGATAAGGCACCTAAATGGGAGGCGGTCAAATGGGTAGAGAGAATCGACCTTGGAAGGTGTCAAGGTTGGGGTATTTTTTGTCTAACAAGGCCCATTCATAGTTTGCAGATAGGGGTAACTATAACCAGGTAATTGCTTGATATTTCTACATCTTTTCTAGCAGGATTACGGGAGAATTCTTTGTGCTGTCAAACTTCCTTAATGTCGAGTCTTAGGCTGGGCGGTGTATAAGGCGGTGAGACATAACCTAAAACATGACGTATGATTGGCCTTGATTAGCCTACATATCTTCAAACTGGCAAAATAATTAATTGTCCGGCAGAAAAAAAAAAACAATATCAATGCAGTCAAACGAGTACATCATGCGTTTGTCGCCTCTGATGATCGCTATTGGTCCCTATTGACTCATACGGATTTTTATTGATCGATCTAATACAATAGAAATGTCACTTTCTTTGTTCTTGTTTGCTCTCATTGTTCCTGTCTATGAACCCTAGTTCCTTCCTCGACGGTTATTACCATCTCTCCTCGACACTCTTCCTTCGATCTCTTCTTCCTTTTCACCCCATCTTCTTCTCTTACCAATTTTCTCCAATACCTTTAATCTTAATACTCATTCCTCACCAACATGGCTCCGATTGACCCCAACCACGCTGCCTTTGGGCTTGACCAGCCTGCTTTCGACGACCAGGCCTTTCTCAATGGTCTTGCCAATCTTGATGTCGATGGACCTTTCAATGCTTCCAATGGCTTTAACTATGAAGAAAACCCCGACCTTATGAAAAGCTTCGACGAGTACTTCGCCAGTATCCCTCTCGATAACCTTGATATGCCTGGCCTTGACCAGCCCATTTCAGCCACACCTGCCAACTGCTCTGCTCAGCCAGTGTCCAACAATATCCCTGCCCATGCACCACACATGCAGATGACCTACGACCCTTCGATTGGTGTTGCATACACCCCGGAAGACACAGACGCCGACAAGATCCGCAAGTGGGAGAACCTCATCGCCCAGGCCAATTTGGCGGATGCTGGCGTGCCACCCTCCGCTCCTGAACCCATTGCAGGAGAGACAGTTGAACAAGGCACCCAGGTTGCGGACTCGCCCAACTCGCTGTTTGACTCTCCTCGCTCGCCGTCCGTCGAGATGATTGGGACTCCCAGCCCCACTCCACCGACTCCCTCCCCTCCCCAACCTCCTGCAGCTACTATGGCAACTTCCAACGCCGCACCGAATGTGACTGTAAGTCCCTTCTCATGTCTGACGAATTTGTATTGGGAAAATGTGCTAACTTGGTTTAACAGGCAAACACCACTCACTCCGTGCAGCTTCCGAGAGCGTTGACGAACCAGAAAGGCTATGTGCAGCACGTCTCCCCATTTGCTCCCGTTGCAACAATTGCTCCTCCTACCTCATCTACCGCAAATTCTCGTGAGCTTGAGAACGCTAGATTGCGGATCCAGAGTCTTGCGAAGGAGCGTAGCTTCTACCAACGCAACCTACGCAAGGCAACCGCCATCGACCCCAAGACGGGAAAGACAAGCCTACAGAAGTTGCAGGCAGAGAATTTGAGCCTCCGCCGAACCAACGCCAACCAGGCGCGGAAGCTGCAGGATATGAACGAGGAAGTAAACAAGGAAAAGTCGAAGTTTGCTGCGCTTGGAGCACAGTACAATGAGGTAGCGAAGCGCCTGCACAAGGCTATGGTTGAGCTTCGTGAATTGAAGGGTCAGTAGACAGGAGGCTCACCGAGGGCATTATTTGATCAAAACATTTTAGCCAGAGCGATACGACTTTAATGATTCTTCAACATTCATTTTCAGTGTTAATATTGCGAATGGATGCGTAGTCGGATCCAGATGGCAATCCATAGTCACTAACCTGCTTATATGTCCCCGTGCATCCAAGTATGCGACTTCAGACTTGTCCTTTCTCCGGAATTATTCCAAGGATGTGGATGTAATCCCCAATCCGCCCGGTTGAAGACACCAATAGTCGATTTAAACTAGTTGGGGTGAGGATAGAGCCGTAAAATCCCGGGAGGAACTTAACCATCAGATAATTTGAAACACTATACGCTCGTATCAATATATTCATGATGCGTGCAAATCACACCGAGAGTAGTATAATTTGCGGCAGATGAGCATGCAGCTTACTTTTTCCTTCAAATATGTTGAGACTCTGTGCACGTAGTACCTTGCTTCTTCCTGCTTGATCATCTTCAAGATCGTACGACACATTTCCTAGTCAGCCTAAAGAGGATATTCCCCATGGCAGGTCCACCTGGGCATGTTAAATATACTACCAACGTTGTACGAGCCCTATTGAGACCTTTCTCACTTACCTCTCTCACTTACCTCTCTGACATAACTCTCTCACTTAACTCTCTCACTTACCTAGGTACTCTTCTCTACCGTCCAATCTGTGCACTCCCTGCTCTCCGTTCCTTTCTTCTACCCCCAACCCACCTGATCGCCGGTCCTCTCCTCATGCTCCCAACCCTTTATCACAACGATGACTCCTACTAATAAAGTGAGTATGAGTTCGTACCAATCGACTGATTGGTACCAGAAGACTGGAGACTGATTCACCGAGCTGGGAAGGGAGATACTGCGCATTCACGGTCGACCTCATCGTGGCCAGCAAGTCTTCGGTTGGCATGCCTCGGACGATTGACCGCCAACTGTTTACGCACCTAGGTACTTTACCTGATCCCGTATCCGGAGCCTTGCCAAGGAGCGCAACTTCTACCGGCCTAGTCTGAATAAGACGGCTGCCATTGACCCAAAGTCGAGTAAGACCAGCCCGCAAATGATACAGACTGGGAATGCAAGCCTTCGCCGTGTTAATGCTACACAATCTCAGAAATTGCATAATCTTGAGGACGTTGTCAAGGCGGCAAGCATGAGCATGGTGTCCTTGTTGGTTCAACAAGCTGGTGAAGGAGCTACACAAGGCTCAGCCCGAGCTGCACCAACTGAAGAAGTAGGGTCGACTTTGAGTGCCACCTGGCTCTATTAAGTCCTGGATTCCATGCATCAGGTTCATGGGAAATTCTGATAGACCTACCAAAAAGCAGAGAAAATCGGAAGAAGAGGGGCAGAATCCAAATGATGCAGAGGAACAGAATCGAAAGGATTCAGCGAGGAAAGATCAATTAATTCTCTACACGGATGGGCAATTAGTCAACCCCCAGGACCCTCGGCACATTCATTCTATCGTGCAGGTAGATTGGCGTCCAACCGAGATGTCGACGGTCATCCATACTCGGGCGGTTTTGGGGCAGTTGATTGGTCATGAGGCTCCGGTCGGAGAGGAGTGTGAACAGTGTGCAAAGGGCAATGGGCCGTTCATGTCTTGTCTGATCGTTTACCTTCCCACCCAGGGGTTTCAGTGGACGTTGGCCTGCGCTTGTTTCCAGTGGTCTATATAGGTCCACGTCCACAAGTATACGTATGTACATAGGGCCTTGGTTCCGAACAGCCCTCTCTACATACATTTTATCTATCCCACAATTGAGGTTTCTCCCGAGCACTTCGTCATCAGATAGTTCTTCCAAATACCTCCTAGTCTTTTTCAACTCTCCAACGAACTTCGAGACCACCATAAATTTTGACGTTCCCTTCTTGTCCGCCTCTATTGACATTCTTACTTAGGTATCTTGTTTCGATGTTTCTCACTTCACCTTCACTTCCCAAGGATCTGCCAATTTCGCCTTAGAATCATCTTGAGCGCTCCCAGAGACTAGCCTGAAGATGACAATCCCTACGCAAAGCCTTCATTTACCTTGTCCTTCTCCTTCTTCTTCTTCCCCAACCACTTTTCGCTCCTCTGTCACTTCAGCAGATCCTCCTTAAACTCCTGCTAGGTGTGATGGCCAAATTCTCAATCCAAAAGCCTTACCTCCAACTTCACAGTCTTGACAAAACCCGAGCATAAAGCTTCATAGATACAATCCATAGACAGTCACCATTGGTAATGAGTCACTTGCCGTGTATGCTTTATAGCTTACTACAGACACTCCAAGGACATTTTTACATGGACCAGTAGTTTGATCAATTAAGCTTCTGTGGTACAGAGTACGATGAGGGCATTGTATAAAACCAGCATCAAAGGTTATACATAGGAAAGTTGCTTTCGCAAATTAAGCCTTTTTATTGTCCTTTTCTGCTTTCTGCCCAACGAACTAAGAAGGGGAGGAAATGTCTATATAACTAGACATCTAAAAAGACTACCAAAAAGAGCACCAAGAAGACTACGGCCGCTTAAGCGGCCGAATACAAAAGTCCCAGTGCGGACATAAAAGTGGGGCTTGCCCTAGAAAACTCTGTTTCCACTGATAATACACTTCTATGCCGAATAGAACATAGCAGGCCGGCTGGCCCAATGGCAAGGCGCTTGACTACGAATCAAGAGATTGCAGGTTCGATCCCTGCGTCGGTCAGTTTTTTTGCTTTTCTCTCATTCAGTGATCTGGTAATCAGCCTACGCCATCGTGGAATATGTAGAGCTTCTGGCTTTTGTGCCATTCCAGTTGGATCGGACTGTTTCCAGCATGTATTGGTTGTCTGAAGAGATATGTCTTTTTTATATGCCTTAGAGTTTTGCTTTGCTAGATAGAGTACGAGGGATGTAACGTGGTTGATTAAGCTCCAAAAAATATCAGACCTAATATCTTGCGGCCTGGAATGATTATGCTATAAATCCATAAAACCGAAACGGACGTGTGTCGGACATATTCTCGCTTTGATCGGTACATTAAGAATCCGACTTGAACCGAGCAAACCAAACAGCCTTAAAATGACGCCACCAGTGCAAAGTTTGAAGGCACCAGTGGAGGAACTTCGGGAATACCAAAACAAGGCACAGGCTGGCTAGATCTGGTTCGTTCAAAAAGGGATATAAAACTGGGACTAGTAACCGGAAGTCATATGTCAGTGGCGCTATTAAAAAGATTTTAAAAATAATTAAGCACCATAAAATCACATCAAGTGGATCCTGAGTAGCAGTGGATGCAAGTGGGTGCCAATCAACGTTCGCCCTTGCGACCGGGTACCCGATGTGGATGTCGGATCTTGACTTTCGGCATGCCGACTTACATACTTCGTACTCGGTTTTCGGAGTTAGGTATTTTCCACCAGGGCAAGCCCTGGATGTTCCAAGGTTCCATAATAATTATGCAAGGGCATCTGTCGCCGATTGTTCCGATTGTCGTTCCTTTTTATCCCCTGCCTTGCCTTTTTTGCTCCTTTCAACAGGTTTGACACTCCAACCCGTTGAGGAAAGGAAGCTATAGCAGTTTGCTCGTCATGGCGGATCAAGACGAGATCCGTGGAAATTCGGTCTATGAGGCTGAACAGCTTGTCACCGAAACGCCCTCGCCGGTTGAGAAGCCTGTTTCTCCGAAGGAACAGAAGAAATCCGGCCTGATGGCTAAGTCAGTATCCCCATCCCTCATCGCCCATGTTTCTACGCGGCGTAGAACAAGGCGAAACTGTTGTACTAACACCCTAACAGAATCGGGAGAATGCTGAACCAAGATGTCAGCGAGGAAATGCCCGCATACAAGGATATCCAAATCCACACCTGGGACGGGCCCGATGATCCCGAGAATCCCTTCAACTGGAGCCTCAGATACAAATGGCTGCTCACGATCACCGTATGCTTCATGTAAGAAATGCCATCTCAACACACTAAACTGAACAAACGTGTAACTAACCAACAACCCACTAGCTCTATCCTGACCGGTCTCCCCGCAGGAACCTACGGTTCCGGCAACGACTGGATGGGGAAAGAATTCAACGTCCAGAACGAGCCCTTCCCGAACCTGTACTGGGCCACCACGTCCTGGAATATGGGCGCTGCGTTCTGGCCACTGATCTTCGTCCCTCTGACCGAGGCCTCCGGCCGTATGCCAGGATACTTCGTGGCATATGTGATCCTCGTCATTTCGCTCTTCCCCTCCGCGTTCGCAAAGAACTTCGCAACACTCGTGGTAACTCGGTTCTTCGGTGGTGGTGCTTCTTCCGTCTCGATCAATATCGTCGGTGGAAGTATCTCCGATGTGTGGTTCGGTGATCACGCTCGCAGTCTCCCGATGTCTATATTCGGCTTTACCAGTGTTGTGGGTATTGCACTTGGTCCCTTTATTGGGTCTGCCATTGTCCAGATTCAAAAATCGGAGCCGTGGCGTTGGTAAGTTACAACCCCCATGTTCCCCGATATTTGTATCTCAAATATTCAAGAAACAAAAGTAAAGCACCACCATACTAACAACCTCCGCACAGGATCTTCTACGTCCAAATCATCTACAACGCAGCCCTAATCCCAGTCTTCTGGCTAATCCTCAACGAAACCCGCCCAGACGTGATCCTCAAGAAACGCGCACGCAAGATCCGCAAAGAAACCAACCTGCCCGTCTACGCCGCCGCCGAAATAGACGCACCAAGCAAACTCCGTCTCCTGAAAATCTCCTTCCAACGGCCAACAAGCATGCTCCTAACCGAGCCGGTCGTAACCTTCTTCACCTTATGGATAAGTTTCGCCTGGGGAATCCTCTATCTCTTCTTCTCCAGCGTGGTACAAACCTACTCAACAAACTACGGCTGGGGCACGCTGTCCACAGGCCTAGTCCAGCTCGCCATCTCGGTAGGCGCGATCATCGGGACAATGATCAACCCACTACAAGACTGGTACTATCTCCGCTCTTCGCGACGCAACAAAGAGAAACCCGGTAAACCTATCCCCGAGGCGAGACTGTACACTTCCATCCCGGGTAGTTTGCTCTTTGCGGCGGGTCTGTTCTGGTATGGATGGGCTAGTCAGCCGGATATTCATTGGATTGTGCCGACGATTGGTATCACGGCTGCGGGAATTGGGATTTATTCGATTTATATGGCTGTTGTTAATTATCTGACTGATGCTTATGAGCGGTATGCGGCGTCGGCTTTGTCGGCTGCTTCGCTTGGGAGGAATGCTTTTGGGGCGTTTTTGCCGCTTGCTTCGCCTCAGTTGTTTTCGAATCTTGGGTTTGGATGGGCTGGGACTTTGCTTGGGTTTATTGGAGTTGCGTTGTCGGTTGTTCCTGTTATTTTGGTTTGGAAGGGCCCGCAGATTCGGGAGAGGAGTAAGTTTATGAGAGAGGCTATGTGGGAGCCTGAGGAGAAGGTTGAGGTTGATCGGTCTGGGAAGGAGGACTTGGGGCCTTCTGCTGAGGGAGTTGCATGAGGTTGTGCATCTTGAGGGTGTTCCTTTGCGCTGCCTTGCATGGAGTATTGTTCAACTCCTTGTCTTCAATTTGGGCAGATAAATATGTACAAAGATTTACATACTGATAGAAATAGACTAAACACATGAATTTATTGTTTTATTTTGTTTTTATGTCCATCTACTGGCCGTTCTCTATGTAATACCAAGAGGGTAGTATCGAAAGACAAGAAACCAAAAACCACAACTTCCTCCACATGTTCTATCAACTCTGAATCCAAGGTGGAAAAGGATAGTGGAAGAGGGTATCGGGGCAAAGGGGTCAGGGTCAGAGGCGAATGGCCGCTCACATGGATGTTGCTTTTGGGAAACACTTTCGCTATCAATCATTCAACCACAAGCGTGGAAACGAAAATGAAAATTTTAGTTTCCATCGCGCATCTTGCGGAAGAAATCCATGACACCAGTGTAAACAACAAGCAGGATACCACCGCCAGGGCCGAGACGCAGAACCTTAGGCGTGAAACCCTTGTACAGGGCAGAGAAGCCCTCCTCCTTCATCACGGTGCCGAGAGCAGGCCAGGCCCAGTTGTACTTGGCGACCTGACCAGGAACCTTGGTGGTGTTCTGGATGCGGGACTTGACAACGTCCATGGGGGTGTTGAGGATAGTACCGGTGGTACCACCGATAGAACCGGCGATCAGGTCGTTGAGGGTCTGCTGGTTCTTGTTGCCGGGCTCCACGGCAGGCAGCTGTGCGCGGACCTGGAAGATACAACCGAAGTAACCAGCGTTCCACAGGACGTGGCGCCACATGGTCGACTCAAGGCCATTGTACATTGCGAGCGGGCCCTCTGCGGCCACGATCTTCTTCACCACGTCGAACATGCCGTTGTACTTGTGGGCCTGGGCCTTATCCTGCAGACGAATCTTCACGAGCTCGAACGGAACCACCACGAAGGCTTCAGTCGCACCGGCTGTGGCTCCAGTCAAAGTGGCCAGGCTTTGGGTCTGCTTGTCCACACCGAACAGGTTGCGATAGAAACTTCCCCAGCTGTCGTTGGCGGCGAACTTGGTCGCACGCTTCGGTGCCTCCATCAGGATGGGCGCGGAGATACCACGGTATAGACGGGAGGCACTGCATTCATTGTCGCATGTTAGACAGAGAGCCGTGGTTGGTTCGCAGGGCGATGACATACCCCTCGTTCTTAACAATCTTGCGGAAGCAGTCGAACATGCCATTGTAGTGATCGACACCAGGAACAGGGGCTCCAGTCTGAAGCTGACTGTAAGAGGATATCGTTAGCTCATGCCATATGAGGTCAGTGCTCATTGCGACCGGTGGTTTGCTTACATTCGGGTCTTGAGGACGTCCAGAGGGTACCTGCGAGTCATCCATCGTCAATTGAGTCCAATTTTCACAATATACCAAGCATATCTCCAACAGAAGTAGTTATGCGACCAAAGAAGGGGCGGGGACAGCCGTACATGACCAGGATCTGCTCGTGCGGGGAGAGACGCGTTAGTCAATAGAGCACCTCGTGGGGGTTCCAACTCGACTAATCAAGTCGGAATCGCTTCTCAAAGCAAAAGCAAGAGACACATACCTCTGAAACACCAGCCACCGCACCGGCGGCGAACTGGTAGACGAAGGGGAGCGGCTTCTGGGCAGTCTCGGACATGATGGCGGCTTGAGCTGTGGGATTGTCAGTATGGGTCCATAATTGGACAATATTGGGATCGCAAAGCCATCGAAAACCACAGCTTTGCGATCAAATGAGATCAACCTAGATATTCACTCACAAGACCAAAAATGAAGGGTTGGGAGAGAAAGAAGAAGTGAGAAAAGAGGAGGTTGCCGGTGTCGGCGAGATTCGGTGATCAGGTCCGAGTGCAGCAGCCGGTAAGTCTTCGTACCTAAACGTTTAGCCCCGATTACTAAACCCCCGTGGGGAGAGCTTCTATAAAATTCACATTGGCTGTTTGCAGGTTTATTGTGATTTATTGTCATCAATTCATATCAATTCATCTGTATCATGTCTTCTGTGTTTTTCATAATATCCAAACTCCCACATTCATTCCAATCATCATTCCCAACATCATTTTGCTAACCCGATGCACCACACCATCTCCACTACTCGCCGTCGCTTGTTCCTTGGCGACAGTCGTCGCAAACGCGGTGTCCCTTGCAGTACAGCTGGAACCACATGCGAATCCCATAGGACAGCATCCTCCGCCCACGGTGTCAGCACAGTGAAACCAGCCCTGGGCGCACCGGTTCCCGCCAGTGTGCTCCGCTGCCGTCGTGGTCGCGGCGGGCGCTACAATAGTCACACCGTCTGATACGACGGTTGTCGAAGGTATGTTCGGGCATGAAGTCGTATCACAATCTCGTCCGGTGCGGCAGCAGCCACCGTGGTAGACAGCAGAGCAAGCATAGAAACCAGTCGGGCAGACGTCGTCGCCGCGGGTAGCACTGGTTACTGTTGACAGGTTCGTAGGCCGTGCCGGCGGCGCCAAGCCATCGTTTGTTGTGGTCTTGCTGCTAAGAGAAGAGGTCGTCGAGGAAGAGAAGGAAGCCGAAGTGGAAGTAGTATCCTGCGGTTTGGTCGAGTAGGTCACAGTAGACAACATCACGGTCGAATGAAGAGTCACCGTAATAACAGTGATGTATGCACCTACTCGGACAATTAGTAAATGCTCATATTCCCAAATCCCATTAACAATCTGGCCACGAGCAAAGGAAAACGGGAAAACACTCACATCCCCTTTCCACGCAGTCATATCCCGGAATACAACATCCACCCCCCAGAGCCTGTGAGCAAGCCGTATACCCACTCTGACACGACCCAATCTTCCCAGAGCACGTCTTCCAGGTAGGACAGCAGCCCACATCGCCGTGCCCCGTATCGGCGACGATCTCGCACGTCTCCCCGGACCCACAGCAGCGATCGGATCGACCGATGGATGTGCACGCCAATGTCCCAGTCGGACACTTGAAGTCTCGTTTCTCGAGCAGATTGTTTGCACTGTGACTGTTCCCCGGTGGAAGGAATTGACTGCCCCCATCTGTGCCCAAGGAGTAAGATGGCCCGAACGGGTATGATTGGGCCACAAAGCGCGCTGGGGAAAATCCGTCGTCGGAGAGGTGTCCCTCAGATATGTTACCTGAAGAAGAGACATCCCCGAAACTCCAGTAGTCGAGGAAGAATTTCTCGCCTTCGTCGTCGCTCATTTTCTTCACGCCGAGGGCTGGTCCTGCTGCGAGTTGGGATGCTATAGCGGCATTGCGCTGTAGGATAAGGTTTGCTGGTAGTGGTGTCTCAGCCTCTTTGGATTCTTGATCACCTGAAGGATTTATCTTTTCTGCTGAAACCAGCGTTGCAAACTGTGGTAGTGAGCAGAACACGGTGAGGGCGTGGAGGATCTGCATGCTGCCGCCGAGCATCGCGACCAGGATAGATCTCGAGTTTGTTTAGGTTGAGACTAGTGGAAATAGTCGGGTTGGAGGCTAACTCGTAGTTGGATAGTTGTTTCAGAAGTGTGTTTCACTAACAAAGGCTGTGGATGAGCTGGTTGAGAATGAAATTTCGAGTTAAGTTGGTGGGCCCAATAGTGCAAATATATAGTCTTGTGCCCCTTCAACGTGTAATCCAGTCGAGCCTGACAGGTTTGAGGAAAGATGTTTGTCGATCTAGGAATAAATTAAGGGCGCATTGGGCTTTCTATAAATCTGCATGCAAAGGTGGCTGGGGGGTGCAGGAGGCGCACACCGCTATGCATTAGCTTGCAGGACAGACAGGTCAAGGCAGCAGTAGTAGTTAGTGGGAGCATTCCTATTAGTTGGTTAGAGCATTGGGCATGATTCTCTATCTCTATATTAGTCTACGTAGTACAATATCAACAGACTACTTCCAATTATTACCACTCCAGACTGAACAGGAACATCCAAGACTAACTTCAGATGTGCTCATATCATTCGCAAAATCAAAAACTAAATGCTACTAGCACACCACAAAGTATGGCAGGGTATCGTCAGTAAATGACATGAGGGGCTCTCGCACAGGAAACACGCCAAAAGGTATCAACGGAAATAAAACGACCAAAACCAAGGCCCTAATGCGAGGTCAAATGCAGTAAAACAAAAAATATGATAAAATAAACGTGTGAATCCAATTTCACTTGCGCTTGGTAATGAGAATTTCCGCATGAAGCTTCGTAGGGTCAGGGATGATCAGACTCAGGATGGGATGGAGGATGAATGAACAGGATCAGGCAGAGGGCTGTTCGGAGGCACCGTTGTCTTCCTCCGGCGATTTGGGGAGTGGCTTTGCCGCGTCGGAAGATGGCGACTTGGGCTCTTCTGCCTTCTCTGCCTTCTCTGCCTCGTCTCCATCCTCCGGGGTCGCCTCCGTTTCGCCTTCTTGCTGGTCGTTATCACCCTCACCCTCCTTGTTTTGCTCCGCTGCCTGCGCAGCAGCAGCTTCCGCCTCTGCCTTCGCCATCTCGGCATTGCGGGCCTGCTGTCTATCCCAAACTTCTTTGCGGATGCGGTCATCCTTCGCAGTACGGAGACGCTCAGTCTCTTCAAAACCACCGCTCTTCTTCAACTTGCCTTCTTCGACAAATGCACCGAGTTCCTTCTGGAAAAGACCGATTCGCCGAGTCTCAAGCTCCTTCTTTCGTGCTTTCTCGGCTCGCTCAATGGCCTCGAGTCGGCTTTCATGGTTGGGTTGCAAAGCACGGACCTCGCCTAGGACACCGTCCTTGGCTTTCATGGGATCAATGGTTGGGTCGATTCCAAGAGTCCTGGATGGAGCGCGGACCGCGGTGCCACCAGTTGCATTTGTCAAGACCTGCTCCTTCGTGGCTTGCTCGACCAAGGCGAAAGTCTGGGTTGCCTTCTCGAGGTCGTCTTGCAAGTCGGCAGCAAGGTCCTCCTGCATGGTAAGCTGGTCTCGTTCTTCGCAAACCAGCTGTAGCTCCTTCTCCCAGATCTTAGTCCAGATGGGCTTCTCGCGACCCAGGAAGTCCTGCATTTTCTTAATTTCTTTCATGACCATGCTAATGTCGCGGCTGACACCCTCCAATTGTCTTGGGAGAGGACGAACACCGCGAGTCACAACATCCTTCCGAAGATCCTCAACCAAATCTTGGAGATCATCGACGCGAGCGACCAGGCGCTCAGATTCAGCTGCAAGTTCCTTCTTGCCAGTGTTAACCCGTGCACGACCAGCGTCACCTTCATAAGAGGGGGTAGCGACGTCATCGGCGGCAGTCTTGACCTTGCTTGCCTTGGCGCGGACTGCACTCATAGAACCGGTGATGTCTGCAGTAAAGTTGGAGTAGGTCTGTCGCAGGACAGCCAAGTCACGGCGCAAGCTCTGAAGCTCCGCAATTTGAGATCCGCTTCCGGCAATCGATGCTTTTGAATTCCCTCCAATGGCAGCCGGACCAGAGTTTGCTGGAGGAGAAGCAGCTAAGCGAGCGATTTCTTTGGCAGCTTCAAGCTGGCGATCCGAAACCCGCTGGATGATATTTCCTTGGCCGGAAAGCGTCTCTTTGACGCCTTCGACCAGGAGGCGCACGCTTCCGAGGCTATCATCGAAATGTTTCTTGACCTCATCGAGGTTGTCAACATTAAGCACCAAGACAGACCGATCTTTGACATCGGCAAGATCTTCTAGTTCATGTCGGATGCCTGAAATCGGGTCTTGGATATAAATTTCCGGCAAATCAACGCCATTATCGTGGGTATTCCAGGCAAACTTTTCAATAAAAGCGAGCTGCAGGCGCCCAATGGTGAGTTCTGCAATGCCATCCGGGAGCACATACTTCTTAATTTTGCTTTTGTATTGCAGAAACAGCGTCAGCTCTTTGCCTGGTGAGGGTTGCTCAGTAGCAAATTGAATGGCTGATAGAGGTGTTCCGACCTCGGCGGACGGTCCGAAAAGAGTCCCCCTTCGGGGTTTGGGGTGTTGGTTTTGCGGGCTCGAAAGCGTCTTCGAGCGTTGGTTTCTCTTGGGGCGCGGGAATGATGGGAGGAGGAACGATTGTAGCTTCCACTGTATCGGCTTTTTCGCCAGGAGCATGCGCTTCGCTGGGCGCCTCGGATGGTGCGGTATCGATCCCTTGTGGTCCTAATGGAGGTGCGGCAGCTGGAGGGGTGCGTTCTTCTTCCACGACATCCGGAATATTTGCGGGTGGAGGGGCTTGCGCACTCTTGGCGGCTTCCTGTAAGCGGTTGTTGGATCGTTGTCTGGTATGGGCAAATGAGCCCCGCAGACGAACTGCGTTTAAGGATTCGCGGACATCACGACCGCGATTGGGAATGGGAGAGTTCTGAGTAGGCAGGACAGGAACCCCGTTGGTCGATGTGCCCAAATGCTTTTGAATCTGATAAGCAGAGAATCGACGCGAGGCACGCCGCTCAAGCTCCCCACTTCTTTGCAAAGCACCCAATGCGTCATCTTCTTTAGGCGGAGGTGGAGGCGGAGGTGCAGAGAACCCTGTGGGTGTAATATATGTTGAAGGCGAAGTATTGTTGGGTGCGTTGGCTCGAGGGGTTGTATCATTATCGAAGGGGGTGGGTTGAGACAGCATTTGCTGGGCCTCTCGCCGCGAGGTTTCTCTTTCGGCGTAGTTTGCGCGCGGTTCGGTTGTCGAAGGTGCCGAGGAGGTTCGAGCAATGGCGGGTTGATCCTCCAGTGATCCACCGCTGCCATACCGTCGGTTCGATCTTCTGGGGGACTGGGATGTCGACTGGGCTGTCGATGGCATGGTGGATGCTGCAGCCTCATCATACAACTGACCAATCGCCTGCCCACTAGCGATGCTTCCTGCACTGGCTTGCCGTCCTGGTGCGGGCCGGCCATCTTCGCGCTGGTGCCGGGACCTTAAGCGAGCTTGCTTCTTCTTCAGCCCTTTTAACAAGTTGATGATTATATCTCGGATTCGGGGAAGGTATCTATCGAGGCTCTGGGAAGATGCATCTTGACTAAGAGTGTCTTCAAGTATCGTGCGGAGCAGGTCTGGTACGGGACCGAGATCTGAGGTGTCGACTCCGATGGCACTGAAGGCCCGACAAGCCAAGTTAAATTCATAGCCCAATCGAACGTACACATCCGACACATCATTCTCCGACGCTTGCTTGCGAGACCATTGCGTCAAGGTTTCGAGGAGTTGTTTTGTCGCGACCAAGAGGTGCGTCACGCTCTTTTCGATCTGGGATATTTGCTTATCGGGCTGTGCGGTGGGGGGAAACACAGGTTCATTAGCCGTCGAAATGTAGGCAATTGCCAGGCAGCCAGAGACTTACCTGATTCTTGGTGGACTGGGATCGAGACGAGGCGGAGGAACTGCGGCCGGACTGTTGGGAAGCCATGGATGTGTCGGCACTGCCAGACCCCGAGGGTCGCTCTGGGGATGTTTGTTGATCCAACTGTTCAGGGTAGGGGAACTGGGTTCTTGAAACGCCTGGGGACTGCATGAGTATGATAGGCCAAGTCACCGAGGGAGTGAGGACAGAAAGTGAGAAATAGGGCAGAAGCGAGTGAGGGTGCCAAGCATGTGTGAAGATGATGCCCAGCCTCCTGTCACTTGGCGCCTTACCGCACCGGAACCGATGATCAAAAGCGGATTACCCTCCAAATACCATAAATACCATATATTACTGTATAACCCTGTAACGATGTACAATGGACCGGGGCAACGTGTTACTCGAGTGTTCAGGCCGCAGTAACGAGTACATATATGTATTTATGTACTTAAGATCCATTGATCATTGGGAATTGACCTCCAATTCCATGCCATACAATCACATGGTTATATATGTATACTACCTGTGGTTTATGAATATGGGAATCATAATACATAGGACATACAAATATAACACAGCCATAAAAAGGATTCATCCCTCACACTGATAAGTACCCGATTGATAAGGCCCTTGCCTCTGTCCCCTTTCCACTTCAGCTCCACTCTCTATTTATATTCCTACATAGGTACACTTTGTGTTGTAGGACAATGGGTCATTTCTATTATCCATGGATTGTATTCCTGCGCTCGTTCAGGTCTTCCATGCACAATTTGTTAGTCTCTCCGGGGCTTCTCTATAGGGGATGGGCATCAGGCCCACTAAGCACAGCACGAACAACCCTGCTACCCCCAAAATACGGCAGCCCAACCAACGTGACGCCTAACTTTATCACCGCCTCGAACAACCTACAGAAAGAGACTTCAGCAATACCGTTGAAGACCTAAGAAGGCCCAAGGACTGAGATAACTGTGGTCTGGAGTTACTAGGCCATATTGCTCGTAGTTAGAGCCTTACTATGAGATGGCCAGCATTCAGGTACAAAGAGTGGCAGGAGTAGAGCGACTAGTGTTGGAGCTGAAGGCTGGAACCAATGTGAAAATGTTGTTAGAAGGGCGGAGGAAATAGCCGGCCCGACAGAGACAGCGGCCAGACTGGCGAATACCATGAGACAGAATGCTGATGCTCTTTTCATATGCATAGATATCACATTATTTCACAAGACAGGTGTCTATCATAGCATATCCGTCTGATTCATTTACCAAATCCAAGGGCGCTAACCAACATTCAAACGCAACGCTGATTGGAAATCGAATATACCAAGAAGTATTAATGAGATTCAGTCAAGATCCATGGTAGCTACCACTTAAACCAAACAATACGATCAGACAGGCTGCTGTCTCGAGCCATTGTATTCGGTATAAACGTGGGCAGTCGGGCTTTTATACATTGTCCTTTCACAGCCACAAGCAATCCATGATCTGGTCTTGCTCACTCTCTGTAAATCTCACAAGGGGCAGTGGAAATTATATAAAATTTGCAGAGGAATATACATCGAGCTATGGCCACTTGATAGTGTTGTTCTTAAATATATATAATGGCAATCTGAGTTGTGCGGCTGAACACCATTCTTGATCCAATGCATAGACTGTTTCATGCCAGGCACCAGGCGGCTCTCAATGTTGTCTCTACAATGATTGTAAGAAATTTATTAAGGTTGGAATGAAGGCCGCAAACTATCAGCCCATGCCTCCAGCCCCAGAGGGCTGCATCGGTTGATTACATAAGGCAATTTTACCACCCCAATGCCTGCAAGATCATCACATCATTTGAGAATGTCTAATTATCGCTACAGCGGTATATATTTACCCTAAGGGGTGTCGGAGACTACACTGAGTCACTAGGATCTACTGAGCGGGCCCAATAAGCGTTAGAAAGACGGCAGCTAAAATAGGAAAGCCCCACCTGACAGAGGAAGTTCCCATGGAACCAGATATTGTTGTAGTTGACCTATGACCTCAGATATGACATCTGAAGGTAGTGTCTACATACACATGTAAATTATCTATTGACCCTAACTAGAGATAACTAAGAGCAGGATACCAAGTAACGTACTACCTAGTATGTATGCATGATCTGAACAATGACACAAGCCCTTTGGGACGGCGTGAATGGCTGATAATGCAGTTGATCGTACAAGATGATGTATTATACATATGTACCTGTACCAATGAGGATTCGCTTGTTTCCATTGGTAGTTCTATTAGCTGCTTTATGCATCGGAAGTAAATATATGTTAATGGATGGGTTCCGACCCTATATCGCACAAATACATTCTAGATTCTGGTCAATATAGTTTCAAAACTCTATGAGGGGTCAATAGATGTGTGGATGTGGGAGCTACCTCAGCCTGACCCGTACTCTGTCAGTACATATGTATGTAACATTGTCAATTGGCCTATCCTAGGGTTGGCGGCCTAAGACCACAGAATACCTAAAATAACAATACATTATTATTGATTTATTGATTTGTGGAATCAACAATAATATTCCCATTGGTACATTTGAAGTCACCAACAAAAAAGAAAGAAGAAAAAGAAGAAACAGAAAGGTAAAAAGAAAAAAGAAAAAGGGTGTAACACACAAATACAATACCATACGCGTGACTTCGAGAGTTCCCCCCCCATCAACTTGCGACAAGCCCATCTCTCCTTCCTCTTATTTTTCTATCCGTTCTTTCCCTTCCATTCCTCCTTCCTTATTTTCCTGCCATTGACATTCCGATATCTCCGCAGTGTGGTGGTTGCTTATCCCCCCCCCTCACTTCCCCCCCCAGTCCTGTTTGTGCAGGCGGTGTGTTGTGGCATCGTGCCTCATCCTCGCGGCTTTCCGCCGTGCGACGTTCCACGACGCAAGCTTGCCCTGACTGACACCAAAGTCAATCAATGGCTTCCGCTCTCAACTCTGTGGCGGCCAACAACGCGTCTGGCAATGCCAGCGCGGGCGCCCCCAACCCTGGTCGATCTACCCTGAGATCCAGTAACAGCACGAAGGGGTCCGACAACCGACGACAGTCGGGTAGCCCCATCGATGGCGGACAACGGTATGTTCGGCCCTTCCTTCTAGACAGCATGTTAAATCAAATTCTTGTGTATTTTCATTTCCTCCGGACTTGGGAAATTTCCCTTTGTTTTTATCGTGCCCTTCTCTTGTCCTATTGGTGATTGCGTTGGTGAGCTCTGTTGCAGGCTTGCATCGAGTTGTGCGCCAGCAAGAGCCAATTGAAGCTGTCGGATTCGATGACAGAAATGCTTCGTGGTTCTCTGTTTCGTGACCAGTGACCGCTAACGCAAGCATGTTCTACTGCATAGGCGCACAAACTCCCACAAGGCCTGGACCCAAGGGACCAACCCCATCACTCAACGATCTTCATACACTTCATCGAACGGCAACATGACCCACCAGAAACAGTCTGGGTCCTCGAGACTCAACCAGAAGGAGTCAAACACCCCTGATAGCCATGCCCACGACCGCCTTGTCTTCCTATTCGCCAGCTTCACGGTAAGCCCAGTCGCACCACCATACCCGTCGATTAATTCTAAACTGCTACCTAGGGCCTACACACTACCATTACCACCAAGTCCGGAGAGAAGTTTACCGGTATCTTCTCTTCCTCGACCATGGAGCCTAACGAACTTTCCTTCCTGCTCAAGATGGTCCAGCGAACCTCGCAAGAGGGCCAACCCCGAGCAAATGGCATCAGCGATGTCGCAACTCCGTACATAGGCTCCGCGCCCGAGCACATCATGTCGTTCGATATCAAGGATGTCGTCGACATTTCCGTTCCAAACGTTACCACAGCTGAAGTTTCAGCCAAGGAACCAAACGGTACGTGTTGCATTGTTTAGTCGGATTCGTTTGTGTATATACTAATCTAGACCACAGGTGCTTCCCAGGGTTTCAGGACAGACAGTGATATCTCCGGAAACCTAGCCATGCGAGAGCGCACCTTGCAGCGCTGGGAACCGGCTGAGACTGACATTGATATGTCACTCGAAACGAGCAATACTTCTGCGGGATGGGACCAGTTTGAGGCAAACGAGCGTCTTTTCGGCGCCAAGACCAACTATGATGAGAACATCTACACTACTCGCCTGGACCGTTCGGATCCCAACTACAAACAGAAGCAGCAGGAGGCAGCTCGGATCGCCCGTGAGATTGAGGGACAAGATGTGGACAACTCCCCACATGCGCGAGGAGCGTGGCCTTGTAGCACCCGATACCGGCGACCAAGACGAAGAAGACAAGTACAGTGGTGTTCGCCGCGAAGACAAAGCCTTCCCTCCACTGCTTTCCGGCCAGCCAAACAAGTACATGCCCCCCGGACGCCGACAGGCAGCCCCACAGTCTACTGCGACTCCCAGTGCATCCACCAAACAGCCTGTTGCTTCTCCAGTCCCCACCGCTCCTATCCCCATCCCCTCTCAGGCCGTGGCGAAGGAAGCTGCACCGGCAGACCAGCAAACTGAGCTGGTCGCATCTCTGCAACCCACAACAGACACCGAGCAGAAGAGTGCCTTAGGCAAGGGTGTTACACCCCCAGTATCTACTGCATCTCCCGCACCGGCTGGAAAGCGGACCGCACCTGAAAATGCGACCGCAAACGTGGAGGTGGAGGTGCTTGATCACTTCCGGCAGTTCGCAAATAGCGAGAAAATCAAGATGCAGGAGCGCCGTCGCAACCAGGCCTCGTATGACCGGACCATGAAACTCAACGAGCTGATGAAGTTTTCCAAGAGCTTCAAACTCTCCACTCCGGTGCCGAAAGACCTTGTTCCTATCCTAGCCAAGGACCGGCTAAAGCAAGAAGAAATCATGCAACGAGCACTGCAACAGGGGGACGACAAGGCTACGCCGAAGGTCACTACACCTCCCACAGAGCAACAGCCACCTACTCGTGGTGCCGGGCCTACTGGAGCTGTGCCCCCATCTGCACCCGCTGATCGTCAAAACTACAACCGCACTCGTCAGGGTTATCCTCCAACTGGTCCGCTCGCTGGCGCTGGTGGGAGATTCCCCCAGCAAGTTGTTCCGCCGGGACGTCCTGGTGTTGGCATGCTCAGTCATCGACTAGCGGACAATCTACAGCAACGAAAGGGCGCGGGTATGGGACC